GCGAGGGCGGCTGGTTTTTCCTTTGATATAGATGAGTCTGATGCCATGTATGACGGCCGACCCATCTGGGAAGTAGTCCCCTCGCTGTCAGAAGAGACCCCTGCTGCTGATGGGATGGGTGAAGGTGTCTATGGAAAAATCATGAAGATGTTTGTTGTTAAATATATTAAGGTTGATCATCCGAATCTTAAGTCTTGCTGATAAGGAACTTACTGGTTCTATAGGCACTGTTGGTAAAGATTGTTTCCTGGTCGGGGGCCTGGCCCGACCACTCCTCGGTACGGGAGGAGGGGTTTGCCTCCGCGTCGGGTCCTCCGCCCGACTGCTCATTGGCAAATTGGTCTGGACCAAAGGCCCGATTGAATGGTCGGTTGGTGCTGGCGTCGGTTGCTTGGTCGGTGTCACCAAGGTCGGTTCTGGGGAATGAAATGAGTGAAATCAAAGTTATGATATAGTGAATTGGTTCACGGTGTTAAGAAACATTACCAATTCGGGGTCGGGTCCTTGCTGACGTCCTAGTTATTCCAAGGTCTGCTAGTGTTTGCTGGTCGGTCTCCGAGGTCGGGGGTGTTTGCAGCTGGGAAGTTTTTCTTTTGCGCGTGGGACCCCCAGATCCGATTCCCGGGGCGGTTGTTTGTTTTTGGGTGCTAGTATGTATCGCCGCCCCTAGAACCAGTCCTTGGGGAGGGAGGAGTACGTTCAGCAACCGACTCTCATCAGGGGATATCAGGGACCATACGACCGACCACCATTCATTGAAAGTATCTACACTCTCAGGGTTGGAGCGGAAGGGAATATAAGAATTGGAAATTATATACGTGGTAAGCTGGGAGATATAAGAAGGGATTGAATTAGGAAGGACTCGTCGGTCGGGACTTTGAAAAATTATTTGGGGACCCGCGACGGGTCCGGGGATACCTTGGCAACAGCCGAACTGACGCGCCATGAATTGAGGTTCATAGTTAAAAGTGTAAAAAGTTTTCTGCCCTTTTTTATCAAGTTTCTTGCTACTAAAAAGAGACCTGGGTTTGAGGGCGACGTCCCAGGCGAAAGGATAGGTGGGATGAGGACAAGGCTCAGGAGTCGGAAGCGGGTTTGGTACTGGAAAGGGCCAAAAATGGTCGGGAGCATAACCCGCATACTTTTTATACATAGAAAATCGAGAGTTACTGCGGGTATCTGTTAAAATGGCAGTTATTATTGGATCGGATGATTGGAGTTTATTGCGTCCTGAGCAGAGTCGGTTGAGGACTAATCCTAAATGTTTTTCAGATGTTGGCATAGTGGGCGGAGATCCTAAGTTAAACGCGTTGGGAAAGTAAAGACGGAACCAAAGTTCTAAAAACCAAAAAGGACCCGACGCGGCAGTGTCTAATTTCCTATTATCGTTATCTGTTAAACGAAGGCTAACCCGGGTGAGTCCTTCAAACAGATTGGCTAAAAATAGGGTACCAAGGGAGAAGAACCGACCTGACGCAATATGAATGGCCAGGTCGAGGTGAGAAGGAAGAACACTTTTGGAAGGAGAAACAATGATGTACCTACAAAGCCAGAACAGAATAAAGGCAGTATGCTCCCGGTCGGTTACAGGAGTCCCTGGAGCCCCTTGCTGGTCGGTTGCGAACTTTGTCCAACCCCATTCCTTCACACCTTGTAAAGACCATCCCGGATGGTCTTCTGATGGCTCCTGCCCATCTAGGGCTCCCATTACAGGGTCTTCACCCACGACTGGGAGATGTGCGATCATGGCCACGTCCATAAGGGTTGGGCCAAAGGGGGCCGAGGGCAAAAGGAAAGTCCCATTTTCCGCATTCCAGAAGGCGGACATGGCCAACAACACCTTCTCATGCAGGTTGATAGGCATGGTAGACAGTAGTATTGCTTGGTCGATCTTTTGGGATCGCCATTGGGTCTGGAAGTGTTCTGCTACTCGTCGATACCAAGCACGATACAGATCTTTTGGGTCTGTGAGATGGGTCTTGATGCTGTCTCGGATGCGAACTGCTTGGTAGTTGGGATTGTTGATAGCCAAGGCGTTGCGAGATTCCAAAACTTCCCTCATCCGATTTGAATCTTCGTGAGTAGTGCAATATGGACGGATCGTCGGAGTTAGTACTTTCGAGGCTGAAAATGGACCTTCTGGAAGGGTTCCGTCGAAAGGAAGGGCAGGAATGTATTGATTCGCCATAGTTAGCATGTTTTGGGATTGTGATTCACACAGGCTTGTATTGCGAAGAAGGAATAAACCAGGAGTGTTGCAGTAACTGGTGTAGTTGCTAAGGGAGTTTCTCGAGAAGGTAGTGCTTTATGAACTTCCAAACATTTATTGGCGTTTGAAAGTCCCTTGGCGGCGGGCAAGTTGTTACGTACGAAATTTAGAATTAGGTTAAAAGCCCAAGGTAAAACGAGGAATGGGCCTGGCAATAGGGTTGATTGAACTGGCTGAAGGACACCGTGAGGAAATCAAGGAAAATAAATTTATTTATTTATTTCTAAGAAAAATTCAGGACGGAAGGTCTTCAGGTCGAGAGGTCCGCAAGACGGAAAGACCTCAAGTCGGAAGGTCTTCAGGTCGGGAGGCCCTCAAGATGAAAGACCTCAAGTCGGACGGTCTTCAGGTCGGGAGATCCGCAAGACTGAAAGACCTCAAGTCGGACGGTCTTCAGGTCGGGAGGTCCGCAAGACGGAAAGACCTCAAGTCGGAAGGTCTTCAGGTCGAGAGGTCCGCAAGACGGAAAGACCTCAAGTCGGAAGGTCTTCAGGTCGGGAGGCCCTCAAGATGAAAGACCTCAAGTCGGACGGTCTTCAGGTCGGGAGATCCGCAAGACGGAAAGACCTCAAGTCGGAAGGTCTTCCGGTCGGGAGGTCCGCAAGACGGAAAGACCTCAAGTCGGAAGGTTTTCAGGTCGGGAGGTCCGCAAGACGGAAAGACGATGAGTCGGAAGGTTTTCAAGTCGGGAGGTCCTCGAGACGGAAAGTCGTTGAGATGGGATATCCGCAGGTCGGGTAAACTGTAGGTCGGATAGAAGGAGGAGTCGGACAAACACGGAGGCCTTTGATCAAAGACAGGGGGCGGTTGATATGGAGGTCGGCCCAAGTGGGGTCGGGCGAAGAAGTAGGTCGGACGAAGGACGAAGTCGGGCCAAAAGAGCGGAAGGTCTGTGGTCGGCTCAAGGAGTGAAATATAGGGAATTTTGGTCTGCTGGGGACACGTGTCAGCATAAGAAAGGTTGGAAGACGGTTGAGAAGGAGACGTTGTAACCGTTCGGGTGACGGTTTTCAGTACGGTTTCCCAGGGAATATTTAAGGATTTGGATCATCATTTGGCAAGGTATCTTCAATCAACTTCAACAAAGCAAAGTCAGATTTGGGGATCACCACTTTAAATTTCAGTCTTTTATTTTCCAGTTTATTTTCTGTACCATACAGTGTTTAGAGATTCCTAATCTCAGGCACTAAATAATCAAGTTTAAGGATATTTTCTATATCTTTGAATTTTACTTTATTTTTGTTGAAAAAATACATCAACAATTTTATTAGAAAAATATTATAATAAAATAATGAATACGATAAAACTCAAAAAATATTTTTAATATAATTATATTATTCGACATTTTTTCATATGTATGGTTATATTATTATTATATTACCCTAATCATGACCCGGATCCAGGCCTAATACTCAAATAATTTGACTCAATTTCAAATAAATAGGTCAGGCTTGGTCGAGTCTCGAGTTTACACGAATTTATTATTATCCTATAAAATTATTGATATATTTTCAATTTATATTAATAATGAATTAGAGGTTTAATTTGTCAAAATAAATAAAATTCATAAGAGGACAACTATGTCATTCTTTTTAGAATATAAAAAATCTAAATTCACGAAATATAAATCCACCACATTTTACCAACCAAACATAATATGGGATTCTAAATCCTAAATATAATAAATCTCATCACATATAAATCCTGAAATCTCAATTCCACTAAAAAAGTCCATGAACCAAACAGCCCTTTATCTTCTCACACAATAAATATTTGATATTCTTTATTTTTTATAATAAGTATTTTAATTTTTTAAAATGATTTTATAATAAGTATTTTAATTTTTTTATATAGTATACCCAGACGAGAATGATGTAAAATATGTATAATATTATTTTTGAAAATTGTAGTTTTAAAAAAAGTTTGCATGAACAAACCTAACCTAGTACTTCCTCCTTCCCATTTGAAAGGTTACCATTTCTATTTTTGTCCGTCTCAAAATAAAGTTATTATTTTCTAATTTAGTAATTGTACTACCTACGTAACCTAATAAATACCCTTCTAACTTACATTATATTACACAATATAATCCAATATAATACTAATATTAAAAAATTTACCTGCAAAAACTAAATGACACCATTTCAATGGGACGGAAGGAGTATTATCATCATTATTTATTAAAAATAAAAAATTAAAATTAAAATACTATTTAAATTAATTTTAATAAAAAAAAAATTAAACTCAATACAAGTCCCTGATTAATCATGAATTGGGGGTGGATCAAACCCTAATTGTGATTCGTCCTTCTCCATCATCATCGTCATAGTGATTATGATCCACGTCTCTCTCCAACGACGTCGTTCCAGGATCCTTCCTCATTACAATTACTTTACAAATGTACAAATGTCCAAATTGACTTGTATCATTCTAGATTGATGATTTATTGCAGTAGCAGTACTATAGCTTCTGTCTGATAATATATGGTGCTTAATTTATAATTTAATTTAATTAAATTTGGTGTGTACAAGGTGCTAAATAAGTCCAACCACGAGACTGTAGGAAGACTTGTTGATAGACACAGAGATAAAGAAGAGCTTAAAAAGTCTCCTCTGAAAGTCATCCATGGCTGTCCCCACTCTCTGTGTAGTGGATGGTGTTAATTAATTAGGGCTTTCTTGGGGCCCCCTTTAAATAAACTCCATTGTTTTTAATTAATTTATATATGCTGCAGTAGTAATGCTCAATTGGACATCTGTCTTCGTCTTCTTCCTCTTAGCCACCATTTTAAACTTTTTCAGAAATTAGAACCATCCCATGAAGCTTCTTCCCTCCCCGCAAGAAACCCCCTAATTAACCCTAATTTCACTCCCTCACTCACTCACTCACTAATATCTATTATATCATGTTCCTCTCTCTCTCTCTCTTTATATATATATATATATCTGTCTGTATGTATATATGGAGAGTGGAATGAATGAGTGATAGATGTAATAACAATGGCGACAAGTGACGATGATGATCCAGAAATGGCCGCAGCGTCTTTCGGCTCCGACAGCTTCGAGGTGTCGGATTTTCTTGATTTCGGGGACTGGATTAATGACGAGGCCAATATTCCGGCAACCTCGGCGCTCTTCGATAATTATTCGATGAATCCGATGATTTGTTCAGCAGTTGGGGATTCGAGTGGATCGATTAGCAGCAGCAGCAGCAGCTTTCAATGTGTGGAGTTTATACTAATTTGCCATTTCTGTTTGTCTCTCTAATTCATCGTTTCACTACATCTGCATGCTTATTTTTATATGCTTAATGTCTATGCTCATATATAAGGGTTAGTTTGGTTCTTGTTTTTTAAATAGTTACAGTACGAAATCAATAGTATCGATTTTGGTTTAAAATTACAATAAAAAATATCCTATGTTTTTTTTTTGGGTCACTATTTTCCTTTCTATAAAAACATAGCTTCATTCTGTGGTAGTATATTCATTTAACTACTATTTTTTAAAGTGAAAATTAACAAGTAAAAATAAAATCAATACATAATACTCCACTACAGAACTATTAGCTTTAATTTATTGATATGATTTTATAATACATATATTAAAATTTGAAATGTGGCTGGTCATTTTGATAATAGGAGTATGATATTTTAAATATTACTGTTTGGATGACATTTAGCAACTTTTAGTAATTTATCATTGTTCCAATATGTTCCCTTATTATTGCAATTACAAAAAATTTTGTTCGAGACTTGCATTTATACATACAAGTCATTACATATCAAAAAAGAACATTTCAAAATAATCGATGTTTTTTATAAAAGGTAAAGTTGTTTTAATTTGTTTGTCAAGTTATTACTATTCAGATGGAGAGGGCAGCGGGGCTGCGATGAAGGACAAGAAGGCGGTCAAGAAGAAAGTCGCCTTCAAAACAAAGTCGGAAGTCGAAGTACTCAACGACGGATTCAAATGGCGAAAATACGGCAAGAAAAAGGTCAAGAATAGCCCGAATCCGAGAAACTACTACCGGTGCTCGGTCGAGGGATGCCCCGTCAAGAAACGAGTCGAAAGGGACAAAGAAGATCCGCGCTACGTGGTCACAACCTACGAAGGCATCCACAACCACGCCGGTCCGATCTAGTCAAGATCAGATCGAACTATTCACCAAAATTTTTATTTAAATAGTATTTGTATAATATGTGTGCAAGCTCAAAAGATCGATGAATTAGAGAGTGAATGCGCCTAGTTTGTTTTATGCCTTGTTCTTGTTCTCGTCCCCTGTTTTGGAGTTGCCATTGCTGTCGAAGAATAGTTTGTTACAATTACTTTCTTCTATCGATCAAAAATGAATGACATGACGACAAATACGGTACAAAACTAAGTCTTGATCTTGATTTTCCGATGGGGCTTTAAATCGAGCACGACGACGCTGATATTATCTTTGCTGCCCTTTTGGAGTGCCCGGTTCGAAAGATACTCGGCTGCGGCTTTGGCTGCCGGATCGGGATCCTCCCCTCGACTCCTCCCCGACGGAGCCCCAACAGCGCCGTTGTTCTTGTGCCATAAAAGTATACGCTTTCGTGCCAAATCGCATACTTCTTCGTTCGTTAGGACATCCCACAAGCCGTCGCTAGCAAGAATTAGACAGTCGTCATCTTTTGCGCGGGGAACGATCATCACTTCCGGATCGGGGATGATCCACGGCTTTAGATACCTGTCGCCGATCGATCTCGACATTGCAAGAACTCCGAACACACGATGCCCGTTCCATTGGATCACCTTCCCTCCCGCGGCTTCAATCCTAGCATATTCATCCTCTCGATTCGGCTAAAAAACAGAGCAATGCGTTAAAATGTAGAACACGTACGACGATTCGAGCGATTTCGAGATTAAATCGACGAGAATTCGCACCTTATGATCCGTCGACAGTGCCACGGGTTGCTTTCCGCGACACAGCACGGCTCTTGAATCCCCGCAGTTAGCCACAATTATATGCGACGGACAAACGACGGTGACCACGGCAGTCGACCCAACGGTCTCCGGCGCGATCGAATTCGCGGTAACCTCGTCGTCGACCTTGACGAAACACTTCTCGAATGCAACCCTCCACAGCTCTTCGACGTCGCTACACTTCGACTTCTCGTCCCCCTCGATCTTTGCCAATTCTTCAACCAAAGCGACGTGCATACGCTCGCAGCAATAGTTCGCAACCTGAGAACCTCCATGGCCGTCGTACACTCCAAAAAAATGGATCGACCGGCCAGGCGCGCCGTTGAGCATCCATCCTGGAACTTCCGTGAATCGAGGTACGGCCACCACGGCATCCTCCATTTCCGGCCTCCGGCCGCAGAGCGACGTCATTCCCCATAACGGTACATAATCGACCTCAAAGATACTCCGGCCGGCTTTCGCATTAGCCGCCACCGCCTTATCCTTCGGCTGCATAACAACAATCGAAGACGACGATGACTTTCCGGCGCCACCACCGGCGGCATCATCTCCGGCAGCCATATTTCTCGAGCAAGAACTACTCAACTCTGTTTTCGAAAACAGAGCAACCTCGCCGGAAACACTCTTCTCGACCTCCAACAAGGCGGCGACGGATTCCAACCCCGACAATTCGTCGCCGCACAAACTACTCGTCGCCGACAGCGGATCGCCGGATGATCCATCGTCTTCGCTCTCGCGTATCACATTCCAATTATCACTCTTACTGCCGTAATCGAAACAAGAATCTGTCGAAACAACAGTCGAACAGCCATCGCCGCTGTCCGCCGGCGGCGGCAATGCGCTAAAGCCGGTGGGATCATCCATACAGTTGAAGCTCAAGAGACAAAAGCTCATACAAGTTCCCGATGACAACGACGATGATGAAAACGACGACGAAATTATTCGATTACCGAATGAGGAAGGCAATGGGAGCGTCGAGAGCATCTCCACCTTCAAATTGAATGACTAAATAGCGAAAGTTGCCTCGCCGGCCATCCAAAATCACTTGACCTGTCATTGTCGATAATCGATCATCACAAACATATTGGATTCGAGAATCATGGGTAAAATATCTGAACCTACAATTTGGGGGAAAATCAAAACCCTAAAAATGTCACAGGATGCACAGCAACAGCAAGAAAGCACACTTTTTAATTATTCATGGTTGAATCGCCGCGGGCAACTAAAAATAGAAATGCCTTGCCAGATCTGGCGACCCAAACAGCCATAAAAGAAAAGAGAAATTTACCCAAGAAAAACCATCAGTCATCATCATCATCATCAGCTGTGTAGAATACAGTGAAAGAAATTTTGAAGTTATTTATCTCAAAACCCTATTTAAGGACTTATTCCCTCGAGTCTTTTTCCCCATCAATAAAAAGCACAATCGAAGCAAATTAAAGAATGCAACAATCTCAGCCAAACAGTTCAAGAATCAAATCTGGGGGAAATCACTTTAATTAATTTTAATCGTGACTACTTACAGAATGACAAAAACAGCAGCATGAGAAAAGGAAGAACAAAGGGCTAAGAAAAGCTTTCAGCAATCACATGGAAACCCTGAAAAACAAAAGCCTGCTCTCTCTCTCTTCGTTATTTTTAACCACAAAAAAGTTTTTTTCTTTTTGAATTTTAAGGGGTGCCCTGGATCTGAGGGAAGTTATATGTCAACCCTTGTTCAAATCTTGAGGCAATATTTTTATAGCTTAGCTAGCTAAGGCTCTCACTGTTTAATTCAACCAATAATCAGTAGTCAACTCTATACCATCAAGAACGACGACAATAAACCAAATCTACAGCACAAATCCTTACTGTATTAACTCTTCCTATCTTTATCAAGAAACTGTAGAGCAGCAGTACACACTTGTTGAAAATCTGGTGAAAAATGGAGGAAGAAGAAGAGGGTGTTCTGAAATCAAGAACCCATTTAAAAAAACAAACAATTTCTTGGGGAAAGGGGGCTTTCTTGCTTGTTTTGTAATTATTGGCTTTGGCTTTTTGCCCAATACGTGGAACTGCAACAAAGTGCGTAGAAGAAACCAAAAGGGGACAAACCCTAAATAAAGTTACCCACAACAGAAAGGGACCAGTAAAAACCAAGTTCAATTAAATTTCGTATAAATAAGTATTTCCTGTTTTTCAAAACACGAAAAATAATGATTGTAAAATTTCAATATCATAAAAAATATTCCCCTTCTCATCGAAGAAAAAAAGATACTGCTGTGGAAATAATATAAATATATAAACATGGCAGGATATTATTATTCCTATATAAAGCATCTTCTGTCATTTCTGGGCTGCCAGAATCTTTTGATTCGCCACCTCATAAGCATCATCAGTTTAAGTGTCGATGAAATGAAAGTCTGTGTGTAACTATCATCGTCATCATCAAGATCAAGAATGGTCAAGATATTCAACATTGATAGGACTGATTGATTATGTGTGAGGAGTTTAATTTTCTTGGAAATCTAAAGACTTTGACATTGACTTGAGTTAGAAAACACTTGCTATTTCAATGCAGCTGCTTCTTCAATGCCCAAGACTTTTCTTTGCCAAAATTTTTCAAAATTTATCATTTAGATTTTGTACTATTTTTCAAATATGTATATATATATACTTTTTTTTTAATAAAAAATCTCATAAAATATTAATGTATTTATCTATTCTACTTACTATCAAAATATTTTATTATTTTACTTATTTATTCTTTATATTAAAATATTATTATTTTTTACCAACATAAATAAACGGATAAAATGTTATTTATGAATAATACAATAAAAAATAAACTTTGCATAAATATGGGGTAAATAGTATTTTCTTCAAAGTGGGAATTTTCATTGTCCTTTTCCAACTCCCACCCACTCACTCTGTCCATAATCAGTGAGTGCAAATTGAGTTGACCATGACTTGTCCAATTTATAATTTGGTTTGTAGTGGAAAGAAACAGGCCAATATAATACTCCACTAACAGCATTAAATTATATAAAAAAAATAAAATAAAAAATAAAATAAAATTAATAACTTGCATCACTTTTTGGACAGGTTACATAACCATTTAGTTTCGTATTTTCTCATCTAAGAGATCAAATAATTTTTAATTAAATATTTGTTATATTATTATTCAATTTACAACCAAGCAAGTCAAACTTTAGCCTGTTTGGCGGGTAGCATTTTTAACCGGCCCATTATCCTTGCGCATACGGTCCAGCCTGGACCGGCCCAAATATTACGCCTTTAATAGGCCCAATGAGTTGAATTTCCCCTTCCCCAAGCTATAGCATCAAACCTCTTATCAGTTAAACCCTCACGGTACGCCAGCTGTCTGCAATTCTTCCCACTGTATTCATGGCAACTACGACAGAACCCACGGCTCTAAAGAGAGAGGAACAAGAGGACGATGACAGCAAGCCATCGGCTGAGGATGAGGACACCGGTGCTCAGGTTGCTCCCATCGTCAAACTCCAAGAGGTTGCCGTAACCACCGGCGAGGAAAATGAAGATGTTCTGCTTGATTTGTGAGTATTATTGTGTTGTTTAGTCTTTATTAATGTGAATTTTATTTTATTTTGATGCGGTGGTTAGAGTATATAGACAAAGTTGATGTGATCAGATTCGAATTTGGAGTGAATTATTGTAGACGGGGGAAATTTCTGCTTGAGTTGATGGAATGATTTGATCTCGTAGATGAGAAATGGTTGTGTAACCTGTCCATTTCCATGATTTGTGCTTTGAATTTTCTATTTATACCTGATCAACTGCAGCTTGACCGTGGTTGTTTATTTTCTTATCGTAATGACATAGAGAATAATGCACAAGTGAAGTTATAGTTGTACTTCATGCTTTTGGGATGATTTATGCAAATGTGAAATTTCCTGTGATGATAGGAAATCAAAGTTGTATAGATTTGACAAGGAAGGCAACCAATGGAAGGAGAGGGGAGTCGGATCTGTGAAGCTTCTAAAGCACAAGGAGACCAACAAAGTTAGGCTTGTAATGAGGCAGAACAAGACACTGAAGATCTGTGCCAATCATCTAGGTCAGACCTGTGTTTTTCGACTTATTTGTGACTTTGTGTCATTTTATCATTTGGTATTATTTCTGGATTATGGATAAATTTGTCCTGTTATTCTTAAATTTTGTCCGTAAATCCATTGTACATGATAATTAGGTGATGTTTGTGGCTGAGATCTGAGTCATTCTTGATAATGCAGTGTTGCCAACAATGTCTGTGCAAGAGCATCAAGGGAATGAAAAGTCGTGTGTGTGGCATGCCACTGATTTTGCAGATGGAGAACTAAAGGAGGAGCTTTTTTGTATCCGGTTTTCTTCTGTTGACAGTGAGTCGATTCTATCTATTACTAATATCTTATATGCCAATGCAGAATTATTTTATAGAAGCAAAACCTACTTGAATGGATGATGTCTGTTACTAGTTGCATGTTACTTAAATGTAATTTGATCTTGATGCATATATTGTTATATTCCATTCTGTTTCATTCATCGTGTTCAATCATAATGGGTTTCTTGTTTATCAGCCGCAGCTTTATAGTCATTATTTTTACTATGAGGCTTCATTTCCAAATGCATAGTTCCTAGTAGTACTGTAGTTCGATTTTGTAGCATTGTATTTTTTATGAAGAATTAGATGATGGGGATTTGAAGGGTTTTAGATTTCATGGAAGAGTTATTAGTGCTCTAATGTGATTGTTTCTAGTGTCGTCTATTGAGAATGCCAATAATTTTCCTTAACAAATACTTAAAAATGTATATGATGCTGTGACATGTTTTAACTCGACTAATAGGTTCTGGATCATGGTAGTAGTGCTCTGTTTGGTAAATAAATTGAGAAAACTTCTAAAATGGTGTGTGAATTTTGATGGCTTAATGCCCTTGTTTTGTAAGAATCTTAACGGAACGACCTTACCATCACACTTTCAATCGGTACGATTCATATAAGCCAGCTGGGGAAATTGAAATGTTTATTTGGGTTAGTGTAAAAATATTTTGCATAGAGCAATGTTGGTGGGATACTATATTTCCATGTTTCATGTCTTTATAGTGCTTTAATAGGCACCCATGTTGATGTAATGAATTTTTCATTTACATTTCAGATTGCAAAACTTTCAAGGATAAGATTGAAGAAATCACTGAATCTCAAGCAAAGGATGGAGAAGAGAGTGAAGAGGGAACCACCGCTGCTAGTCTAATTGAACAATTGAGCGTCAATGGAAAACAAAAGGAGGAAGATAACCCCGATGCCAAAGGTAAAGATCCACCTTCATCCGCAGAAGAGAAAAAGGACGAAAACTAATTACTAGTAAAACTTACTGCGGAGAAGGTTGCCTTTGGTATTCTTTTGCCTACATTTCTCGGGGGAGTTATAATGGTGAATCTACCCATTGTGAGGTATATTTTATAAACATTATAGAAACATGGATTACGGTGTTTGCCTTGTGGGGTGTGGATTACCTTAAGCTTTTATGTTATATACATGTGAATGGATTTGTACACATTGTCTGTTCTGAACTAACACTTAGGTGCATTGTGTTTGATTTAAAATCATGATTCATGCATGCACGCTTTCTTCTCATGTGAGTATATCTAATCTTATTACGAAAACACTAGAGTTTGTCCAAGCAGTTATGAATAATCTTTAGCATATAACCCAACATAGAATTTTGAAGAATTGGACAAGGGATTGTACCTGATAAAGGCTGTCTGAAGTTTACTATCATTGTGTTCCATAATGATCTTGTTCTTATTGATCTTTGCTGACTCTTTTCTTGATCTTTAACCGCATCTCCAAAACTTAGTAGGCAAACTGGATATGAGCCTGTTTATTGAGATAAGACGCTAAATTTGGGAAGCACCCGTTCACGTAGATGTCTCAAGAACCTTAGTAGACATCAAAACACAGAATTAGGTTAGCAATGTCTATAAATACATCTCATAAGGACACATCGAGGAAAACAATAAACCTGATGGGTATGTTACATAATGATCATCTTGCTGTCGATCTACTTTGTATCTTTCTGATCAAGTATTGCTCCAACCCAGCGCCTATGTCTACTATTTTTGTTTCGGGTTTTATCTCCACCTCCAAAACCCGCTTTAAAGCATTGTCCATTGCTTCAGTAGAATCTGCCTCGCATATCCTAGGTAAAACCTCAACCCATGTGTCGGCGTGAGGACAAATTCCAACCCTCAATGTCTCAACCAACACTTCACCCGCATCCTTTGTGTTGCCGATGTTACAAAAGCCTTTAACTAGATGATGAACAATCGAGTAATGAGGAGAAAATCCTTTCGACATCATTAATTTGATATAAGTCCTTGCCTCCCCGTACATCCCCTGATTGCATAATCCCCCGACTATGTTCTGATACGACACCAAATTTGGCATACACCCATTCGCCAGCATGTCCTCTAGAATCTTACAAGCATCCGCAGCTCGGCCTGCTTTACAATACCCCAAAATGACAGTATTGTAGTGGACAATGTCGGGATTGCACCCCTTCACTTTCATTCGACACAGAAGCTTGTACGCCTCCTTAAGCTTCTTCTTCCTACACAAACTGTTCAACAGAGTTGTGTAGCTTAATGTGTCTGGAACAAACCCTTTGTTCAGCATATCCTCGAGTAAATCAACAGCCGTGTTCACCTGACTCTTCCGACACAATCCCTGCATCAGAATCCTGTACGATTCAACGTTAGGAAGAAGATCCCGCTTAAACATTTGATTGAACAAAGAGTATGCAATGCTCAAGTCATCATTCAAACAAAAAGCTCTCATCATAATGTTGTAGGACTTCGTGTCGGGGTTGACTCCATATTTATGAGCAGATCTGAAGAGATCAAATGCAGGACGGATGAACTTGCGCTCGTCAACTAGGATCTCGAGGATGCAGTTGAGTTGCTTCGTACGAGGCTTCATGTTGAATTCAAGAATCGTGTAGAAAGTCCTGAGAGCTTTATCATGCATTTTTGCATCGCCGTATATGCGGATTATGTGAGTGAACAAAGATGGAGAAACAGAGAAGTTATGGAGCTTGAGGCTGGATAACACGGCTTGCATCAACGAGAAGTGGTGACTACGGCCTAGTTTGAGTATAAGGGTGTAGAAGGTAGAATACGAATGCTGGAAATTAGGCTGTCGGGATGCCAAATCGAAGATTTCTTTAGCTAGGAGTGAATCTGATTGGGAGGCTATCAATTTTTGGATACGAGCTGGAGAACCGATAGAAGGCTTTCCTTTCTCCTTTAGTTCTCGGTCATTTCGCCTGCGATGTTCCTCTGGTTCTTCGCCTTTGTGACAATCAAAGCTATTTACCTTAGTATAGACATTTCCGGAGGCCTTCTCCTGGCTGAGGAATTTTCCACTAGTTGATAGCCTGCGGATGTATCTGCCAGAAATTCTCACTGCCATAGAGACACGAGACTTTCCTGTCGACAACATTAATTCATGTCAAATTACAGAGAATTTCAATAGATATAAACAACTTAGTAGCTAAGCTCCCCAATCAGTCAAGATCATTGATTAAAATTGTACCAGTTGAGCATACTACATGATCTAAAAGTTCACAACAGTCTTCATTTAGTTCTCAAATTAACAAAGAGCAAGAACATATTCATGTTGTTCAACATATGAACAAAAACACTTCAGCAGTGAAAACATCTTGACTGCATTATCTCATAAGTTTGTCATTTGAAGATTCATTTGAAAGCACCACTCGGTAGAGCTGTAAACAACAAAGATAAACAAACTCAACACCCCATCAATGATTGTCTGTAATAAGAAGGGCACATCAAGGATAGTCTGTAAACAGGGCTGTTCAAGTTCCATGTGTTTATGCAAGAAAGCCAATTAGGTGTTCGAATCACGTCTGTTAATGAACACTCAATATCCCTTTGCTTAGCTTCAATGATCACAGTCTCATTCATATCTAAGCAACAAAAAGGCTTTCGTTTTCCATCACTTTCAACATGAATGAAAATTTTGAATACTAATTCAAACAGAAAATTTTGAGGAGGATAATGCACAACAGAACTCAGAATCAATCAGAATTAAAATTGACAACACAGCAAGATAAAAAAAATAACTGGAGGTTAATTTGAACTCTACAGCCTCAGGTGAATTCACAACTAAGCACGGCTCATGAGATCCAAGCCAAATTCACTCAATGAATGCATATCTTTGCTAACAGTGCCAGAGTAATTTGTAACAAAAATAAAGGCTAGAGAAAAGATGACAGGAACCGGAAAAAAAATGCTTGAGCGAGAAAAAATAAAGGAAACATACTTCGCCGGCGATGGTCGCCGTCCGGTGAACATGGAGAAGAACGAGCGCGACGCCGCGAGACGATACTATTTGGGAACGATGATTTGATTATTTTCTAAGGAGGGCAACGGGTGGGTTGAGAAGGATCCGGGTACGGGTCCACACCGAAAACTTCCGGATCCAGGATCCGACCCGATTTACTATTCGCGTAGATTTCACGCGATCCAATTGAATTATAAAAACAGTAAAGCGACAGCGAGCGAGCAGGTCACCGTAAAAGCCTACCACTTCCGCCGGGCACTTCAACACCGCCGTCGCCATGTCGTATCTGCTTCCGCATCTTCATTCTGGATGGGCCGTCGATCAGGCAATCCTTGCCGAGGAGGAGCGCCTCGTCATCATCCGTTTCGGTCATGATTGGGATGAAACCTGTATGCAGGTAGGTCAATTGATTTTTTGTGTTCCTGTTATTTTTCCGAATCAGTTCTCGTTTATAAGTTGATTTATGAATGTTTTGGAACGCTCTAGTTTCTTAAGATTTTCATTCTTTGGCGTTTCATATATGTTATTTGGCAATTTAGTTACCCTGAATTAGGGTTTCGTCAAGCGAGTGATATTATTCAAGGAGTTCGTTTTTTCGGGTTCCGTTTTGCCTTTTCTTTCTTTCTTTCTTTTTTTTTTTTTTTTTTTTTTTTTTTTTTTTTAAAGATTTGGTTATCCGAAGCAATTATAGGTTTGTTACGATCAAGAACTCGAATTTTTCTATGTCAAGAATGGATTGACGAATAAATTTTGAACTACTGAGGCTGATGAATTAGAATATGCTTTTACTCTGAATAATCTTGAGAATGAATACATTCAAGTATTGATCATCTTGCCACTTGATATGAATTGATTATATTTTTTAACGGTTGTATACTTATTTCTTGAATCTGGAGGTACCCTTTGTCACTGTATTATCTAGCAATGGGTTCTGATTCAGATTTGTCTCGAAGCATCAGTGTTTATTTTTCATTTGATCGTTCCGGAGATTGAATCATGTCTAGCCATTTGTTATGTAAGATCTTGTGTTTATCCGGTGATGATTTGTTGTACTTACCTTTAAATCAGCTTACCTATGATTTGTTCCTCCGGAAAATGTCTGATATCTTACCCCCATCGAAATATGTAATCATGATCAGCGAAATTCTGATTTGTTATTTGAATTGTTTCTCCTCTGAATGTGGAATATCTTTCTCTATATAAACATGTAATTATGATCAGCCATGTTTTTTTGAATGTTCAGATGGATGAGGTGTTGGCTTCTGTTGCCGAAACAATTAAGAACTTTGCTGTAATATACTTGGTGGACATCACAGAGGTGCCTGATTTCAACACCATGTACGAGCTATACGATCCATCCACGGTCATGTTCTTCTTCAGAAACAAGCACATTATGATCGATTTGGGCACTGGAAACAACAACAAGATCAACTGGGCCATGAAAGACAAACAAGAGTTCATCGACATTGTTGAGACTGTGTATCGTGGTGCAAGGAAGGGACGTGGTCTGGTCATTGCCCCGAAAGATTACTCTACCAAATACCGCTACTGAGTTTATACACTTGTCCGCACTGATGTTGAGTCGATTGCGTTTGCATTTCAATATATGTAAACCAATTTGCAGGTAACTTTGAACTTGCAATCTGTGAGATACATTAAGCATTTGATACATCTTTCCATATATATATAAGCTGCTGAATTACGTACATATGTGATTGAATAGTGTGTTCTAATGGTATCTCAGCAAAATCTTATATAGAGAATCAGATCTTAAACCATAATTGATAATTCAATACACTTATTACATTACCTTGAACAAATATAATTAAAATCCGTAATCGTTATTCGAAAGTACGTGTTGGATAAATCTCTGATTGAATTTAATACTCTGCAAATTATGGCTGAAACTAATATCCTGCAATTGCAAGTCCGACAAAACAAATAACGAATCATATATAACATGCAACGTAAAAGCATTAAAAGTTTGAACAGATGATCTCACGGTCACGAGTTCACTCCCACATCACCCGGCGTCAGGGGATTTGAACACATGACCTCAATGCTTTAAAAAATAAGAAATCTATGTCTGCAGATTAGGAGCAATTTTGTCGATTCTTTATTGCTTTGTTATGCATCTTAAGTTTTTTTCAAAAAAATGATCAACTATGAGAAAGGATCTATGTTTTGAAACTATAATGAACTGAACAAGAAACCAAATAAGTGTTGGTAAATAATAGAAGAAATTCTAATGCTCTCATTCATGCATTCATTCCCCTGAAGGGGAGATGTAGTTTTAAGAGAGCGAGCCGAGCGTGGCGCATCAATACATGTTCGACCCGAAACTGCCACAAGAGAAAGCGAGTGTCATCTCGCCAACCTGGGCAGCCAGGTGCGATACATACAGCCTTGCGCGCACCCCATGCTCTAAATTCTTCGGAGTCTCATACACGAACAAACACACACACACACTTCTCTAGTTTAAAACCATAATAGAGCTCGGTCTGGCGCAATCCAACTGTCTGTACACTTAAAAATGATGGTTCTGCTTCTGCACAAGAAACAGGCAGCAGCCATCTCCATCCATCTCTACTAAATAGGGAGGGGAGGGGAGGGGGGCGCCAAGCCTACAAATATACAGGCGTACGCCACCACCCTCAACTGCAATTTTGTAATATTATGGGGACATCACGTCCTCCATTGAGGTCATCATTCGCACATCTGTGTCCTCTGCCGTTGTTCCCTTTCTCCCTTGGATTCCCAATGTGTCACCTGACATATGGCGATGTTATTAACATTGTTATTGTGCAAAGTCCACACAACAAAGTACTGCATGTTTGCAAGTGTTCTGTTTGTAGTTCATTACCAAATATTGAGTCGATTGAAGGCCGGCTTGGCGAAGTGCTCCTTGTATGATCTGCAGAGTTAAAAAGATCAACATGGATTGTTCTGTTCTAACTTCAACCAACTCTAGAAATCAAAATTCTATCACGCCCAGCATTGGAGATACAAGTATATAATTCACGTTGTTAAATGCAGTTTTGTTTTCTCTAAATTATTCTAAGAGGGACGGAGAGGTTCCCGTTGGTTGGGACGCAATAAAGAAATCATAGTATGGATCAGCCACTTACAAAGTTATTGCCAAATATACTATCAAACCATGTAATTGTGCAGATTCAATACAACGATGACTAGTTACATATTCGGAAAATCAAAAGCCAGTTCATGAATCATGACACCCTGGTCGTACTGATTGTAGTTTAATAAGTTATTCAACTGTAATAGAGCATATCTCAAGTTGGTCGTGTTCCAATACTATTTCAAATGTGAAAGTTGACAAAAGTGTATAAATCTCATCAGGATGGGTTGATGAGGTAGTTTTTGACTGAAGGACGAATGGAGCTTTTTGGTGTCATGGACATTTTCTATATAAACAGATTCATTTGCAAGAAAGGGACACAACAAAATATAAAATGTTGCTATAAGGTATATATCATAAAAATATACATCAAGTGAGCATATATTTGTAGGAAAAGCGACCAGGTCTACATGCATGAATAAAAAGTGTCGGGTACCTGATGACATGCGCAGTGCCTTGACAGCATCAAAGTTCTTGTAAGTATAACCCACAAAACTCAAATCCTTTGGAGTGAGGTGGATCTGTATAATATGAAGATTGCATTGGGTATTTATAGAACAAACAAGTAAAATGAATATAACACAATTTTTGCAACTTCGATCATTGTTCTTAGATGTTTGAAACATGAAATAGCAAGGTAAACCTTTCGTGAGGGTCCTGAACCAGATCTTGCGGGAGTTGGGGGATTCATCTGTTCAAGCATGAATAATTAGTTGCATAAAAAAGGCTTCTTCAACAAGCAACACCAGAAATGTCTAGGAAATGTATGATATAAAAGATTCCAAAGAAAAATAGAATATAATGAAATGCCAAAAGCATGGAGATGAAAGTTTACTTCATCAAACTTCATAAAATTTTGAGTATCCAGCTCTCCATTAACCTCTGGTTTAAAGGCTGCTTCCATCTCATACAGTTTATCCCACTCAATACCCGCAAACCAAGGATGGGCCTGCACAAATCCAGATATTAACGGAGAGTGAAAAACAGAGCAAATGAAACTGCTTTATTAACAAATTTTACCTTTATCTGGGCAGCTCCACCAGTTCCAAGCCTGTGTTCTACATCACATAGTAACTTGTATATCAGGTCTTTAGCCTCAAGACTTAGTTTGGAGTCTTCGGGAAATCTTAGGTGATTTCGCCAATGAACAATCTGACAATCATTATTGAACTATATCAGGTATGTATACAAATCTATGAATTTAAAGCCATCTCTAATATGCAAATTGGACCATCAAAACGATCTCCATTGTAACGATGTTCAAATTCTTGAAAACTGAGTTGTTGTCACCCTACTGAGTTGAGAAGAGATATTTGAGAATATTGCTCTTTCAACTCAAGGAAGTATGGCACATGCTTATATCTAAGTGTATTTTGTTCATTCACATAATAAGAAACCTACATTTCTCGAATGAATGGAGGCAAAAGAAAGTGATAAACCATTATAAGAAGGTACTAACAAAAAAACAGTTAGAGATACAGCTAGAGAAAGTTGGAGAAGAACATTGATTATTATTTCACAGTAGCCACACCGTCCAGTCACTGATAATTGACTGGTGTATCATATTTCACACATTTTTCCATCGGCTAAAGTTACGCATCAGAATAGCACAGCCAGGTCATTTAATGAGAAAGTAAATAGGTCACGTAAAATAATGGCTTGCATCTTTTAAAATTTGTTTACTAATTTTAGGGTAACTCAGTATGGTTAGTGTTGGAAGAGTGAGACAATTAATAAATACAAAATAATGCATCACCCTATCAAGTTAACCTTTTAGATAGGATGATCATTTAATATGGTATCAATGTGCAAAGAGATCTCGTGTTCAAATACCATTAGCTCATTATTGGAATGGTCAGAGGTGTAACAAACCAGCTAGTATGTGGCACTATAACTCACATAAATTAAATGAAAGATACAAATTACAATATACCCACAAAAGTAGGCAATTACAAGGGAATGTACCTTCCTGCAAGTGGTCATAGGATCATCAGAATAAAAGGGCGGGTAACCAACAAGCATTTCATACATGATTGCGCCCAGTGACCACCTACATATTGACAAGAGACATACATCGGACCAATTTTTACTTCATTTCAATAATGTGTAAGCTGTTCTAAATGTTTCAACACTAAGCATTTGGAAATCAGATCCAAACAAAGCAAGATTTAACATAAACACCAATTGAGTGGCATGATAGGCATGAATAATGAAAAAGATAAATGTAATAAAGAGATCGGTGGGTGTTAGAACATGAACTAACCAATCACACTCCATGCCATATCCCTTCTTCAACAGCACTTCTGGAGCAATATAGTCAGGAGTACCAACAGTTGAAAATGCCTAGAACATGCATGTGAAGTGATTAAAGTATGTAATAGTAAGATGGTGTAAACCAGCAGGTAAGGAATTAAACAAAGGTGCTCATAATTGTTTATTGCATTTGACCTTAAGTCATGCCCATAAAAGGTTAGACAACTGGTATTCTGTTAACACTAGCTTTATTCTCCACATCGAATTGTTCAGAACATTAGGGATACTTGACACGGTTTTCCTTTATCTTTACAATTTAATCGCTCATATCGTATATAACATTTTAAATTATGTTCCTATTATCTAAAGACAATGGCTATCAAACCTCCTTGCGCGATGATGCATCCTAATTTATATATAGTAAGAAGCATAGATAGCAATAAAGCCAGAAAGACTCTTGTTTACTGCGAAACTATATCAATTATATGGACAAACCCCAAACCCCAGTGATTGTTGAGAAAATGGAAAATTCCAAAATTGCATCTATCATCACTTACCAACTTTCTCCTATTCATCTGCCAATGCTGAAGCTGTTCCTGAGGACTTCTCCAATTGCTTCCATTTGGAGCAGCAGGAAAGCGGCTGTCAATATCCATAGGTTCTCTTATGTTCTCATCATCCATTGCCTCATTTTCATCTACTGTTGATAAAGTTCTACAATCAAGTGGCTTGCAAAGGCCAAAATCTGAGAGCTTCATATGTCCATTCTTATCAAGAAGAAGGTTGTCTGGTTTTATATCCCTAGAGAAAATAGGGGAAGCCAACAAGTTATATAAGATAATCTTTTACAGAAATAATCTAATTCTAGGTAACATCAGATATTCAAATTCAACTATATTTCAAGAAATAGAGTATATGCACCTGTGAATATAATTATGTTTGTGGATCGACTCAATGGCTAGTACACTCTGAGCAATATAAAATTTGGCCACATTTTCAGAAAGTGTATCCTCTCTCATCAGAAGAGTCATCATATCACCACCAGGAAGATATTCCATGATCAGATACAAATATTCAGTATCTTGAAAAGAGTAGTACAATTTTACTATGCAGTGGCAGGCCACTTCTGCTAACAGGTTCCTTTCTGCTCTCACATGTTCCACCTACGGAAAGAACATTTGTTTAGATACAAACATTTGATACATGAGCTCTTCCCAGAAGTTGTATAATAAGGAAATTGATGCAAGTTATGCAACTCTCTTAGAGACTTATAAATGTGTTGATATTTTGAAAACAGCAGTAACATTTGTCCCTAGTAGTCATAATTGGATAAGGCAGTTAAAAGAAGAAATGCAATGAAGATGTAGGTCACTCACTACACCATCTCCATTGGCGAGATAAACATACACACAATCACACATACATATATGTAATAAATTTGAAATGAGATGATCAAACAAGACCTAGAATGTATCAGATATCGCATATCGGAAGCCACATTTGATAAAAACTACATGTAAATTCTGCTCAGAAATTCATCAGCATAATATTCATACTTTAAGTAACAACTAGAGAGCAACACCAACCAAAGTGCATAAAGCATTATCTTTGAGAAAACAACTTCAGATCTTGATGAAGTTTTACATGCTAAGATTTAATATGCCTACCTGTCCCCTTGAAACCATTTCAGATTTCTTTAACTTCTTCATGGCATAAATATTGCCAGATTTTTTCTCCCGACACAATCGCACCTGCACGGTCAATCTCAACGATAAAAGATGGCGACAAAAACAGTTACAGGTAAAGCGACAAAAATAGTTATAGATAAAGTGACAAAAACACGTGTACATCAAAGTCAGCTGATTACAACAATAATTATTTATTTATGACGTATTTGGGGTGGGGGTGGGGGTCGGCAGGCATAGGGGCCCTGTTGCAATCATATTGTGTCATTTATAGTATGTCATAAAAAGCAGTATTTTTTATGATTGTAGTTTTGCAACAAACAAGCTGAAATAACAATGATACACTTGCAAACATACAACGAACCTCGCCAAAGGCTCCACGCCCAATGATGGTAAGAAGCTCAAAATCATCCACACATATCTTGTTCCTTCGGAGCCTCATAAACTCAGTCTCTTTTCTTTCTAGATCTTTTATTAGATTTATCTGTTCCTCTTTGGGCACATCTGAAGATGCCAACTTCCTTTCTAGTACCCACCGCCTGAATGGAATCAAAATAATAATCTCATACTTCAGTTTAATAGAATTGTCGGCGGCAGTTGAAGGGCAATTTAAACCGACTAGTCTCCGAAAAAAGTCATTATTAAATGCTAGCATTGAATTATAACAACTTATAGCTTTGAATACATCCAACAAAAATAGAAACACATATTTTGCTATGAGAAGATAAAAAAACAACATGAACATTGTACAGTTCGTGAAGATTCAGCATTCAGGAAACAAGCATTTGAACTTATTCTTCCAGGCAGGAGTTCGATTTGCCCAACTACCAGTCACAATTATTCACAAACGTCGTGAAAATTCAATTCCCTCTATCAAAATTGTTCTGAGATTTGGAAATCAGTGGAGAGTTTCAGCAAATTAAAATTCAATCGTATCAACATATCGCAATCAACGAAATCACATCAATAGAAAGCCACACAAGCTCACGTATATCCGCTTCCTACAACTAACTCAATTCCGAGTAATCAGGCGTAGTCTTAATTGACTTTCAAAACCTAAAACCACACCACAAAGAAAGCCAAAACAAACGAAGCAGATTACAAACAAAACACTGGATCTCACAATCCACTAGCTTAAATCGCCACACAAACGAATTAATTCAGCGCCGCTACACTGCATTCCTAAGTGGAGAAAAAGGGCAGCCTACAGTGCAGACACATGGCTGGGCCATTTTTATATTATAATCTGTATCAGTATACCTTTCTTTCCGCTCCTGAATACTTTTCATCTGATTTTTGTAGTGATTTTCGATGAACTGCTTCGCAGCAGCGACTTTCTCCATCGTCAAAGTCGAGCCGAGAACTTCTTCTTCCCCGTTGTTATTGTTCTCCTCCTCCTCCATTCTCGCCTCCGCTCTTTCTCTCTCTCTATCTCTCTCTAGATTTCCGCTAAATTTTGTGTCTCTTTTTCTCACTCTAAAACCTGGCGTCCCCATACATACATACATTTATATATACATGTGTAAGTGAGTGTGCTTCAACATTTCCGTTGACAGCTCCAGGGACTAATGATCCTGAGATCACTGTACCCGACAAAATTAGATGGGGCCGACGTAATCGACGGTCTAGAAGTTTCTGAGACTTCAAGACCATGGAGCTTTTAAGAATTTTCATCGTTTGGTCATTAATATTCCTCCGAGGCCCGTTTGCCTCGGTGTCGTTTAATAGGCTGGATCTGCTACTATGCCCCCATGTGGACCACAATGCAGTGAGTACTTGTACGTTGTGACTAATGTGCGAAAGTACAATCTATTGGAGCTAGGTGTCCATTGGGAACCGGGACCAGCTGAAAAGGTTAGGATCTGGTGCGTGCGAGTCCGCCCGACTTGCCAGCTGGCATTTTGTAATTTTTAAAATTTCCTTTAATTAAATTGGTAGTATAGTAACAGCGTCAGCGATTGGTAATTATTAATTTAATTAATTTTGTTATTTGACTGCCAAAATTTCTAATTTGAAATTTTTGCTGTGTAAATTCAATGGGATCTTCTTCTTTTTTTTTATATATATTTCAATAATAAAATTTCCTTTTAGTTCTTTTCCAATTTTATATTTGATGTTTTTAAAATAATAATAATAATTGAAGGTAAATTTTATATATGAATTAAATGAAAATGAAATTAATGTTTTTATACAAGTGAGAACCTAATAGTCTAAATGAAACTATGAAAGTAATGTTCCACCAAAACATAAGTTAAAAGTTGAAATGAAAATTTTTAATTCACAGTAATAGTTTAGAAAAAAAACCTCCAACTTTTATTGATAATTTTAAACTTATTATCTAATTGTAAATGAATTTGACTTAAGTGAAATTCTATGTTCTTTTACATTACCTTTCAAATTTTGCAATTTCATATATTATTATTAATTATTATTATTATAAATGTTTATTATTAGTTGTTGAATTGGAAATATGTTATTGAAATATTTATTTTATTAATTTTAAATATTTTTTAGGGAAAATAATTTTAATTTTCTTTATTAAAAATGATGTGTAATATATTGTGCTGTTTTTTCAAAGAATAGACAACTCCAAAAGCCTTATAGATAAATAAAATGTCTATTTGTTTAGTGCTTTAATGTTAGTTAATTTTTTGATATAAAGTATAAAAAATTATGTTAATATTATTGTATTTAAATATTAACTTTTTTCTTGAAATATTATAATAAATTTTATTTATATTAAATGTTTTTATGAATACTCGTAAACAATTATTGAATGTAAGGAACTCGAAATTTATTAATAGATAAGTTTTGCTATTGCATCAACTATTTACTCATCAATTATTAGTACTATTATTATTTACTTCATTTGAATTTTTTAATCAGCAATAAAAATTATGTTCATACTGAATATTCAGTTTGTACTATTCAATCATAGACTCTTATAAGTATTATTTTTTTAAAAATTATTTTTATTTCAACAACCAATGGTTGGAACTAATTAAGATCTCTTAAATTATCTTCCATCAATTCACATGCCATTGTTGCTCCTATTATGTATCATGCTTTTTCCCAATTAAGTTATTCTTCCATCCAATGATTCCAACTAATCAAAAGATATCAAATCCAAAATTATATATTTTATATTTTCGACGCAATTCTACTCACAGAAAAATTATTCATTTAAAAATAAATATTGTATAAACAAAGTTAAGGTGTTATTTATTTATTATTATTTTTTTAAGTCTGAATAAATCTAAATAATTCATTACACCTATCACAACACAGTCTAAAGATCTCTTTACATATATTTTCCAATCCGCCATTATTAATTTATCACACATATATATTTTTTCATTTAAAAATATTATATAAAAACTTATTTAAGTACAAATCACCACATAGAAACTCATTTACATTGCGTTAAATATCATTATTTAACTTTCTATTATTTACAAAATTCCATTGGCTAAGTTGTTACATCCAAACAAAACACCATTCTTGTTCCGTAAGATGGTGACGTGGGGAGTGAACTTGTGACCGTGAGATCATGAGTTCAAACCCCACGCCTCCAAGTCCACTTGCTGCACATGATTAGTTTGTATTGTCGGACATAATTTGCAGGATATTAGGTTCAACAAATGAATCCAAATACAACAATGGACAAACTTAGAGTGTGTTCTCTGAGTGTTTTAAGATAACACAAACATATCCCAACAAAAATATCTAAAACTATAACTTGTAAACCAAAACAGTCTTTATTCTTTACTTATTGGGATTAGAGAGGCAAAAGGGTGATTCGAAAGTCATCCTCTTCTCTCAAGAAAGGCACTCAGAGACAGAGACAACATTCATCATTAAGTGCATCCATGTAGCAGCATTAGTATTTAGCAGTACTTGGATTGTGTCCACAGAAAAGCATCATCAAGATATCAAAATATAAACTTTGTAAAACCACACTCAAGAACAAGAAATGCCAACAAAATTTCTTGCTTCATTAAACCAACACAAACTTTAAGTCAAAATCTGGAAACCAATTTGTGTTCATGACACTGACTCAAGGCTCACAAACTGTTCTTTTCATAAAACTGCATTAATTCCTCACATTCCCAATCCAACATCAATATATGAAATTGATGTTAAGTTCCAGTGGATTTGTGGAATTTGGATGTGTGTAAATCAAGATTCTTTCTGTACTTTTCATATATATACATATATGCATGTATGTATGTGTGTGTATTGTATATGTAATGCTGTAAATTAAAGCCCTGCCTCACCAATGGCTCCAGGTTCTTCCATGGCTACGACAAAATTTACAATTGTGCTGATAATCCTGCTTGCAGCTGAATCCGACGCCCAAAAAGGACTGCTTTGCATTAGCGACTGTCAGACATGCCCCGTTATCTGCTCTCCACCGCCGGCCGGCGACCACCAGCCGCCGCAGTCACCATTAGTCTCTCCACCGACTCCTCAACTGCCTCCACCGACATCGCGTGTTCCTCCACCAGCTCCGCCGCCGTCTGACGATTCAGAGGCTCGTCCTCCTCCACCACCACCACCGCCGACGCCGACGCCTCCTCCTCCTAGAATCTATGTTATCAGTCCGCCAGATACGTCGCCGGTTCCCGCGGGGCACCGGAATTATCCCTATCCTTATTACTATTTCTACGCTTCCAAAGCTGCTGCGTTTGATTCTCCCCTTCGATTTGGATTTGTTCTTCTTGTATTGGTCGTGTTTCTTCACCTTCTGTATTGAATTCCATGGAGTTTCAGTTTCGTATGTATTGAAAATGTGAAATCGTTGATGAAGACGAACAATTTTTCGTCAGGATTTGTTTGAATGATCGACTGATCAGATTTTCAATTTATATGCCTGCTAATCGTGGAAGTTAAGGGGCCAAAATGTAATATTACAGATCTTACTGAAAATATCAAATCTGCCCCCTACAAGTATTTAAAATATAATTCGTGCCCAAACTGAGAAATCGTTTAAATTGGACAAAACCCGCAGCGCAGATCTGTAATAAAGATCGATCCAATTCTGAGCTCTCGGCAATGGCGTCACCGGAAGCTCCGGCGATGGACGATATGTCGAAGGAGATAACAAATCTTCTCCCACTGGCCTCCGCCGCGCAGCAGCCCTATGTCTCTGAGCTTCTCTCGTTCACTCTCGATCGCCTGCACAAGGTATTTGTATGCTGTTAGTTTTAGATTGTTTAGGTTCGCTTCTGTAGTTGGGATGACTGAAATGTTATGTTCCTTGTGTATGTTCTGTTAAGGAACCGGAATTGTTGAGAGTAGATGCCGAAAGAATCCGGCGGCAGATGCAGGAGGTAGCGGTCGGCAATTACCGCGCTTTCATCGCAGCGGCAGATGCGTTGCTTGAGATCCGACAGGAAGTTTCTTCAATCGACAAACATCTCGAGTCTCTGGTATTTTGCTTTTGTTAGCTCGCTTTTTCTGTATTTTTGTCTAATTTGATTTGATGTATCTTTGAACGTGCATTATCCTGTTGTGATATTTGTAATCAATATTGATTTGGAAGCTAATGCTTCAGAATCAGTTAATTAGAATGCATTTCTTTAGCTTAAGATTATTTGTAATTGTTAATGTGAAGGTTCGTTTGGCTCTGCCATGAGGCCAAATAATAATTGAATCTAGCAAGTTTGGTAGCAAACAAGGTTTTAGCCCTTCAATTTCATTGGATCGTTTTTGGACAATTTCAGTAAGGCTGTAGTCACTTTTAAGTAGTCATTATTTCCATATGTTTCTTGTTGAGCAATTTAAAGTACATGGTTCAGAATTCAGATTAGAAGATGATAACTTGGTATGATTAATTTGATAATATCTTCTACTGGTGTGTATGTACTTCTTTGCTTCATCTTAGTCCTATTAGAAAAATGAGACACCGGTTCATGTTTCTACTGCAGATTGCTGAGATTCCAAAGCTGACTTCTGGGTGTTCGGAATTTGTTGATTCAGCAAAACATATACTGGACAAAAGGAAGATGAATGAAACATTGCTGGCAAATCATAGTACTTTGCTAGACTTGCTTGAAATTCCTCATCTCATGGACACGTATATACTTCAAGCTTATTTGTGGACTTTCCTGTCACTGAACGTTATCTTTTAGATTTTCAATGTTTCTTGTAAGTGTAGAATTCCTTGTTTCCAACTGTTAATTGGATGCTGTATTGATACAGATGTGTTAGGAATGGAAACTATGATGAGGCTCTTGACTTGGAAGCCTATGTTGCAAAACTTAGTACAATGCACCCCAAGTGAGTAATTTATCAGCTGGACTTACTCTGTTTTATTAATTAATGTGATTACATCATTTATTAAGGAAACATTTTCATCCTGTTCTTTTTTTTTTTTTTTCTTTTTTTTTTTTGTTTCTTATCAAAAAAAAAAAAAAGAATTCCCGTGATCCAGGCTCTAGCTGCAGAAGTTCGAGAAACCACTCAATCTCTTCTTTCTCAACTTCTTCATAAACTCAGATCTAACATCCAGGTGCCATCTCTTACTATAGTTTAAGCATTTAGATTCTTTAGATTATAAGATCATTCATGTAGTATTCTGGATTCCATTGTGAATGGTTTGAAACTTTGCTTGTAGTTACCAGAATGCCTCCGCATCATAGGGTATTTACGGCGAATAGGAGTGTTCAGTGAGTATGAGTTACGTCTGCAGGTAACATCATTCAAAGTTTGTCATTTATGTGTTTCATTTGTCTTCTTGGTGGTTGTAGTTCATGTTGGTCAATTAATTTTCCATTCATATGTCTAGTTTTCAGTTCTAATCACAAATGTTTCTTCATTTTTCAGTTTCTAAGATGTCGTGAAGCCTGGCTTACTGGAATACTTGATGATTTAGATCAGAGGAATCCTTATGAATATTTGAAAGGGATGGTAAACTGTCACAGAATGCATCTTTTTGATGTTGTTAACCAGTATAGAGCCATATTTGCGGATGACACATCAGGAAGTGAAGAAAACTATGATGGTGGCCTTCTTTTTGATTGGGCAATGCATCAGATTACCTTGCACCTGAAGATGCTTAAAGTCATGCTTCCTAAGATAAGTGAGGGAGGATCATTGTCAAATATTCTGGATCAATGCATGGTGAGAGTTATTCTTTTTATTTTTAGTCGCTCACAATATCTGCTACTGTATCCCACCCCACTCCACCCCACCAAAACAAAAAGATCAAAAGAAAGAAAAACAGAGGATTAAATATAATTATGGAAGAAATGGTGTATTAAAGCATAAAATTAGCAAGCTGAAAGTATAGACAAAGAATTTGTGGTATGTAGGTTCCTTCATCGATCTTTTGAAATTTCATTCTAGAGATGTCATGCCAGCATCATTTGTTGCATTGGTTGGTGTAATAGAGAATATCTAGTCCTCCCGATGCTTTTTCTTCCCTGTTTGGAGAAATTTGCAGTAGTTAAAATTGATTCAAAAACAAAAGTGTAACTGCTTTGACCTTTATAATGGTAGAAAAGTGCCATCCTCTTCATGCTCCAATTTCAGGACTAGAAGGAGTTTTTTACTCAAACGGAATGTTCTTTAGGTGAAATGAGTGGATCTGCAAATAATTTTATTTTTTTCCTACCTTGGTGGTCTTTCTCTTACTGTCAGCATTATAATTTTGCTTATTCTAATGCTGCTCTACTTTTATGTCTAATAGTATTGCGCAATGGGCCTCGGTTGGGTTGGTTTGGATTTCCGCGGACTGCTGCCCCCACTTTTTGAAGAGTAAATATACATTTGGCAATTATTTTTTGTTTACATACTCTGACATATATAAAAAAAATTCTCTGATGCATATCTTTCAATTTTCTTTTCTACAGAGCAGTGCTTAATTTGTTTTCAAAGAATATGAACACAGCTGTTGAAAATTTTCAGGTATAATTTTCATTATGTCAGAATGATGCAGTCCTGCTTTTCCTTAAAAAGACATACATTTCTTGGCATTTCCACACCACTGTCATTCTTGGCTGAAGATTTACAACAATGTCTTTATATACCCAGTTAGTCTTGGATTCTCATCGTTGGGTCCCATTGCCAGCCGTCGGATTCCCATCCAGTAGTTTGGGTGAAGAAAGCCATGACGACATTGCACCTCCTTCAAATCTTATGGAGCATCCACCTCTTGCCGTGTTTGTGAATGGTAAAGTTATAAGTTTAAGTTTGCCTCGCTCATGGTTTATACTAAATTTTAATTTTGTGATCATTTCCTCTTATAATTTTGACGGCAGGTGTATCTGCAGCGATGAATGAACTGCGTCCTTGTGCTCCACTAAGCCTAAAACACCTGATTGCGCAGGAACTAATCAAGGGTTTGCAGGCTGTTAGTGATTCTCTACTTAGATATAATACCACAAGGATGCTTAGAGATAATGAGTCGGCACTTTTCCTTAAACTGTGCCAAGCATTTGTCGAGGTGAGCTTACCTGATATTTCTTCGATTTTAGCTGCTATAATGCCTGGGCTGATTTTTCAAACGATTGCTTACTTCTCGTTCATTCTATCCAGGTTGCTTTTCCTCACTGTGCTACATGCTTCGGCCGATGCTACCCTGGTGGGGCGACACTCATCACCGAAGCGAAGAACTTGTTCGATGGAATTTCGCGGCTTCTGGCATCCATGCCATCGAGGGAATTACCAAAACCTGCCCATACAGCCGATTCCAATCATGTGATGGAAAACGGTAATTCGCCCAAAGTGGAGAACGCTGAGGCACCGGATATAGAAAGAACTTCAAGCTCTGGTATCGATGAAAAGGAACAAAATTCTAATAACCCGACCACCGAGGACACGCCAGCGACTAATGATGGAGTTATAGGATCGCCGGTAGAGGTATGAGATCACCAAATCACTCCTTGCTTCCCTTATCTAAATATCGCTACTGGGATCTAGCGCTTGTTTTGTTTCTTCGCCAATTATACGGTACCGTCACGAGCGAAGAAGCGATCGAAGATCGGATTATCTGATAATTACTGTATGATCCTTAGTTTTGGAGATGAGAAGGTTGATTATGATATATAGAGACACCTATGTAGTTATATTCTTTTTGTACTTAACATCGGTTTCAAACTGTTTTGAAAATGAGCTGTAATAAGATAGATTATACAGACTTCGACGGAGACATAGTTGGGCTGCCTTCATAAGTACATTGCTGCTGTTCTTGCCTGTCTTCTCCTTTGCCGATTTTTAGTCTGTTTGACTCGTTAACAACTCTTTTTGTACCGGGGATTGGCAAGTCCACTACAGAAGCATAATGATCACAAATATTCCACATTAACAGAAACTGATTAGGTCAAAATGCAAGAAATTGTAATGGGGAGTTCTGCATATATATATATATATATATATATCTTAGATTCAAAGAAAAGAGTTGAATAAATGGATTAGTTATTAATCAATGAAAAGAGAGATTACAGATCATCTATCAACTGCTAAAACAAAAAAACAAAAACTCGGTGCAGCTACGGGTTGTCCTCGAGATTCCAATCGATTTAAATACTCACTAGCCTCTATTTATTTGTGAGTTATTATTATTATTATTATTATTATGTCGTTTTTAAAATATCAAATTAAATATTATTTTATTTTAAAAAATAATTTTAGATTTAAAACGTCTAGTTAAAAACAATTTTTTTAATTTATGATTTTACTATTTAAAAATTTAAAAGAGGGAAGAAACGTATCACAAAAAACAAAGAAAAGAAAAGCATATATTATACAAGATGAGTTGGAAGTTTTTGCAGCAAAGAAAAAACTAGCTCTCAAATCCAACACACATAAAACCCTAATTATATGATTTGATGAATCAGAGAAATAAAAAAGAGGAGTGTAATGGATGAATGATTAGCTCTATTTTTAATTCAATACATCTTGATTTGGGAACTCCTTTTTTCGAAAACCAGAAGAAGATTAACTTCATCGCCATCCTTGTACGTCCTCCTGTTGGATTCATATATATATATATATATAGAGAGAGAGAGAGAGAGAGAGAGAGAGAGAGTGGATGGGGTGACAGAGAGAGAGTGAGCACCCATGGCTTCAAGCACAGATCGATCTAGTGAGAATAGTAATTCTGTATGTATGTATGTAGAGAATGAATGCAAGAAAACACCATGTGTGCTCACTCTCTTCTGTCACCTCCACTTACCATTACCATTACCACCTCCATGGACAATCAAATTACTTATGAATCTACCTTTATACATACACATATGTATGTATGTATGTATATATGTCTGCGCATATGTGGAGAGAAAGATAGAGGGAGAGATAAATTAGGGTTAGGGTATATATGGATTGGTGATATATAAATGAAGGAGTATCTAATTCCTGCGTTTCTTTTCGTTAAGTTTGAAAAGAAAAATAAAAATTTAAATTTAATATTAAAATAATATATGATAAATATTTTGTGAAAAAAAATAAAAAATAAAAAAATTTGACAAAACAAACACATCAAACCTTTCTCTATATATAAGCCTATTTCGGTAGCAAATTTACTTGGTGCATACTTCAAAACTAGCAGCAAAATAAATTTTTTACACCACCAAGTCATCTCTTGTGAACCGGATGTACTTTTATTATATGTGCCAATGTTGTCATGATTTTGTCTGTGCATCGAACCTGGCTAGCTATTTATATATATATATATTGATGGGGATATGATTTTAGTCATTTTACTTTATTTGGTTGGCTGTACGTAGTCATGCATAGAAATATATATACACATCTATATAATATAGGGATATAGATGGATCATTTTAGCATATTATGGATACGTATATACCCACCCACCTCCGTCACACATCATTATACATACATATATATATATAATATTATTAATTAATTTTTTTACTGTATTAAATATAATTGCACGTATATAGTGGATTATTTGTGGCTATGCTTCTCTTTCCTCTCTCACCCATTATAATTATATATATATAAAATATAATATTAAGTTCGACCGAAGTTTATCTCGTGTACATTGCGGTTGTGAATTTCAGCTTTATGAAAAAATAAAAGTTTGTCCATGGAGTTGTGATAGCTAGTGTCTTGAATAATACTCTACTCAAAGGTAGACAATTTTATTTTAAATTATAATCTAATTAAATTCCTTCAATATTTTGTGTATTTTATGTTGGGGTGCAAGAACCCACAATTCATAAGTTTCATACTTGAACTTCATTAATACTCTGGGAACATATTTTAATAAAAATGAGTAATAATTGTTATTTTTTTTTTTTTATAGTAAAAAAAATACAAAAGTGTAATAAATTTTTACTTAAAAAACGAGAATACTTTTTTATTACAACTAAAAAAAAGAAAGTGAACATACATTTAAATAAGGGAGGGAGTATAAAACTTTTTGAAAAAAATTTAAAAACAAAAAAATCTGTGAGGATTTCAATCAAAACGAATAAAAGAAAAATCAATATAAATATTATATCAACAATTTTTATTCTTTTTATGAACATACCCATTATTTATTTATTTATCATTCAAATATTAAATAAATTTACAATATATTTCAACAAACTTGAATATGATTCAAAAGTACTTGTATCTAGTTGTTGGGCCTTTTGGTCCAAATTGGGAGACAAGTTGGGCCGGGCCAGCTCAAACCCTGAAAAAACGGCCAGGGGTAGAATTGTAAATCAGCAAAGGACAGCTCAATCCAAACCCCTAAAGCGCACTGTCAGTTCCATCTCGCTTCCTTTCTCCCTGACTCCGCGGCGTATATCCGAGGAGTTTCAGATTTGTATTGCCCGATTTCTCTCTCGCTTGTCCGATTCCTTAGATCTTCCTTTCAATCGCCTTCTTTTCGGGTAATTAAGTCTCTTCGTATTGTTATTGGTGTTCGTGTTGGTGCGATGCGGATTAGTTTAATGTATTGATGGCTTTGATTGTTTTTTGATCGTTGACGTGAATTGTTTTTCGACTTGGTTTGATTTTTTTTCTGGTTGTTCCTTTAGAAGATCTGATTGTTTATCTGTTTATTTAATGCATTCGTATAGCGTCATAACTGATTTCTTTATTAGGTCACTGATTTTTGTTGCTATTTTTTTTTTCGGCTTTCTGTTTTCGTTTAGTTTTAAAGTAAAAGCCTTTCATTGAGATTGAGTTTCTGGGATGTTCTTTGAGTCGGCTTAAAGTTGGTATCTTGAAGACAAGCGTGTGTCGAGTCGGTTTTTGAAATGCTCTTTTGACGTGGAGAGGATGACTGAGCCTCAACTTGGTGTTTTTTTTTTGTTTTTTTTTAATGTGTTTTGAAGTTACTTACTTTTGGAAGTGACAGAGATATTTGGTTTAATGCTTTTGACTGAACTTATATGGATAGTTGAATGATGTTCTTTTGATTAGCAATATGAACGTGTTCTTACCCAATCAATACTTTGAATGTTTGGTGTTGTCTCTCTTTGCTGTGGATAACTCGCTTTGCTCCTGTTTTACTGTAAAATTGGTCCATCCATTTTACTTGCGTACTGCCATTTTTATTGCTTTTGTTATTGTATACTATAAGAAGCCCAGATTTGCTGTTTTTTATTTGATCTTCATGGTTGTAATGCAATTTGACTGGTGATTAAGGCATTGAAAGTTAAACTGGTTAATTGAGTATATCACTTTGATTATTGATTAACCTATGTGCTGTCTTAATTATTCTAATAGTTGCTAGTGGATTTGCCTGTTTCTGTCTTTGTGTTCATTTTCAGCAACCATGGCTGGATTAGCACCTGAAGGCTCTCAGTTTGATGGTAAACAATACGATGCAAAAATGACTGAACTGTAAGCTGTTTGTTTTTACTATAATTTTCAGCCAGCTGCTTCCACTGTCCTGTTTTCTTAATTGTCTGCTGCTATTTGCTTTTGTGGACATAGGCTTGGAACAGAAGGAGATGACTTCTTCACGAGCTATGATGAGGTGTATGAGAGTTTTGATTCCATGGGGCTGCAGGAAAATCTTCTTAGGGGCATCTACGCGTATGGTATATATAAACATTAGATTGTGTACTTCATATTATTTATATAATATTATTTTCAGTTCTTGATGATTAGGTCCATTTAATAAATATGCTAAGTCACTTCATTTTTTATCCTGGACTGGTGTTGTCTGTTCGATCTTTTGGGTTGCACCGCTTTTCATTTTTTTCGTCGTTTTATTTTTGTTCTGGACTCACATGGTAGAAATTAGATGCTTTGACTTCTGATGCAATCTACTCTCATTATGTTTCGTTGATCTTGTGAAATGGGGTAGTAGCACTTGAAAAAGATGACATTTTATGCTATTTTGAAAGGTTTTGAGAAGCCCTCTGCCATTCAGCAAAGAGGGATTGTTCCATTCTGCAAGGGGCTTGATGTCATACAACAGGCTCAATCTGGAACTGGGAAAACTGCCACCTTTTGCTCTGGAATTCTGCAGCAGCTAGACTACAACATAGTTGAATGCCAAGCACTCGTTCTGGCACCCACACGTGAGCTTGCTCAACAAATTGAGAAGGTCATGAGAGCATTGGGTGACTATCTTGGTGTTAAGGTTCATGCTTGTGTTGGAGGTACAAGTGTCCGTGAGGATCAGCGTATTCTCTCCAGTGGAGTTCATGTTGTTGTTGGTACTCCTGGACGTGTGTTTGACATGTTGAGAAGGCAGTCACTGCGCCCAGATTACATCAAAATGTTTGTGTTGGATGAAGCTGATGAAATGCTTTCTAGAGGGTTCAAAGATCAGGTCTACCTCTTACATTTTACTCTGTGTTGTTCTCCTTTATCCTATTTGATTAGGATGATCTTATATGCTGTAGATTTGTACACTGTGCTTGTTATCTGTATAACAGCTGCTTCCCGTACACCAAAATTAGGGTCACAAAGCTACTAGGGTTGACTTCTTAATGCTACTTTCCATCTCGAGCAATTATCTGTGAATTGATTTCATTTATGTGCTTTTATGAGTAATGTTTTACTTCTAAAGCCCTGTGTTTTCCTTTCAGATTTATGATATTTTTCAGCTGCTGCCTCCTAAGATCCAAGTTGGTGTCTTTTCTGCTACGATGCCACCTGAGGCTCTTGAAATCACCAGGAAATTTATGAATAAGCCCGTTCGTATTCTGGTGAAACGTGATGAACTAACCCTTGAAGGTATCAAGCAATTCTATGTCAACGTTGAGAAAGAGGAGTGGAAGCTTGAGACACTGTGTGATCTCTATGAGACTCTGGCCATTACTCAGAGCGTCATCTTTGTTAACACCAGGCGCAAGGTTGACTGGCTTACTGATAAAATGCGTAGTCGTGATCATACTGTTTCAGCCACCCATGGTGACATGGACCAGAACACAAGAGATATTATCATGCGCGAATTCCGATCTGGTTCCTCCAGAGTTCTTATCACCACTGATCTCCTGGCCAGAGGAATCGATGTTCAGCAAGTTTCCCTTGTTATCAACTATGATCTGCCTACTCAGCCTGAGAACTATCTGCACCGTATCGGACGAAGTGGACGGTTTGGTAGGAAGGGTGTTGCCATAAATTTCGTGACCAAAGATGACGACCGCATGCTTAATGACATACAAAGATTCTACAATGTTACGATTGAAGAACTTCCTGCCAATGTTGCTGATCTCCTCTGAGGTGGTTAGTGTGTTCCTTCTCTTCCTTAAATATATAACTTATTTACTTTGTAGGTTAGTTTAATATGTAATGACTTGCTAATTGGGAGGTCGAATTCCCCGCCATTACCGGAAGGGAGCTTACATTTCCCAATTCGTTTGCTGTGGTGAAACTATGTTGCAAAATTTTTGGTTTCTTGTTTTGTTTTGTTTGTTTCCTGTTGTAATTGTCAAAAATGACTGACTACAGCTTTGAATGTTGTGGAATTTATGGAGTCTTATTATTATTATTATCATTACTTTGGTTTGGCATTGGAGCTTTGGTTTGTTCACAAGTGTTTTAAAGCTAAGGCCATTTTATTCTATATTATGTGTATGTTTTGTATATATTTTATCAAAATTCATTGTCCATCCACTTTGAAATGTGTGTTTCTTTTGTTATGAATGGATCATGAGGCAAAGCATCAATTCTCATAGTATGTTTAGATCTAAGTAGCACACATTACATCGGAAGATCTCGTTGCTGCGATTTCATAAAGCTGTGTGACTTCATTTGTTTGATGTCGACTAAATTGAGGCTATTTCTTGAACATGTCTTTTTTTTTTTTTTTTAACTTAGGAAATTTGATTATTGATGCAAATTTGTTTGCAACCTGGGCTATTGAATCTACTGCCTTAACATTACCTATTCATAGAGTTTGGTGAACTCATTAACCATTCAATCTATGTTGGATTTAGACATTAGCCCACAATTTGGACAACTCTAGCTTGCTCATTTAATAGTTGCGAGTGGATTGACGTGTTGTTTTGTGAGATAATATAAATGGGAATCTTTTGCTGTGAGGTGTGCAGAATTGCATAGAAAATATAAAAATAATAAACTTGTGTGATATATTAATATTTTTTGAAAATTGTGTATAAAAACGGTAAGAGAACACACCTGTGATGTTTTTTTACAAAAAATAAGAGTTAATCAACACGAGTTTGTAGAGTTTGATTGCAAACCATTGGATTCTTCTCTTATAACAACTATAATCCATCCATAGAAACTACATACGAAAAAAGAATTGGAAAGGAACACAGATCAAATTATAGTTGCATAAAGAACATCAAAATTTGATCAAATCAGGCAAATCCACCACAGTTAAAAGACTTAAGCCAAAGAATCCCCACATGTCTCTAATGAAGCATCACCATCCAGTTGCTCCATCTGCCAGCTTTCATGTGGCGCAACGTGCCCTTCGAACGGGCTGAATTGCTGCCCGTACGATTCGATTTAAGTCAGCATCTCATATACAAGTATTTAGCGCATTAAATCGAATGAAAACCAACACCATATGTCTAATAAGTACCTCCATCTTTGTAAGAAGCTGTTTGGCCGTTGGAGCAGAAAGGACTATGCGCCTTGCACCGGGCTTTATGAACCCCTCTTCGACCCCTTTGTCGAACAATGTCAATAAAGGGTTGTAGTATCCGTCGACATTCAACAAACCAACCTGTATAGAATCATTAGTTAAAGAGTAAGTACCCAATTTAATCCAAAACAACATCGATCAAGATTGAGCTAGAACTCTCTGCGCATCACCGGTTTTTTATGGATTCCAAGCTGCGCCCATGTAATCATCTCCAATAACTCTTCCATGGTTCCGTATCCACCTACAAAACACACATCCACGGTCGTAAGTTCAGGCAAGAAAAATCGAATACAAAGGAATTGAAAAGCATCTTCGTCGGGCTTGACTTATAACTGCTTGGCTCACCTGGTAGGGCGATAAATGCTTCAGCCTCACGAGCCATTTCTGCTTTTCGTTCGTGCATGTTGGCGACAATTTTTACGTCCCCAACACTTTCTCCGGATATCTGTCAATAAATTTAGTCAGTGTCATATTCCAATCCGCTCATATATGTCTTTTAACATTTTTTTCGCATAAATCACATTCCCACTTACGATTGCATACAAAATATCACATTAAATAAATATTTTTCATCCTGAAAACTCTTAAAATAAAAAACACTAGTAAATTCAAACTTTTTGGAGCATCTAGGCCGGGCAGGGATAATTGAAAGGCGCGGCGCACCTAACAACAGTTGGGCCTATGTGTAAAACTTTCAGGCGAAATTAGTCCCTTAAATCTCATCTTGGATTTAACATAACAAGCAAAAGTACAAATTAATTTCACAAAGGGATTATGTAACTATTCTTAAAATTGTTTATCCAGTCATAGAAAAAGAATTAAAATGAAAACATACCTCAATGGGAACCAAAGCCTTTGGGATTACTCTGCATTTAAAGCCAACAAGAATCAAGTTAGGACACAACACTTTCTTGAAGGTCCGGTATTTATCACCAAAAAAAAAAAAAATAAAATAAAATAAAATAAAATTTGATCCCATTAAACCATCAAATCAAAAATTTATTTTCCTCGTTCAAAATATCCCATCAAACGCTCATTCATTTCAATTTTTTTGTTGTTTCTAAATGCAAGACTAAAATTCAAACCTTAAAAGAAATAGGATTGCCCAAAGACCCAATTTTCAGCATCATTCAAAAAAAAAGTCAAAAAGGGGAAGAAACCTCACCCAAGAACATTACAACCACCATCACAAACCTTCTTGGAGATTAATCCCATAAGCCCCACACTTCCACCTCCATAAACCAAATCTATCTTCCTATCCACCTGCAATTTTTGGTTGTACTTTTCACTCACAGCAAATCAAACAAACAGTCAAAAGGAAAACATCCCATTTTTCAACCACACTAAAAGGGTTTACTAAAATCAAGAAAGTCAATGCTCTGTCCAATCCCTGTCAGTCAGTCTTGTAACTAATCAAAAATTTCATCGAAGAAATGTGTTTATGGATAGACAAACCAACCAGTTCATTCCCCAAGTCAATGGCAGCTTCACTGAAGACCTGTTTGTGGCCAGGGTTGCTCCCACAGAATACGCAGATTTTCTTGAATTTCTTGGCGATTACTGAATTCTTGTTCTCCATTCTAATTTGATCCTTTTCTTTACTGATAGAACAAAAAGGGAGCCCCAAAAAGATCGAATCTTTTATAGTTCAATCCAAACCCTATAACAAGAACACTTGTAGATATACGTATATATAGTTACTGTATAATAAGCAAGCAAATAAAAAAAAAAAAAGGGGAGATGAATCGACAAGATTTCGAAAAAGGGATAAACGCTGTTGAACTTTAAACCCAAGGAATTAACAAAAGGGATTGGAGACGTGTCCCTGGATTACGTGTGTGAGAGTGTTTTTGAAGAAGTCGAAGAACATTTGATTAAAATGATTAAAGAAAACACCGGCAGCCCACATACTCCTTATCTGTCGGCTCTCGAAAAAGACTCATTTCTGCAGCTAGGGTTAAATTTTTTTAAAAAAATAAAATGGATTGAATGAATCAAAGATCCAAGCTTTTTTAGGTTCAATTTTTACAGGCACGTGAGTCATCATTCCGCAGGATTTATTTATTTATTTCTCTGTCTTAAAATTTATATTTTGGGGTGGACCAAAATTTCGAATCTGATCTGGAAGAAGAATCTTAATTGATAATCTGAGTGATGATTTACATGTGCATGGCAATAATTTCATGGACTAGTGCATGGGATTATCATTCCCCTTCACATAAACATGGCCTTAGGGTGGGTAGGGCCCATATAGGTCTATATATATATACATACATACATACTAGCGACAGAAATCTCAGAACTTCTGATCAAATATAATAACTTACAAATTAAGTCCGATAACACAAATGTCACAAAAGTACATTAGACAGACATGTGTAGAAGATAAGATTCGGAGATTCAAAGAATCGGAAATTATTCATAACCTCGTGTGTATATATATATATATATATGTACAAAATTATAGATAACGAAAAATAAGAATCCACTATTTAAGTGTTATAGTATTGTCCATCCCAAACATTCTAACCGGTCTGAAGCATTTTTTTACCAATTGGTATTGATTAAAGTAGTTTCCAATGTGAGAGAATATTGAACCCTAAATGCTTCAATTGACAAAATATGGAAAATATTGCAAAGCTTTTTATTAAGATTTTAGAGCTGATTGTATATTTGTAGAATATATACATTATTCTTGTCAATCTTAAATTTGATTCATTATAAAATGCAAGAAGTGAAAGCACAAATTATTGGAAAGTTTCCTAAACCTTTTCTCATGTCGTGATAAGTGTTTGTATTCGTTTTTAATATGTCCTCTAAAATCATAATATTCAATCATACTTTTATTGACTATTTCATTTAAAATTTGAAAATTTTAGAGAAAGACAACATTGATAATAGGTTTTTTGTTTTTTTGTATGGAAAGAAGAGTTAGATATAATTTTTTAAAGAACTTTGAGAAGTGAAATAGGAAAATAAAATTTAAAATGTGTAGATATATAGAAAGAACATAGCAATAATATATATAGTGGTATTGAAACCCGCGACAGTTATTCTTCAAATATATATTAAGTAAATTTTCAATCGAATGTAATAATTTGCAAATTATATTATTCAAAAAAAAAAAAAAAAAAAAAACAAGTTTGACAGATGAGGCCAAGAGGTGATGCCAATAATATATTTATAAATATGTAAGGAGGCGACAACAGATAGATTGATGCATAAAATAAGCATATTGGAGCTAATGAAAGTGTAATATTGTAACACAATTTTATTTAATTTTTTCTAAGATTCCACCTAAAAATAAATTATTAATTCAAGAATTTATTGTTGTTTTCTACAACATGTGTGTATTTAAAATGGAACCAAGATTCAATTTGTTCAATAGCCATTATAATGACATTGAATATTCAATGTCAAATGCAAAGTTTATTACAACCTCTATATTTTATTTTATTTTTTAATTAATTTTTGGTTGTCTTTTTCTGTTTATTGTTAAATTATATCTCAAGAGGACAACTAACAGTTCCTATTACTTTTAGGTTTTAATTATTTTATTTCTATTTATTATGCAACATGATTTTTTTTTTTTTTTATAGAAATATACAAAAACATCATATCTAGCAAATATATATAAAAAATAAATAAAAATGCAAACATAAATATAAACATAAACATAATAAATTCATCCTTAAAACAAAAATACACAATCAAAAGGGACAATTGCTTCTTCCCTTTTTATTTATAAAATCTACAACAAAATCTCCTCACTCAAATATTTGAATTTAATCTACACTTATTCTTTAGTTTAAATATTATACTAAATATCTAAATATTTTATTTTTATTTTATTTTATTTTTTTCTAAAAAAAAATACTAAAGTATTAGTCCAGGTGAATGAAATATTTTTGGATGAATAGGCTACACAAAAATCTATTTTAGATTATTTTTTTTGGGGCATTAAAAAAATAGTATATATCTTGTGTTTTGTTTTATTTTAATATTAATAAAAAAAATTGAATTGAAAATAATTTTTGATATATTTTTTCCATCTTTTAAAAACAAATAAAGTAGTAGAGCACAAAGATAAAGGTGAAGAAATACAAATCAATAATACACCCTTGAAATCTTATTGCATTATCATTTTATAGTTAGAACAAGGCTATGTTGGTATTTTTATTATTTCTAATAAAAATATATTTATTTTTTTACATAATATTAATATTTCATAAAAAAACAAATTAAAATACAAACCGAACGCATCCTAAAATATTTAAATAATTATGGTCAAACAAGCCCAATTTCTAAAAGCCCAATATATATGCATGTGAAGATCGGGCCCACCGGACATTTATACCCATATCAATATAATTAATATATATATATAGTGTGTGTATATATACTAGGCATCCAATTATTTATTTAATTAAACTTTTTATTTAAAATAATATATAAAAATAATGTATTTATGTCACATAAAAAAACCTATCTAAATTCAAATTTGTAAACCCAACAAAAAAATAACTCCTGTCCCTGACTTGCAAAAATTTTCCAATTTTGTTTATTTTATTTTTTCATCAATGAAAATTGATTAATTTATATGATTATTTTAAATATAAAGGCAAGGATACGTGCTAGATAATACTCCATCGTGGACAAAGTAATATCCTATTTTTTCTTTTTAGGATTTTTAATAACTAGTCTTTTTTTTTTTTTAACTCAAATTTACATTTTTATCTTTCGTTTATTTATTATTTTTAATTTCTACCACACAATTAAGGACAAATTTATTAATTCATAACAAAAAAAAAACAATCATCTAAAAAAACTGCGCAAGTATACTTTATCACAACTGAAAGAGTATATATTTTTATATTATGCTCCTTAAATAAATAAATATATATAATACTCCCTCCAGATACTATGTCACGTTGCCGTTTCTGTCCGTCCCACATACCATGTCATTTTCTTTTTTTGGAAAATGATTACACACTTTAATCTCATTTTAAATTTTTTATTTTTTTAAATTTTAATTAAACTAATTAGTTATCTTAATCTTAATTTATAATTATTTATATTATAGAATAATTATTTTTACTAATACATTTTAAATTATCTACTAATTATATATTTTAAAATACCGTATTTACAGTGTAGCAAACACGGTATATGGGACGAGGAGAGTAATTGTTTATTTATCAAAGCATATGGGCTGCATTTATTTAGTTGTGGGCTTTCCGGCACTAAATGACTATTAGTATCATACCAGTACTACAATTACTCGTCTCTCAGACTACCATAGTTCTCAATATCTCTGTCATTTCACTAATTTTATGTTCTTTTGAACCCAATATGAATTTTAATTAATAATATATTAATTATAATACAAAATATTTTTTTAAAAAAAAGTATATAAAATGAATTAAAAAGATTATTTTTTTTAATAAATTAAATATATAAACAATTATAATATATTTGTAACAAAAATATTCACACATTTTACCTTTTTGTATTCGATTTATTATGAACACGATAATTTAAAAGCATATTAATAAAAATAATTATTAAAAATATAAAAATAATGAACAAATAAAATAAAATAGAATAAATATAATATTAACTAATACACTTTTGTGTATAATTGTATACTCATTTGTTAGATGTGTTTTTTTTTTATTTGATTTGAAAATTTTTAATTTTAATTTGATACAAAAATATACATATTTAAAAATATCAAATAATTAAAATAATAAAATAGTAAAATAATTTGGTCCAAAAGAAACACAACCTTCTTTTCTAGTATAAGGCTTAGTTATTGATGGCGGAGTGAAGAACAGAACACAACACAACAGGTAAAGATTGAAGGCGAGTAAGGTGAGAGTTATGGCCGAGTGAAGAGTGAGTGAGTATTCAATACTCTCTCTCTCTCTCTCTCTCTCTCTCTCTGTATATATATATATCTCTGTGTGTGAACATGTGCGTTGATATGAACTATACACCAATATGGATATCTTCGTTAAACCAGACGGAAAAAAGTGTTCATTCTCCTCTCCTCTCCTCTCCTTCTCCACACTGCTATCTCTCTCTCTCTCACTCTATATATAATTCCTCTCTCGCTCTTCAACACCTCCTCTGCCTCTGCACCAACGACAGCGACTTGTTATAAGGATCGCCAATAGTATTAATAATGGCTGCTGCTTTGCCTCGGCATCCTCACCAAATTACACTTTCTATCTTATTCATTGAGAGAGAGAGATAGAGAGAGAGAGAGGGTACGTACGTATTTGCACATGCTGCTGCATTTCTGCATCTGTATAAATGTATGGATGGATGGATGGACAGAGAGCAGCCATTTGGTAGGGAAAGATATTTCTCTCTGGTGGGGAAGGGATTTACATACACTATACATACATGATACATACAAACCTGTAGACAGAGAAATAGATAGAGAGAGAAAGAGAGAGTGTGTACTGCCTCTGCAACCTGTATGGAGGTGGGGTGGGGTGGGTTGCAGGATGCTGCTGCTATCAATTATCTGAATTCAGAACCTTGGCAGATACACAGAGATAAATGGTTTTTTTAAAAAAAAATAAATAATTCCTCCATGTTTCTCTCTCTACATTTACTTACATGCAATTCTTACAGTCTCTCTCTCTCTCTCTCTCTCCTCTCTATCTATGTATCTGCAACGATTTGATTGAACATCACAAAGCCTGAGCTTCCCCTTTCCCTCGACACAATTTTCCAAAACCCTCAGACCATTTTTGCAGCTGTATCTCTGATCATTATATTCCCTCTCCTTTCTTCCTTTCCTTCTTCTTCTTCTTCTTCTTTTTCACTTCTCCATCTTCTTCTTTATTTCAGTTTCACCTATGTCGGTGTATCCATAGCTTCAAAATTTCTTCACCCTCCACCCATTTTCATACTCTTCTTTACTAGTGAGCTATGGCTATGGCTATGGCGATTTGTGACCAAAGATTTGTCCTTTTTGGATTCCTCGTGGTTTTCAGCCTAACCTTAACCTCTGCTCGCAGTGATAATGGTGAGGATTTTTAGCAATTTTAAATTCATTTAATATATAATCCTTGTCGAACTTTAAGGAAGTTTGTTTAACCTTTTTTTTTTTTTTTTTATTTATTGTTGTCTACATTACTACACATAATTACGTCATTGTCTTCCTCCCCTTAAAACTTCTATTCAAAACCCCTTTGTCCTTATTATCACTCACACACACCATTTTAATTCTGTTATCCAAAACTTCCATATCTGATCGAAGCTCTAACGTATTACCTATCCATGGATTCTCTTTGGATTTGTTTTGGTAAAAAGGAGCAACCTTGTTGGAGGTGAAGAAGTCATTCAAAGATGTGGATAATGTCCTGTATGACTGGACGGATTCTCCATCTTCAGACTATTGTTCTTGGAGAGGGATCACGTGTGATAACGTCACCTTCGCTGTTCTTACACTGTTAGTTCATTACATCATCATCTTCCCTGTCTTTTTAGGCATTTTCCTTTCTGATTTATAATGTGTAATAATACTATGTTACAGCAATCTTTCTGGTTTGAATCTTGGGGGAGAAATCTCACCAGAAATTGGACAGCTTCAAGCCTTGCTCTCCATGTAATCCTCAGATTTAATTTTTATTTTTTTTTTTCAAATAGTAGATATGATTGTTGTCTGAACTTCTGATCAGTGACTTGAGGGGAAATATGCTTTCTGGACAAATCCCAGATGAGATTGGAGATTGCTCATCTTTGCAAAGCTTGTGAGTTAACTAACTAACTAATTTATTACTAACCTAGTATTTTCCGAAATGATTTAGACAAGAATGTAATTTTTTTTTTTTGATTGTTAGGGACCTTTCATTCAATGAGCTCTATGGAGACATTCCTTTCTCCATCTCCAAGCTGAAGCGTCTTGAGAATCTGTAAGATGATTAAGGAATTAACTTAACGAAGGAACGATCTGTCTTCTTGTTTTGGTGCTAAAAGAATTGTCAAAATTGTTGTCTTTTCACCAGAATTCTGAAGAACAATCAATTAATTGGCCCGATCCCTTCGACACTATCCCAAATTCCCAGCTTGAAAATCCTGTGAGTTTCTGTTTCTTGATCTTGTTTTTTTGTTGTTTAGAGGATCAATTTTGGATGATCCTTGATTGGTTTAGGGACTTGGCTCAAAACAATCTGAGTGGAGAAATTCCGAGGCTGCTGTATTGGAATGAAGTTCTTCAATACCTGTAAGTTTCAGACATTGGACTGTTATTGCAGCATCGAATTTTTCGACATGGTCTGTACTAGTATTTCGACTCAATTGAAACCAGGGGGCTTCGAGGGAATAGCCTGGAGGGCACACTTTCTCCTGATATGTGCCAATTAACAGGGCTTTGGTACTTGTGAGTATCTTTTATTACAATGCTGAGGTTATAATTACATGTCCGATGATTGTTTTGATTCTTGCATTGGTTGTTTTCCAGCGATGTTAGAAATAACAGCTTGAGTGGCACCATTCCTGATAGCATAGGCAACTGCACTGGCTTCCAGGTTCTGTATGTACCTTCACCCATATTTCAATTTCGTGTATATAAAATCATTTGATGTAGTTAAGATTAAGACATGGATTTAATGGATGTTAGAGATTTGTCGTACAATGATTTCACCGGGGAGATACCATTCAATGTTGGATTTCTTCAAGTCGCTACCTTGTAAGTGTCGGCGTCGTCACTTTTCTTGCATCAAACTTTGCTACTTGTCGACAATGTTTGTGTAAAATCCTTACAACATCAGGTCCTTGCAAAGTAACCGGTTTACGGGACAAATCCCCTCTGTAATTGGCTTGATGCAAGCGCTCGCTGTGCTGTAAGTGTTTGTCGATTTTATTGCGAATGCAGCACTGTCTTCCCTTATTTTCGATTGTCATAATTGTTTGATCTTCCTACAGAGACCTCAGTAATAACATGTTGAGTGGAACGATCCCGCCGATTCTTGGAAACTTGACGTATACTGAGAAACTGTAAGAAAACCATCGGCATATTGTTAAAGCTTTGAATGTCTTTCCGTAAATAGAATTTTGTACGTCGAATTTGATCCATTTGATTGTGCAGATATCTCCACGCCAACAAACTGACTGGGTCGATTCCTGCAGAGCTGGGAAATATGTCGAAGCTTCACTATCTGTAAGAATCTTATTCGTACGTTCTTCGATCAGTCTGTATTCTGCAGTAGATTTTTAATTTTTCGATGTTTTTCCTCTTCGGCAGCGAACTTAACGATAATATGCTCACTGGACATATTCCTCCGGAGCTTGGGAAACTTACCGAATTATTCGATTTGTATGTTTTTACGTTATCAAGCTTTGTCTCGACTATCGTAAAACTAAATCGGAATTCTTAGCCTTTAACGTTTACAGAAATGTTGCGAATAACCACTTGGAGGGATCGATTCCAGATAATCTTAGCTCATGCACAAATCTGAATAGCCTGTGAGGATTTCTTGTCGCTTCTACGTTTCTCGTTTTGTAGAAATCGTAAATTCTAGACAATAAATGTTAATCGCTCAGTGTTACGATGCAGAAATGTTCACGGTAACAAGTTGAACGGAACTGTTCCTCCGGCTTTTCAGAAACTCGAAAGCATGACCTATCTGTGAGTTTTCATCGACTCTCTTTATTTTAAGTTTTACGAGTATCTGATAAACGTATATCGTGTTCTCTCTGTTGTATTATGCAGGAATCTATCCTCGAACAATATTGGGGGATCGATTCCGATCGAGTTGTCACGGATAGGAAATTTGGACACTCTGTAAGTTTCCATTTCCTGCGATGTCGTTTTAACAATAATTGTTTTTCTTACCGTTTTCATTTGCGATGTCAGAGACCTCTCGAATAACCGGATCAGTGGTTCGATGCCGGCCTCTCTCGGGGATTTGGAACATCTCCTAAAACTGTGAGTTCTTGTCCTTGTAACATGTGACTCGTATTTTTGTCTGACTTTTGTTCGATCCTTGAACAGCAATTTAAGCAATAACAAATTGTCGGGATTCATACCTTCGGAGTTCAGCAACTTGAGAAGTGTTATGGAAATGTAAGAAGATATAATACCGAACAATTTAGTCGAATTTCTTCATGCTCGATCAATCTGCAGTTCAATTTTGAATCCTTTTCTTCACTTTTTTCAGCGACCTCTCAAATAATCGCCTCTCCGGTCGAATTCCTCAAGAACTCGGCCAGCTTCAGAATCTCTTCGAGCTGTAAGATCTTTTCTTGTTTGCACCATGAGTCGGATTTCCGATTAGATCTGATTTTCTTCCAAATTTATTCAGGAATCTGGAATTCAACAATATATCCGGCGATGTAATGCCGCTCGCAAGTTGTCTTAGTCTCACAATGCTGTAGGTTCATCGATTTCTTTGTGTGTCGGAGTTATGCTACTGCGATAATTGTTCCATGACGATCTTTATGTCGTTTCAGGAACGTTTCGTACAATAATCTTGCTGGTTATGTTCCTACCGGGAATAACTTTTCGAGGTTTTCACCAGAAAGGTAGCTAAGAGAGTCGAAATTCTAACTCGAAGTACATTTTCTCGCATTTGTTTCACCGAATGTCCTGTTTCAGTTTCTTAGGCAATCCTGATCTCTGCGGCTATTGGCATAGTTCTTCCTGCCATGCTCCTCGAACAGCCGAGCGAGGTGATGTATATTTCTCGCATCGATTGTCTGATTTAAGGAAAACTTCGAGGATCATTAGATTCTTATTGCCGCAGTTTCGATGCCGAAAGCTGCTATACTCGGGATAGCTCTCGGCGGTTTAGCCATTCTTCTTTCAATCCTAGTCGCCGCGTGCTGGCCTCACGGTCCAAAACTATTTGACGACGGCAACAGGACGCTCGACAAACCAGGTTTGTTCGTCTTTTATCACACCAGCTGTTGTTGTCTTGATCTTACCTTGTATTGAAACTATCTGTGATTTATTCCGGCAGTTCATTACGCCTCTCCGAAGCTCGTGATCCTCCACATGAACATGGCGCTCCATGTCTACGACGACATTATGAGGATGACGGAGAATCTGAGCGAGAAATACATAATCGGGTATGGCGCGTCGAGCACGGTGTACAAATGCATGCTAAAGAACTGCCGTCCTGTCGCAATCAAGAGGCTCTACTCTCACTACCCACATTGCCTCAAGGAATTCGAAACCGAGCTCGAAACGATCGGGAGTATCAAGCATCGTAACCTCGTCGGGCTCCAAGGATACTCGCTTTCGCCGTACGGGAATCTTCTCTTTTACGACTACATGGAAAACGGAAGCCTTTGGGACCTTCTCCATGGTAAGTCGTCGATCGTTGAATCTCCTTTTTTCGATTTCTAAATCTTTTATTTACAGGAAAAATGAAGAAGAAAAAGCTCAACTGGAATGCGCGCCTCCGAATCGCGCTCGGTTCCGCGCAGGGCCTCGCGTATCTACACCACGATTGCAACCCGCGGATCGTCCACCGCGACGTCAAGTCATCGAATATCTTACTCGACAAAGACAATGAAGCCCACCTCACGGACTTTGGGATCGCCAAGAGCTTGTGCACGACGAAGACCCACACGTCGACGTACTTAATGGGAACGATCGGGTACATCGATCCCGAATACGCTCGCACTTCCCGTTTAACGGAGAAGTCTGACGTCTACAGCTTCGGCATCGTTCTCTTGGAGTTGCTCACGGGGCGAAAACCAGTTGACAACGAGTCGAATCTTCATCATCTAGTAAGTTCTTTTACGTTCGAATTCGAATTTTAATCAGAGCTCTTATTACGACGGCTGTTCGCAGATACTTACGAAGGCGGCGAACGATTCGGTGATGGAAACGGTCGATCCCGAGATCAACGAAACGTGTAAGGATTCCGGAGATGTCCGGAAGCTTTTCCAGCTGGCTCTTTTATGTACGAAGAGACAGCCGTCGGAGAGGCCGGCAATGCACCAAGTTGTGAGAGTGCTACTAAGCCTGGCGCCGCCGGAACTCGACTCGGCGTTGCCGGCGCCGCTGCCGGTGGCGAAGTGCTACGTGGACGAATATTTGAACCTCAGAACGACGCCGCATTTGGTTAACTGCCCGTCGATGAGCACGTCGGATGCACAACTGTTCCTTAAATTTGGAGAAGTGATTTCTCAGAATAGTGTGTAATTTTGTATTGTACTATGACAGGAATGAATTAATTATTAAGGTTGTAGAAGTAAATGAATGAATGGGACACGAAATGGAAGAAGAGGGTTTTGTTTTGTTTAGTATATAGTCACTTTTCTTATCTCAAATTTCAATGGCTCCAATTCTACACAAACCCTAATTCTAATAAATCAAAATTGAGGATAGGGAAATGAAACATCAACCAGGAAAAAGGATAAAAATCTAGTCTTGATTACAACAAATTTCTCAAATATAAGATAATTCAGACCATTTCTTGAATCCCCAACAAGTGTAGAGTATTAATAGTCAATTACACAGCATCAAGTTCATCCATTTTTACCATCAACAACACACAGTATTTCACAACAAAACAAAATACAAAAAATTAATCAGACAAGGAAAGGGTAGGTAGAATAGAATTAGGGTACACATTAAATTTCAAGCGCAGGCGCAGGGATTATCCACAACCACCACATCGCCATCGCCGTCGCCGCCTCTGAAGAGCAGATACCCGACGCCCAGCCCAACCACCACCGCCACAAACACGCCGGCGTTGAACGACATAATCGCCAGCATCAGAAAATACCCAATTGCAGAGTTGACCCCAAACAAAATCGCCCCGGCAAATCTCCAAGGAGCCCACTTGCCGGCGGCGCCGCCGAGCAGAGGAATTCCGAGAGACTGAGTCTGCGACTGCGGCGGCGGCGGGCGCTTGGAAAGGGCGAGGAGCCGGAATCGGAGGCGGCGATCCTCCATGTACTGGTAGAAGAGTGAGAAAAGGAAAAGGGCGAGGAGAGAGAGGGCATAAGAAACCCACGAATCGGTCTTCCAAGAATCGAAGAGGATCGTCACATTTTTGCCCCAGTAGAAGGTCATGTGCATCATCTTGAATCGAAGAAATCGGATCGAATTCGATTGATGATGATTTTGAAATACTATTATTTTGATTGAATCGACGATTTGATGGATGGTTTTACTTTTCGAGTGTGAGGCCAATTGCCGAACGCAAACCAGTTGTGGGTACAAGAAAGGAATTTTAGAAAATATCATTGGGAATCTTTAATTTCCAATTCGTCCTTGAACTATCCGAAAATTGCATCCCCATCCCTTTCAGAGTTTCAGTATAATATCAATTTTTTCACATAATTATTGCAATTTTAGGTTTGGCACAGTAACAATTTTTTTCAGACATAGACAACAATACATAATTATGGAACTAAGATGAAAAAATTGATTGAACAAGTGAAATTCAACAAGTGTAAACCAATTACATCTGCATAATTTAACCTCAAGAAAATAAGCAACGTAGAGAAAGTCGTAGCCAAAGAAAGAACACAATGGTGTATGTTAAAATTACAAAACGAGAGGCGCTACAAAAATAATATCCCCAGAACTTCATTTCGACAACGACGACGACAGCGACAGCGACAGCGACGGCCATCCATCCGCAGCAATGGTAACACACATCTGCCTAAGGCTATTCCCTTTCTTTAACATATCCTTGCATTATTTATGTTCTACTTTTCCCTTCTGCACAGCTTTATCCTACCCCGTTTTTTGTTTTTGTTTTTGTTTTTGGCTTCCCCCGATTTACAGATACAACAGGTTTCTGCCGGTTTCCCGGAGAAGGGATGATTGATTTACCTGACTGATTAATGACGCATTGTGTCAAAATCAAAATCACCTAGGCCTTCCTGATTGATTGGTTTTCAGTATATGATGACTCGGAGGAGCCCTGGCTGCGGCTCAGAGAAGTCGAGTCCTTCCTCTAGCAGGTACCGCTGGACGGCAATGGGGAGCCTGGCAGGAGTGCGCGAACCCCTTGTGTGGTGACCTGTCCCGACACAGATGTAGACGAGCAAGCGTTGATCCATGGACCTGGCGGCATTCCTCATTACAGCCAGCTCGCGCTTGAGAACATGAATAGCTTCGCTCACGTGAAGGCCGTGGAGATCTATCATTCTTTCCCTTGCGTTTGTCTGGATGTCGGAGTTCCTATAAATTTAGCAGACCCGAATGATTAATATTATTGTCTTTTAAGGATCATCAATTAGAAGTAAAAATAGAATATTCCAATGAGTATTGGGAAGAGGTGCATTCTTTATGTTCTAACTAGTCATCACATTTGATAATTCAAACAAACCTCTGACGATAAATAGCTTCTTGTGCCTTCTCATGAGCTGCTTTCATTTGCATGTTGTGCAGCTGTCCTTTGATGCTCAACTCCTTGGCTAAAGCCTTGTTACCAATGAGATATGCCTGTCGAGCCTAGTCTTACACGAAACATTTCAGAATTGGTCAAATATGGGGGAAGCACATTTTGGGCCATCAATACACGGTAACAAATTATTTCATAGTGTACTAAAATATAGTAAAGAATTCTCCAACAGGGAGTTTTGAAAATTTTTTAAAATAGCAAAAAGTTAGTAGTATTTTATATGATATTTTGTAAGGAAAAAAAATGTATATTTGATGTAATGTTTTGAAAAAATTACTGTAAGATGAATAGTGCTAAAAGCTCCAAAAGTAAGTGTAATCCGAGCCTATATAACATATACAAAAAGATGAAATGTCAGATTCCCGTATCATACTAAATCCTGAAACGATGGTATAAATTCTGGACCCAGACAACTGCCGGGAAAAGAACAAGACTGTTAAGTCACATGGCACCTATAGACAGTATCAATTGACATATAGTTCAAAGAAATGGGAATCGACTAAAAATTTTAAGTTAACCATTATAAATTTTCCTTAGAATAGATAACAGAGAACATACCTGTTCAAAGTATGCATTCCGTATCCTAGCATGACCACGAGCTTCCTCACGCATGTCAGAGTACATATTTGCTGCCATCTCAAACAAGTTAAAGCACTTCCATAAAGCATTTAGCTACAGTTAGTAGAAAAAAAAGGTTAAGCTACTGCCTAAAGTATTTTACCAACTGCTTCTCCAGTTTCGAGCCAGATAGATGATGCATGAGCAGATTCTCGTCCACGCAGCCTATCGCTATACAGGCCTCTGCCTTGGCCAGTATTATATGAGCTGGCAAGGGCTTGGGAGTTTCTACTTGATCCAATGCTTGACTTTGGAGAACCATTTCGGTCGTACCTCCAGATGCCAGAATCTTGAGATGGCATTTTTCTCACAGCTGAAGCAAAGTCTGTAGCACCTCTTGATGGAATGAAGGAGTTGGATCTGAATAACAACGTGCCTTGCTTTTCAGAAGACTGACAAGGACTACCATTTTGATGAAGACCATCACTAGCAAATTTTGCCAAATCATTCTGACCCTCCCTCATAGAAAGGGCAGGAAAATCCATTGCGGTGAGACTTGGAGAAGACATGGTTTTTGCATTCATAGTTTGATTTAGGCCGCCATCAACCTGAAGCTGCAATCACAAGCACAATATGCTGTAAAATCGAAGGAGTACAAAATCAGTAGAAACATTGATTAGTTATGTCAATTGAAAATATTCAACAAAACATCATATGGAAACAACTCTCTTCGAAAGCACCTGTTAAAATTTGGGTTCACTATTCAGAAATTTTAAATTACAATTAGAGCACTTCTGATTTAGCATTTGGACTATGTATTGGTTTCTGCTCTATTTATAAGTACACATAATCTTATCACAACTAGCCACCATGTTATTTTGCACTTGCACAAATGATCATCTAAAAGAACAGGCAAAGAAGTACAGATTGTAATTTCAAATCGACAAGTCACAATCAATTATTAAAGGAAAAGAAGAGAGGGACCACTCCTTCACTGCTCTTTTGGTGATGTCCATATGAAAAATGCACACAACTAATACAGATCTGCATTGCGTGGATTAGATAATATAGCAGAAAAGCATGGGGAAACACAGATCTGCATTGCAGGGTTACATAATTTAGCAGAAAAGCATGGGAGAACACAGATCTTCATTGCTGCACAACAACAAATATGTCTAGAAGACTAGTGTACTTTCAAAGAATTATGAAAAAATTTATTCATCTACAAATACTGCAAGTGGCAGTGCTCCTGTCAAAAGAATTACAACAGTTCAGTTTGAAAAGAGACAATCAATGCAAAAAGTGTAGTTATATCTTTAATCAGGGATGATCGGCAATATATGCATGCCGCACATCAATATTTCCAAACTATCCAGAATTATTCTAACTCATAACAATATTACACATTCTCCACCCTTCTATTGAATGATTAGATAAGCCTAAATGTCTACAAGATAGCATTGTTTAGGACCATCTACGTTTGATTGCTTCCCCACGCATTAGGTTTCACACACAACAGTTTTTGATGTGAGACCTCCCTCAAGAATTGTTAAAACAATTCCATAATCTGCAGATTAAACAAAAACACAACATAAAAGTTCTTTACTTCAAGCAGCCTCAGGTGTGCTGTTGCTCGCATTTGTTACTCGAGTATGATATTGAAGATTCATAACATAGTATAAGAGAATATGTACTGGATATGGTGTCTGCAGCTGGCAAACAGTAATTCAATATCAACTTCAACATATTGCATACCTCAAGTTGTGTAAGCACTTCTATTGTTAGGTTCAGATTGCCGGCATTGGCAAAGTACACCTCCGCCAGGCTTTCAGCTGCAAAACCAGGAAATTGTGAAGCCAAAAATTCAAGAGGGCCAAAATCTGTATTGTCCACCAGTAATTGCTCATTTGACATGTTATCCAGCATTGAATGCCTTGGATTTTCAGAGTCGGGTCCTCCTCTTGTTAAAAGCTGATCAGTGATAACGGGTTGGTCCCAAGGTTTGGCAGCAAATGAAGGATGAAAACTTGTAGGTGATGGATATTCACCATAGGACGACAAAGGCGACCCCAGCTTTCCAGTAAACATGCTGTCACTAACAGGGTGAGGTGATAACCCTTGCAGCTCCTTGGACATAAAGCCAGTACCAGTTGAAGTAGCATATCTCGAACCTTCATTTATATCATTCAAGGACAAGCTTGAAAGTGATAAGCTGTTGATCCCATGATTGTCATCTAGGCCCATGGCCTTAAAGTCCGGAGTAATATCATCCGGAAGCTGATGGCTCCAATACTGCTGTGCTTCATCATCGGAATTATGTGAAACCGATGACTCTGATACATCTAGTATAGCTTTCCCTGAAGTAGAAGTTTTGGAGGATTCCTCGGCACTGCTGATGCCTGCCACAGGTGACCTCAGAGCAAATGGAACAAATTCTGTGGCATTGGGATTCAAGGCCGCCTTTTTCAAGGTACCAAGGTTTTTGTCACCGGACGAAGCCCCTTTTCCTGACAAGTACATTCCTTTCTGTTTTCCTTTAAGGATTTTGAACAGGTAATGAAATGGATCTCCACATACAAATGAAAAATCAAAATCACAAAGTTGTTAGGCGGAATAGCCGAAGTTGTAGAGTAGCATATGTCGAATCTCAACCAAAACCTGCATATATACATCTCTTCCAGGTTAAATTTCTGAGAAAGAAAGAAAAAGAAAAAGAAGAAGAAGAAGAAGAAAAGCACAACTACACTTTGAATAACTTCTACGGATACACTGAGATCGAATAACAGATAGTATCAAAAGACGAGCATAGTAATTAGATTGAAGCAACAAGAATCACCCACAGATCGACAAAAAAGCTCTCATCGATTTAACAAATCTAAGCGAAACACACATTCGTTATAACCAGTAACCATCAATGCATTAACCAACCTCACAATAAAAGAAGTACCAAAACCCTAACAAACGCACCAAAAAAGTCTTGCTAAAATTGGAGCAGCTCAGCAACTCAATGAAAACAAGGATCAAGTAAAACTATAAATTAAAACTCAAAATCGAAATTAAAATACAGAAGAAACTGAACTTCAAACGCGAAATCAATAGATCTCTCGCAATCCGAACAGATTTAACAAAAAAAACGAAACAATCAGACAACGCATGATCTAGTTTTACCTTCGCGAAACTCCGTTCTGAAAGAAACCTTGTCAAATGCATCCATAACCAGAGATGAAATCTCAGAGAAAACAAAAAATAAGAGAAAACTTCAAAAATCTAGAAAAACAATCAAGTGTATGTGTATACATACATAAATAGATACATGAATGAATCAGCAGCAGTACACAGACAGAAAAATTCTTGTGGATGAACACTTGCCCATCATTCCTGGGCCTCGAATTGTGGTTGCGGGAGGGTCGAATCGCGTCCGTCTATGTGGGTGTATCTTTTCCTTCTCCGTCCAATCTTTTCTATCTCTATAAATGAGGCTGCTTTGCTTCTGATTTTCTTTTCTCTCTCATCCTTCTCTCTCCGCTTTTTTTATTCCCTTTTTGCCCTTCAAGTTTCTTGTTATTTGTTTTTGATCCACTCCAGATTTTTGTTGGGGTCAGTTATTGCAGTTTTTTTAGACCACAGAAAAAAATAAAATAAACAAATACTATTAACAATTCTTGTTGAGGTCATTTTTTTTTTATGCTCATTTTTTTAAAAAAAATAATAAATTTAGAGTAATCGAAAATAAATAATTTTAAAATTAATGTGATAGTGGGATTTGGAAAAATCCTACCTACTCTCGCATATCTCTCTTTTACTGTTTGCTTATGAGTAGAAATTTATCTCTTACTTACTACGAATGTGTTTTATGGGTTATTTTATTTTATTTTATTTATAAAAAAAACAACTTAATATATTTATAAAAAAAACAAACAAAATTGTAAAAATAAAATCCTATTTTGCCTAATATTTGAAAAGCACCATTACCCAACATTTGTCGGATTTTGTTTTGGTATAACTTAGATAATTTTTAATAAGAATCTTTTATAAATCAAAGATATTTATATATAATTTTTTTAAAAAATAGCCATTGTTTCTTTTATACGGAATATGGTTTTAAATGTATGGATTGAGTTAAAATATGAGGTTGCCTACTCTCTCGCAATGTTGACTGAGGTAATCATTTGGTGAGTGGGATGCATGTCAATTGGGATAAAATTTCCATGTATTTTAAAATATTGCATATAAATAACTTATAAATTTGGTGTAATTTAATTTCTTTAGAAAGTGGAATTTTTTTAAAAAATAATAATAAAAAAATAGTACAAAAAGTAAATTTAAAATAAAACTAAGGGTTCAAACCCTGATATCCTTGAGTCTTATCCGTCGATTCTTCTTACTATAATTTGTCTTCGGCTAAAAATATATCTAAAACTCATTAAAAATGGATTTCCACATCATTATAAAAATATTAATAGTAATAATAACTAAGGAGAGTGCAAATTTGTTTGAATTGAAAAAAAGAAAAAATAAATAAAAAAATAAATATTTTAATTAAATTAGAATAATTAAATTTATTGTATATGTTATTAAGAGCATAGTAACGCTTAGCAATCAAACACACCCTAAAAAAAAAGTGATATTTGAACATAAATGAATAGACTAGTTAATGTAGTCCAAACAAGTTTTTATTAATGGGAATGATAAAATATACGAGAGGAAGTATACCAGAATGTACGGCAGAAGAATGACCACCGCCGGCGCCGGCGCCGACCTGGCTTGCCTCGCCGTCCTCCGCCACTGCACCTGTTTCTCCAAACTAACTCAGATCCACGCCACAATACTCAAATTCGGCCTGCACAATAACGGCGTCATCCTCACAAAGTTCACTGCCGTTTCTTCAGACCTCGGTGCCATTGACTACGCCTGTTCTTTCCTTTTCTCCCCAAATTCCGACCTCCATTGCCACGACACCTTCCTCTTCAACACCGTCATTAAAGCCTACGCCGACACTCCTCATCTTAAGCGCACCGGCGTCTGCTACTATCGCAAGATGCTCCGCCACGGCGGCGGCGGCGCCGATCCAAACAACTACACCTACCCGTTCGTCTTCAAGGCCTGCGCGGGGATCGGGGATTTAAAATTAGGGCAGTCGGTCCACGCCTCTGCAATGAAGCTAGGGTTCCATTTCCACGCTCACGTTGCCAACAGCATGATTCACACGTACTGCAGTTGTGAGGGCGGTATTGGATATGCACGGAAGGTGTTCGACGAAATGCCTGAACTCAATGTAGTTTCCTGGAGCACGATGATCGGTGGGTATGTGAAGTCTAGCATGTCCAGTGATGCTATAAAGCTCTTCAGAAGCTTCCAGATTCATGGGGAGAGGCCTGACGAGGCTACAATGGCGATGGTGCTATCTGCTTGTGCTGATTTAGGGGCCCTCGAGCTGGGGAGATGGGTGGAGGCTTACATGGTGAGGGAGAATCTTCCGATGGAATCGGAAATCGTATACAACGCAATGATTGACATGTTTGCAAAGTGCGGCGATGTCGACAAGGCATTGAAGCTGTTCCGGAAAATGCCTCCGGGGAAGAGGACCGTCGTTGCTTGGACGTGTGCAATTTCTGGTATGGCATTACACGGCCGTGGGTTAGAGGCAGTGTCTTTGTTCGAAGAGATGAAGGGGGCCGGTGTAGTACCTGACGATGTCGTGTTCATTGGTTTACTCTCGGCTTGTAGCCATTCCGGTCTGGTCAAGGAGGGCTGGCGATATTTTGATTCGATGGTGACTGAGCATGGAATTGAGCCTAGGGTAGAGCATTATGGATGCATGGTGGATATGTTGAGCCGGGCCGGGTTTGTCGAGGAAGCTCTGAAATTCATCGACAAAATGCCCATGGCTCCGAGTCCAGTTATCTGGCGAAGTTTAGTTTCTGCATGCCGTAGTCGAGGTCAGCTGGCTCTCGGCGAGCGAGTAAGTAAGAATCTCATTGTTCAGGATCCGATGGAAGAATCAAACTATGTCCTGCTCTCCAGTGTCTACGCAAAATCGCAGGATTGGGCGAAGAAGACTCGAGCCCGGGAAGCTATGGGGAAGAAACGAGTCCAGAAGATCCCCGGAAGCACGATGATTGAGCTTGCCGGAGATATTCATGAGTTTGTCGCCGGGGATAAATGCCATGCCGAGTATCCGAAGATATATGAAATGGCGGATGAGATGGAGACGAAGATTAGGGCAGCCGGGTACGTGGCCTCGGCATCAGAAGTCATGCTCGACATCGACAGAGAGGATAAAGAGGGAGCTCTGCACAGGCATAGTGAGAGGCTGGCTATGGCATTTGCACTCCTGAAAACACCGCCAGGATCAACTATAAGACTGATGAAGAACTTACGGGTTTGCGACGACTGCCATTCGGCTACTAAGATTATATCCGTCGTGTACAGGCGCGAAATCTTGGTCCGGGATAGAAGCCGGTTTCACCACTTCAAGAATGGCTTGTGCTCCTGTAAAGATTTCTGGTAGATCGAGAGATCGATCGCCCCTTTCCCTGCTCAATCAATCGACTGTCCAAAACAAAGCAAGACAGCATTTCTAGTTCAAACTCGGGCTAAAAAGGTAAAAACGGCACCGACCACTGGAACGCAAATACTGATTCAGCCGGCGTTACTACATATTACATGGGCAAATTTTGGTCCGGATAGAGATAGTCGAGTGCCAAACGGAAATCAGAGTAGACAATACATCATAGCTAACATATGCTCTTCGTACTCCAACCATCAACATAAACAGAGCAAATTCATGTTTAGCAGGTTCGATCGACTTCTTCATAATTGATCCGACATTCAATGAAAGATCAAGTACACAATGCTCGGCGGGCAGGAGCACCTTCTGCTTTTCATGTACACAGAAAGATAGTTGTCTAACAGCTCTAGGATGGCACTGCAAAACATCAAAGAGTATAATCAGTATTTTACATTATAGACGAAACAGACACCAAAATTGGCAAGAACCACCATATCTATCCATTCAAAGAAAGACATGATGAAATTAACAGTCGGCAGAAAATCACCCATACAGCACTAAAACGCAGACGAGACAGAATGATATTGGATCAAAGCAAGTGAAAAAAAGAAACTCACTGTATGTAGATGTATCAATTTGCTCCGGAAGTTCTTTGATATCCACTTCAAATCTCTCCTGAACCTGCAAGAGACAGATTTAAACTTTACACCCGGAAACATTAAAGGAAACCAAAGAGTAATTTTGCGACATAAATTCTCTAACTGCAAACCTGATTAAGAACATCAGAATCGGAGGCAGAAGAAACAAATGTAATGGCAAGCCCCTTAGTGCCAAACCTCCCAGCTCTACCCACCTAGAAAATTGAAGGGGGTAAAAAAGGTGAATGGAAATCAGGATTGACCATTGAAGAAAAAGGAAAACACTTAAATAGAGAGAAAATTAATGATAAAGTTAATACTCTGTGCAAGTAAGTGTCCGCAGAATCTGGCATGTCATAATTGATCACAATGTTCACTCTTTCTATGTCAATTCCTCTTCCAACCAAATCTGTAGCTACAAGAATCCTCTTGTGCCCCTCCTTGAATCCTTTGTACCGAGTCAATCTATAAATCCCAACCAAAAACAAATTCATCATACTTTCATCAGTATATGGGGAAAATATGATCCAGAGCTGAAATATTGACACAGAAGTACCGGAAGGATTGTCACTACTCACTAGAGAAATCTTTAAACATAAAAAATAAGTCGAAGTGCTCAAATGCAACCAACAAAACAAGATCTTAAACAACACACAATATTTTGGTTACACTATTCTTCATTAGCCAATAGTGACAAAAAACAAGGAACTATAGGTATAAATAGCTAACCCTAAGCATTCAACAAGAAAAGGTCAGACAGCTTGGGCTAACCTTTCTTCCTGGGACATGCCAGAGTGTATGCAAATTGATGGAAAATTACACTCCACAAGCAACTTGTTCAGCTCCGCAGCTCTACTGACACTTTTGACAAAAATGACAACTTGATTGAAGTCCAGCGCATCGAGCAGATCATTCAGCTTCCGGTTTTTCTCCAGCTCACTCAATTTGATATAGTGCTGTCATTATCACATTCACATGTTACATAAATACACAACATATAGAAGTAAAGAAAAAAAAAAAAAGAAAAACCAAACCTGCACAAGACCATGAAGGGTCAACTTTGCCTCGTCATCCACATAAATCTCCATGGGCTGAAATGAAGAAATGTCACAGTAAAGCAAATTAGGTGGCCATCAGATGGTAATGGTATCCGCAATGAATGAATCAGCGGACGAACATGGCCCCAATTGAGGTGCTGGTCCATCCGAATTAACTCCTTGCAGACACTTTCAGAGCTCAAACAAAGTAGCTTCACCACAGCATCTCAAAAAAACTACCCAATCAAACAAATGGATTCTCCTCCCCACCCTCGTCATCTGAATCTTCTCATTAAAATAAGTAAAAAATAATAATAATAATAAATGTAGTGAAGCAACAGCAGAGGTAGGGTGCTAATCTCACTATCAGAGGACAACCTATAGAACCAGAATCTACCACATCATATCCCCCATGTACTTGAACCTTTCAAATATACCATCAGCATATCGAGTTGGATAGAAAAACATGGGACTTGCCACACACATGGTGCTTCAACCAAGGCAACTTTAGCAAAAAGGATGCTAGCAGAAAGCTGAATAATGGAAACATGGTAGAACTGGCCACAGAACATTACATCTTGCATGAACTTCTTGCAAACAGGACGAATCTCCTTGCTGAGTGTAGCAGAGAACATCATAACTTGCTTATCATGAGGTGTCATTTTGAAAATCTCCTGCACATCTCTTCTCATATCTGGGTATTAGAGAAACAGAAAGTAAGCATGCAACCCCAACAATTTTATGAGTAAGAAAATAGTAAAATATGGTAAAAACTCAATACCAAGAGACTCAAGCATCTTGTCACATTCATCGAGAATGAAATGTCTAACATTTCTTAAAGAAAGGTCCTTCTCTCTTGCTAGGGCAAGGATTCTTCCGGGAGTTCCTACTACAATGTGAGGGCATTCATTCTTCAAAAGGTCCTTGTGGATTTTGATGTTAACACCACCATAGAAAACAGCAACTTTGATATCTGACAAATATGTGCTGAATCGCTCAAATTCATGACATATCTGAGACAAAAAGGAACCCATATTGTGAATATTCATTCACACTGAATGATAATAGCTCAAACGGAAATACAGATAAAAATATGTATCACATGCCTGATAAGCCAATTCCCTTGTATGGCACAGAACAAGAGCAGCAACTTGACCTGCAATGGGTTCAATCTGCTGCAATGTTGAAAGAACAAAAACAGCAGTTTTCCCCATACCAGACTTGGCTTGACAAATGACATCCATTCCCAAAATTGCTTGAGGTATGCACTCGTGTTGAACTGATGAAGAACCAAAGAAATTTGATCGAAGGAAGCCTCAGTTTCATGTAAAAAAAAGGTTTACCATTCAACGTCTCCAAGGTAGAGTGATGTTAGCATATTACCTGAGAAGTAATATTACACAATGTAAGTCAGATCACCTGGGAGAATTCATTGTATAGAACCACAAATAAAACAATATTGACTATAGGAATAAATACATGGAGAACACTACAGACAATTTTGAAGAGCAAACAGGATCAAGAAGTTTTCTTAAGCAGGTAAGCTTCTGAAACAAGTTATCACAAGTATTTACTCTTGATGAATTATCGTGACAGGTGCAGCAACAAAACAGTATTAATCATGGCCCGATAAATATTGTTAAGTGACTCATTCAGTTTAAAAAATTATCTAGCCCACTTGAATAGCATGCTTAAGAGACAACTTAAAACAAGGAATAAACAATCTTGCCTTCTGATGGATGTTCAAATCCAGAATCTACAATAGCCCTTAAAAGTTCCGGCTTTAAGAGGAAGTCTCTGAATCCTGAACTGTGGATTCCTACATAACCCCTGTCATATAACAAAAAATGAAGTCAGCCAAAGTAGCTTATGCAGCATAGAATAGGCAGGACAGGCAAAATAATATAGAACACAAAATTTGTACATCACTTGATAAAATCACTTGGGATAGCTTAAAACATTGTGTTTTGTGTTTTAGGGTTGTCAATCACAAACAAATCCACATATGCCCCAAAACTCCATCATTACCTTCATATGCTATTTACAGAAACCAACTAAGATATAGCCTCACATATCTAAAAACACAAAAATTATCCTCTCTATACACACACATTTAAAACTTGGGCTATTCATAACTTCTCCGTGTATAAACAAAATAAATTACTTTCTCAAACCCATATCAAAAGGAAATCCAAACCTATCTTGCAAAATTAATACACGGGTTCCAGAAGGAAAATCATTAAGGAAACGCTCAGATCTAGTTCAGTCAATCCTGTACAGCCATTTCTGATAGTTATAGATTCAGATTGCCCGTATAAACAGATCGAACTTCAAACGAAGCAAGGTTCGTCGTAAACGTAGAAGACACCAATAACGAAAAAAAAAAAAAAAAAGCGTAAGGTCACAACATATTGAAATTGAAGATCGATCCGAGTAAAAGATTGATATCAATAATGAACAACTCACTTCTTTACGGCCTCTCCATTGACCTTCGCGTTGACCGAGTCGGGGGCTTTTTCATCTTCTTCCTCGTAGTCCAGAAGCTCCTCTTCGTATGCGTCGTTCTCCTTCACGTCAGCCATTTATTGCCTGCAGCGGAAGAGCAGATCAGGAAACAAAATCCATCCTTATCTTCCAAAATTATAGAAGAAAGTAGCAGCGACTAACACAGCTAGCACAGGAGCAAGGAGAGTGTTTCGGAATCTTACCTCACGACTGAATTTGGGGTTTAAGGCTTGAGCAGTTCCGTAGATGCTGCAGAGAAGGTCGAAGGGAGAAGATTGTGGCGGAGGAGAATGAGATTAGGGTTTGGGCCGAAAATTTAAAAGGGGGAAAGGAGAGGTGAGCTGTTTTTGGACCAGCAGATATTTTAATATCAGTCCATTTTTCGATTATTATTAATACATTTTTTTAAATTGTTACTTATATGATTCTTTTGTTTGGTATTTTAATTTAAATGACTTTTTATATGATATATATATATAAAAAATTAAGTTAATAAATTAAAATAAAATTTATATTAAAAAATATATATCAAAAATCATATTAAATTTATAATTCATCCATTACTTCACAATAATAAATTTACCATCAAACCACTAGAATATAACGGTATTTTAATAATTGCAACTGCGGTTCCCTAATTGCATTACATACATCATTATATATAATTATTTTGTTCATAAAATACAAAAATATTGAATTATTTTATATAATTTCATTAATCAATAACATATTACTTAATTATTTACCAATCTACTATAATATCTCACAAATAACCAATTTAGATTGAAATTTAAAAAAAATAAAAAATAAAATTGTGTTACATCTATTTTTTTTTTTTCATATTAATTTTAATCTTGAATAATAATTGTTTTTTTTTTTTTTCCATTTTATACCAAAAAACATAGCCCAAAAAATGCAATTTTTGTTAAAACTAAAAATATTTCATTGTAACAATAATAATAAATAAGTAATTTTGAATGACATGAAAAACACACCAAATAATTATTTCACCTTAGATATATTAAGGGTGTATACCTCATATATATTAAGGCTGCGTTAGATTGTGATTTCAAATAAAAACTGATTTTATTATGAATAATTTTTTATAATAAATTATTTTATTTTGTATAATATTATATTAAAAAAAATTAAATTAATATTCCTTTCGTCTCATATCTATATATCCATTTGCTTTTTGTACAAAGTTTTAGAAATATTAGTATTATATTGAGATAAAGTATAAATAATGGCAAAAATACTAAATTAATCCTATTAGTATGGTATGATATAAAGGTAATGACATTTGTGTAATACTCCCTCTGTCCAACTAGAACGTATACATATTTCTATTTTTAGGACGTCCAATTACAAAGTAAACATTTTATTAAATACCTTACATTTTTCCACAAATACTCTTACTTTATATCACATCATTACTTTTACACCAAAAGGCAAGGGCAAAAATGTCATTACACTACTTTTTAACTGTCCAACACCGCGCCAAAAATAATTGTATACTTTATTAGTGGACGGAGGGAGTATATTGTAAATTGAAAAGATATTTGTAACGTTAAGTAAATAGTATAATTACTTAGAAAACAATGGATGCAACCGACCAAAATTAAAAAATTGATAAATTGTTAAGGGACGGAAAGACAAATCAATTTGAAATCTTAACCAATAAACTCTATTTTTTTAAAAAAAATACAAAACAAAGAAAATTGTGTTAAGTTATAATTTTTAAATTCTTATTAATCACTTACTCCCTCCGTCCAGCTAGAAAGTATACATGTTTCTATTTTGGGGCGTCTAATTACAAAGTAAACATTTCATTAAATACCTTATTTTTTCCCACAAATACCCCTACTTTACATCACATCATTACTTTTACACCAAAAAACAAGGACAAAAATGTCATTACACTACTTTTAACTATCCACTATAATTAAAATACTATTATTTCTTAAACACCGCACCAAAAGTAATTGTATACTTTTTTGTGGACGGAGGGAGTATAATATAATTTTCAATAAAAAAAATATTATTATTGAAATAAAATAGACATTTAAAAAATAAAAATAGTGTATATTCTTTTTATATTTTTTTATCATTCATTTTTTTTAAAAAAACTTAATATATTAAATATATTAATTATTTTTATATTAAATTTTCATAATTCACATAAATATATATATCTATTAAAAATATTTTATAAATCAAAAACACCCAATGCTAAAACTTTTTTTAATATTAATTTTTTATAATTCACGTAAAAATATATATATGTATCTATTAAAAATATTTCATAAATCAAAAACACCAAAGCTAAAACCTTCCAAATATAGTTAGGAGGGAATGGAGAGATCCGATCCATTAGCCCACTTTGCTGGTGGAGTTGAAATGAATTAATTCAATTTCAGACAAACCATAACCAATATTTCAGACAAACCATAACCAATACCGACCAACTCTCCGAACTCAACCAATCCAAACATTCTTTTTCCTTCTCTAATGTAATAAACCGATTTTAATACTAGTAAGTGTGTTTGTTTGGGGGTTTGGATTTTGAGGGGATTTGAATAGTAAAAATTTTGAATTTGAATAGTTGTACGATGTGATATAAATAGGCGTTGATGTGATGTTTTGAATGTAAAATTGATTTTTAAGTATAATATAAAAAATATAAAATAGGTGTTTGATTTGATGTTTTTGGATAAAAAAATTGAATGAATAGTAAAATTTTGCACAAATCTTACAAACGAATAAATAAAACATTTATTTATTTATTACATATAATAAATACTTATTAGTAGTATAATAACATAAACGAATCACGAGTGGTGATGGCCCTCTGAATAGAATTGAATTGAAGGAAGAAAGAAAAGCAAAGGTTGATAGTGGCGACCGGTGGAGTCTCTTTCTCTCTGTCAAGATTCGAAATCCATGGCTGCCAATTCCAGGAGCTCTTCGCCTTTGCCTGTCTCGTTGACCGATCCCCCGCCGCCCCCCGCCGAGGACAAGCTCTTCCGAGGATCCTCAATGACTAAACGGGGGGCCTATGCTGCTATCTCATACATGGCTTGTGCTGGTATTTATATATATATATATACATATATATGTATATGTTGTCGTTTTCGTTGGCCGTGTGCCGGAAGTTTCCACCCCAGCTGTGATTTATTGCTTATGCTAGAACTCAATTTATCTCGTCGAAGGTGTATTGTTTTGGATTTCTGTTTCGAATTATGTTGATTTGAGTTTATTGTTTGCCTTTATCTCTATAGAATTGATTGCAGTTCGTGAGATTGAGGGATGTTTTATGGTGTTCTGGGAGAGATTAGGGTTTGCGTGTATGCTGAATTTAGTGGAGTTTAATCCGTCTGAGTTTTGTTTGTCTATTGAGAATGTGAATTTAAATTTAGCACTTTTGGTGAATTTTGAATTCGGTTACGCGATTGAATTTTCCTTTGGGAAGTGCTTAGTGTATAAAAATGGAGCTTGTTAAACATTTTGCTGTAAACACATGTATACTGGTATATGCATTTGATAATTATATGTGATTTAGGTTTAGATGTCTCGGATTGGACAATAGCGTATTGAACTGTGGAAGCGGAGGTTCAGAATGATTTCTTCTGAGTTTGATTTTGTTTAATTTTGCAGTGCTTTTGGTAATGTTCAATAAAGCAGCCCTTTCTTCATACAGTTTTCCATGTGCCAATGTTATAACACTTTGTCAGGTATAATTAATTGATCTATCGTCATACATTGTCTGAGATATTGAGTTATTGATTTCAAATAGATGATCTGTCCTCCTGTTTGTATCTAGAGACACTGTATAATGATGTCTTAACTCCTGTTTGGATTTGATGCTTTTGTAGTCTGATCTTGCTTTGGTTTTGAAGGAGCCTGAAAAGGTTGTCGGAGATCAACTTTTGTCTCTAAGATCACGTCACTCATTTGTGTTTCTTTTTTTCTTAGCAAACATCATAGGCCTAATAACACTAACCAAATTTGTTTCCTTAGTAGCTATGGTCGTGAGTGAGTGTTAGCTATGATGATTGTGTCACAATCTTATCGAAGGAGATAGAAGTTAAAAATAGCAGAGATTCATCATATCAGATGATCTTACATATTCTTAATTCTAACTGACTCTATCTGCTGCAGATGGTATGTTCGTGCTGTTTCCTTTATGCAATGCGACGCTCAAAGCTTATTTCTCTAAATGCTAACGAATCTGTAGACATCAATGATAATTTCAAAACATTAGTCCCAATAAAGACATTGATCAACACTTCGCCTCTTGCTTTCTCCTATTTGCTTTACATGGTAACATTTTCTTCACTTTTTTTCTGTATTGTAAACTTCTCATCATAAAGATATTCACAACTCTGTTTTTCCTTGAAAGTTAGTCACAATGGAGTCTGTCCGAGGTGTAAATGTGCCAATGTATACAACATTGCGAAGAACAACAGTAGTCTTTACAATGATCGTTGAGTACATACTTGTGAATCAGAGATATACGAGACCTATTCTTGGAAGGTAAGCATCTTTCCTATTCTACGAATTCTTTCCTCTAAATAAAACGTGTTATGACTGCAAAGAACGTGGTTTGTATAATAGAAAATCGCTCCTTTCTGACTTTGTGCGTAATTGCTATGATATCATCATCTTTGGGTGACTATAAATTCTGCACTTATACTAAATAATCGAATAAAAATCATGTTGGACATACTGAATAAATGACCGATGAGGTAAATGTAGGCTACGTAGCATTTTTTAATTACAAAAAAAAAGGAACTAGGTATGTAAGAATTAACAAAGTTTATAAACAGGCTGATGTCTCGAAATGTTGACTTGCAGCTCTAGAGATGCACATTCTTATTTGGGACTTCTTGTTAGCAGTAGATTTCTAAGAAAAGCACCCCTGTTGCATGCCATGTGTTCTCCAATCCTTCATTTTGTTTCTCAATCATTCAACAGCTGAGAAATTATGGTTGTGCCAGTGTAGCTTTGATAGTATTGGGTGCTTTTATTGCTGGAGCCCGGGACTTGTCATTTGACTACTACAGCTATTTCATTGTTTTCCTGGCAAATATCACCACAGCAATATACCTTGCAACTATAGCTCGTATTGGTACCACTTCTTAGCTTCTTTCAACCATGTTCTCTCCGAAACGTTTACTTTCTCATTCTAATAACTTACTTTTTCCAGGAAAATCGAGTGGCCTAAACAGCTTTGGCCTCATGTGGTGCAACGGTGAGTAACCAGATCAATTTTTTCCTATCCTTATAAATATCTCACCACATCATTTAAAGTCATGTTTCTAGCCTTTTGTAGGAATTTTGTGTGCGCCGGTGTTATTTTTATGGACCCTATTTCGAGGTGACCTTGTGATGACAATGAATTTCCCAAGTTTGTTCTCTCCTGGTTTCCTGGTAATTCTTGCTATTTTGTCACTTTTATTATATTTATTTAATTTTCAATTCACTTGATTATTATAATTTCAAGTTTGGTTGTGTATTAGTTCATGACATAATATTCACTTGGTCCTTTTGAGGTAACACTAAACACTGAATTCCCTGTCCCTTTTCTGTTGTCAGACAGTATTGCTTCTATCCTGCATACTGGCTTTCTTCCTGAATTACAGCATATTCCTCAACACTACTCTCAATTCTGCACTTGCACAGACGATATGTGGTAATTTGAAGGTTTGTTCCAAAGCACCAGTTTTATCTCGAGTATATGTTCTTATTTTGTGTGTAATTCTTTGTTCATTGTCCGCACTTGTAAAACATTATGATATCTCTGTTAGGGAGAATACTTCAGAGCTAAGCCGATTAGTTGATTTCAGTGTATCCATAAATTAGTGTCAGTAGTTTATGTCTCCGGGTTATGGATCGATTTGAGTTTAGGGATCGCCCTTTTGGCTATGGACTGCGAGAATTTCCTTGTACAACAGACGGGAAGAAATTCCTGTATTTTGATGGTGTCATTTATTTTCTTTCGAATCTCTTAGTTGCAAATATGGCCTTGCGATGCATTAAGATAAGGTTTTAAATGAATGGCTAAGATAAATGAACTTCTATAAATGACTGTCCTGTATCTAGATAATACAATGGGATCGTTACAAAAGATTGGGAATTCAATTATGAAACCTTAGTCGACTGCTTGAATAGTAAATGATTGTGGCATATTGCAACTATACATTTTTTGTACATTGAATGTGCGTTTTCTACGCAGGATCTTTTCACGATCTCGCTTGGCTGGGTAGTCTTCGGTGGACTGCCATTTGATTTCGTAAGTGCAGTATCCGACATTTGTTTGTTTGCAGCTTAAACTAATGCCGTACCATTTTGAATCTCTTCTCATACAATTCTGCAGCGACGCTAACATTCATTTTCCTTGCAGTTAAATGTCGTTGGACAAATTCTCGGCTTCATAGGCTCAGGCATGTACGCCTATTACAAGCTTATTGGCAAATGATCAGCTACAACAGAGAGCTAATCTTATATGTATGTAGTATACGCCAAATGACGACAACCTAGAGGCATTGGCAATTGGAGAATCAGAACAACATTGCCGACTGCTGTGAACACTGCATCGGCTTTGATTTTACAGTTTTGCTTTAATTTAATGAAGAATCCATCGCTCACACACATATATAGTCGACCACGCATAGTACATTGTAGGCTGAAACTAGCCGGGAAAAAAATATGCGAACATCTTCGACCCGGTTGATGGATTTTGTTTCTTTGCAGATTCTAAATGAAATGAAATGAAATGAAAAGAAAGCTACCCTGTTTCTCTCTTTTATACTGCAAATCATTACCTATCTGTAATCGAGTAATCGATCTAGCATATTGAACAGATCTTGGAGGGTTCTCATGAATTCGATATCTTGTATAATCTATCGGTATGGTGTTCTTGAGCTCCCACGCATCTTTTAAATCACTTGAACACGAATGTCGTTCAAACTCATTGATTTTATTGAATTTTTCCCTTAATCTTCATCGATCTCCATTGGATTTGTAGTTCGTCGTGAAGCCATCGTAGTCGAAAACACACAGAAAAAGGAATTAAGTTATGTTACAGAAGCTTGAAGAAAGGAATAAGCTGTAGGAAGTATTATTCTTTGCCATATCCAAACTCAAAGAACAAACTTTGAGATGAAAGATTTAAGGCATAAAAGGAGAACACAAATCTACAACAGCTCTACATTCATCTCAACAATCTTTGGTGCAAAAAAGATGGGATTTTTAGTCGCTTGGATCGCGGGCTTCGCGGTCGGCGTCGCTTTGATTTTAGTTTTTGCTCGATACCAGAAATTGAGATCGAAACGGCGCGCTAATTTGGTAAGTTTTCGATTCAAGAAAACTAGCTGTATGTATTCTTCTGTGACTAAAAATGCGACTGCAGCGTTAGTATTTGTTCCGGAAATGTGTTATGCATCAGGCAGCAGCGATCGCAGCTTTCGCTCGGATGACAGTCAATGATTCGAAGAAACTTCTCCCGGATCAACTCTATCCTTCTTGGATCGTCTTCTCACAGCGACAAAAGGCGAGTTGCATTACACTTTCTGAGTTTCTCGACATTTCATACGTCGTTGAAGCGAAGTTCTAACATTTACGCCTTCAAGATTCATCTTGCAGTTAACTTGGCTCAACCATCACGTCGAAAAACTATGGCCTTACATCAACGAGGTCGATTTTTCATTGCAATAGCTACATATAGGCATTAAAATGGTTGTTCATTAACTGAAAAATTCGATCTTTGGCTGCACAGGCTGCGTCGGAGATGATAAGAAACTCTGTGGAGCCGATACTCGATCAATACCGATCAGCAGTTTTATCGTCTTTAAAGTTTTCGAAACTTACTCTCGGCACAGTGGCTCCGCAGTTCACAGGTCCGTAACTTTTGAATCGTAGTAGCTTAACTTTTGAATCGTCGCAGCCATTTACACTTTCGTCGTTTTCGCCATAGGAGTTTCTATCGTTGAAGGCGAAGCTGATGAGATCGTTATGGAGTTGGAGATGCAGTGGGATGGAAATCCGAAGATTTCACTCGATGTTAAAACTCGAGTGGGGATTGCGTTGCCAATTAAGGTACACGTTCGATGTTAATACGAATGTAGAAACTCAAAAATGGATCGACAGCGGTAGTTTTCTTTGACTGCAGGTGAAGAACATCAGATTTACCGGCGTCTTCAGATTCATATTCAAACCGTTGGTCGATGAGTTACCTTGCTTCGGAGCTGTTTGTTACTCCTTGCGAGAAACGGTGACTTCAATCATCGATCCTTCTTCTTCTTCTTCTTCTTCTTCTTCGTTGTCGAGCTAAAATCAGCGAGTTACCTGCAGAAACATCTCGACTTCGATCTGAACGTCGTGGGAGGCGACGTGTTAGCGATTCCCGGAATATCAGACGCTATACAGGAAACGATACGAGATTCTATCGAGGATTCTATCGCATGGCCATGTCGAAAGATCGTACCGATATTACCAGGCGACTACAGGTTCGACGTAAACATTTCTTAACTATCAATTCCGACAAAACTTTAGTTTCAATTCCTCTTTAACCGCAGCTACCTCGGGCTAAAGCGAGTCGGGACGTTGGAGGTCAAGCTCATCGAAGCTAAGGAGCTAAGCAATAAAGACATCATCGGAAAATCCGATCCCTTTGCCGAGTTATTCGTTCGACCTCTACGCAGCCGGATGAAAACCAGCAGAATAATTGTAAGAATTATTACATCGTTCGATTCGTCTTCTTGTCTCCATGCTAACGCTGCAGTCGCATTTTTGCAGAACAACGAAACGAATCCAATCTGGAACGAACACTTCGAGTTCGTCGTAGAGGATGCGTCGACTCAACACCTAACGATAAGAATCTATGACGACGAAGGCGTCCAAGCGTCCGAGCTCATCGGTAGCGCTCAATTGCCGCTCGGCGAGCTCGAACCCGGTAAGGTAAAAGACGTGTGGCTCGAACTAGTAAAGGACCTAAAGATTCGACGAGACCGGAAGAACCGAGGTCGGGTAAGTTTTCAAGATTTCGCGACATACTTCTTGTAAGTTTATCCGCTACGATTATTCTACAACGTATCGCTGTGTAGGTGCATCTCGAGCTCGTGTATTGTCCTCTTAACGCCGAGAGCGAGTTTATGAATCCATTCGACCCCGATTTTCGACTAACTACCTTGGAGAAGACATTCAAACATGTAATGATGGACGGGGATTCGGGAGATGATTCGAAGCCGGCTAGGGACATGATTATCCGAGGAGTTCTTACGGTCACCGTGATCTCGGCAAAGGACTTGCCGAGCAAAAACCTCGCCCGAAAGCTCGATCGAGCGTTTGTAGAGATAAAGCTTCAAAAATCTGGGCAGAGGAAGGAGACGAGAGTAAGAACTTGGTTCGATTTTGTCAATGAAAGCTCGATGTTTTCGATCTACTTACGTTGTTTCACTTCTCGCAGGTTGTCATCGACACACTGAACCCGGTTTGGAATCAAACGTTCGACTTTGTCGTCGAGGATGCATTGCACGAGCTGCTAATCTTCGAAGTCTACGATCACAGTACATTTCGGAAGGTAACACAACAATGCCTAATTTGAGAACTTCCCGTCGTCGAATCATCAAAATTGAGTCGATAATCCACGATCGATTCTGCTTGCTCATTGCAGGACAAGATAGGAAGATGCATCGCGACGCTGACGAGGGCGATCATAGAGGGAGAATTCACGGCGAGTTATCCTATTGACGGAACGCAATCAGCCTCGCTGAGCCTGCATCTCAAATGGACTCCGCAAGTTCTCATCCGGGATTAACTCACCATCGATCGTTCGATCGATACAACACTGAATTGTATAATCTAAACTACTGTCTTACATTCGTATCCTCGTCGAGGGTGTCGGGGCATTACTCGAGCAAACAGTAACGACTCTTTTTGTAGTATACAAGATGGGTTACGCCGACGCCTACTTGCTCTCTGTAAATAAAAAACACAAAAAAGATTGCGCGAATCGCGCAACAAGAACAAGAGGATCGAGCCTCTTACCTCTAAAGTATCCGTTATCGGCGAGACTGTAATAAGAAAACAACGAAAGCCACGACCGGAGCTCGACTACTACGAGTATATCAGTAACTAACTACAAAAAGAATCCTCATCTGTTCAATGGTTCTAATTGAACCTCCATTCTCTCTGACGAAATTCTCGAATCCTTGTTCGCCATCCGGGTCGGGGTCAGAAGGTCGATATCCTCATCCTCGCCGTCGCCCAGCACCCAATTACTTCTCCCGACTAATCTCCCCCGTCGTCTGTTAATCTCCCGATATTCCAGGTAGATTACGGTTGCGGCGCCCATCAAGAACCAGACTATTAGAGCCCAGCTCAGGCCGTGAACATTCTCGTCGCCGTATTTCTCTCCTAAATGTTTCATCCCGGTAATAAGCGCAACGATTCCAACGACTATCGCGCATCGCCCGGTTATAACATGAGTGTATTCCCACACAAGTCTCCTCGGAGAAGCAGGCTCACCACTCGCCGGTTTTTTGGGTCTTAAGTACGCATTCGCCGGTTGCGCTATCGCGAGCACTATCGCAAGCATTCCGAATTTGACGTGCACGGAGGCGAAAGTGAGTCCCTGCAGCTCGGCAACGGCAAACAGAAAACCGAGGAAAACAATAGCCAATCCCGAGTACTGAAGATAAACATGAATCCGAAACCAGCTGTCGTCCTTAACATGCTTCAAGTATCGTGCGGCCAAGATCCCTCCAGGAAGCAGAATCCCCCACGCGAGAAACATCATGAACCCGTGCACGGCTAGAACGGGCCGCAAGTCCTCCTCCGCTTCGGCGGAGCCTCGATTTAGCAGAACGCTCATCGGTCGCTTGCTCGTCAACGAATGCATGTTTCGTACGCTCAAATGCTCGTCCGACCACTGCGCTCCCATCGCCCAAATCACTTTTAACGGAGTCGAAGGATCGATGATGTTGTTGCACTCCGGTTTTCCATCGCAAGACGGGTTTAGAGGACGGGTGAACTCCAACGTGATGATGCCGTTCTCGGATTTGCATCTCACGTACGTCAAATTCTCCTTCGTAGGATGCACGTTCGACGCATCCCTTCCGTCGATCCAATACGTGTTCACCCTCCCTTTACCGCTGTCATCAACCCAACCAACGTAAACGTAGCTATTAACCATCTCGCGACCAAATCCAATCGCAAGATACCCGCTCTTCTTCTCGCCCCGAGCTGCAATGGATATAGAGCTCTCTTCCGTTAGCGTCCAGAAAAACATAACTTGCTGATCATCCAACGACACGCTGTTGTTATACATATCAGGCAAACCGCCATCGACTACCTCAACTTTCCAGCCCATCTTCGGCGTATAAAGCGACTGATAATAAACAAGATCCGGTGTATTCCTATCCGGCGCCCAGGTCAATTCCGTAGGGCTGGCTTGAACACCCTCAGCCTTCGGACCACCGAAATATATAGTCTCCGATTTGTTTCTCAACGTCGCATTCCCGCCAATTGGATCAGATGTAATGTACAACGCCACATCGTGCCCGGCCTGAATCGAAAACTTCACCTTCACGCCGCGCTCAACTCTCAAAACCGGAGCTTCCTTCTTGTTAATGTAAAGAACTTTCCCAGGATTCGGGGGGTTCGGATGATGCATCGCTAAACCAGTCGATACAATAAGAGGCTCCTTCTTATCTGCAATGACAACATCTTGATCCTCTTTATCTTGAGCATCCAGTGGTCCTAAACAATCGTTTACACGATCCGATATATTAAGCCTCAAGTGACCATAGCTCCCGCCATGATTCTGCGGAAGATAAATCGGACGAATGCTGTCGGGAGGCTTGATCGGTCCGATTGCCCATATCACAACCATGCTATCCGTCGAACTGACATTCAAATCATACTTGCTGTCGCTGGTTTTCAACGGTCTCCTATACCGTATGAATGATACTCCATCCTTCCTGTGCCCGTAGATTAACCTGCTGTTGTTCGTCGCCCCCAACGAGCCTGTCGCATTATACATACTATCTGGACAAACCCCCTGAGCTGAACCATCCTCGTTGACGATACACTCACTGTACTTCGATATATAGAAATCATCAGCGAATGGAATTCCATCCTCCTTGAACCCTGTGATCACCACGTCGCCGCCTACCATCAACGAGCCGGATGCTTTCGGATTCGCCCATCCGAAAGCCATATAGTTCTGAATTCCAACTGCAGCTTCCAAGGCAATATCAATGGCGTCCCCTCCCTCGCTCAAACTCCACCTAATCCTGTAGTTATCAGATAACACTTTACAATTTTCCAACACAGTAGGAGGCTGTGGCTGAACCTTTGTTGAATTCAGAGAGGAATTTCTCAACAAAATGTGGCCAAAATCAGAAGCTGTGGGGATATCCCAAACTGCAACGACTTTAATTCGATCCCAAGTCAAATTGCTGCGCAGACGAACAACGAAACTATCGTTCTGATAAGTTCCATTAAGGCTGGAATCGGAGATGAGGAAACCGTCGGTTAGGTTTTGGAAGGTGAGTCCAGAAGCGCCCCACCAGTGGACGTCGGAGCCGGAAAGCAGATCGAATTGAGAAACACGAAAAGAACAGTCGTCTACGACGGAGAAACGGCCGCGGAGCTGGTGCTGCACCATGGTGAAGTGCGAGGTGAAGTTCAGGAAGGAGGTGTTTGTTCTAGGGCAAACCGAATCCAGATCGGAATGGGAGAAACGGATTAAAAACGCAAGAAGAAGCCCCAACAAGAACAGCGCGGATGGGGCCATGGGAAGGGGATCGATGATCGATCGCAGATCTGATTACTCAATGAAAGGGATCCAATATGCAGATGCGTTTGAACGCAGATTGAATCGATGCAGATATGCGATTAGACATCATACGAATGCAGAAATCGGACTGAATCGTCGATTTCCAGGCGTATGAAACCCCATGGGAGTGGAATCGAGGAGAAAAACCAACCTGGAAATCGGAAATGGAATTGCCGGGGGCAGAGGGAGTCGAATTGCAGAAGCTTTGGGAAAGGGTTGACGACGACGACGCAATATTAGGGGTTTTTCACATTAACAGTTTCCGAATCTACACTCAAGCAATGGATTCTTTATTAGGGTGAAAAGTAATGAAGAAGGGAAGTGCAGACAGATAGCAGCCAAAGATGAACCTGAACGAACCAACGAACGATGAATCCATTTTTGGGATTTATTTAGGGGTGAAATGTGAAAATATATTAATTTTGATTTATATGCGAGTTACTTTTTTATGCTTGAAATATTATATCTATTTTCAAATTTGGGGTATTTTTAGGTAGCATTTTGTTATTTTGAAATAAAAAAAAGGGAAATTATTTTAAATTGTAATAAAATGATATATCTAACAAACTATTCACGCTAATTGCATTATCAGCGATAATATTACAAATATCGTTCTAATTTACAATATATTATTACTTTTATTTCTAATAAATTTTAATATAATATTTATGTTTCTAAAACTCCATGAAAAAAAAAATAGATAGAAAAATATGAGACCAAAAGAGTATATTGTATTGTGAATCAATATATACTTTTCCGTCCCGATTCGAAATATTTTTTTATTATTTTCGTCTATCCTATTTCAAAATACTATTTTTCAATTTTAGATAAAGTAATCATATACTAATATCAAGATACTCTTACATTGTACTTAAATTACAAATATATCGTTACACATACAATTACTTTATATAAAAAAATAAAAATCGAATGACAAAAAATATCAAAATCTCTTAAACACTTCCACTAACCAATAAAATATTACTCTCTTCGTCCCACATACCATGTACACGTTATCGTTTCTGTCTGTCTCACATTCCATATCACTTTCTTTTTTTTGGAAAATGATTACACACTTTAATCTCATTTTAAACTTTTTAATTATTTTTTTAATTTTAATTAAACTAATTAGTTATATTAATCTTAATTTATAATGATTTATATTATAAGATCATTATTTTCACTAATACATTCTTAATCATCTACTAATTACATCCCTCCTAAAATTTTATGACTGAAATATTTTCTCTATATATATTTTTTCATTTTAATTGAATTGATTTTTAATTTTAGTTTTTTCTTTCTTTTTTTCTTTCAATTTGAATATAGATTTTTTATTATTTTCGACAAACGCACACACTCATGCATTCGATTTAATCGAACCCCTAACACCATGCCAAAAAAGGACTCAACTCGCTTAAGTTACCTACTTTTGGCTTCAATTTGAATACGGTTAATTACTTGGATTGCGATTTATAGGTTTTTGAAAAAGTATATGTATATTTCTTCCAATATTATAGTATTATTTACTTTTTCTTACGTGGATTCTTTTAAAAATGAATGTTAAATATAATTTTAATTGTTTTAAAAAATTCAAAACTTAAAAAAAAAAAAAAAAAAAAAAAAAAAAAAAAAAAAAAACTATTTAAATGAACATTTTATTGCAATCGAAATTTGTGGCCAAAAATATGGAGATGAAAACAAGGCCTAAGGTCAATTTTGATCATCAACAGCATGAAATGAAAGTGACTATTCCAACTCCAATGTTTTACATGTGACACAATAATATCTCACAGAGTATAATATTAATAATAATTTTTTTTTTTTTTTTTTAAGATCAACAGAGTTTTTAAATTATATTGCTTTTGTCTCGTAAAAATAATTTATTTAGGTTCGAAATGGAAATTAAAAATAAATATTTTTATTGAAAATTTTAAAAAAATAATCATCATTTGAGGTACTTTTCTTTTTCTTTTTTTGTCCAAATTAATAATAAATAAATTTAATGGACATACCAAAAAAATAAGAATAATTTTTCCCACATTATATTATAATCAAATAGAGTATTTTAAATAAAACACCATATATGGCTTATATTATAATCAAATTTCATAAATTACAAGACAATTAGAACTACACCAACGGTTTCTTTTCTATTTCGTTTCAATTTTTTAGTATTGAGATTCTATATTCATTGAATATATATAAAAGTATATATATTAAATATTACTTAAATAAAATGGCTAATGTGCTTTATAAGAATATATAATGAGTTAAAAATCAACCGTTGCATATGATATATAATATGATATATTTATACGATATTAATATAAATAATGTGTTATGTTACCTGACTATTAGAAATCGACTAGAAACATGACATGTACAATTGTACACACCTTTCAAAAGAAGCTCAAATCACCATCACACAAAATACCTTCCAACACTCGCCTGCCCTGCCACTGCCGCCGCGCATCGAGAACAATCCTTCCCCCGCCGTCGCTTCCCTCTACTCCGGTTGCTGGTATTCAAAACCCTAATTAGCAATTTTCACAAAACATTAATCTATTAATCAATTAGGGTTTCCAGAGTTTTTATACATACCATCAAAAGTCGTGCAACCGGAGAAGATGGAAACCGCGGCCGGAGGCAGAATGCCCCGGAGGCGCGGCGGTGGAAGGGCAGCCGAGTTTTGGAAAGCAATTTGTGCGAAGATTTTCTAAGGAAGAACTGCAAATGGGTCGAGTGCGGAAGACTTGACCTGACCTAACTGCGCATGGCGGAATCAAAGATCGACGGATGATCAGAGCTGCTGCCTCCGGTGAGTTATATATACTCCGGCGAATTCCCTAAAGCTCGGCTCTAATTTATTCTTTGTTTAATGGTGAAGATGTTCACATTTATATTTAGTTTAAAGATCTTAAAAAGCACACAGCATAGCTGCAGAGGCATGTTAATGATTATATGCAGGCTTCTCCAAAATGGAATGTGTGGTCTGCACGCGCCATCTCCTGCTTTAGTTCCTGCAAATAGAATGTCTTTGGCTCGCGTGCTGTATTTATTATTAAACTTTTATAGTAAATGAATTTTCTCACTTTTTCTTGTTGTAAAATTTTCAAGTTCTTAAGATAAAATATATCATTATTTTAATTAATGTCAATCCATTTGTTTAATTAATGATTTTTTTTATTTATTACAATGACGCCAAAATTATTTGTTTACACATGACTGCCTATGTTATAGGATAATTGGCATATATTTATATTATCATTATTTTTATAATATTAACCTATATAATATTATAACTCTGTGCTATTTTATAATATTTGGTAAGCATCAATATAGTATATGATTACCTGATGAACATGAACACAGGATCGGCAGGCATTTATGATTGTTGTTGTAATAAATTTGAGAGTGATCACTTCAGTTAATGACAATGCTGCAATTGATTCTAACAGATCCTCTCTCGCTCTCACACCTGAAAAGATTCTACGCAGATTCCTCTCTCTCTCTCTCTCTCTCTCTCTCTGCCAACGCTATCTAATCCAATGCGGATAACGTGATGACCACCACTCCCTCATCCTCCCTTTCTTCATATTCTCCATTCTCCATTAATGGCTGCTGCTGCTGCCGGCCTTGGCTCTACACTATCTCAACCACCTTCATCATCTCCCCCACCGCACAACCCCCGCCCAATCAGAACCACTGCTTCTTCCGACCCAACCGACAACGGATTCACAAGCTTCCCAGAAAAATCTCTAGCTTCGCGGGCAAAGCCCCCTCGTCCCCGCCGGATAATTCTCGTCCGCCATGGCCAGAGCCAGGGCAATGTCGACGAGTGCGTCTACACGCGCGTGGCTGACCCCAAGGTGCAGCTCACCCGCCAGGGGATCGCCGAGGCCGCCGAGTGCGGGCGGGAGATACGCCGGATAATCGAGGACGACGGCTCCGATGATTGGAAAGTGTACTTTTACGTCTCTCCCTACAGACGATCGCTCGAGACTCTGAGGAATTTGGCGACGGCGTTTGAGCGGTCGAGGATTGCCGGCGTCAGAGAAGAGCCTCGATTGAGGGAGCAGGATTTCGGTAATTGATGAAACCCTAATTGAATCAATCCTCTATTCTCAGATAAACCCTAACTTCATTAACCCCCAAATCTCGGATAAACCCTAATTTCATTAATCCCCAATTGTCGGATAAACCCTAATTTCATAAATCCCCAAATCTCGGATAAACCCTAATTTTAATTTCATTAATCCCGAATTCTCGGATAAACCCTAATTGCTGCTATCCTTTCGATTGATTGTAGTTTTTTAATGTTTGAAAGGGAATTTCCAGGACCAGGAGCAAATGAGGATTCAGAAAGCTGCTCGAAAGAGATACGGGAGATTCTTCTACAGATTTCCAAATGGAGAATCAGCTGCGGATGTTTACGATAGAATAACTGGTTGGTTTTTCAAAACCAAAATCCCCAAATCTAATGAACTTATAATTATGCCATAATCAATCCTTCTGCAGGATTTAGGGAAACTCTGAGAACTGACATTGATATTGGAAGATTTCAGCCACCAGGGGAGCAAAGCCCCAACATGAATCTGGTCATAGTCTCCCATGGGCTGACATTGAGGGTGTTCTTGATGAGATGGTACAAATGGACTGTCGAACAGTTCGAAGGCCTCCAAAACATCGGTAATGGAAAAATGGTTGTGATGGAGAGAGGCTATGGTGGAAGGTATATATAATAAGGTTGATTGATCGATTGTTTTGGTTTTCTTCGGTTGGTTTTTTGGATTTGAATTTGGATCTCTGTAATTGTTCTGAATTGAATCGTGGGGATGTTCATGTGTAGGTATTGTTTGTTGATGCACCACACGAAGGAGGAACTCAGGGAATTTGGATTGAAAGATGCCATGCTGATTGACCAAGAATGGTAATTAGACCGATCAGTGCGTTGGATATTGTTCTTGGCTTTTAATTCTTGATCTGCAATTTGTGTTGATAGTGAAATTCATAGTGAATTGAATACAGATTCAAAACCCTTTAAATGCAGAGGAATTTAAATGAAGTTTTGTAACTCTGGATATTGTTTCTGGCCTCTAATTCTTGATCTGCAATTTGTGTCGATAGTTATCGAAATTGGCTATTCTTGGTCGAATTTTTATGATCTAAACTGATTTTAGTTGAAATTTGTAGTGAATTGAATCCATATTTAGAACCTTTTAAAAGCAGAGGAATTGAAATGGAGTTTTGTGATTCTTCCATCATACAGTGATAGCTAATCCTGCTGATGGTTTGAATTATTTGAAATGATTTATGTAGTCGCAATAAAATTGCTGATTATCGGGTCGTGTTCTTGCAAGTGAAGGCAAAAGCATGCGAAGCCGGGGGAACTGAATTATGATTGCCAGATAACGGGGCCTTCCTACTTTACTCACTTCAGCGACGATCATCACGGTCCAATTTTCTAGTGGTTTGATTCAAGGATAAGATGGGGACATGGTAATAATTTCGACGGTACATGTTTTCTTGATTTTGAAATTTTTATGGTATCAGAGCTTATTTGCGATTCTCAGTAAATAACAACTTAATGTTCGACAAGGTCAATTCTTGATGCAGAATCGAACACTTGGAGAAATACTTCAGCAGGATTGTAATAAATCTTTCGGTTGCAGTCAGTCAAGCCCGGATCGATCGATGCATCTTCCTTCGACAAAATCTAGCCGTTGATGGTCGATTGCGACAAAGATCAAACACATAACTAACTAGAATAGGAGCATGAGAAGGACCATGGGAGCCCCAACCTGTCTCTTGTCGTCTCTAAATTATTATTATTATTAGTGTTTTTTTGTATTTTAGGCTAAAGGATTACTTTTTACTTTTGTATTAAAATAATATTTGATTTGATATATTAAAAATATATTTTTAAATGTAGAATTCAAATAGGAAAGATTAAATTTTTTTGCCAAAAGAAATCATCCCATTTCCACATTATTTAAGACCATACATACATGTACGTATGTAATTATTAGAAAAGATACCAAATGAAAAGGTTGAATGGGACATTAATAAGGTTTATTTCACTTAAAATTAAACTCCCTCTTCTTTTGTCCAAGCAATCAAATTATGAAAATTGTTTTTTATTTATTATATATATATATAATTAATAAATTTTGCCCATTTTTTTAAACTTATTATTATTTTTTAATATTCTTAAACTACCATCCAAACATAAAAGAAAGCCTTGTTGGTGGCGTCCGTTCCGTAAGGGATGGTCTGGTGGTGTAGGCGACGTCTCAGGTCACCTGACACACATGATTCACATAGTGTGACTTTTCTGTCGGATCTGGTTTGCAACGTACGTATTAATCAGTGGGAATTTACCTCGTGAATTTAGCTCGTGCACACTTTCGAGTAGAGCTGCGAGTTCCTATGTCATATATAAAAAATATAAAAAAAAAAAAAAAAAAACCTTGGTGGGTGTGTTTGGTTTATAATGATGTGGTGAGCCAGGCTGAGAAACAGCCACGCCTTTCACTCAGTATCCTCATGCTCTTTACCTGTGAATGCACATATATATATATATATACACACACAAATAGACACTTTCAGGGAGAGAAACGTACATCCTTATTTTTATAATTTAATTTTATTTTTGTACAATTGATTAACACCGAAGTCTAACATGTAACAAACATAGAATATGACTGAGACTCTCTACAACCACAATATTCATAAATACAACAATTGCTTGAAAATATAATGAAATTTATCTGAGATGTGATATTGATTTGAATTTTTTAAAAAGAAATAATATATTTTTATTAAAAATTTGTAGTATTAAATAAATAATTTAAATTTTATTGCAATCATAAATTGGAAATACTTTTAGGTCTCGACCAAACGGACCTAGGCAAGTTGATATGATATGATATGTCTTGGATTTTATTGCAGCATGATTAGTTATTTGCTTTATTCCCCATTGGGTGGCCCTCCTAAAAGTGGTGCAAAAATACATTGTCCCTCCTTGTCTTCATTCTTTTAGGACATCCACTGCTCAATTATATCTTATAAAAAACATAATTGCTATAAAGTAAATATTTGAATTGTGTCCTAATGACAAAATTATTGATCCATAATTAATGTAATAATTTATAAGATCAAATAAATATTTAAAATTTTAAAATAGTATTGTAAATAAATAATAAAAGATAAAAAGTAAATTATAATTTTATTTCTTTTTATTTTTCTTATATATATATATATATTAAATTTTTTAGGCACACGTGGTGAGTATGCACACGGTGACAATAGAGAAGGGCTGCGACACGACCACCTACACCAAAGTCAGTGCTGATTCACCAACACGCCCGTGTTCATCCCCATGTGACCTGCTTTCTCCTCAGGGGCAATTTCGTCAATTCGCTCTTCACCCTCTTTCCTTATATATACATACATTTCATTCGTCTTCCCCACAAATTCTACGATAAGAAAAATGGGGTTTCCGGTAGGTTACACCGACATATTCCTTCCTAAATTACTACTCTGCTTAATTTCCGTTCTCGGATTCACGAGGAGATTCGTCTGCGCTTTACTCTCATTGCTCTGGATTAAGGATTTCCTCGAACAACCTGCCGGAGCCGCGGCGGAGGAGCCTCGGACGTCGGTGTCGGCGGCGCTCATCCGTGAGCTTCTTCCGGTGGTGAAGTTCGCAGATTTGGCGGGGGAGATGGAGGATGCGCCGGAGAATTGTGCTGTGTGTCTGTACGAATTCGTCGGCGACGATGAGATCCGACGGCTGACGAACTGCAGGCACATATTCCACCGGAGCTGCCTGGACCGTTGGATGGATCACGATCAGAAGACGTGTCCGCTCTGCCGTACGCAGTTTATTCCTGAGGATATGCAGGAGAGCTTCAATGAGAGGCTCTGGGCGGCATCGGGGATCTCCGAGTACAGCGGCGGCGCGTCGGCGATAACCGCCGGTTTGTAGAGATTGATTTTGGAGATTTTGAACTTTTTTGGGGGGTGAAATGTAATTATTACCAAAGAGAGGAAAACGACAAATTGTGAAAGATAGGTGGTCTGTGTTACTGTTACCCATCTAATTTTATAAGGTATTTTTTGTTTTCTGATCATACCATTACCAACTGTAGAAGTAGTTTTATTTATTTATTTTTAATCTAATAAATAAGTGGTTTATAATTCAATAATTAATTAACAAATCAATATGTTTTATTTATTTATTTATGGAATCAATACGTATATACAATTGGATGAGACTTTCCTAATATTGCAAAAGTCTGGATTGCATATTAAATAATCTCAATTCTGATAAGATTGATAATATAATTAAATTTAATTTAGGCCTGCAGGCAGCAGTAATTTAATTAAATTAATTGATGGCTACCTGGTCAGACAATTTGAACTTTGTACTCAATCCAGTCGTGTGGTCAAGGCATGCTATCTTTAATCTGTCTTTTCCTTATTACTCACCATCTAAAATCTATACCTGTTCATTTTCTTTTCTTTTACTAACATGAAAAATATATTATCTCTTTATAGTAAAAAATATTATTATTATCATTTCTATAAAATGTAAAAAGTATCAGAAAGCATGTCTTCATATTAAAATTCATACGGATGAACTTTTTTTTTGATATGTTAGAGATTGGATTCTGATGTGCGTAAAAATTAAAATAATAATAATATTTAATTTAAGTATTTTATATAAAAATAAATATTTGATAATTTATATATATTTAGAACAATAACTTTTCTATATACCTAGTCAGAGCTTTAGATTACAATCTGAGAAAAAAATGGGATGTGATGGTTTGAAAACACGCTGGAATTGCTTTGTCTTTAATAAGAGGCTGGCTCAATATTTAACAAATTTATATCATAATTCAACATAATTTTTCTACCCTCCAATAACATCAAATTTAAATTACATTATCTAACTAGAACTAATTGTTAAAAATAAATTTAATTTCTTTGTATATTTGCATCATGCAAGAAGACAAATAAGTGTTCACTTTGAAAAAGACAAGTTATCAAGAGTACACAACAGCCATTATTTTTATTTGATGTAATATTTTATTAAAAAAATAATAGATGATAGTAAAAATGTGTATTTCAAAAACAAAATTGATGTAAAGAAGGAGAATATGGAAGAGGGAGTAGCATGAATAGTATTGAATATATCTGTTTATCAAGAAACACAGGCATAGACAAAAATTGAAAACAATCAACAACATAGATTGAACATAGAAACAATCACAAAAATTGATCTATATTGCCATGCCACATTCAATTCTGAGCAAACTTATGCACAAGAAAGAATCAACAAATTCCTAATCTCTATGAACCAAAAGAATGTACCTGTCAATTATTTCTATAGCCGGCCTTCCATCGTCGACAGAGTAATCCATTGCAGCATTTTAGTAGCTACCCTTCGCCGGCGAATAGTACGATTTCCTTTCCTGCAATACACTTCACGGATTATCATTTTCAGAATGCAGAAAATTGACCTTACCACACACCGGACAAGTGTTGTTTTTTTCCTTCCACTGAAGAATACAAGAAAGATGATAATGGTGGTCGCAGTCTGTCATATTTTTCGGGTTCTGCTCATCGTATTCTGCAGAGGGAATTAGAAATGTCAAATTCAGCAAAACCACAAAGAATCTATTGTTAAGAATAGACAACATTGTAAATTAAAATATCATACCTTCCAAACAGATGGGACACACATCTTCCTCGTCATCGAACACTGGTAGGGTGGAAGATTCGCCGGACTTTCTATTTTCATCTTCTACATCTAAAGATGCTTCATGGGCAGCATTTGTTTCCCCCCCCTCGTCAGATTCCAATGGCTGCTTTAGTCTCGCCTGCAAAGTTCTATCAGCATTAGAATCTCCAGCAGCAGCCTGAGTGCTAGAAGGCTGCAAGGCCGTTGAGCCTGCTTGATTCCCTGAAGGCGAAGCTCGGCGCACCTCATATGCATCAAAGGGTAAAGGCATGGGAGGTGACACATAAGAAGGTGGAAGCGGATTATCTACGCGGGGATCAGCTGTAGCTTGATCTGGAGGTGGCATTTGCTCTTCGGGTGCAGGATTCTATCAAGATCGTCCCAATAAACATATAAACAGCATCAAGATGCAAGTCGACTAAGAGAGAAAAGGAGTCAATTCTTCAAGGTTGGATATTATCTCGAATGGCCCGGGCAACATAGCCAACCAAAAAAAAATATAATTAGAAGGTCATGTAACAAAACAAATCCAAGACCAGAACACTTCAAGAAATAAGTCATGCTTAAGGACTCCTCATTAGCTAAAATGTATAAGAACAACCATAAGGAATAACAAATGATATATGGCTTTTGATTCTGAAACTATTGTAAAGATTAAAGCAAAACATAATGGGGTATGGCTTATGAGAGATGCTCACATCCAAGATTGCCGGTGCCCTGTTATCCTCCCTGTTCTTAGATTGAATGCAACAACGACCTCCCATCTCTATACGAATATCGTTTTTATACACATGAAGCCGCCAAACCTTCGATCATCACTTCTGGTCTCTGCATAGACACAGAAAAGAAAACACATGACACCATAAGTAATTTTAAGCAAATTTTCCAACTAATTGTTGACAGTTAAGAGAACGAATAACAAGAACAATAATATATGTACACAACATTCCTAAACAAAAGAGCTGATTCTCTACAAGATTCAAAAATCAATGTATTGTTGTAAATCATACAGGTCAAATGTAAATTTCCCTATAATGCCGATACCAGAAGACCATTCAAATTCAATACATATATCAACAGCTGAAAACGATTACAAGAAAGATGGAATTCAGTACAGTGAGCACTAAAAGAATCGCGATTGGGGGAAAGGAAGTTCGAACGCACAAAAACACAGAAAAAACAAACACTAATTATTTAGAATTCTTCGGAATGAATGATTAATGTGTATAAATGGCGCAGAAAGCAGATACATCCAATCATTAGCGCATAGATATTCGGCGCAATAAGCTTGAAGCGTAGTCTACCTCGTCGGATTGATGGATTCCGGTGAGCAATTTGACAGTGTGAAGAGTGTGAACAACTGCTGCTGAGAGAGAGAGAGAGAGAGGTTGCATTTAGTTGGAAGAGAACTAACAATGAGCTACAATTATGTATAAAAGACGTCTTTTATAATTATTATTAATAATAATAATATTATTATTATTATTTCATACATTTATGAAGTGGGCAATGGACGAAGATTTTGTTTGTTTGTATTTTGCACATTTTGATTTTTATTAATTACTTATTAACTAAACAATAACGGTTAGATTCGGAGTCTGATAGGTTACCGTCCCAAATCAGGTTGCATTTTGCTACTAATTTTATTTTATTTTTTAAATATTACGTCTCATGGAATTTATTAAAATATTTTATTTTTATCTTTTTTTCATAAATAAATATATTTATATATACTTAAAATTTTTAGTATTTTTATAAATTTATTTATTTAATTTAATACCAAATATCTTTAAATTTAATTAGAAACGTACTAAAACTATATATAAAAACTTTTTCTACAAAAATATAATTCATAGTATATATATTTTATTTGATAAATAAATATTTTAGAACTAATTCTAATTAATTCAATTAATTATCTGATTAGCTGCTAAGCCGATTCATTTAATTCAAATTTTAAAATCATCGTTGATCCACCACCACTCCAGCTCCAGAATTAGGGTTTACTATTTTGCGACTTCTTGGTGAGCGAGTGTTGTAGCTTACGAGCAATTTTTCCAGAAACGATTTGTGTTCTTTCCTATCAATCTCCTTTGATTACACACAAGTAAATCGAAAACAAATTGGTTGTTATTTGTTGTACTGCTGAATTTGAATTCTCTTGATTCATTCGAGTCTATTTTTAGGTAGGTTTTTCGTTTAAAACTATCCATTTTTTAGCGAAATCGAAGTTTTTTTATACAGTTCCTTTAAAATAAAATAAAATAAAATAAAAAATCTATTTCTTTTGTATTGACACCTCCAATTCAAATTATAGTGAATTTTTTTTCGTGTCCTATTGACATTGCCTGGTGAAGCTGTAGATTTAGGTTTTGTGTTGTTATGTAATTAGTTTGGTCAATAATGTAGTGCTGGTGTCTAAATTTGTTAGCAATCTATTTCTTTACAGAGGAAAAAAATTTGGGTTTGTTGATGGAAGAATGTAGGAAGTTGAATGATAATGGTGGATATGGGGAGGAGGAATCTGGATTTGGATTTGGATTGGATGCCGATTTTAAAATAGAGAGGTGTCGTTTTGACGCATGTAAGGAGAGGCTGAGGAGTTGTTTTGATCATGTATTGACTGCCTTTACAAGGCAGAAATCTGCAGGCAAATGCATAAGGCCTATTCCAGCATTGTGTGGTGATGGGAGACCAGTTGATTTGTTTAAGCTTTTTTGGATAGTTAGGAAAGTAGGTGGGCATGGCTCTGTTTCTAGGAATAATTTGTGGGGCATTGTTTCGGAGGAATGTGGATTAGGTTTTGCTATGAGGTCGTTCGTTAAGCTGGTTTATATGAAGTATTTGAAGGAATTGGATCAATGGCTGCAACGAGTGTTCGACACGAGCATTTTGGAGGATGAGTTGATTGGAGTGGTTCATACATTGGATATGTTGTATTGGGAGTTAGAGAATGGGATTGGAGGGTTGTTGATGGCCGAGCAAGGGAATGGTAGTGAGTTTTCGGAATGTGCTACAAACACTATTCCGGATATTATTGAGTTATCTTCTGATGGAGGCATTTGCAAATCGAAAAATGAGAAATCGTGCAATGTTCTTGATAAAAATGATGTTCGTGTACTAGCCGAAGAAGCTGCTGTGGAATTCAATAGTAAAGCAAGTGAAGAGAGATTGAGTGATATTGGGAATGTTTTGGGCTCTCGGAAGAGAAAACAACAATCTCGTTCGTTTCCAAGAATGCTAGAATGGTTGACACATATTGCAAAACATTCGGATGATCCTTCGATTGGGTTCGTGCCTGAAAGCTCAAAGTGGACTGACTACAGGTCGGAGGAGTTATGGAAGCAAACTCTGGCGGTTAGAGGAGCCCTGCTGATAAGAAGGCATCACAATGCAAATGCAGGACAATCTTCCATTATGGTAAAATTTTACTATACCCAAAGAGTTTGTTTTGATTCAAGTAATTGCTTTGTTGATGCATCGATGCTTTTACATACTACTTCTTCTGAATTTTATCTAATATATAACGGCCTCAAGCAGGATCAACCAAAGAAGCCTCGGATGCATCCTTCAATGTATGAGGATAATGTTTGCAACTCCCAAATTAAAGAGAAGCAAAGATACAGCACGAGGATAACTTCATCGACAATTAGGCTATGTGGGTGTTGCAATTCACAGTCACCCCATCAAAGTAAAAGCGATATTTGCCAAGAGAAAAAGATAGAAAACGACATAAAAGCTCCAGTAAATCCAGTTGTTACAGAAACGAAGGAGCCAGCTGCATCTTTCAACGATCACGAATCCTTGGATGTGGTTGCGGAGAAGCAAGTTTCTATAGGTCCACTTTTTCAAGCAGAAATTCCTGAATGGACTGACGAGCATTCCGAGAGTGATCCCAAGTGGCTAGGAAGGAAAACATGGCAGGCAGAAGAGGACAACAGCAGCTCCCTGGATTTAATTGGGAAGGGAAGATCTCATCATCCTTGCTGCAGCTGTTCGGTTCCAAATTCTGTCAACTGTGTTCGGTTTCATATTGCCGAGAAAAGGTTGAAGCTAAAGCAAGAACTCGGCCCTCTGTTTCATCGATGGGGATTCAATCGGATGGGAGAGGAGGTCTCGCTTTCTTGGACAGAGGACGAGGAAAATGCATTCAAGGATATGATGAAATCGATCTCCCCTCTTCATAACAAGTTCTTTAACAAAGCTTTTCGATACTTACCTTCCAAGACAAAGCGGGAGCTGGTTAGCTATTACTTCAACGTGTACGTTGTCCAGCGCAGGAGCTATCAAAATCGGGTAACTCCAAAAGACATCGACAGTGATGATGACGAAAAGGAGTGTGGGTCGATAGGCGGCAGGTTTGGGTATCAAGCACTCTACATACCTGGCTCGGGATCAATCTCCTGCAGCCTGAATAAGCAGTCCTCCGATTTTCGGTAAGCCTGTTTGCAATTAGGATTGTTTTTTGGTTGGCAATACATACAATGCTGATTGCATTCTTCGGATGTTCTTGTTGTGTTCATTCTCTTACAAATTGCAAAGCTATTAATCAGCTATAAATAGCATTACCTGAGATTGAAGAACTTGTATTGTTGTATTGTGGATGTTGTAAAATTCGACTCTTCTCGGAAGGTAGTGATTGGCTTCATATTTGTGTGCTTGTTGTCGATGATCTATCTATCGATTTTTGAATTTGAACTTGCTTTTATATTCGAATAATAATGATTCTATATATACATTCCTATTATAATCCCAACAATTGGAGGGAAATTTATGAAGTTGGAGTATTAGGGTCGATTTGTGTTAGGTTGAATATTTTAAAACGGATGAAATTACTCAATTTTAATTTGATTTGTTTGTTATCGTGTTAGGTTCATATTGTCGCGTATATGTAATTAGGTTGAAATATTTGATTCAAATCCTATTATCTTGTATTGGGTTCGCGTCGGATTTTCGAGTCATGTTAGTTTTTATCGGTTTTAGTGTAATGTTTATAACGAAGGATTGTTGTATCAGCTTCGAGCTGAGGACATCAACCTTAACTCAACTCGTTTATTATCGTGTCGTGTGGCCCGTATACATAATTGGATCGAAAATCATTAATCCAAATCCAATTATTTTATATCGAATTCGTATCAAATTGTTGTGTGGGGTTAGTTTCCACTGACAATTATTCCTTCACATTTCACTGATTTCAATTTCACGAATCGAATAGTTTATGTTCCAAGTTCAATGTACGTTACTTTACACAATAGACAAATGCAAAAAACCTTCTAACCAGCAACATTATACAGAAACTCTACGGCGAAGCAATGCTGTGAACATCAGCAAGAAGTCTAGTAACCTTAGCGAGTGTCTCCCGCGACACGGCCGTGTCGGGATGATCCTCGCCGCACACCGAAGTCCGAATAAAAATCGCCGTCCGAATCAGATCGTCCGCGGCGTCGTACGCCCCTCCTCTCATCATAAGCTTCGCCCGGACTTCCAGCACGGTCGCCCTCGCGACGGCGAGATCTTGCCAAAGACAAGGATTCAGCTGCGCACCCGTCTCGACGGGTCGCCAGCACAGCGACTTGTCCAGCCATTTCTCGACCGGCACGACGAGCGCCTCGTCGGCCGCTTCGAGCGCCTCCGTGCAGAGACGAAGCAGCTCCGTTGCAGCCCGGCATCGCGAAAATGTTACGAACGTCCTTATTGCAAGCGGCAAGATCACTTCTTTCACGACAAACAAGAGCTCGTTCGCCCTCAGCTCGACCGTCGCAGAGTCTCTATCGAACCCTAGAATCAAGAAACATGCAGCCCACATGTGGTCTCCGTGGCGCGGTATCGATCCCCGGCCGGCGATTGCTTGTACCGTCAACCGAGCAACCCCGACGGTCGCTCTCCTCCGAGCGTACGCCTTTACGAGCTCGTTAAATTGGATAAACCCGTGCCTCGTGCAGCTTCTCGCGATCTTGAATCGAAACAGCAGCGACGACGCTTCGGCCTCGGATCTCTGTGCGTACGACGACGAGAATCCACATGTTACGGAATACAGTATTTTTTGCCATAGGCGATTACGCCGGTGCTTCTTCGATAGCTTATGCGCCGCGACGGCCAAGACGGGTATCGGAATCGGAGCCGGGGCAAACCAACCGGACGCGAGTACCATTCTCGTCGCCAAACTTTGGGGGCCGTCGGTGTGGTCGAATACGGAGAAGCAAACCTCGAAAAGCTGTAGGAGGAAACCGTTGCGCCGCAAAGTCTGGTTGTCCCGTCCCGTCCACGACACATCCCTCGGAGGCGTTCGATTGATCGCATCCAACAGCCGACTCGGAGTGATAGGAAGCTCGGAAAGAATCGCGCCTACGATCGCGAGGCCAAGCGTGAGCCTTCCGATCTTCGCCTCGATTGCCTGCAACGCGTCGATTTCTGTGTTCGTTTGATCGCGGAGACTTCCCTGCATCAACGACATCGCCTCGACTCCCGATAGGTAAGAGAGCCTCAACGGCTCGATGTTCATAACACGCGGGAGGCGAGTCGAGATGATAACGTGAGAGTCTCCGCCGAAACGGGGGAGCAAATCCATGACGAGCTTTCGATCCCACCAGTCGATTTCGCTCTCCAAATTGTCGATCACGACCAAAAACGGGATATCGCGCATGAGCTCCCTCCGGACTCGGGCCACGGCTGCTTCCTCTTGCTCGTCGAAGCTCGTTGGTCGACCTTTCTCCTCGCCGACGTCGATCTCTAAGAATGGCGATAAGTTCAAATAGTTTTGTCTAATGTACCTGCTTTCGCCTCCGATCCATAGAACCATTTTGTATCGTTGATGGTATCGATACGCAAACTCTACGAGAAGCTCCGTCTTCCCGATCCCGGGATCGCCCGTTACACAGGCGATCCCCTTACCGTAGGCGACTTTCGTCGACCTTCGCCTCCCGTGCTTCCTCGACTTGGGCGTGAGGTTTCGAAGTCGAGAAAGCTCGGTGTTTTGTACCTCGATTTCCTTTTCGGATTCTTTCCATACAATAGGTTCTTTGCCGTTTCTTCGACCATCTACTTTCGTTTCCCTCGTCGAGTTCTTCTTCCTCGCCCGAGTCTTGATTTCGAAATAATCCCTCTCGACATCGCCATACACGTCGCCGAACAGCATAAACTCAAGCTCGAACAACTCTTTCTTCCTACCAATGAAACGCTCGTTCCGCGGGTATACAAACTCTTCTCGCTCGGCCTTCTCCCGCCATTTCGCGATTCGGTCGACGACGCTCCGCCTCCCTAACCTTGACGCCAAAAGCGCGACGGCTCTCAATATACAATCCCGCCATTTCCCGTCGTGCGCGTCGAGCTTCCAATCATCGTCACCTTTGAGCCCGCCCACGGCTTCCCTCCACTCATTCTCGACCCCTCCGTACCGTAGCCATAGCTCGCCGCCGTGTTTCTCCCAAACCTCGCCGCGCTTTTCGATTATGTCCCGGACGAGACATTCGTTAGGCGCCAAATCGAAGTACACTGGGACCAAATTCTTCTTCTCAGCGAAATGCCGAATCTCCTCGATCGTGTACGGGTTCCTAAACGACTTCTTCGTCACTATAACCACGCCGAATGTACAACCGATCATCGCATTCTCGACTATCCGACGCTTGCGAGAATTTCGACACCTCGCCCTGTCCGTCGTAAAGCAACTCACGCCTTGAACCTCTAGCTCGGCGCGAAGCCAATTAGTGAACCGAATCAACGACGGCTTCCGGCCGTGAAAGCCTATGTACACATCGCAGCTCGTCCGTCGGTTGTAATAAAACGACGACGGAGGGTTCGACGCATCACGCGATCTCCTGGGTTTTCTTCCCCGACGCCTCTGCCTGGCGCAATATTTCGAATTACGATCGACATAGCTTAATAATTCGCGATCTGAAGACGATGCGTCGTCCCGACTCCGAGGACTATTCGAAGTGCTCGGTTCGGCACTTCGATCTGTCCTCGTTGTATCTGCGGGCGGCGACGGATTGGCGGAGAAGAACGTCGACGACGACGAGGACAGGTTCATCAATTTCATCGGAAATAGAGTGAGTTTACAGCTGTCTTCGCCGGAGTTCATCTCCGGCGCCGGCGGGACAAACAATTCTATATCCATGTCTAGTTGTATACACAGACATGGTACCGACAATGGAGGGCAGAGATTTCACAATCTTTCAGAAACTGATTGTCTGTGTAGAAGCAACATCATTACACTAAAAAGGCATAATACGACAGGAACAAACAATGGAAGGAGTTCGACATTGTCGGGAAACTGGAAATGTTGGAACTAATGTGCAATAATGAATGAACTAACTACTTACCATTGCAGAGTACTAATCTTAGATCCAAAGCTGAGAAGAAGAAACCAGAATGAAGTACGGACAACAAAATTCTCATTACAGTGATTTAGATCTGAGAAAACTCACCTAAATCAAAATTCGGAGATTGAACACAACCGACATTCACAATTTCATCGAATCGAATATCCAACGAATCAAACCAAATAATATATATATATATATAGGAGAGTTGACAAAAGGTAGAGGATGAGTGTCGTTCTTAATGGAGAGAAAGAGGACGGATCTGACGAGGAGGAAAGAAATTGGGGGGCTTCTTACTACACTACAATATATGCATACAGATAGAGATAGAGATAGAGAAGTACGATACGAGCAAGGACATGGATGGGACGACAATCTTGGTGCTACTCTAGCCCTAGTATTCCGCTATCGCTGTTTTATAAATTTTTATAAATTAGCATGTGCTACCTCTAAATATATATATATATATATATAAAGCGTTCTCTAGATAAGTCTACGTTAATAATACAAATTATACTAAATGAATTATATATTATAGACAAAATTGAAAATATTGAAGGTTTAAATTCGTAAAGTTACAGTGATAAATGAACGATGAACAACAACATTGTGTTGATAGAAAATACAAGGTTTTGAATTCATAATTGTGAAGTTATGGGTTCAAATTCCGATTGCTTTCATATTTTGTTTATGACACTAAGTCCGGTTGACATTTATCCAAATCGAAATTGATTGTATAGCTTGCAAATAGTTACACCATCTTACTATTTTCTACGGAATAACTTGCAGTTGGATGATTTTTATACTTTTTATTCATGGGTTAAATATTAATTTTTTACTATTTTTAAAATTTTAAAATTATTTTTGTATTCTTTTGTGGACTTTATTAGTATTCAAATTCTTTTTTTTTTCAAAAATATTATATCAAATAATTATTTTCTTTCTTCATATAACACTATAAATTTATTTTATATTTAAAACATTACAATGCTCTTTATTTATATTACATTAAGCAACTATTCAAATTCAATATTTTTCTATTTAAAAATCCAAACAAAAAAACTAAACAACCAATAAGCACATCTTAAAAATCTTCCAAACCCTCCCTTTAAACAAAACTTTAGCTTTGTTTAGATAGAAATTTTAAAAAATTTAAAAATTTTAAAAAAATAAAAAATTAGTATTTAATTTGATATTTTGTGACATAAAAAATGTATTTAATATAATATTTTTAAAAAATGAATAGCCTTGTTCTTTTCAATAATAATTTCTATTTTATTCTTCTAACCTTATTATTCATAGAAAGAAAATATATCAAAAGTAAGTACATGCACCTGAAAATTTGGAGCCCAAATTATACTATGCATCTTAAACCACTTTTTTGGCCCTTGTATATATATAAGAGTACATTTTAAATATAATTTTTTAATGTTTTTTTTTTAAAAATAAAAATAAAAAATGTACACACTTCTTTATCCTTAATAGTTAATATAAAAAATTTATTTACTTTTGCTTTATTCTTTTTGTGTTTATTCTTTCAAATTTTTTTATTAGTAAAAATATATTTGAACACACACACATGTTTTCGTGCCTAGAATGGCTGTCTTGTCTTAGAAAACACTGTAACATGTGGACATAATATTATCTTAATCAATCGAACATGCCTTAGGCTCTCTTTTCCACTATTAAAAATTAAATATTATATTAATTTACCTAATAATAGAGGCTAAAAAAAATATTGGATTTTTGATTAAACACCTCACAAACTCAATCAATCAATAATAATAATAACACCTTTAACAAGCCCCGCTAGAAGTATCCAATGATACAATGATAGTTTAAGGTTTTGTTTAGATATTAATTTTGGATAATTTTTATACTATCGATATGTTATTTGGTACTATTTTTTTCAATTGTGATTCTAAAAAATAATTATAAAAATAAAAAATATTTAATACAAAAGTTAAAAAATAAAAATAAAAATTACAAATATTTATTATAAAAAAAATAAACTAAAAATAATATATTTTATACTTTTTGACATAATTCTATATATAACAGAGGCTTACCCATCTAAATAATATATATATATATTTAATTTTATTTAAAATATTCTATAAAATATTCTAAAAACGACACTTAAGATATTATTTTCATTATAATAAATTTATGGTCCGGCTAAGAAGTCCTTAAGGCCTAATTGTTCGGGCCACAGAAAAAGGATTAAATCATGCAAGGCCCAAAGTTAAGGATAATTAATTAAACCCATCAAAAATAGTGATTTTTTTTTTTCAAAAAAATAAATTAAAAATAATTTAGCTATAATATTTCATACAAAAATCGTAACATATTTCTATAGAATTTTACAACAATCAAATAATATAGAAAATTAATTTAATTTTTTTAAGAAATGAATACAAATATTTTACTAATTTTTTTTAATATGTTTTAGCTTGTATTAAATTTTATTTAATCTTTAGATAAAATAAAAAACCATAAATATCTACGAAAAGATATCTAAACGTGTGACTATTTTTTTCCCTATATATATATAGAATAAAGAGGGATGGCTGAGGGGCACACTGTTCTAGAAGCTTCATTCATCACTTCACTCCTAGGTTTCTCTTCATAATCGATCGATCGATCTTCTTCGTTTTCTGTCTTATCATCACCTCAGATCCTCCGTTGTCGCTGTCAAAACAAGGTAAATCGCAGCGCTTCATCGTCAATACTTTTTTTTCTTTTCGGAAAACAGAATTCTGGTTTTCGGCTATCTGGGAGTTGTATGTATATATGTATGTATGTATGTGTAGATATATACATATATATGTATACTTGGATTTTTTTCGACCAACAGTTTGAATTATCCATTATCCTACACAGCTCTCATAAGACACCCCGTTCAGTCGCTCTCCATTTTAGCCCCGGCCTTTCTACACTTTCGCCGCTTCAAGCCTCTTTATTGAAGTTCTATTGGGTTTGGTCATTTCCTCTGTTTGTTTTCATCCAAGATTGATGAATCTTGTTAATTGGAAGATTGCGCAAGGATTTTAGTTATGGTTTTGTAATCTTTAATAGATTGTGTTGGAGTTAATGCATAGTTCTAGGATGTCTCGATTGATTCTGCCCTGCAGTGGTTCGAGCTTTTCAAAAGCTTGCCTCAAGGGTTTGGTCGCCTCTGCACCGGTGAATGCTCTTTTTCACATATTTAGGGTTTACGCTTTCAGTTCTTTCTCCCGTATTCGTTCTTCCTGTATTAAAAGGTTGTGGATCAAATATAGGATTTGTTTTTATTTGGTCTTAATGTTTATTGTTTACTCAAAATTCCATTATTTTAAAAAATGTCAATAGTTTGTTTTTTTGCATATCAGGTTACCAAACGTGTGAATTAGAGTCTGGAAACTTTTGGATAATTGAAGTTAAAATGTTTCACATTATTTGATTCTTGAATCTTGATGGTTCTGAATCTGATTCCATAGTAATTGGATCTAGAATTTAGTAATTTTGAGACTTGATCAAACTGGATTTTCATTTAATTTTTCCCTATAGTTTGTGCTGTAAGTTCACAATGTTGTTGGTACTAATGGTTTGTTTGGTAGCTCAAACCAGACGTTTCTTTTGCATTTTAGATGGGGTTTTGCTTGATGTTAGGTTAGTAGCGTTGCAATTTGTTTATCTAAGGTATCTGATCCCATTTTCAGCTGCGCTCAAGTTATTGTGTTAGGGGACGCTCAGCAAATAACATTTGTAGATATAGGCAATCTTATAGAGCTGAGGTTTGTATGTTTTACTTTTCCACATTATGTCTTTTGAAATAAACATTTCCTATTTGTATTAACATTTTTTTCTACACTTGGTCTCTAACATTTATCAGTTGATTCTTGCCACTAGATTACAAGTTGGAGAAGATTTCAGTTGCCATATTACCCATTACTTGTAAGTACTTTCTGTATCTAGTGGCTTATTGCTGCTTTCATTAGTTGTTGCACTTTAAATGTTTTCTCATACTTTAAATGTTTTGTAGAAGGAGACAAATACGGGAAGGAAGTTAATTTGTTCAGTGGCAACAGAATCATCACCAAAGAAAGTCGAAGAACCTAAGATGGATAAACCAACAGAGATCTTTCTAAAGGATTATAAGCAACCTGATTATTTCTTTGAATCGGTAATTTCACAACACTTTATTATAGATCAAATACTTCTAACTCTTCAGGAGATGCTTTATACTTTTTAAAACTATGTAGCTTGCTGCTGCTAATCTTGAAAGTGTGTTTGTTTCTTAGGTGGATTTGCACTTTGCATTGGGAGAGGAGAAAACAATTGTTTCTTCCAAAATAGTTGTCTATCCAAGAGTTGAAGGTATCTACTAATTCTTCTTGTGCTACAAAGATATTTTTGAGAAAAAATCTTGTTTGTAAAAGATCTGTTGGCTAAATTATTATTGGGTTTTGGTGTTGATGATAGACTGTCTTCATGTAGCATGATATTTTTTTAAATTATTTTATTTTATTTATTATTACTATTCTTTATTTTCGATATTAGTTTCTGATCAATATCCTGTATTGAATGGTCATTATGGACAGGTTGTGATTCACCTTTAGTCTTGGATGGATCAGACTTGAAATTGCTTTCGATAAAGGTCAATGGGAACGAACTCCAGGTAGCTTGATACTCATATTCTTTCTATTATTCATAGACAAGAGCTATTAATATCAAAGTGCTGTAAAGACGTGACAGTTTTTACATATAATTATAATTTAATTTCTTGTAGTTTGAGGTTATCTAGCCTGATGGTGTGAGCATATTTATTGCAGGAAGATGGATATGTTGTGGACTCACGCCACTTGAGAGTGTCTTCACCGCCAAGTGGTAAATTTACGCTGGAAATAGTCACTGAAATCTACCCGCAGAAGAACACATCTTTGGAGGTCTGGCCAGATTTTACATTCACTCGACATCATTCAAGTAGTGATGTGCTAATTTGGGAATTATCTATACTCTATTGATTCTTTTAACTTATGTTTTTTGAGTTTGCATATTTTTGAATGCAGGGGCTCTACAAGTCATCAGGGAACTTCTGCACACAGTGCGAAGCAGAGGGATTCCGAAAAATTACATTCTATCAGGTATTGTATATTATGTCACTACTACTGTTGGGTTTAGTCTCGTCTCCTGTGAAGGTTTTATAGCTGACGTGTGTCTTGCAATGTTAGGATCGACCTGATATAATGGCAAAATACACCTGCCGCATTGAAGCAGATAAGTCTCTATACCCTGTGTTATTATCCAACGGGAACCTTGTAGCGCAAGGAGAGATCGAGGTGATGTGATTTTATTTTTATTTTCAGATTCGTTTTTGTTCATGCAAAATCTTACCTGACTAATGTTTTGATATCCAAATGCAGGGAAACAAGCATTTTGCTGTATGGGAGGATCCCTTTGTGAAACCATGTTATCTTTTTGCGTTAGTTGCTGGACAATTGGAGAGTAGAGATGATACTTTTGTGACACGTTCTGGTCGAGAGGTCCAACTCCGAATCTGGACCCCTGCGGAAGACCTGCCTAAGACGGGGCATGCCATGTACTCTTTGAAAGCTGCTATGAAATGGGATGAAGATGTAACCATCTCTACATTCTTTAATTGTTTCATTATTTCTCATCTGAAGATACAACTCACACTGGATATAATTCTTTATTTCTTTGCTTGTGTTAATTAGGTGTTTGGGCTCGAATATGACCTGGACTTATTCAACATAGTGGTTGTTCCTGATTTTAACATGTTAGTTTCTATTCATTCCTTTGATGGCTATTTTCATACACCAAAACATAAGGATACTAATGAAAATTTGGTTTATTCTGATTGACAGGGGTGCTATGGAAAATAAGAGCTTGAATGTATGTTGAAATTTGAAATCATTATACTCTTACATATGGTGCAAGTTTGTACCTTATATTACTAAATTAAACATTTGTTTTGGTAGATATTCAATTCGAAGCTCGTCTTGGCATCTCCAGAAACAGCAACTGATGGAGATTATGCTGCTATTTTGGGTGTGATTGGGCATGAGGTGAGCCACAGTTTGCATGGGTTGTGCAATTGAACTGTTGGATTTACTTTTAACAATTTCGTAAACTCCCCTGCAAGTTTTACTTATATAATATTGTTTTCATGTCTGAATTTGCAGTATTTTCACAACTGGACAGGAAACAGGTTAGCAAACTTATTTATGTAATCTGTTAAAATGAAGCTTTCGTTCCCTTATTGTAGTCTTTACTTTATGAGTTACTGAAATATAGACCATTGACCAAAAATATGTTATGTGTGGGTAGAATTGTTTGTATCTGAATATGTCACTAAGAATGATCAAATGTCAAAAGGCTAATTTATTTGCTTTCGCAGTACAAATACTTCAGAATGCTCTCTTTTCTTTTTCCAATTGTAAATTACTATTTTCATCAGAATAGTTGTGTAAAATTCATTTTTTATGCATATAGATAATCAATTTTGGAACAAAAAATAATTCTCTTTTAAAAGATTTTAAACTAATTTAGCATTTCTAAAGCATAATTTTTGTTTTTTTTGAGATAAACAAATAACTAATCTTAACTTAATATGAATATAATAAAATTTGAATCCAATGTACAATTATTTTTGTTTGTTTGGGGGATTGGATTTTAGCATTTCTAAAGCATAAACTATTTTTGTTTGTTTGGAGGATTGGATTTTAAATACACTATTCATCCCATTTCCCCTCCCCCCAAAATATCAAATCAAACACCTATTTTTCGTTTTTTATATCATACTAAAAATCAATTTTACATTCAAAATATCACATCAACACCTATTTATATCACATCATACAACTATTCAAATTCAAAATTTTTACTAGGAAAAAGTCGGAAATAATAAGCAGGTTATTATTGATGAAAGAATATTTTGGATCCATAGATTTAATATTTAAAAAGCCCAAGTGTGGCGATCCAAAAAATATTGTAAATTCTTACTGTAGTTGGCACTTCCAAACTTTCTGCTAGCTTCCCCAACATAAGTTAGGTTTTGTGACCTTGAAATGGCAGCAAGTTTTCAAGATGGCTCCATTATATTAGGAAGTTATTTATATTCAATTTATTTGTATGATAATTTTGTTTTGAATTGATCCATGAATGATTAATTGCTCTCTGAGCACATTCTAGAGTGACATGCCGCGATTGGTTCCAGCTTAGCTTAAAGGAAGGTCTCACTGTTTTCCGGGATCAGGTAGATTAGGCAATTCATACTAGAATTGTCTTAAAAAATTTTGCATTAGGACAGAGAGACATTAAAATCTCATGGGTCTTTATTTCCAGGAATTTTCGTCTGATATGGGAAGCCGTGCTGTAAAACGAATAGCTGATGTTGCAACTCTTAGAAGTTATCAGTTTCCTCAGGTTTGTATAATCATGCCAGTTTCACCTCTATCTTTATTGATACGTGATAGCTTCATTTTCCTTGGTTTCTTGAAACATAACTCTTCTGCCAAATTTTCAGGATGCTGGTCCTATGGCTCATCCCGTTAGACCTCACTCATACATTAAGGTCAAACACACTTATCTCTAAATGGCTATTTGGTCGTTGATTGTTTGCATGCTAACATTTATTTATTTATTTTTGACAGATGGATAACTTCTACACAGGTATGTTCTTTCCGTTAATTTTTTATTTTCCTCGGTTTCTGATTGATGATGTTTGTTCATTGTTATTTCTACCAAAATCCTGCTATGGAACTCATGCTTGCACTCAACTGCAGTAACGGTATGCTCCTAGATTTCAATCACATTTTTTAATTTTTCGTTGTAGTAGTTTACTTTCCAGGAGCATCTTTGACCTATATGGATAAGTCACTAACAGAGCCTTCTTGTTTGTTTTCCTCATTGTGACAGGTGTACGAAAAGGTTGGCCTTGTACTTTGTTTCTTCTTGTTTTTGAATGAAGCTGTGTATTCAATGCTAAACGGAAACTATATTACTGATATCTGATTTCTTTTTTTATCAGGGAGCTGAAGTGGTGAGAATGTACAAAACTTTGTTGGGTGCCTCCGGATTCAGGAAGGTATCTAAAAAAATATCTGTTGTTGTGCTTTCCAACTTGATATATTTTATCGTTACTTTGTTCCTTCCACCTTTTTAGGGCATGGATCTATACTTCAAAAGGCATGATGGACAAGCCGTGACATGTGAGGACTTCTTTGCTGCAATGAGGGATGCAAATGGTGCTGATTTTTCAAATTTCTTGTTATGGTATGTTCTCAATCTTGCTTTAACTCTTCGATGCTTGACTTTGGTGCTTCTAGTTCCTTTTTTGTTTTTGTTTATGTTTATTCGAATAAATAATGCAGGTACTCTCAAGCTGGGACACCTCGTCTGAAGGTTGTTACATCCTATAATGATAAAGACAAGACTTACTCTCTCAAGTTTAGGTGAAAATCCTGTCTTGGTTTCTCCTTTTAAGTTAGTTTTTTTCTTCTGTATTGGACGTTTAACTCTTTTTTCTTTCCCAGCCAAGAAATTCCACCCACCCCCGGGCAGCCTGTAAAAGAGCCGATGTTTATTCCTGTAGCTATTGGTCTACTTGGCTCTTCTGGACGTGACATGCCTCTTTCCTCTGTTTACCATGACGGGAAGTTGGATAGTCTTGGAAGCAATGGCCAACCAGTCTTCTCTACAGTTCTCAAAGTGACAAAGGTTAGTTATAAATTTGATTACTTTCAATTTCATGGGATTCTTCATGTGTGGGTTTTAGCTACTGGACATTTAGTGTATGTCTCTGGAAAAAGCATCAAATAGGAGCAGAAATGCAGCATGTCTATATGTAGTTTTCCAAAGTAAGTTATGTGCAGCTTGCGAAAAGTTTCCTCCATACAGGCCATTTTTTTACTATATTTTCTCTTTAAACCGAACTGTTTTAATACTTTCAAGTGGCTAATTGGCTCTAATCCTTTTTTGATCTTGATGTATGAATAACATCGAAACAGTTTTCCCCTGGAGGATTTGGTTTAATTGTGAATGAATTCTTAATCAATGCCCACTTGTTATTGTCTCAAATTTTCACCAATCTGGTATTCGTTTTTCTCAAGCAGAAAGAAGAAGAGTTTGTGTTCAATGACGTCGATGAACGCCCGGTGCCGTCTATACTTAGGGGATACAGTGCTCCAGTCCGAATGGATTCTGACATAACTGAGGCTGATCTATATTTCCTCCTTGCTAATGATTCTGATGAATTTAATCGGTATGGAATATTGACAAGAGACATCAGTGGCCAAGAAAATATTCATAGAACAAGAATCTTAAAAACATTATTTTTTGTAATATTTTAGTTGGGAGGCGGGGCAGATATTGGCAAGAAAATTGATGCTGAGCCTAGTGTCGGATTTTCAGCAGAAGAAGCCATTGACTCTGAATCCGCAGTTCGTACTTGGAGTTAAAAGTATTCTTTGCGACACATCCTTAGATAAGGTGTGCATACTTTTACTTACATTTCGTAAGAAGTATATATGCGTGTGCTATATTTTCTTAAATTTCCAATGTTATTCAGGAATTCATTGCAAAGGCATTAACTCTGCCTAACATTGGCGAAATCATGGACATCATGGAAGTCGCTGACCCTGATGCTGTTCATGCTGTCAGAAAATTCATCAGGAAGCAACTTGCTTTTGAATTGAAAGCTGAACTTCTGGCTACTGTGCGTCTGTTTCTTCTGACTTCTTTATAGACTTGAAAAAGAAAAAAGAAAAAAAAAAAAAGAATCCTCCATCCCTTGTTTGTTTAACTTTAGTTTCTTGCTTGTGCTTTCTTAGGTGCAAAACAATAGGAGCTCTGAGAAATACGAGTTCAACCACGAAAATATGGCTAGACGTGCTCTGAAAAATATCGCCCTTGGTAAACTTAAAGAGCCATTTCTTATTTATACCCTTGAATTCAGACATAACCGTTGTGTTTGCCGAATTAAATCTCAATTGGTTCAACTTTTCAGCATATCTTGGCTCAATTGAAGATGCAGAGATTACTGAGCTCATTTTGAATGAATATAAAAACGCCACAAATATGACCGAGCAGTTTGCAGCTCTGATTGCTCTCGAACAGCAACCTGGCCCTGTACGCGATGAAGTTTTGGCTGATTTCTACAACAAGTGGCAGCACAACTACTTGGTATGCTTTCTCGCATCTCACGTCTGAAATCTTTCTCAAAAACTGTCCTGAACTAGAATTTTCTATGTCCATCCAGGTTGTCAACAAGTGGTTTTCGCTCCAAGCAATGTCAGACATCCCCGGGAATGTCGAGAATGTGCGTCAACTCCTTGAACATCCTGCCTTTGACATACGCAATCCCAATAAGGTCTGCAACAACCACTTCAAACCTCCCTCTATATTGACATAGATTTTAGGCCGGGAGTAACACCGTCGAATGTTATGAAATTTTCACAGGTCTATGCACTCGTTGGAGGATTCTGCGGATCTCCAGTTAACTTCCACGCCAAAGACGGATCGGGCTACAAATTTTTAGGCGAGCTAGTGGTGCAGCTCGACCGGCTGAATCCTCAGGTCTTTTTAACAACTAAGCTCCAGCTTTTCCGCATACTAATATTTCATATTCTCTGTCACTGCTTCATCACTTACAATTCCTAATCACGACCGTCGAACTACAGGTGGCCTCGAGGATGGTCTCGGCATTCTCTCGGTGGAAGCGATATGATGAAACACGCCAAACTCTTGCGAAGGTAACGTTCATTAGTGCCATCTGTCTATAACGCTATTTGCATTTCACTCCTTGCTCGCTTGGGATTAATGCACGCTCTTTTCTGTGGCAGGCGCAACTCGAAATGATCCTGTCTGCGAACGGACTTTCGGAAAACGTGTACGAGATTGCATCGAAAAGCTTAGCTGCCTGAGCTCTTTCTTCTGCTTCTTCCTACAGGCAAAAGATCAACACAATAAAAGAGAAGGACTTATTTCTGAGTTCAGAACCTACTTTGGTCTGCTGCTGATGTTTTCAGGTTCACAAACTATCGATTTATTTACTTTTGATCATATCCTTTTTGGACATTATACTGGATTTTGCTCTTAAATTTAATTTTAGGGTGTGTTTGTTAGTGGGTTTTAATTTTTGAGTTTGAATTTTAATAGTAAAAAGTTTGAATTTGAATAATTGTTTGATGTGATATATAAATAGATGATGTAACGTTTTGAATGTAAAATAAATTTGTAGTATAATATAAAAAAGAAAAGTAATTGTTTCATATTGTTTTGAATGTAAAATAAATTTATAGTATAATATAAAAACGAAAAGTAATTGTTTCATATTATATTTTTATAGGAAAAAAAGAATTTGAATAGTAAAAATTTATCGTAAAATTCACAGAAAACACAATCTATTTTTTTTTTTTCCTTTTGAAACTGATTGCAAAGTTTTAACAATAAAATAATCCAGACAATTCATTTATAGGTTAAATGTGAATGATTAGCAATATTAATTTCATATATATATATATATATATATATATGAAGAAGTATTGAATTGAATTAGAGACAGATGTTGGCATGAAAGGCTGCCATGTAAGGGAAGAAGGACTACTAAAGTAAAGAGTAGTTAGTTGATTGATTTTATGGTGTTTGTTGTTAAGGTTGTTGGACGAATTTGAAATAAAATAAGTACTTTATTTGGATTGTGATTTAAGGCTCTGTTTGATACTTATTTATTTTTTAAAAAATATCACATTAAATGCATTTTTCTTTTACAAAACATCAAATAAGTACTAATTTTTTTACTTTTTTTTTTTTTTTCAAATATCCACAAATCTCCAAAAACTTCTATCTAAACAAACCTTAGATTTTTAGATTTGGACTTGTTTACATGGAAGATATGGTTTTGTATTAGGTATTTTAATTTTTGTGGAATAATGTATTTTTAATTATAGAATGTGTAATGCCAAAATAAGTATAATAAATAATAAATAAAAAAACCAAAGAATTTGTTCATATTATTATTATTCTTATATATATATATATATATATATATAATTACAAGTAAACCATAAGCACATCCAAGCAAATGAACCTTTCAAAGGCATGGACAAAAGCCTATGAATTTATCTGGTAATAGAATTGAGAAAGAGTAGTTTTGAATTTGAAATATAAAACAAACACATCCTATATCTATTAAATTATACATTAAAATTTATATAAATTATAAATTTGTGGTAATATACATAATATATATTTTCTTCGTTCTATTTATTATGTCATATTTTTTTATTTTAGTTGGTCTCATTTATAATTTTTTAATTTCGGTAACGTTTAATTATATTTTAAATTTTATAAATTTATAACTTTTTTTTTTTTTTTTATGATGTGGAATCCTAATTAGTAATCTTAATAATTATTATAATTTTTAAGTATTGAGCAAAGTGTTGAACTAATATTCATCGGCACCGGATCCTAATTGATTTATCAAATCATAATCCTCGTAAATTATCATCTAGTGTTTACAGTAAATGATTTACTTTCTTTTTTCTTTTATATTGTTTATTGTTAAAATACATTTTTTACTAAAATGTTAGTGAATCTAGTTTTCAATAAAATATTAAAAGAAAAAAAAAATTAAAAAAAAAAAAAAACGTCAATACAAGTAAGCCACCCCGTTATTTCCCGGAAGCCACGTGTTATTAAGACTTTAATTTATATTTATTTATTTATATTATTGATTAGAGACTTGTTTTGTTAGGTGTTGGTGATATTTATAAGCAACCGTGCAAGTTAGCATTGGCAACGGGTAAAGCGAGCGAATTTTCACTGTGGGGTCCAACTCTACGCCGTGGGTGCGCACGAAAGCCCACAGACACCCACACGTGCGCACTTTTATTTAATTTAATTAATTAATTAATTAATTAAAAACGATTACTATTGCAAAGCAAGGTCCCGCTCTAACCGAAAGTACAAATCTACCCTTCCATTTTATTCAACTGGTGTAACAAGTGGAAAGGGGTGATTTCGTAACTCCGTGCAAGATCATAACTATAAGAATGCAAGGGTGAGTTACATAAGAAAATAAATAAATCAATTAATTAATTAATTAATAATCAAAGCATTAATAAAGTCGATTTCTTTTTGAGTCGTTTGCGTGTTTGACCTACGAATCGAAGAAGACGAAGAAGAAGAAGAAAGAAAAGTATATTTTGAGCAATTTTGGGCTTGGTGGAGGCTGATGTGTGTCTCTCCACCGCCGCATGCTGTTTTTATTGCTCCTCTCTTGCTCGCCTGATTTTGGAATAAGCGCGTACGAGTTTTTTCGTCGGTCGGTGGTGCTGCTGCTGCTGTTGCTGCTGTGATTTTTCCATGGATGAGGTTTGTGTTTGATTTTGATTTGGTTGATTGAGTAAACGATGAGAAGAGTTGGAGGGAATGGAGGCGACGCGCACGCGATGGAAACGATCAACGCTGCGGCGACTGCAATCGCGTCAGTGGAGAATCGCGGTGCTCAACCTTCAGCTCGGGTATGAGATTTTCCTTGTCCGAAGTTTTTTTAAATTTTGATGTGATTTTGATGTTTGATCTGCCTCTGGTGTTTTTTTGGAGTAATTATTGCTGAAATTTTGTTTTTTTGTTAGTCAATTTTGTTTGTTTGTTTGTTTGTTTCGTTACTTCAGAAGTTTTTTTTTTTTGTAGAATTCACGTAGTTTTCGGTGCTTTTTCTTGTAAGCGTTTTTCTTGAGATTGGAGATCTGATGGCTTAATTGCTCTTTTGTCTTTTATTTGAAGGAGTTGTTTTTTTCATCTTTGATCTGATGTGTTTTTCTATGCAATTTAACTTTTTTAAGGTTGAATATTGAAGAGAAAATAGATTTCCTTGTCTAGGAACTCTTTTTCTGGGAATGGCTTGATTATATGGATCTTCATTTTTGGTGTGCAGGGCTCTTCCAACTGATATATAAAATTTCACAAACAAAAATGGATTATTATCTGTTCTTGATTCTTGATAGCCAATTGTTTCTGCTTTAATTATTAGGTGCAATGGGGAAAAGTCGAATTTAGCGTTCAAAAGGTTGGATAATCAGTGTATGGAGCACCCAATCCTTTATTCTTAGAAAGTTGTTGTTGGATCTAGAAACAATCATACAAAAACGAAAAAAGTTTCAGTGGATCATGACTTTGCCGTCCTACTTTCTGCGTTGTAGTTTGTTAGTCCATTATGATCCCCTTTAAGCAGCCTTTTTCACACTTAGATGTTGATTACTTTTTGGAATACTTTATGGTTATAAATGATTAATTTTTCTTGGATATAGAGAACATAATGCTCAAATGGTGGTTAAATAATTAATTATTATTCAACACCTTATTTTAATCACAACACTTTTTCCTTGAGGGTCGTGTCTTCATTTTACTGTGCCAGACATTGATTGATATTTATTGGTGTCGATGAGGTTAGGTTGTATAGTTTTCTCTTCTAGGCCGCCTCTCAATGAATGGTATTTGCAACATTAATTGATTTATATTGTTTCCTAAAGCTGGGGACGTTACTTTTTAGGTACGATGCTGCTAATATTCATAATAAGGATTTGAAGTGTATATTTAATCAAAGAGAATAGTTGTTGCAGATTTCCGGGCATGTCTTTTCTGTTTGATCATGTTGTTCCTTTTCTTTTGAATGTTGAAATGCTATGTAGACTGCAAATTGTGCAATAGATGTAGTTCATATAAATGCATCTGGTGTGAAAGTCTTCTCCATTCTTGTTCGTCGAAAGCTTTAAATCTTGTGATACACTCAGTTTGCATGATCGTTAATCTGTGCACACACTTAGTGGGGAGTGAAATAGAGAATAAATTTTTTTAGCTATCCTTTGTTCAAATGAAAAAAGCAATCAAGGATTTCGATTATGCAAAAAGTCTTTCTTGCTAGAAAAGAATTAGCACATATTATTAGAAGAACAAAATGTAGTTATGATTCATCCGCAGGGTGGGTGACATATCAAAGAATTTTCCTCATAACTGTTATTGCGCTGCAGACGCCACTTCTTTAAGAATTCGTGGAATAAAAAAAGTACAAAAGTATTTATAAATTTTCTGATGTTTGGCCAATATCCTTCGATAGACTGTTCTTGTCTTTTAGAATAGTAGAAGCCAATTTGTGGTAATTTTATTAGGCTAAATTTCCTTAATAACATGTTATTGTATTGTCTCACAGGATTGAATACTATTGATTGAAAAACTGAAAACGAAAACTCATCATAATAAATTAATCACTTGCATCCCATCCTCTGCTTTCTAAAAAGCTGAAATCTGTTTCAGATATAATTAACTATGTCAGTGTCCACTACAACAATCTAAAAGGTACATTGTAACCTGTAGCTCTCAACCATTAATGCTGGAATTTCTTGCAATATTTGTTCTATGCCCAGAGTAATTGATGTTAGTTGTTAGTTTTGGTTAGAAATAACTAAATATATGGATAAAAGAAATTTCATTGTCTGCTATGTGTTTTTCATGGGGTAGTGTAATCAAGCAATGGACTTTTATTCAACGAAAGAAAATGAATAGTGTGTCTCAGGGGAGAATCCTCACCCAAGCCGAAGCCAAATAACTACCAAAAATATTTATTCCTGGCTACCTACTCTATGATGCTCTTGAGGCGGTTGCTGCTGCCTTGTAACAGTTTCACTTCATAAGCATTCTTGGAACGAATTCTTTATTATATTCCAGGAGAATCCTTCATTTATATGCATTGATCTTTACCACTTATTCAGGCAAACAAACTCGACTTATTTATCAATCTGAATTATTTGTGTCTCCTCTTCTATGATTCCCCATTGTGCTATTAACTTTATGGCTTCAGTTTTCCAAATTTCCGTACTTTTTTATCTGCTTGAGCTTCATCTCAGGGATTCATGATTTTCATATTTCTTTTGCTTGTGGTCTTGCAGAAAAGGAGATGGGGAAGCTGCCTGGGAATCTACTGGTGTTTCGGGTTGAGCAAAAACAAGCGAATTGGACATGCTGTTCTTGCTCCCGAAAATAATGCTTCAGGGACCGAGGCCCCTCCAAACGATCACCCCTCCCAGCCACCTTCCCTAGCACTACCTTTTGTCGCACCTCCTTCCTCTCCAGCATCTTTCCTTCCATCTGAACCCCCTTCTGCTACCCAGTCACCTCCCGGCCTACTCTCCCTCTCTGTATCCGCCAACATGTATTCTCCCAGTGGTCCTCACTCAATTTTTGCTATCGGCCCCTACGCCCACGAGCCCCAATTAGTTTCTCCTCCCGTCTTCTCAACCTTCACCACTGAGCCATCCACCGCCCCCTACACACCTCCCCCAGAGTCGGTCCACTTGACTACACCTTCCTCGCCTGAGGTGCCGTTTGCTCGGCTCCTTGAACCCAACCTCCAGAATGGTGAGTCTGTCCAGAGATACCCTTTTTTCCAGTATGAGTTTCAATCCTATCAGCTTCAACCGGGTAGCCCGGTCAGCCATCTGATCTCGCCAAGCTCGGGGATATCCGGTTCGGGCACCTCCTCACCTTTCCCCGACCGCGACCTCACTGCTGCTCACCCCTTTTTCCTCGAGTTCAAAACTGGAAATCCTCCGACGCTATTGGATCTTGATAAGATTGTGATTCGGGAATGTGAATCGTGCCAGGGATCCGGTGCTGTGACGCCGGACGCTGCCTGGCCGAGTACTTGCAACGCATCCATATTCAACCGTCAAAATTCAGACGTCGCACCTCTACCCAACACATTGCTGAATGACGAACCTGCAGACAACCGAAGAGTTTCTTTCGAAATAACTGAAGAAGAAGTTATCCGATGTGTGGAAAAGAAACAGGGTACTCTTACCGAATCGTCACTGGAGTTAACAGGAAATGCCGAGCATACAGAAGAAAGTAAAACAACCGAAATGGTCGATGATGATGCAAGTTGCTCTCCTGCCGGAGATAACATCCCCGCGGAAGAACATACTGATCATGGAAAAGAGCCACGGCATCATAAGCACAGGACAATCACTCTAGGATCTACGAGAGAATTTAACTTCGAGAAAGTGGACGATGTGAATTCAGACAACCCAAGCATGGAGTCGTCGGAATGGTGGGTCAATGAGAAGGTTCGTAAAGAGGATGGTAGCCCCTGTAAGAACTGGTCTTTCTTCCCGATGATGGAGACGGGAGTGAGTTAATTACATGGTAGACCATCAGGGTTTCGAATCCCCTTCGGTACTTAGAGAGATTTTTGCAGGCTGATTGTTATTGACGACAAAACTGATAGAGCTGAGCTAGCTAGATGGGGGACTCGACTCGACCAGACTGGTTAGTACACTTAAATATGAATATATTGTCCTAAAAGAAGCATGTTTTAGGTGACATACGTAATTTCATAATGTAAGATAGGCATCGAGAAGTTTTATATGTCGGCTAATGCCATCGATCATCCTGTTCACATTGCTGCGCCGGCCTGTTTGAACAGGGCCGGGCCGCGTGTGTTGTGTGATCGTAAATTAATCTTTTAGATCAATGCAAATACTTTTAGGATCGGATCGGATTGGGATAGGCCACATTTTCGACATTTTTTCGTGTAAGTATCTTTAAAATAAGTAGGCTTAATTCTAAAGTTACAAGAGGATAGCAGACTAGAAGGCTTCTTAGAAACATGAATGTTGTTGATAATGAGTGAATAGGGCTCTATTATTATTTTTTAATTTTTAATTTTTAATTTTTGTTTTGGTTTGGTTTGGTTTTTTTCGATGATTTTTTATGAAATTATATTTAGTATTTCTTATTACAAAATAGAGTATCAACATGAATGTTTTATTGTAGAATACACAAGATGCATGTTCTATTCTGTAATAATAGTTGGAGGATGAGGTTGAAACAATCAATTTTTTATTTAGAAAGATACTAAGATGAGAATTAGGATTTAAGATTAGAATTTTTTTAAATATTCTTATATGAGTATTATAGATAGATAACAAAAATGTATGAATGGATATTGGAACATAGGGTTTATTTGGTTTTAACTTTGAATTAATTTTTTTATAAAATACTCCTATTATACTAAATTAAATTGAGACATAAATAAAAATAACTCATATTCTTGTTTGAGGGATTGGATTTTTCTTTTACTATTCATCCAATTTTTTTCCCCCAAAAACATCAAATCAAACACCTATTTTTCATTTTTTATATTATACTAAAAATCAATTTTACATTCAAAACATCACATCAACACCTATTTATATCACATCATACAACTATTCAAATTCAAAATTTTTACTATTCAAATCCCAACTCAAAATCCAAACCTCCAAACAAATTGAACTCATGATCAAATGTTTATAATTTTTGTTTTTTCTTCAATCAATTGTGTTTCCCAAATCCTACTAAATTACTTATGTTCACACACACACATAAAAATATTATATATATATATATATCTAGAGAGAGAGAGAGAGAGAAATGTATGCATATGTATAGTGGGTATATATATATATATATATATATATGATTTCTAATGTCATTAATTTACACTATTTAATGTCATTGAATGCAAGAATTTAATGAGGAGACCTTCTCACTGCCAAATTAGGTGTGTCTCTCTCTGCAAGATAATAATAATAATAATAATAATAATAATAATTTCCTCTTGAAAGTGTAGTAACAGTATATTATAGAGAGACTTATTTGAATTTGTGTCAAGTCTGGCAACTCAACCCCAAGAAAAGCGACCAACCATATTAACATTGCCTAATTCGATATATATATATTATATATATATATATATAGAGAGAGAGAGAGAGAGAGAGAGTAATTATTTGTGGCCTTGAAAGATTAATGATTGAACCTTAAGAAAAATAATTATAATTATAATTATTTGTACACAAAATATATACTCCACACGTTTCTGCTTCTCATAGTCATTCACTTTTTTGCATCATTTAGGATTACAAACACACTAATTAAAATATTTTTACAATTTCTTTTTAATTTTTATTATATTTTGATATAATAATTACTATTAATATTCAAATATCAATATGTAAAAAAGTAAATAAAACCCTTAAACTTGATGAAAGTAAATATATTATTTAAAACAAATAATTCTTATACCATTTAATATTATATTTATTTATAAATATACCAATACTTGCATATTTAATTGATCAAAAAATCTAACTTCATTATTTTATTCATACATTTTCTTTTAAAATATTTATATTTTATCTCACAATCAATAAATATAATATTATAATATTTAGCTCCAATGAACATATATTTTAGGGATATACAAATATATACATATATATGTATGTATGTATAATGTATGTACCCTTGAAAATTAGGATTGTCAAGAGAGAGAGAGCTTATTATTATTATTATTATTATGGAAAAATATTTTTTAAGTCTAGTAAATAAATTTGTTTAGTTACATGCATAAATACATACATAATAAATGCACTTCCATCACTTGTCCTAAAATCACGACTGACTTTGTAAAACTACTTCCAATCAAAATATTCATTACTAATTAATAAGACGACATAATACAATAAAATAAAAATAGATTTCCTTTCAATAAGGAAGACTCATAATATTTTTCCATTAATTGTTCACATTCTTATATATTACTTAGGCAGTTGCTTGGTACAACTGCAACCCTATTACCAAGTTGACTACTGATTGCTACAAATAATATTTCAATTTGATTCACTGATTTATTTCATAACAAAAACATTATTGTTATGCTTGAAATAATACTATGATGCAATGAAACTTGATTTGTATATATAACTAACTACATAAAAAAAATAAAATAATAAATGAATGATTAAAAACAGTTGGAATTAAATAAATACACCAACTTTTGGTATCAAAGTTGGATTACTAAATGAAAATTTAATTAAAAAATATTTATTGCCTATATGGAACATTCGATTGTAGTTAGATTTAGGAAATGTTACAAGCCAACTGTGTGCGTACGTGTATATATGAGTTATGACCGACTGGTGCTATAATTAAAGTTTGAAAATTAAGTTGAGCCCTTCATGTTCAAAACCTTCAATTAATTAATTAATTAATTAAATAATTGTAATCATAATTTAATTCATTTTTATAAATTCTAATGGTAATTAGATACAAAAGTTATAACATAGCTTTAAAAAAAATATTGTTACGGAAATATCATAAGAACAAGAAAAAAACAGTATAATGCACTAATCAAAGATTAATATATTAGGGTTTGGAAGGATATAATTTCTTCTACTACTTAATTTATAATATATATATTTGATGCATAATTAACACAATAATTAGGTATTGAAATCAACCTAAATCGGATTGATTATGTATCCATCAGGACATCATTTATGAGTAGTCGAAATATATAGGTGATGATGAAATCAGGTATATATATATATATATATATTAATAGAACAAGATTATATATATATATAACACATCAAATTTGGAGGTGAATAGATCCATCTATAGAACAAACATTATTATTATTATTATTATTATTAGGGTTTGCTAATTAATTAAAATTATTTGTATAGACATGAATTCATGTGGACTGCTCTTCTACTTGCCTTCCAACGACCTCTGCTGCTATTTAATGTTGGCTGGTTTGCACCTTTACTCCTCTCTCTCTCTCTCTCTCTCTCTCTCTCTCTGTAATGTAGAGAGAGATAATGTTGTTGATGATGATTATTATGATGAACTGTAATCTGTATGTACATATACATGCATATATATATATATATATAAATACAGTTAAAAGGATCATTGAAGAGCAGCAGCAGCCCTACACACTATTTACAGCCATTCTTGATCTCTCTCTCTCTCTCTCTCTCTCTCTATAAATCATCACTTGAACTTCTTCCTTTCTCTCTCTCTCTCTCCCCTTTCTCTCTCCATATATCACACACAATTGGTGATTGGCTTTTCTTCATTCCTCCGTGAATGAATTCTGTATTCACAAATCCCTTAAATTAATTTTCTCTCTCTCTCTCTAGGGTTTTATCAGCCAATCTGATAAATGGACACGACATCAACGGCCACGATCATCCTAGCCTTTATAGCAGCTTACATCCTGTGGTTCAGATCAATTACCCGCTCCTTGTCGGGCCCCCGCCTCTGGCCCGTTCTGGGCAGCCTGCCCGGCCTCATTGCAAACAACGGCCGTTTGCACGACTGGATTTCCGACAACCTCCGCGCCGCCGGCGGCACTTACCAGACCTGCATTTGCGCCGTTCCGTTTCTCGCCGGAAAAGAAGGTCTCGTGACTGTCACGTGCGACCCCAAAAACTTAGAGCACATTCTCAAGGTTAGATTCGACAATTACCCTAAGGGCCCCACGTGGCAAGCGGTGTTCCATGATTTGCTCGGCGACGGCATCTTCAACTCAGATGGCGACACGTGGCTGTTCCAGCGTAAGACCGCCGCACTGGAATTCACCACCCGGACGCTCAGACAAGCCATGGCTCGCTGGGTCAGCCGAGCCATAAAAACCCGGTTTTGCCCCATTCTAGAAACGGCTCGGCTCGAGGGGAACCCGGTCGACCTGCAGGATCTTTTGCTCCGGCTCACTTTTGATAATATATGCGGCTTGGCTTTTGGAAAAGATCCGATGACTCTGTCGGCCGGCTTGCCGGAAAACGGCTTCGCTTCGGCTTTCGACCGAGCCACGGAAGCCTCGCTGCAGCGGTTTATTTTGCCAGAGTTTTTGTGGAAATTTAAAAAATGGCTTCGGCTTGGGATGGAGGTCGGCTTGAGCCGCAGCTTGAGACACGTGGACGGTTATATGACGGACGTTATAAATAAACGGAAGTTTGAGCTGCTGAGTCAGCAAGGCGGTGGGGACCACCACGATGATTTGCTGTCAAGGTTTATGAAGAAGAAGGAAAGCTACAGTGATAAGTTTCTGCAACACGTTGCTTTGAATTTCATCCTCGCCGGCCGGGATACGTCGTCGGTGGCGCTCAGTTGGTTCTTCTGGCTGGTGACGAGGAATCCGAGGGTGGAGGAGAAGATTTTGATCGAGATCTGCTCGGTTTTGTTGGAGACTCGCGGCGGCGATGTTTCGAAATGGATCGAAGATCCACTGGTGTTTGAGGAAGTCGATCGGTTGATTTACCTCAAGGCGGCTTTATCGGAGACGCTCCGGTTGTATCCATCGGTTCCTGAAGATTCGAAGCATGTGGTTGCCGACGATGTGCTTCCCGACGGGACGTTCGTGCCGGCTGGATCGAATATTACCTACTCGATCTACTCGTCGGGGAGGATGAAGTTTATTTGGGGAGATGATTGTCTGGAATTCAAGCCGGAGAGGTGGTTGACGGAGGATGGGAAGAGATTTGCTCCGGTGGATCAATTTCAGTTTGTGGCGTTTAACGCCGGGCCGAGGATATGCTTGGGGAAGGATCTGGCGTACTTGCAGATGAAATCGATTGCGGCGGCGGTGCTGCTCCGCCACCGCCTGGTTCTAGTGGAGGGGCACAGAGTGGAGCAGAAGATGTCCCTCACATTGTTCATGAAGGATGGTCTGAAAGTCAAAATTCATCCTAGGGATTTGGCTCCAATTTTGACCAAAATTGGGGAAAACTTCCCTGCAATTGAATTGAAGCACAGTATCAATACAGGTAATTCTCCATCTCAAGTGGAGATGATTAATTGAGTCAATCATGATTAATTGATACGAATTATAAGCATATCAATCTGTGAATATAAGGATGCATAATAATAGATACACGTATCAAATCACTACACAATCTGGAAAAATCAAGTGAGATTTTCATGATTCACTGTGATGGATACCTTAATTAAAATCCCGATTAAGGTGCCTCTCACACTGAATCAACACTTTGTTAGTGTGAAATTTGTATGATGATGAACTATGTATGATGAATTGAATAATATTCTGTTATTGCCACTGCCATAGAAGAAGATGAGAAAGGGCTTTCATCTTTCTATATTCATCCGAAAACAATAGTACAGAGCTTTGTATTTGTATTGGATTTTGATATATATGATGAATAAATGGTTACAGTTTACATATCTTGTCTTCAGCTTGTTGTTAATTAGTTCATATGATTCTCCATCCTCTGCAATTCTTAATTTCATTATCTGCAAACAAAGTGAACTGAATCAATCAAGTTTTCTTGGACTTATCTTAAACTTTTCGTATCTTTAAGCTTGAGTGTGAGGTTGTAATGAGATTTTTATACTCGAGATTAATTACTGTTCTGAATTGTTAGCTCGAAAAGGGATTGTTGAGTTCTTGATTCTTGTTTTGAATTGTAGCTCGATAAGGGATTGTTGAGTTCTTGATTCTTGTTTTGAATTGTAGCTCGATAAGGGATTGTTGAGTTCTTGATTCCTGTTTTGAATTGTTAGCTTGTTAAGGGATTGTTGAGTTCTTGAGTCCTGTTTTGAATGTTAGCTTGATAAGGGATTGTTGAGTTCTTGAGTCCTGTTTTGAATTGTTAGCTTGATAAGGGATTGTTGAATTAGTGTGTTGAGACAGTAGACTTGCAGGTAGTCGACAATCTTAGAAAAGACTTGGAAGTATCGATAGAATCTTTGTGTAGGCGTTGAGTTGCTTGTTTATCGACAATTTTTGGTTAGTTTTCAGATCTTAGGGTGAGTGAGTTGTCGACATTATACATTAGCGAAGTATTGAACTGTGTCTCTAAAATCTACAAACTGCAGATAGGATAGGTAGAGTTCTGGTGGTCACCTTCACAAATATTGAAACCATAGTTTTCATTTCATCAGAATACAACAAAACATAATACATTCTTGTTATATAAATACACATGGCCACACAATTTACACGGCAACACGAGGAAACACAAAACACAGAAGAGACACACACGGCACGAAAACTAAAACGATAACAAGGCTCTGTTACCACCATCAGTCCCTGTTTTTAAAGGGAATGGCTCTGATAACAATCACATGGTAAATGGCCGCGAGACCGGCTCCGATAAAGGGACCAACCCAAAAGATCCACTGTTAAAACAACAAGAAAGACAAATTTAGAGCTAAGTAAGTAAACAAGTAGTTGGTTAGATTGCTGTTCTTAGACTTACATGATCATCCCAAGCTTGATCTTTGTTGTAAATAATGGCGGCTCCTAGGCTCCGAGCCGGGTTGATCCCAGTACCCGTGATCGGAATAGTAGCCAAATGGACTAGGAACACCGCGAACCCGATTGGAAGAGGAGCCAAAATCTGCGAAAAACAAACAATTTCAATCATCATAAAGTCCATAGGATAGAATAGAAAGTCAGTAGAGTTAAAGAAACATACAGGGACATGAGAGTCTCTGGCGTTTCTTTTGGCGTCGGTGGCGGAGAAGACGGTGTAGACGAGGACAAAGGTGCCGATGATCTCGGCGCCGAGGGCGTCCCCTTTGGTGTAGCCATGGTTAACCATGTTGGCTCCACCCTTGAGCCTCTGATAGGGACCGACCATGAAGCCCTTGACCACACCGGCCCCACAAATGGCTCCCAAGCACTGCATCACTATGTAGAACACGGCCCTGGTCAAGGACAGTTTCCTCGCCAGGAACAACCCAAATGTCACTGCTGGATTGATATGTCCTCCTGTTTGTTTTTGTTTTTATTTTTGTTTCCCAACAACAACAACAGTTCATCAAAAACCTAACCAAAACCAAACTCTAACTACGTAAAGTTATATGACTTGCTTCAGAGCTTGAGCTGTCAAATGAATTGAGTAGCATAGCTCGCGTGCCATGTTTGATATAGTTTGTTAACAACACGATTTGACTCGTTTAGAAATAATGAACTGAGTTCGAGAATTATTAGGTCGCCTAGCTTGATTGAGGTCGTTAATGTTATATTTATATTTTATATATTAATATATATTTGAAATTTAAAGAAAAATGGATAAAAATAGAATTTTTTACTTTTTAGATTGAAAAAAAGAGAAAAAATGTTATTTTTAAATACTAAAATAAAAAAGATTAAAATATATCTAGATGAGAATAAAAGAAAAAAAAAAGTAAAAATAAATTTGAGTGAAAGAGAGTATATAGCGACATGTAGAAAACTTATATATTTGTTAATAAAATTTAAATATTTTATTATAATAAATTGTGAATAAAAAATTATATTTATTTATGTTGTATATTAAAAGTATATAATACGTAGGAAATTCAAGCATCATTTTAGCTAGAATTTTCTCGAACAGTTGATACTCGAATTGGAGACTGATACTAATGACTTAGGAATTTGAGGAACCCGAAATTGTTTTTGTTTTCCCAAAACAAACAATTAATTAACCAAACTTAAACCCCAATTACGTAAAATTACGCAGCAAAGTTGCAAAATGGAATCAGAGACTATCGAGTGATGTATAAATCATATGACGGTGATTTAATTTAGGGATTAGGGATTTGTTCGAGGAATTGAACCTGAGATTCCGGCGGTGCAGTAAACGAGGGCGAAGATCATGCCGCCGAAGGCCCAGGCGATGCCCTGGATGCCGACGGAGGCGCACTTGTTGGGGGCTCTGTTGACGCCCATGACGGTGAGGATGGAGATGTAGAGGAAGAGGAAGGTAGCTATGAACTCGGCGATTCCGGCGCGGTAGAAGGACCAGGAGGTGAGCTCGCCGGGTTCGAACAGAGGCGCCGGCGGCGGCTCTTTGTAGTCCTTGTCGTCGGTCTGCGCGGCGGTGCCGATAGGCTGCCTCTCCGTGAACTTGTTGGCTCCAAGGTGAACATCCTCCTCCTTTGCTTCCGCCATGGATGATGATGGATTAATGAATTAGAATTTGATAAGAGAATTGAATTGAATTGAATTTGAGTTAAAGGAAGGGCGTGAAGAGTAGAGGTGGCTATATAGTGAGAGACCGAATGGAGCAGCCATGAAGAACATTGGAGAAGATGATAATATAATTAAATTAATTTAATTAAATTAAATAACTTGGCTTTGTTTCTAAATTTTTGAAAAATTTTATATATAAATTTTTTTGACTAATATAGGTTTGTAGTAGGTTAGGCATGCATTTATTTATTAGAAATTGAATATCATATTATTTATAGGGGATTGATTATCTAGTGACAAGTATTTACTTTAGTTCGTATTTTCTTTTAAATAAAAATTATAATTAAACATAACATTTTTAATTAAAAAAAAAAATGAGATTGAAGTATTCTAATAAACAACTATATTGAGAAAAGGATATTTAAAATACACATATTAACATTAACAAGGATATTTATTTACTCATTATACAATTAGTATAACACTGCTAAAATTACACTCACTACCGTAACCAAAGTTATAAACAATTACTCCCTCCGTTCTAAAAGATTTGTTTTATTTTTTCATTTTCGTCTGTCCCAAAACAATTGTCTTTGTTTCCTTATTTAGTAGTCGTAGTTCTCACTTTATAATAAAATTATTCCTACTTTTCTATACTACCCCTAATTATTACTCTAACATACTCTTTAAAATTCTTCAAAAAACACGGACCTTTAAGTCATTTACATTCTACTTTATACCCACTTTCAATTAAATACTATTATTCCTTCGTTCCCGTGCCAACTCTCAATAAAACACTTCTTTTGGGACGGAGGGAGGATATAACAAAACAATCGATTAATATAACAAAACTATTGAACAATATTTTTGTATTATACAATATATTAACATTACATATGTGTAATTAAAAGAATAATTAATATGTTAATAGTATTCCTTCAGTCCACTTACAATGTATACATGAGTGGTTAAAAGTAGTGTCATATTTTTGCTCTTTTTTTTTTTTGGAAAAAAACATTAATTATAAGATGTAAAGTAAGAGTATTTGTGAAAAAAATTCGAATATTTACTTTATAATTGAATATTTCAAAATCAATTTAGGGAGTGTGCTTTTGAAATTTAAAATCATTTTATCTTTAATTTCATTTATTTGTGTACATGTCTTTCAACTGTAGATCTAATACGAAATTAATAATTGGAATACTTTTAAAATGAATTATAAATACATGATTCAATCCACTATATACTTAGTTGAGTAATTTTCTATATTGAATATATATATATATATGATTTAAGAGTGCCATATTGTACATATATAAGCAAATAAAATAATCATCTTTAAATTAAATTTTTTAATTAATCGATAAAAATAATATTTTATTTTTTTTTTAAAAAAAAACATGGAATCTATGTCCATGGAATATTTTAACTAAATAGTAAATGTACATTGTATTCTTTTTTTTATTATTATTATTATTATTTCCTAATCATTTCAATTTTGACAGTTAATTAATAATAATAGCCCAAATTGTAGAAAGAAAAAATAAAATCTTAAATAGAAAATTAGCTCCTTTTCTATTTCTAATATTAGAAGACACTCCAAATCCAATCTCACCTAAAATTTAAAAATAAAATAAAATAAAATAGGAACATGTATGTATATATATGGGTTGTTCTTATCTTTTCCACACCACCATCATTTTTATTTGTTATTTGTCAATTCTAATGTCATATTCCCTTATCATTTAATTAAATATTTGCGTCACTCCAAAACTAACAATTTTTATTTTTTTTTTCAATAAATTTTGCAAATGCAATTTGTCATAATTTCCTATTTAATTTCCCCTTTACAATTATTTAGTTCCATGGACAGATCATTATCATTATCAAATTATTATTATTATTTTTTAAAATTTTTAATTTTTTGATCGGAATATTATTATTATTGTTATTGTTATTATGATGATTATTAATGTTGAAACTCCAAGGCCTTTAAAGGCCAGATGAATCTCGACTGTTCATGATGTGGACCCGCTAAAATCAACGGTGACGATCAATCCATCATCGGGTCCCTTTCCTTTTACTGAAAAACAATATAGGTAAGTGGAGTCTTACCTTTACTATGGGTCATTCATGGAAGGTCCGGGATCCGTACCACGTGAATGAACTTTTAACCACCCATTACGTGGACCCCACATGGGTAGGTTGCTTTAGGGTATGAAGTCCCGGGACTTTCCGTGAATTGCTCCCATATATAACAAATTTTTAGTTGCGTTTATGAATTTCCAAATTAAGTGATTTTTTTTTTATTTTTTTTTTATTATTATTATTATTTATTTGTGTTGTCTGTGGGATTTATTTAATTTTTATTAAAAATGTCATTTTCGGGGAAATAAAAATATTAACATTAATTTTGACATAAGATAATGTTGATATTGCTGAGTCCAAAATGATCAGTTGAGCAGTCATTTTTGGAATTAGGTTTAAGAGATCGCCAGTCAATTTACAATTATGTTTTTATTAATAAAATAATATTAAATAATTATACAATGATAACAAACCCTAAAATAATAGTAGTATAAACTCTAATTTAAATAGTGGTGGTTAAATTTTAAACATGGAATAAGTAATTAATAATTCCTAAATTTCTTGCTACACATTTGAAATAATTAATGTCCAAACAAATAAAATCGTATATTAATGTTTTAAATTCACATTGAATTTAATATGCAAATGTGCGTATGACAAGTCATATTAAAAATTGAGACAAAAAAATGAAAAAGCAATTATGTTATGGACAACTCAAACATAAGGGACACTCACATGCAATAATAACCCTATTTAATTTTTATATATTATAATATAATCTATAATAAAGTGATATTTTTATATTTTTAGTAAAAATTTAAATTAAATATTTATTTATTAAAAAAGAAAAGTATAAAACACTAAAAGAACAAGACATAAGTCAGGGCATGTTTTACTTTGTGTTTAATTTGGTTTAAATTCTTTTACTATATATTTACATATATAATTATTGCTTTTATTTTTTATTATATGTAAACTTAAGATAAATACATGTTTACATATATAAAATAAATAATTGCACAATTCACATTTTGATCAAACCTATACATAAATTCTTAATAGAAAAAAAAAAAAATATATGAATTGGTGTACATTTTATAAGGTTATTTATTATGCATGAAACTGAAATAATTATGGGAAGATTATTTAAAGTTAAGGTCAACTTTGGGACGTGTCAATAATACATAAAGATAATTGTGATTTCTTAGAAAGGAAAAAATTAAAATAATTATTAGCCACAAAAATAATATTAACTAAAACCGACCATATATAAATTCAATATATTTAGGTATCTACATTCCTTATTCCTAACCACAACAATAATAATTCAATAAATCGATGTCACAGCTGTGTCTTCTACTTCTTTAAATATTAATAATATATACTACTATATTTGTCAATATAACAAATAAATAAATACTGGCGATAATAAAAAAAGTACATATTTTTTTTTTTTAGTTTTAATTTAAGTCTTGATCATATAATAACATTTATTTTACTTGATTTTTGTGCACTAATTTTATTTTAAAGTAATGATGATATACGTGTGATGTAATTTTAAAATTAGAAATCATGTACTGGAGATAGAGTTTTTGACTTATCTAGAAAATTTGTACTTCATTTTAAATAGATACGATTAAATTTTATGTTCTTTAAGTGGATTTATACTTAGAAACTGATATAATAATCTAATGATAAAACTTTATCATCTAATTAGTAGTAAATTAAAAATTAATTGACTAACAATGAAAATTAATTACTAGTAGATTAAGCATTTTCAATGAGTGTGTATTATTGAGCGTACGTAGCACTTTAGAGAATATTCTTCTAAAATAAAAGTATTTATTTCAAGAAGACCCCACCCAACTTTATTTAATTCATAATTCAATGGAAGATTAGAAAATTATTGGCATCTTTGACCAAATATTTTGGCTGCTTCTACAGCTGTACGTACATATTATTTTTAATTCTAACAATTAGTCCATCATTTTTACATAATTTCTTCATTTTTTTTAAATTTTAATTAAAATAATTAATTATTTCAATTTTAATATATAATTATTTTTAATTATTGACTAATTATATTTTACTAAAATTTGTGAATTATAGAGGGAGTACTAAATATTATAGTATTTCTAATTAACTACACGTAATATCACTGTAGTATATATATTAATATAATACATAAGATATAATAATTTATTATAATAATAGTTAACACAAAATACATTAATATTAATTCCAATGTATAAGATATATATTCATAAAGCATAATAAAATATGAAGTATTATTATGTTAATTGAAATTATCTATTAATCTTATTGGTCTGCCAATACCGAAAGGATAAGTTTAACTATAATATAGACAATTTTGCAAACATTTCTATTTATCTTATTGGGAATGTTGATTTTTTTTACTAAGTATTTACCTTGATATTTCTATTAAAATAAATAATTAATAATATATAAAAAGAATTATGAAACTACATTATTGTAAATAAATTAGAAACAAATCTAATATATATATATATATAATAATGATCCATTTACCCCTCCTTTTCTTTTTACAAGAATATATTTGGTTGGTACTCGTCGAATGCGCTCTAAGCACACGTCAATCCCCACAATGGTTCGCCTAAACAAGAATTTCATCGAATGATGATAAAATTTCACACATCACATCGACAACACCACAGCTGAACCCGTAACTCATTCGGATTACCAACAAAATGTGGTTGCCAATCACCCAAATTACGGCACAAATCGATGCATATTCAACGCATAAGCACGCGATCATTCACCGTGATTTCAAAATTTCAATACCAAATTCTTCTAAACATCAAATTCATAGAGTCGGGGCGCACCTTAAATCGATAGATTCCAGTTCGGAAGCTCCGATGTTTCGCAGATGAGCTGAAGTGAAGTTACACTAGAATGGCATAATGCATCGATTCCGTGTTTCTACGATCATCTAATATCTACAATTGTCTATCCGGCAAGTCGTGGATTAATGGCTCTCGGGTAACCTGCAGCAGCATAGGTACCGTAAACTCTGTGTTACGACTAAGTAACGTAAACTTTTGCTTCCTACTTGTAGTTAAAATCAAGAGCTAAAATTCGAATCCAAAATGAACTCGATTATAAGTCAAAGGAAAGTATCGCCAGGGAATTGTTTGCTCCGGAGTTACTATTTAATATCAATATCGTAAATTCGGAACATAATAGTAATACTTTCAAGGAAGAATAGTGAGGATAACGTACCGCCATGGGAATTCGCTTGTGTCGATTCCAGCTTGGTGAAGTTCATCGACATACTGAAGTGCTTCTCGGCATTCCTCCCGATCATCGAAGAATTCTGTCTTCTCCCCTTCTATTTGATACGTTTCATGGCCTTTCCCGGTGACTACCTGCAAGAATTGCACATCGACATGAACAAAATCATTTTCGATAAAGATGGTTTGCACAAATAGACACTTGCATTTGGAATATACAAAACTTCTCATCAAACACCAAAACAACAAATCGATTACCAAAATCATAACTAATACAAATTTTACTCATCAATATAGTTGTAGACTTCTCCCGTCTCAATTTTACTCGTCCTCCATATATCATATGACATAAGAAACTTCAACAGCTCTATGGCTACTTCAAATCCATGAATTTGTATGCAGATGCTATTTAGTCATCATAGAATGTATTCAAAAATGTAATATAAATAATACGCCGTATAAACTTACAACAACATCGCCTTCCTCGCCCATTGCCACAGCACACCGTACAGCAACCCGTCTAATATCATGTAAAAACAGTCGATGACCGTTACGCAGTGGTGGATAGTAATCATTCTCTCCGTATTTCAAGTATTCTTGCATCGACCACCCGACACCAGCCAGCATATCATCCAAGATATCCACTGCCAAAATACATCCATTCATCAGAACATAAATTAAAACCATATACATCGATACACACGAAACTGCACCATATATGGTCACTTTACGAGCAAAAATATAAATACTTACAAGGATCTTCACTTCTTGGATTGTCTGAAGTCAAGATAGTGACATCACTTTTATCCGTGGCAATCTTTGCCATTACCGGTCTCTTCCCTCGGTCGCGTTCACCATCACAACCAACCACTTCATCAGATGAAAATTTCTCAATAAGCATTACACGCAATTGAATGTATCGGTAAATCTTTTTGTTTCCACCTCGCGCGAAGCATCTCCTATGATGCCATATTCTAAGATATCATACCTAATAGCTAAGGTAATAACGACATGAACCATTTTACATTATTCATATTTAATTCTTCCAACACTTCGAAAATAACAAAAACACATACCAGTGATAACCCTCCTCGGTGCAAGCTCCTTCATGTGATCAAGGAGTCTAGACAAAGCATTTGGCGTATGTGCGTAATCGACAACAACTCCAAAAGCCTGCTCCTCATCGATCAGCTCACATCTACCCGGCACCGAATCAACCTCTTCAATCCCTCGAACAATGTCCTCCAAAGGCGCACCAACTGCAATCCCGACAGCAACAGCTGCAAGAATGTTGTATATATTATGCCTCCCGAGTAACCCCGAAGAAATTTCCAATATCCCTTGCGGCGTATTGACCAACACCTGAGTCTCAAACAGGGATAATTCAAATTTCAGAGCATAAACATCGGCGTTCTTATTCTCCATCGCATATGTCACAACAGGCACGCCGGGGTTACCCTGTGCTACAAAGAATGCAGCATTCGGATCATCAATGTTCACAATCTTACGGTGGCGCGCAGGGTCCACCATTCTCGAAAAAAGCTTAGCCTTTGCATCCTTATACTCCTCCTCAGTCCCGTGAAAATCCAAATCATCCCCCCTTGTCAAGTTTGTGAACACGGCAATATCAAAGTCGATCTCATCGCACGACATCCCTCGAGTACAAGATTCCATCACCATTGCTTCCGTCCCGTTATGCACCATCTTCGCCATCAGCTTTTGAATCGAAACTGCATCCGGAGTTCCCTTACTCACTTCCAACTCGTTATCGCCGTGAACATACGATGCCACGGCACTCAACATTCCCGTCCTCAGCCCCATCGCCTCGTACATGCCTTTAACTAGATACGATGTAGTCGTCTTCCCATTTGTCCCCGTGACGCCGATCACAGACATACTTCTAGAAGGATGCCTAAAGAAAGAAGACGCTATTGCAGCAAGAACTGTATTCGTATCCTCGACTACAACCAATGCCTTACACCCCAATGTGTCCTCGATATCGATCTCCTTGCTCGCTACAATTGCCACAGCACCTCTCTTATCAGCCTCAGAAACATACAAATGGCCGTCGGTATCAGCCCCGACACAGCATATGAATAAATCGCCATTTTCGACTACTCGAGAATCATGAGAAACTCCACTGATTCCTACCTCTAAGTCTCCAAATACAGATACAGGGACAACTTTGCTTTCGTCTAACAGCTCAGCTAAGCTCATTCTAAACTTAGGATCAACAACTCTAGCCTTAGTTTTTCCAAATTCATCAAAATCAATGTCGAATGAACTCGAAAATTGGTCGTTGCTAACCTCGAATTCGGAGGCTTCTCCGTCATCGTCTTCAGAAATCTCAGTCAGGCCGTGGAGCTCGTTGATTTCCTCCAAATCGACCGCTTCCTCGGGCTCCAATTCATCGATGGTTTCCGCATCGGATTCAGGCTTTTTGTTCGAGCTTGGCTTGATTAACCCCTGCTTGATGAACTCCTGTCGTTTTAAAGCGATTGCTTTGTCGATTTCCCCAAATAGGTCGTCGCCGGAGTCGTCGTTGCTCAGAAAAGGAGGATCCTCGGTTTCCTCTAGTGCTTTGAGGAAAGTGGATTGGTCCTTTTTGTATTCCTCTTCCTGGCGCTTGCGCGCACGCGCCGCCTGGCGCCGGACTTGCTCGAACTTGTTGACGCCGTGCATTGAGTCTTCCGGAGCTTCGGGGGGGTCATCGTCAGATGGAGTTGGGTAGTATTTTCCATCGGGGCCAATGGCGGAGACGGCGGTGGAGAGAAACGACGACGGCTTGAGGAGAGTAAATGCGCTGGGTTTGAACTTTGTCGGGAAGGAGAGAAGCGAGGGCGCCGGAAATGGCGACAGCGAAAAGAAAGCAAGAGGCATGCTTCTCGGGGATAAGAGAGAAGAAAGGGTTTAAGCTTCGTTTATCAACAATGGCGTCGTCTAGAGTTAGCAATACATAAACGACGTCGTTTCACTATTTGTCTAAACGACGACGTCTCATGTTTCACTTATACTTAACTAAACGACGCCGTTTCACTTTTTCTTTTTAGAAAAATAATTAGGTATCTCATTTAAAAATTTTAATTTCAAATTTTTTTAATTTTAATTAAAAAAATTAATTATTTTAATTTAAATTTATAATAATATATTATGAATTAATATTTTTTATTAATATATTCTTAATTATCTTACTTCAAATGTCACGTGGAGGGGAGGGACCATATAATATATTTCTTTACGACATTCAAATAATAAAATTTGAAAATATGATAATATACAATAACATATATGATGGGTTACAATCAAAACCATCCTCTAACTAACAACTTCAATTTGAATTCAAAACATCCTTGTAAATTTGCATAATTTACCTTGCAAGAACCATCTATCATCACAGTCACCGGATCCGGATGGATAGCTCAAAAGCGCCCCTAAGCTCGGGAAATGGGCGACGACGGTGGATCGAGCACAAGCGACGGAAGAAATTGAACTTGCGGAACCGCATCTCTTGTATTCTCAGCAAACAGCCTCACGAGGCTCGGTTCGTTCACGCTCCGAGCAGTATGAAGCACGGCCATACATATAAAAAAAGCTTGCAACGACGATAGCTGCGCATGGAAATCCACCGCGTATTTCCCGTCCTCCTCCGTCGCCCTCATCGCGAATGCTGCTGCTCCTCGATTCTCCTTCTTTCCCTATACACAACAACACACATTGCTGTTAAAATATCTTGGAACATCGGAATATTAATGTAGTAAGATTTGATTCTGTAGAGGTAAAATTTACCTGGACAAAGAGCTCAGCCAGATTCCGGGAGCACTCCGTGAAGGGTCGATGATGACGATCAATCTTATGATTGCTCAAGACTACGAGAGGGCAAGCCATGTCCCAACCACCGCAGTCGCATCCGCCGCCTAATCTCCACCTCTCCAGCAATGGAGAAGGGCCGGCTCCGCCGTGGCTTCCAGCAGGGATCACGACGTGCATCTTTGGAGTTTGTGAAGTTACGTAAATACCCTCCATCGCCTCGCTTTCGTGCTTCATCATCCTTAAGCTCCCTTGCTTTCCTAGTGAAACTTGCACGACAACCGCTCCGATTTCGATCTCCGGAGACGCCTCTGCAGCTACAACATCATTAGCCTGAGGTACAATCTCATTAGAATCCGGGGAAGCTTGAGCTCTACTAACATCGAGGGAGCAGCTAGGATTATCACTTTCTCGCGAATGAATAACATCATACAGCACAAACTCCGTCACCAAAGAGTTATTGAGCTCGCCATCGCCGTTGAATTCTGAGCACATGCGACAAGATACGCGCATTTGTCCCACCATTGATGATTCGCCACCAGCATTAGTCTTTCTTCTGTGATGAAGCGTGTACACCCGAGTCACATCATTTTCGACTTTCCATGTCTTTCCGATGTAAACATCTTCTGTGGTCTTCACTGAAAATTCGAAAGACGGCTCCCTCTGCTTGCTTTTGAATTTGAGAAGACCGTGTAAATGTGCTGCAGAATTCTGCAGAGCTACATTACACTGCTTATCTTGGGCCTCCAGCATAAGAGTCGTTTTTTTGCAATGGTTTCCGGGAAGTCCACATCTCCTTGTGCTGTCACTTCTGTTGGAGCTACTCAGTGGACTTCTGTGAGGCTTGGATTTTAGAAAAGGGCGTAGAATCTTCCTGGCTCGGGATGTTGGACTGCTCGACCGCCAGCCATCATTCTCGGGTTTATCAGGTGAATGGGATAGAGTTAGCAATAAAGATAACGACTTGTGCAGGCTAGAATCCTCAACTCTTTCCGAATGGATGTTAGTATCATCTTTAGCTGCTGATTCAGATGGTGTCTTGAAGTCTTGAGGGAAGAACACAGTTTGCTTCTTGCTAAGCTCCGAAAGAGACATTGCTGATGACTCTTTTTGTTCGACCAGCAAACTATTTTTATCCATGCTACACAACGAATCAATAATTCCGGCTGCTGATTGTGTTGTTCCTCCTGAGAAATCAATCTTTTCCCTTCCAACAACAGCTTCAGTTTTCCGCAGCAGCCTTGCCTTCAGTGGTTCATCGTCTCCGCAAGAAACTCCAACTGCTTTATAATTCCTGTTTTTGGGCTTCCCCTCACTTGATTTCTTGTCAGAAACTCTTGAATGCTGCCGAGGAGGCAATAGCACTGTTGTTGGACTAGTATCTACAAAACAATACTTGTCGAAGCTTAATTCCATGCCGGCCTCTCACTCTAGCCTCATTGACAGGCATCAGTCCTGCAACAAATCGAAATGGACGACAGATTGCATCAACTAATTATCAATGCTCAGACTCATGACACCAAGAGCTTCTATAAATATAAATATAAATCAGATCACAAAAACAGCACTTAACAACAAAGCAAATAAGAAAACATGGAAAATCAAATGGCATACCCATTATGTTTTGATGTATCATTATAGGACAAGGAGATATTAGCCTCCAAGAAAACGATGATAATTTCCCCTTGGATTCAAAAACAGGCTTCAAAGCCTTATACAACCATTGCCAGCAAATACATGGAGCCTACTAACAATTTCAAGGCACGCAAGTAAATAAAGCCCTCCAAATACCCAAAGCCATGCTTTTTTGTTTATGGAATAATTGTCCCACCAAACGTGCAACTTTTCCAAAATAATGCTTTTGTATCATTCAGATTTCAGATATATACTGTTTGGGCTAAAAAAAGTTACATTGTCCCATTGAAATAATGAATGAGTGCTCTTTTCATAGAGGCATATTATAATGACAATATAGAAATCAAACATTCTTAAATGATTTAATTCAAAGATGTTCCACAAACTTCACAAAAAACACATTACATCCAAAACTCAATAGTCTCCATAAAAGGTTTTGCTAAAGAAGAACCACCAAAATGAAACGAAGTCAGAGCAATTTTTGCAGATGGACATAGCCATGGCCTGAAGTTTTCTGAGTATAGTTCAAACTAGATGACAACTTCAACACACCAAACTTTAAAAATCTAACTTCAAATTCATATATGCATTCATGGACATCACTGCACATATACATTCAAATATATATACTCCATCAAAAGTTCAAAGCTAATCATTTTTTTACTCTGTTGCATCATCAAATGATAAGAGGATCATATCATATCCCATAAAATCCAATTAAGAAAAACATTTATAATATGAAATCACACAGTGCGCATCTTTCATCACACTGGAATTGGAACTTAACGCATAAGCAATGGCAATCCAACAATCATAAATGATCAAAAATCGAAAAACATAATTACAGGTTAACAAAAAAACGAAATCATTTCCCACACACTTGCATTGCATTCCAAGCCAAGCCAATCAAAGATTCACCTCACACAGATCTCATCGAAGTGAACCCCAAGCAAAGTCGCCCAACAGATCCCCCACAATAAGGCAATCATCATTTCGCCTTCTCATATGGCAACAGCCTCGTTCCACTCTCACAAGACCTCAATCGCTCATTTTTGCAGTATGTAGGTGCACAAACGAGACTACTAAAAAGCCTTCACAAGAGGAAATAGCCATCGCCATTGAAGGAGCGAAGAAATGCGTAGATCACTGGGAGTGTCCCATAAGAAAAGAAGCCATAGAAGTTTGTTGAATGCTTTTTTCAATGTTAACTGTTTTAATGGAGGCGGTGGTGCGGCCATATTTCAATTTGGTACTTTCCATTTGTGAAAAGACATAAATACCCTCCACATTGCCGATTCTGTTACTGTTTCGATGGGTAATTTGGGTGTTTTACGAGCATGCTTATGTCATAAAGTATTATGCGAAATTTCTCACAAATCTTTTGTTAAATACTTTTATGATTAGATAAAATAATAATAATATAATTTTTTTATTTTTTTATTTTTATTGTCCATTAAATTTATATATCCATAATTCTATTATTCTTATATCAACAATAAATAATTAATTTATGACTACTTTTTCAATTCATCATAATAACAATTTATTATTTATATATATATTATATGAAAACATTAAACGAGATAAATGTATAGTATATTAATTAATATTATGTAGTTTTGTATTATTTCTCAAATTATTGGTGTTGAATTATGTTGTTAGGCGCAAGAACAAAATTGATTATTATTATTATTATTATTATTATTATTTGCAATGTTGTATATATAAAAAGAAAAACGTAACATTTATGTAAAGGTCCAAAATTAAATTTTGAAATTTAATGAAAAAGGGTATGCATTATTACACATTGCCTTAAATATCAAAGGTTTTTGAATTTTTGCATGGAAAACATTTAATTGTATAATGATGCACCATACCATTTAAATGCAACTTACTGTTTCAACCACCAACCCTTGCTTTTTAATACTAAATAAAATACTAACCAAAATTATTTTATTTTATTTTCCAGAATTAAATACAATCAAAATTAATTATATTTATTTTACTAATGAAATTTTGGTAACGTACTGTAATTCTTATTCTATTTTTTGTTGATTCATTTGTATAACTGAAAATATTAGTATGATAAAATAAAATTAGGGTCAATACTACACAAATTAGCTCTAATCACCATATATAAAATACGCAATTAATATACTGCTTCAATTCATGCAATATGTACTGTCAATAATACTATTTTATAAGTGAAATTGATTTATATTTTATGTGTTCTATCGTCAATATTTCCCAAATAAAATTGTACAAAATATTTCACGAAATTCTGTAAAATTCTCTATATTTTCAAAATTGTGTCAAATTCGTTCATAGGTTTATAAACTTTTCGGTCGTTCTTATTTAGCAGTGATTGATCTGCACACATTAAAATTTTCATTTTTAAATTCTTAAAATTATAATTATACACATTATTCTTATATTTAATCTAAAAAAACAGTAAAAATATATTAAAAATAATTATTTTTTTCTAGTTATAAGAGTTTTTTTACTATTTTTTTTAGACTAAATATAAGATGAACAAATATATTTATAATTTTAGCTATTTAGAATAAAAATTTTGAAATTCACTGCATGTTAAACTCCGTAAGTAAAGATTGCCGAAGGAACTAGACACAGAATTGAATGAAATGTAGCCATATTTCGCACTATCAACATTCTTTAAAAAAAAAAAAAAAAAAATTATTTAAAATATAATAAGGCAAACGGGAATTGACATATACAGACAATATAAGTAACTTATACACCATCTTCTTAACCTGTATAAACATCAAAACTAAGCCTAAACTATGCATTACATTAGTTTGAGCTCCAAACACACTACATATCTCTCATATAAATATAAATATATATATATACAAAACCGCTGCCCCTGCCATCGCCGCCACGGCGCTGACCGCGGGCGGCTTCGAACAGAAACCATACATTACGGGGCAGCATTACCGTCTGCGGGTTTTTCCTTTTCCCTCTCTTTTTCGTCCGTCTGTATTTTGTCGAATGACTTCTGGCTCTGGAGCTCGACCACGGGCGGGGCATTTGCTTCTGTAGTTTTCTTGAGGACATCGGTGGTGGTGGTGGTGGTGGCGCCTCTGCCGGGGCTCGTCAGAGTCTTCTCCACCTCTTCGAACTTAGAGGTGGCCAGCGGCGCAGTGCCGACAGTTTTGGTGGAGTTCGGGCCTTCAATTGTCAACGACGCCGCGTCGTCTCTAGACGCATACCAGGTGTTGCCGCAGGCGACGCACTCCAGCTGAAAATAAAACATGACATAAAAACGAGATCACACAATGCCATTTTGGCTTGCAATCGCTGTAAAATTTAAAGATTTGTATTTTAAGGACCTGATAGCGGTCTCCGTGTCCAGTCTGGATGATATCGATCAAACCCACTTGTTTCTCATTGCATCTTTTACAGCGAGCGTCAGTCATCTTCCCGAGCGAAGAAAGAAAAAGGAAGAAAGTGAGAGTCGGGTAAAGAAATACGGCTATAGTGATGAAATCATGGAACATAGCATTGTGTGACTGACCTGCAAGCGGCCTGATTTCTCGGGTTCCCTGCTTGCTATTTCCTCTGCCGTTAAACCTTCCTGAGGAAAATAAATGTAGTGATGGGAGGTAGTCGTCAGCTACTATTTAAATATCGTAGGTTAGTAGAAAACCGAAGGGTAATGAACCCATACGATCTGTCACGTCTCAAGGACAAACTAGAAAATTTTGGAAGAAAAGATCCATGCACAACATTATCTTGTAAAATAGAAAATAATAGATTCGACGTAAGAACATCGAGTTGTGCACATAAATAAGAAATAAATGGAAGAAAAAACCATTGTAAATTCAAAAACCAAAGACGAAAAAAAACAGATGGACAGGCAACAGCCCAAGCACTTAGAGACCAAATCACCCAAGTAGATAGCCGAACTATTGTTGAAAATAAAAAAGAATCAAGCCGACTTTGGCAGAATAAGAAAATATATTATGAATGAAGATTGCATCTCAATTAATAAAATGATACTATCATGTTTCGAGTTACAACATTATAATGTTATTTCTGGTTCAGTGGTTCTATATGGTTATCATTTAATAATAAGATAATACAAAAATAAGGATATGGTAGAATGCAGTTGTATCATATTATAAATCAAATTTCTATTATAACAATTATCTTATAATGTTTCCTCGAAGAAAATGTCCAAAGTAACAGATTTTCAGCATGCAACTATTCTAGCTCCAGACATAATTAGATAAAGCTGACCTAGTGGGTGCATGATATGAAAAATGAAATAGTAGAAAGATATCTCGGATCAGATGTTATGGGAAACATGTGATACAGCTGCAACATTCTCCAAATCAAAGTCACAATTGAACAAAACTAATTAACAAAGATAGCATGGAAAGCAACTTGATGAAACTCGATCCCTCAGGAAACTGCCAAATTTTGGGGGTAGCGAGATCAGGCAAGTCATAGATGTGTTTATGAATAATATATTTCAATCGTATTTGCACACATGCCAAAAACAATCTAAATGGGACAAAACATATAAATAAAGGATTGGATTAGCTAGATAATCACTCAAAAATAGATAATCCGCACCTTTAATTCGTGAGGTGACATATTCAATATTTGTGAAGGTTCCAGCTCCTTATTCAGAAGGCGTCGTGCTAGTGTAGCATTACTCTGTTAAAATAATTAGCAAAATCAAAGAAATAAAGAATGAGTTATTTATCAATAAATAACATATAAAACAGAAAATCGGCTGAAAGAAAAACCAGGAACAGATCCCAAGATTTTCAAACAAGTTCTGCAGATCGGACTACATGATCACTACTAAGTCCAGAGGATTTCCACGACAACAATCATTAATAAATTCAGGCATGAGTGCTGCTGTAAGCATATGAGCTAACTGTATAATAATCACCTTAAGATTGAAAGCTAACTGCCGCATCTTTTGGTTATACTTCTGAAAATCAGCCGAGAGTGCAGAGTGTGCGGCTTTCTCAAGTGCAACTATGGCTGGAACAGCTGCATCGGGCCACTCGAATGATGAACCTTCCTATATGACACATATGGAAAGAGGAGGATCAAACCCAAGGACATAAATAACAAGTAGATAATCTTATCAAATTTTATCAATTATATATACAATAGAAACATTTTTGGTAGCCATATGGATAAGAAAATCATTCCAAGAAAATTTCAGATATCATATGATAAGGCAAGAACTTACATTCGAAGCCTTATCATGCGATCCATTATTAGAGCCACCACTATTATTATCAGGACTTCGAACATCTGAACCAAGCCTGTCTTCCCCATTATTCGGCTTACTTCCAGCAGGAGTGCATATGTACTGAATAGATTGAAGAAGCTTTTCCAACCACTTGTCACGCTGAGTTTCCTCAGTCAACATCTTAAATTTTGAAAGAATAGCATAGTGTTCTGATGAACTACCAGAATCGTTCACTGGAGTTCCAGGTTTAAGAGATTGGGGTCTGCCACCAAGTCCTTCATCATCCCTGGAGACATCCAAATGTGAAATGCTCTTTCGTCTAAGAAGTCTCTTACTCTTTACTTGATCTTCATGATCAACATCAGTATCCTCAGGCACAAGGTCTGGTACATCTCCAAGCCGTGCAAGAGTCTTTTGAACAAGAAGATCAATCTCATGCTGTTTGCTCTCTTCATAATCTTTATCTGTTAGCTTAAAGAGCTTCCTCTGTTCAGTGTCGTACACTTTCTGCACAAAAAAACCAGGGTGTTGCTGGCGAGCTGGAATCTGCTTATTCAGAGGTATAAAGTGAACCACACACTTATGAAAGATGGATTCTGCTGGAACTTCATCTCTGTGGAAACTATAGAACAGTTCTCTTGTATCAATTAATGGCCAATTTCCACCGGTTCTTTTTTCTGCCTCCTCTGGGCGATAGAACCACTGTCCTGTTACCATCAATTCACCATGCCAGGTTTGAGAAATGTCCTGTAAGCATAATAAAAATTCAATAAGAGAAAAACAGTGTATGCAGCATCATATTCATATGCCTAATAACAGAGAGAAATATAGCTATCAAAAGCCACAAGCTTTTCAATATAGCATTCGCACATCAAATACCCCAACAAAATAGACAAGCAAACCTGCATATATATATATATATGTATATAAAAGGGGCTAATTGAACACAGACACTTCACACCACCATTTTCCATTAAATCAAACTTACACTAATGCCAAAAATAAAAACAATGAAATTTTAAAGACTAACAACATGTCAATTCATGATTGCAACAAACACGAAAACAAAAACAGACACTCTCAACTACCTATAACTAAGATGAAACAAAATTGCAAGAGAGCATTTAAAGAACACTTACGTAAACGATAAAGTTTCAAAATAACATTGCTCATTAGCTAACTCAAGCATATAAACAAGGTTTCACCTTAATTATAGCCACATAAGGCTTCTGATTCTTTTCTTCAGGATGAAAGAGCGCCGGATCCTCCTATAGATAAAATCAAAACAATCCGATATGGTGAGAACTCAAAAAACATCATCTACATGAAGTACATAAAATCATTGCACAAACAAAAGAAAAACCATAACCAAGTCCTCGAACTTCTTCCATCTCAAACACTCGATTTTTGTCCCATCGGGGAACTGATATAAAGCTTATACAAACCAAAATTCCAGCCAATTTGGTGAAACAAAATCAAGGTAAATTCTCAATCTCAGGCTAAGAATAAGAAAACGAAAAGAATTAGAACTTATATGACAGAAATCCCTTCAGAAATGGTGAAAATTGGAAAATTAAACACTGCATCAATCGAAAACGAAGCTTAAAAACCTCATACGAATATACAGAACGAAATTCACAATAAGCAGGCAATGAAAAGCCATCCGAAAGATAGGATACCGACTGACAAGGAAATATTGAGTGCCATTGTACTCAAACGATTCGTAATGACTCCTCCTTCCTCTTCCTTTCCCCGTAACCCTAACCACCGCTCCAATCGGCTGCGCCTCCACATCCGCCTGCTCCTCATTCTCGCTCGCCACCTCCGGCTCAGGCTCAGCGTCCTTCTTCTGCTTCTTCTTCTTGCGGTCGCTCACTTTCGCGTCCTCCTCTTCGTCATCGTCGGGGAATTGTACGACCTTACGCTTCCTTCGGTTCAGGTTCTCAGCGCCTGCAGACTTCCGCCGCGGAGGCAGAGCGCTCTCCTCGTCGTCGCTCGGCGGCGCCTGCGCAAAACGGCGGTTGCGCATGTTTCGCCTCTCGACGGAACCAAAAGTGCTTCTATGGGGAACTTTTGGGCTTGGGTAGATAAACGCGGCGCGTAGTGATTACGCGCTCAGGGTGGCGCGTGTGGAGGGGTGGTCGCTCGTCGGGTACGTAAATTGATACGAAGTCAACTAGTCCTATTTAGAAATAGCCGCCAAAGATGTACTAATTTTACGTTTGTTTCATTTTTTTTCTACGTAACTTTTAATATTTTTTATTTTTTCGTTCTATTTCAAATTATTTATTATATTTTTTTAATAAAAATAATTATATATTAATATCAAAATATTTTTAATTTTTATTTAAATTAAAAAATATATTTTTATTTTTTACTATTACTTTTTAATTTATTGAAAAGAAACACAAAGCCCTTTTTAAAAAAAGGCTGAAGAAAAAGTATATACTATTAAAAATTAATATATTATATATAATAATTATTTTTATATTATTTATACGATTTTCAGCGCTTCTTTATTAAAAAATCTATTCAATTCAAAATACCAAACAAACACTCTAGACACACAAACCGGTTATATTTAGCTAATATTGTAATACTTATAATTTATTATTTTTATTTTAGCAAATAATAATTAAATTATCATTATTTTTATACTTATTCTATTATTTTTTTAATATTTTAAATAAAAATTTTATAATACCCTTATTTTATTTTTTATTTACATATTTTATGTTAAAATATATTACTATTTTTATTTTTTTTTATCCAACCAAACAAACATAAATATAAATGACAAAATAATAAATTAAGTATGTAATATTCTTTCTATTCCAATTAAAAATATAATAAAAGTAATTAAACACTAATATTAAAATATTTTTTATTTTTACATAAATTATAAAATATTATTACATATACATAAAGTAAAAAAAAAAATATAAAAAACTATTTTACAAAATTTTGTAAAAATATATATATATATATTTATAAACCAAAGAATCATTAATATTTTCTTAAAAAATAGTATAAATATATTCATTTTGTATTTTTTAATTAATATAATTTTTATATTGGGTATAAGAATCATCTCAATAATATTAAAATTAATAATTTTTTATATTTTAATTATTAATTATTAATTTTTTAAAAGCGAATAATATACCTTATATATTATATATATATTATATTAATATGTATTATATTTTTATTTAATTTTTTGTAATATGCAGGAAAATCATGCCAAAAAATTTGCTGAACGCAGGAAAATCATGTTGCTGAACAAACTTATAATTTTAAAAACTTATAAATAAAAATATCACTTGAAAAAAATGAAGAAAGTATTATAGGATGTTTCGCAAATAATTTTTTTGAAGAGTTTTTAGCTTATTGAATAGTTTAGCTGTTTGACCAGTCAAAAAATTAGGTGTTTGATAAACTAGCTTTTTGGAATAGCTTTTTACCATAAGTAAAATTTTATTATGCATTTTACATAAATAAATATATTTTGATTATTTATTAATTATATTAAAATATTTTATTATATTATAGTTTTATTTTTATAAATTTAAAAAAAAAATTATTTTTTATATAAAAATTATTTTAATGGTAAAATATATAAATATATTAAAATCAATATAAATAGAAAATATGAATATTAATAATTTATTTTTATATTAAAATTATATTATATAAATTATATACTAAAAATAAATTAAATTTATTAAAAATTATAAATATAACAAACTAACCGATAACTAACATAATAAATATATACACGAAAAATTTATTATTTTATATTTTACATAATTTTCAATAGAAAAAACTATTTATATATTTTAATAAAAATATATTATAAATTTAACGGTAATAAAAATAAATATTTTTATAAAAAAGTAAAATAAAAATATCTTCAATTATCAGTATAACCACCTAATATCAAACAATTATTTGATCAAATATTTTAATATAAATAAGTAATTGAATCAGCTAATTAAAGCAATTAACAGCTAATTGAATCAAGTATACTTAATCGCGAAACACGACCTTTCAACGAGGTCCATGAACTTGTAAGAAAAAAAAAAAAAAGATCTTGTATTGCTTCTAGAACGTAGTGCTCTTCTGCCTCCCCTGATTCGAAACATTTCTTCAACACCACACAATTTATCAAAGAGCTTCAAATCATTCCACAAATTCCGGGGAGAAATCTCCATACCCATCTCTCTCCCCTCCCCTGCGGCTCTACACCAACACCCTCCATCCAGGTTGTTCTTCTTCTTCATCTCAATTTCCGCGCTTTTATCGACTTTATATTCATATGCGTGGGTTTTTTATTTTGTTGGAATCTCGCAATTCCGTGTTGTGCTCTGATGAGTTTGGAACAAAATTGGGAATTTCCTTACGGTTGGTTATCTGCGGGACTGGGAAAACTTTTGCTTTGATAAGTACTTTATCTCAATTCGGATTAGGGATTTGAGTGAAATAGGGTTGGGGAATCGTGGAATTTGTGTAGAAATATCTGTGTACTGTATCTGTGTTTTGGGGACGTTTTGATCGTTCAACTTGCTTGAATTTATCGTCGGGAATCGCATTCCAAAGGAAGGAGGATTTCTGGAGCTAAGAATCATCGAATTTCTAAATTGGAAGTTGAAGCCCAAATTAGGGTTAGGGTTAGGGTTTGGCAATTGTTGGTTAAGAAGATGATAGATTCGATTGCTGCCACTTCCCTTTTGGGGAGCCGACCAATTCCTCGAAGCTATTACTGCAAAAATGTTTATTGCAATAGGAAGGGCATCGATCTTTGCCGGCAATTCATCAGCCTGAAAATTTTCGTCTCCGATCCATTTCCATTTCCATTTCTGAGATTGCGAGCTAATCCTCGAACTAGATCATTGATAAAGTCTCAGGCAATGGAGCTAACCCGCAGGGAGGCATATGGATTCCGGCGAGAGCAAATTCCTAGAGATTTCCGGCATGGGATGGGGATGGAGAGCGCCGTCGATTATAAACCTGGAATGTGGCCGCCGGAGAACAAGGCGGATAATCCGTCTCTCAACAATCCGTTGCTCCGGCAGGAAAGGATGGGCTGCGGGTGGCTGACCGCCGTGTTTGAGTGGGATGGAGTGCTGATCGAAGATAATCCCGATCTCGAGAAGAATGCGTGGCTGGCACTTTCCGACGAGGAAGGGAAATCGCCTCCGCCGGCGTTCGTTCTCCGGAGGATCGAGGGCATGAAGAACGAGCAGGCGATAGCGGAAGTTCTCTGCTGGTCGCGAGACCCGAGCGAGCTGAGGAGAATGGCGTCTAGAAAGGAAGAGATTTATCAGTCGTTGCACGGCGGGGTTTACCGTCTCCGCCCCGGTTCGCAAGAGTTCATAACTCTGCTGATGCAGTACAAGGTTCCGACGGCGTTGGTTTCAACTCGACCCAGAAAATATCTCGACGCAGCGATCGACGCCATTGGGATTAACGGGATTTTCGACGTGATCGTCGCTGCGGAGGATGTTCATAGAGGAAAACCCGATCCGGAGATGTTTATGTACGCGGCGCAGCTCCTGCAGTTCATACCCGAAAGGTGTATCGTCTTCGGAAACTCGAATCGGACGATCGAGGCTGCACACGATGCTCGGATGAAATGCGTCGCGGTTGCTAGCAAACATCCGGTGTACGAGCTTAGTGCTGCCGACCTGGTGGTGAAATCCCTTAATGAGCTGTCAATGGTCGACTTGAAGAACCTTGCAGGCGTCGAACTTCCTGAATTCGGATTGGAGATGGAGATGGAGGTCGAAGAAGAAGATGACTGGGGCGCGCCCTCGACTGTTGGAGTTGACGATGGTTTCTGGTGATGCATTCGACGTGTACATAAGGTTTTATTCTAACTCGATACCCTTTTTCATACCGTATATAAAGTTATAAGCGATAGAAGCTATGATTTTTAAAAAAGAAATGTCGCGGAAAGGGGTACGGTATTTTTAAGAAATGTGATCACCATATCTAATGTCTTGTATATATGTATTGTGTGTGATAATATGATATCATATGCATCGAAAGTTGTCGTTCGATCTTTATATGTGTCGAGATTGGTGTGATATCATGTGTAGTTTCTCGGTGTTTTCGGAGGAACTGTTATAGCTTATAAGGAAATTGATATGGCTTATCTTATAACACAATCAGCTAAGCTGATTTAGCCGGATCAACACATAATCTACAGGTTTGTTTGGTAGTTTGGAAAATTTTGGTTTGAGTTTGGTATTAAAATATGTATTATAGGATATTTTGTGAAAAAAAAAAATGTAATTTTTTTCGGTAATCGCATAGTGCAAATAATAGTAAAAATTGGAAATTTTTGGTTAAAGAAACAAACACTAATATTTACACCATGCATTGAGAAGCCTTGCTTTTCTTATAAAGTTTGGTTGCCATAGATGATTTTTATTTTATTATTTCATTTTTTTTATAATTTGAATATAATATTTTGTTAAATAAAATTATACTAACTTCGTGGACCGTTAAGATTATATTAACCTTTTACGATATACTCAACATTAAATATATATATATATATTTTGTATATAGTATTATAAGATTCGAGTAGAAATATATATATATATATTTTTTAAATTTGTATTAAGTTAATATTAAAAAATACAAAAAATAAAATAAATGTGGCCCTTTACTCGGACAAAGTATAATATATATAAATATATATTTACATTAATAAATTGACGATAGTGGTCAAGTAAAGAAAGGCCGTAAGGTCATTATTGCAATTGATTTTGTGTGTTTTTCAGTTTTTGTTTCACAATATAAACTTTAGGCATGCAATTTTCAAAATAAATAAATAAATTATTATCAATCCTTATAAAATATTTTCTTCGTTCCACATATCATATCTATGTTGCCGTTTCTGTTTGTTCATATACCATATCACTTTTCTTTTTTGGAAAATGATTATACACTTTAATCTCATTTTAAACTTTTAATTTTTTTTTTTAAATTTTAATTAAACTAATTAGTTATCTTAATCTTAATTTATAATTATTTATATTATAGGATAATTATTTTCACTAATACATTTTTAATTATGTACTAATTATACTCCTTCTAAAATACCGTGTCTACGGTTTAGCAGCCACGGTAGATGGAGGGAGCATGTATCAAAAGTTATTATTATACCAATCCATACTATCATTACACAAACCAATAATCTTACATTGTTTTCTATTTAAATAAATAAATAACTTGTTTTATAATTTATAAATAATAATAAAAAAAAAAAATTGCATGGCCTGATATGGTTCACAGGAAATTGCACAATTAAATAATTACGAATGAATATTCTGTTATCATATAATAAATATAAAATTAACAATGTTTTACTTTTAAATAAAAGCAACCATCCATTATAATAAAAGAAAAAAATATATAGAGAGAGATAATTACATATACTTGACTTTAATTTTATTTTATTTTAAAAAATATTTGTAATATTTTAATCATAAGACTACCTCTATCATTCTTTTTAATTAACTTTATTAAAGTAGGATTCCATTTCCTGTATAAAATATATTCTTTAGTCGAAAGGCAAATTTACATATCGCTATAATGTTCATAAAAGTGGAGAAATATACAAAAATAAAAAAAAATAATAATAAAATATTAGAATAAAATACAATTAAATGGGTAGCAAATAACATGGTCCAATTTATCATCATTGCTTCCAAATTATTATTGTTTTCTATTCTTACTATTATTGAAGTTTTTTGTTTTCAATAGAATTAACAAGTACTTCCTCCGTCCCATAACAAAGTATCTATTTTTTCATTTTACTTCGTCCTATAACAAAGTATGCAATTTTTTTAAGTAACTGTACTATCTATCTAACGTTACAAATACTCTTACAACTTACAATATATTACACAAACGCCATTACGTTTATATCACACATACTAACAAAATTATTTTAGTCATTTCTACTTTATTCATACTATATCCCAATATAATACTAATATTTTTAAAACTACATGCAAAAGGCAAATCGATATTTTTTTGGAACGGAGGGAGTATTTATATTGTTATTACATAAGTTACTAGTTAAATACTCATTTAAATATATTTTCAATTTCCATTGTGTGCTTCTAGAAAATAATTATTAATTTTCTTTTTATAAAAAAATCAAATTATCTCCTCTCAATTCAATGAAAGTCTTTGTATAAATTAAAAATAATAATATTTTATTAATTAATAAAATTGTGTAAGATAATTTTGATTTTTTTAAAAAAAATAAAAATAAATTTGAAGGTACGTTTGTTTTGTAAGATAGTTCTAAAAAATTTTTTTTATGTAAAATATGAAGAATTATACAGGTAAAAAAACACATCTTTAATACTTTAATATTTAGATATAATTATTTTTATTGATGCTGCAATTCAACAATATTTTCCAACCATTAAACCACATTTTTATAATATTGTTGTAAATCATAATAAAACTTTATAATTTGCAAGTCCAATTATATTTAGGTTGGTACATTTTTATAACTGGTAACTCCAATTATCTTTTACTATTATAATTGGTAAGTTCATTATTTAAATTTATACTTATTATTATTTTTAGGTTGACACATTATTTATATATTTTTTAGTATAAATAAAAAATAATATTTGTTTTTATTAATTTATTACTTAAATATTTGAGTAGATATTTGGATGACAATTAAATTTACAGTGAAATAAAAAAATAATATGATAGCATAAATTGTTTTATATTTATATAACTATTTATGGTAAAGTGATCATTAACATATTAACAGTAAAACAAGACAATATATACAAGACAAAATATATATATATATATATTATATTTATTTTAAGATTTTTTGTATTATAAAAAATATTGTATAGTATTTTTATTTTTATTTTTTTGATAATTTCATATTATTTAAAAAAAACTATGTACAATACTTTAAAAGACTGCAATTGCTAAAAGTCTAGTGCAAATTTTTAAAAATTATAAAATTATCTTGTCAAAAAATTATTTTAAATTAAGCATATATATCAAATTAAAATACTAAACAAAAAGCAACTATTAAACAATTATTAGGTATTTGTTTATTATTTTAGCTTGAAATATATTTTTAATACAAATAGAAAAAATTGTTAATTTTTAAAAATATTTTAAAACTTTTTTATCACCATTTATCAATAATACTAGTATTTAAAAAAAAAATATACCAAATTAAATATATATTTTGTTAAAAAATAAAATACTCAAATACCCTAACGTTTTATAGGAAAAAGGAAAGTTATGTCTAAACGGATTGTGTATAAATAATTACACAGCCATTTCAGTCTCCACTTGGTTCAAAAATCAGAAGACTATCAGATAGAAGAAGAAGAAGAAGAAGTAGAAGACGAAGCGCACTCGAAATTCTCCACTCACTCAACTCTGTGGATAATCGGTACCTTCTCCACTCGCCTCGCTACTGTATTTCTCTCGATTGGTTCTTCTCTTTTCTTGAATTTCAAGGTTCGGTTCGGTTCGGTTCCCATGGAATATATCTATATCGCTTTTTGCTGCATTTATTCGTTGTTTTTGATACTTGTCTGCGGATTTGTGTAACTTTATAGTCTCGCTCTCTTCGTTAATATGTTAGGATGTTTAAACTCAGTTATTCTGCATTCATGAGATTGGCTAGCTTTTGGGAATTTAATCTGCTGGATTTATTGTATGCTGTTGGTTTTTGTCAGATTATTAAGTAGATGGAAATTATTGACAATTCATCGGAATGAATTGACTTTCACATTTGACTGTTTTTGTGTAGTCCTCCTTGGCTTTCCTGACTCTTTTGATTGAATAGGAGGATTTGACGGTTGAGTCGAAATGTGGCCATGAGGATTTATTGAGGTTTCTTATTGATGATTCTGTTGCCCTAAGTAATTGTGATGCTTATATGACTGAATTTGCGTTTTTTGAAATTTAAGGTTGGATTTGAAGTATGAACTCGTGAGTTTGAAGATTGGGTTAGCTTGAATTTGATATGTATGGGTTTGGAGTTCTTTTGTACTTATTTCAGATGTACCTGTTTAAGAAATTGAAGATTTAAATAGTAATGTTCTAAGTCACATTTTTTTGACAACAATTCTGATGATATGTTCTTCTGTACCTGTTTAAGAAATTGAAGATTTAAATAGTAATGTTCTAAGTCACATTTTTTTGACAACAATTCTGATGATATGTTCTTCTGTTGCATCTTCGTTGTTTTGTATTGCCTATTTTCCAGTCTTTTGTGTCAGCTAGTTTAACAGGCCTTTTGGAATGCGGTTCTTAAGTTTTAGTGTGTTTGTTTTTCAGCTTGTAGCATGGAGTTGATGTCGCAGCCTGGTTCATCATGTTGCAGTCATCTTGACAAGATACGTTATGGAGTTCAGAATAATGGAGTTAATTGCATCTATAACGTCACAAAGGCAGCCAAAACTAAGGAAATTTTCTTTGGTTTGCGTCCTTCGCTGCAAAGATCCTTGAAGTTAAACCAAAACTGGAGTTTATATGGGAGTGAAGTTGAACAAAAATCATCTCCTGTAATTGTTGCGGCAAGTCCTCCTACAGAAGATTCTGTTGCAACAGAGCCACTGACAAAAGAAGATCTAGTTGGTTACCTTGCTTCAGGTTGCAAGCCCAAGGAGAAATGGAGGTTCAAATTCTAGCTCTTATTGGTACCTTGATTACAATGACATATTTTCTAGTGGAGCAATTTTCAGCCATTGATACTTTCTTTGAGTTGGTTTAGAATTTTTTTCATAAAAAATTTATAGGTCTCTTTTTATGGAGAAAATTGTAACTTCATGCATGTCCAAAAGTAATATACACTTTTATTGCATTCACCAGGACAGTAATGAAACTGGAATGAAATGAAATGCTAGTTCATATTTCCTTCTCCTTTCCCATTTTGCCTTGTCAGGAGAAGGATAAAGTTGTAAGCTAGTACGGTAGCTATTAGCTTATATTCTTCTAGTTCAAATGAATATCCTATGAATCATGTTATCTCAATTAATGTCAGGAATTTAGGCTATATAAAGGTCTTATGGCTCCTTGCGCTGGTGGATAAATTACTTGTTTGGACTCACAGTCAAGTGATATCATGTGTGTTCTATACGTCATGTATATTAATGGTTGGGGCACCTAATACACCTACATAAATGTGGCTTTTACAGGATAGGAACTGAACATGAAAAGTTTGGGTTTGATGTTGGAACATTCCGACCCATCAAGTATGAACAGATAGCAGAGCTGCTAAATGGTATTTCTGAGCGTTTTGACTGGGATAAAATAATGGAAGGTGACAAGATTATTGGCCTCAAACAGGTAACTCTGTAATAGAAATTTTTATATTTTATAGTATGATGTGTGGTGAGCTTTGCTGCTGTATTCTATATGTTACATAGTTTTTTAATATGTAGGTTTGTTACTTGATATTGTTTTCCATCTTAATAGTTTATCTATATGTATATCCTAAGCATTTTACCCCCAAAATCAGCACGCCTGTATAATATTATTATTGTAACCAACACATTTTGTTTTTTTCATTTTATTTTCTTCCCCTAAGTTTCTCTTCCTTTATTTTAAGTGTTCTATTCTAAGAGTGTTATTTTATGTATTGATATATTTTGAGGTGAAATAGTTGCATATGATGTTTTGAATGGACAAGGAGTGTTGCATGTGACATTTTTGGAGGGAAATTAGTAGATTTGAGTAGTACAAAATTGTGATAGAAATCACAAGTAGACACATCCGCAGTTTTGATAACACTGCACACGTACTTGGTATATCTTATATGCTAGTTTTATTTACTTTCTGTCTCTCGCACATATCTAATATATACTTTTGAATTGCTTGTTGTAATTTTTAAAATATTTAACTGCAGGGAAAGCAAAGCATATCGTTGGAGCCTGGTGGCCAGTTTGAGCTGAGTGGCGCACCACTTGAAACACTGCACCAAACTTGTGCAGAAGTCAATTCACATCTCTACCAGGTTGGCAGAACTGGTTTAATGTCCATTGTACTAATATTTCCGTGTCTTCTGAAAACTTGCCCTTTTGTATTCTTGATGATTATGGTTTATAAACATGAAAACATGCACATCTCTAATTGGAAATATTAATACTCCCTCCGTCTGCCAAATTTATTTTCACTTTCCTTTTTAGTCCGTCCACTAAATTTATCTCATTACTAATTTTGACAAAGTCAACAAATTAACATTTAATTATTACCCTCCATTCAACACTTATTTATAACAAATACTACTAACTTTATTACATTCTCTCTCTTCATTTACTTTACTTTTTAACTAAATTTCCAAAAATACCTTAAACTACCTATCACTTTTTCAATAAAATATTTATTTTTCTTAATTCCCGTGCCAAGCCCAAATGGGCTAATTTTAATGGACGGAGGGAGTATATTATATAACATCCCATCTATTATTATGCTTGTGTTTTTGCAATATTTCTCTTTTGTGAATCATTTGGTTGGTTTAGTACCTTCACTAGTACGTGATAACAAACAGGATTAGGGTTTCTTTTATATCCAAATTATTTTTACTTGAGGTGCCATGGCTCACCTCTTTGAGGTCAAATCCTATTCAAAATTAAGGATTTGTATTGTTGGGAATAAAATGCCCATTGAAGTGCAGATCTTTGCAGTGCAAGTGTGCAACCATGCTTGCCAGCCTTTTTTACAGCCTTCTGCTTCTTCTAGTGCTTGCTTGTCTTTCTATCACTATTTTCATCCAGAACTTTCTATGATGCATGAAATCCTTTTTTTTTTGTGTGTGTGTGTGTGGGGTTGGAATTTAGATCATCTTTCTCTTGCTTACTTCTGCTGTAGTTCAGTGGCAGATAAGTCATTAGTGAAAATGTGACTGTAACACATCTAACAGTTGTTTCTCTCACATGAAATGCTCAGGTTAAAGCTGTTGCTGAGGAGATGGGAATAGGCTTTTTAGGAATTGGCTTTCAACCAAAATGGAAACGTGAGGACATACCAATAATGCCAAAAGTAACTAATATACCAAACCTATACTCTTTCATATTTTATTTTTTTTTTGGAGATAGCTATATTTTTCTGTGCGCACAGAAGGATTGGGCTTGTGCATTTCATTAGACATATTACTGAATTTAGTTTTCGTAAGAGCTGGACAATTTTATTTCCTTTTATATTATTATTATTGTTATAATTTTTAAGTAATAATGTATTAGTGGGCCCCTCTGCTAATTTTTGGTAGGGTCAATTTCAAGAATATCTACTATTCAATGATTAAAATTGATTGTGGTATCCAATTACCCCACATCCACAAACCTTCATCTCCTCTTTCAGGTGATGCTTTGGGAGTGTTTGGTTGTGCTTTAGTGTGTTGGGAATAGTAAAACTTTTGAATTGTGATGTGATATAAATATGTATTTGAATTAATGTTTTGAATAAAACATAATTATGTATGCAATATATTGGATGAAAAATAGTTTTATGATATCTTTTGAGGGGAAAAAATTAAGTTACAATTGCATAAAAAGATGAAAACACAACCAACCACACCCTTTGTCTTTCACCACTTATGATGCAGTTGTTCTATGGTTTAGCTCAATATGACCCTTTTAGACATTATAAATAGTATCCTTTACTTGAGATTTTTATTGCATGCTTTAATTTGTTATTGCTCCATTACCACAAATTTTTGTTTTCTAAGATCTGACAAATGGTTATACATAATGACAAAATATTGAGCTCAGGGAAGATATGACATTATGAGAAATTACATGCCAAAAGTTGGGACACTTGGACTTGATATGATGCTTCGGACATGTACTGTACAGGTGAGCACTAATTTTAACTTTCTGTTTTCCTAGGTTCTAGTTTTAATTTGCTCATCTGTTTTGTTTGAAGCCTCACCATCCAATGAATATGCAGTATATATACCTACATTATGTTTAATTGTGCATGCAGAGCATTTCTCCCAACAAGGATTACATATTTCAATATGCATTTTACAGGTGAATCTGGATTTTCATTCTGAATATGATATGATAAGGAAGTTTCGGGCTGGCCTTGCTCTACAGCCTGTAAGTTTATTATGAGTCGGTAAAGGAATTTCATATCTTCATTTGGAATCTCACTTGTTTGTATAACAGATAGCTACAGCACTGTTTGCAAATTCACCTTTCACTGAAGGAAAACCAAATGGATTTCTAAGCATGAGAAGGTGGTTTCCTTTTCTCAATTGATCGTATTCAGTCTCCTATCTTTCTTCCTTCATCTTACATTCTGAATTGCTTTATTGAAAACTTTGAGGATTGATCTGACACTAGAATTTTCCTGCTCTACAGTCATATTTGGACTGACACCGATAATAACCGCACTGGGATGCTGCCGTTTGTTTATGACGACTCTTTTGGGTATACTTCCTCATATAAAATGGCTTTTAGCTTGGATTACATTATCATTTAAACTACTCACTTTATAGGTTAGGCACCCTGAATCTTTCCTTTCTATTTAAAGCTAACTCACCAATAATTCATTAATCTGCCAACTACTATCTAGGCATAAAGCTGCCATCACCACAGCCATTGAGTTAAATCCGGATCTATTAGAGTTTTTGAGCAACCATATATGACAAAAAACATATTCTAAGTGGGTAATGAACATGCTGTTGAATCCTATTTGTAAACTGAACTAAATCTCCTTCTGTCCTAGTCTTAAGGATTCTAGCAGGAGATGGCCTATAAAATGGGCATGGATATCTCTATTTATATAGTTATGGGTCTTCAGTATCATATTTTGATTTCTTGGGAAATGTGTTTTTATTTCAGATTTCTTGTACAGAAAAATGTAGCATCATCTAACTGTATTTGTGAAAGTCATAATATTTACCATTACTACTCATTTGTAAGATATTTGATTACTCTCTTTTCTTGTTGGGCCAGGTTTGAACGCTATGTGGATTATGCACTTGATGTTCCAATGTACTTCGTATATAGAAAGAAAAAGTACATCGATTGTACTGGGATGTCTTTCCGGGTTTTTATTTTTCCTTCACTCTTTTAGTTCTCCTCATTATATGCTATTTACGTGTTTTAAACTGTAGGATTGCTGCTCACAATTAATCTGCTGCAGGATTTCATGGCTGGGAAACTCCCTAATCTCCGTGGTGACTATCCAACACTCAATGACTGGGAAAATCATTTGACAACAATATTTCCAGAGGTTTATAGTTGGAATTAATTTGATGAACATACATACCAATCATCTCTATGTTTTATCATGAGCTTAGGCAATATTATTTCCAGGTTAGGCTTAAAAGGTACTTGGAGATGAGAGGTGCTGATGGAGGGCCTTGGAGGAGGCTATGTGCACTACCTGCATTTTGGGTATTTTCTCTAGTTTGTTTCGTATCCATGTTCTATTGTTTTTATAGCTGCTCTATGAGCCTGTAACTATGCAAGTGTTCAATTATGGTTCTACTGATGCTCACATTGAAGTACTTTAAGAAATTAGTAATATTTTTATAGTGATTCTAAATGTTCTTTAGAACTTCAATGGAAAGTAGCTTTTTGGGAAAGTTTACTTCTTGTCTGCATTGGAAGATTTTTCTGAAATGTAGAGTAACAGATCTACTGTTTCTAAATTTCAGGTAGGTATCTTGTATGATGATGTCTCTCTTCAGAACGCGTTAGATATGACAGAGGATTGGACTTTAGAAGAAAAACAAATGCTAAGGAATAAGGTAACCGCACTTTCTTAATATATTGATGTTTCATATGACGAATTTCTAGGCTTGCATGCATGCTTTTTCATATTCTCCTACAGCTTCTATTGATAAAAAAATCTTGGATAGAACTTCACAATATTGTGTATAAAAAATGTGCCTGGCTGTTCATATTCTCGCTTTTGATGAATAGGGACTTGAATTATATTATCTTAAAACCGGATTCAAGTGTTTAACCGATTCCACTTTTAATGTAAAGCTCCTTTCCAAACTTGTAATGCTCATTTTTACGTCCTTTAGTTTTCTTATTCTGATCCTTTGTTATTAGTTAGCAGAAACTTCCTTTTTAATTCAAAGCTGTGTAGTAGGTACCCAAAACTGGTCTGAAGACACCATTTCGCGATGGACTGTTGAAGCACGTGGCACAAGAAGTTGTCCAGCTGGCAAAGGTGACATGATGTGCTATTTTATCTCTCTTTAAACGATGTCTGATTGTGCTGTCAACTGTCTTAGATTTCTTCCCATCCTCGTCGAGCTCTTAGTGTTTATTTTCCATTGTTGCAGGATGGCTTGGAAAGAAGAGGCTTTAAAGAAACAGGATTTCTGAATGAAGTCACCGAAGTAGTCAACACTGGTAAACCAATAATATTTTTCTGGCCTGTTTTCTGTCACATTATTCTTTCAATTCTATTGAAATCACAATGCATGCCCCACATCCGGGAACATCAGGTTTTGCTGACAATTGATTTAGTCGATTTTCTGGCTACATAACATTTTTGCAGAACCTATTATTAGATGTCCCAGCATCTCATTAATCCAAAATTATCCCAGAAATGTTTTCATATGACAACCATCATTAACCAAGTTAATTATCCTTTTTCTGCTCATTTTCGTTGCAAAAATCATTGGCACAATGCATTAACCAAGTCTACCCTATAGCCAAGTCATTAATCCTACTTGATGCTATCATTTTCTGAGTCTTTGACGACATACATATTTATGATGATCATTAATTTTTATACGATAGGTGTAACACCTGCTGAGAAGCTTTTAGAAATGTACCATGGGAAGTGGGGAGGAAACGTAGATCCCGTTTTCGAGGAGCTGCTCTACTGAGGAGGTGGGGTGTATATATATATACCGTACCATACCATACCGCAAATGCAAGTTTGTCGTCTCTCTCTCAGGTTAAGCCTCATTACTCACTCATCTTTGCTTCTATGAGATTCTTAATTTGAAGCTATTTTAGGTCATTTTGTTTGATGTGATGCTCTCTCTCTTTCTCACTCTATCTTTTAACACCTTGAGATTCCTCACCCCAATAATTAGAGCAAAGCATGCTTGGATTGGTTTATAGCTTATCATTATTCTCTTTAGTAGTTGCAATAATGTAGCAGGCTTATCTTTCTATCTATGGTTTCCACAACAAATAAAACAATTAGGGTTTAATTCCTCAACGGACCATTTATCATTTTAATTTCATAACTGGAATTTGTTGCAAAATAGTCTATAAATTAAAATCTTTGTACTTTTATTTCTCCGGTCCCGGAGATACCTGTATGGCATCCGGAGGAGTTTGCCAAACATATCATCAATTTATTTGTTAGTTTTTATTTTGATATAACAAGTGGTACTCCGTTTCAATTCAAAAGTTTGTCCAAAATACATTTTTAACATTTATCTGAATTATAAATATACTATTAACAAAAATATTAAAATCTCTTACGAACTTTCACTAATCAATAAAATACTATTATTTTTTTTAAAAAATTCTTTATATATATAATTTTATAATTATTTTTTGTTTGTAATAATGATAGTTTTATTGTGTTATAGTTATTTAAGATGGACAAAAATAATAAACAAGACTTTTATGATTCATTTTAATGGTTTTTTACCTGCATCTAATAAGAATGACGATATTACTTGAAAATTTTAGCTATGTAGGTTAAAATGTAATTTCAATGGAAAAAAAATTGGTTTCATCCACTGCAGTATTATTATTATTATTATTATACTAGTCAATCAATTTATTTATTCATAAAACTAAAATAAAAGACAAGCATAAATACGAAAAATGCAACTATAGATTCAAAATGACAAGCGAAGTAGCAAATAAAACTCGGAAGCTTTTTCAATCTGACTAAAACTGGACAATAATTAAGCCTAAGAGATGTGACTGCAGCGAACCGTAACAAATCAGAACCGTAGAGAATGCATGCAATCACTCCACAGATTTCAGCAGTATTGTCGGCAGCACCAACTTGTACAAAACCAACCCATCAATCTCAACACACACACAAACACACACATATATAGTTCTTGATGAACACCATTAGCATTTAGCAGCAATTATGGAAACAGGAGATTTGAGGGAGGAGAAAGACATAACTACCAATCCAACAACTAATCACACTCCTGTCTTCAATAATTGGAGATTTAAAAGCTTTGGCCCTACTTGATTTGGAATCCCAATTCGACACTCTTCATAATCGTCCAATTTTTACCAAAGAATGAAACAAGCACAAACACCCCCACCAGCCCAGATGTAAAAACAAAATCAACAAAGTGGTGAAAACTTTATTGATTAATTATTTAATTTAATGAATGAAACAAGGGTCAGCCATCAATCAATCAAAGGCAAGAAACATACATCATGTAGAGATTAGTTGTGCTACACATCTTGTCTCCCATCAATTTTGGGATCGAATTAATCCAATCCAGCTCACAGTTACTTGTTAAGCTTTGGCCATGGCGGCATAAAGAAGCTAGACATGCCCACATGAAATTATTAATTCTATTATTCACATACACACACAAACAAAAACAACAACAAAATATCAAAGTCTCAATCAAACAGCAAATAGATAAACAAATTACTCAACTTTATATCTATCTATCTATCTCTCTACCATCGTCCCACACACTACCAAAGCCCTAATTTTTCACCGACAAGATGAGGGAAATTCTTCACATTCAAGCAGGGCAATGCGGGAACCAAATTGGGGGAAAATTTTGGGAAGTGGTTTGCAACGAGCACGGGATCGATACTTTAGGAAATTACGTAGGGGATTCAGGAGTGCTGCTTGAGAGAGTGAATGTGTATTTCAACGAAGCTAGCGGCGGAAGATACGTACCTCGAGCTGTGCTGATGGATCTGGAACCTGGAACGATGGACAGCCTCCGGACGGGGCCGTACGGGAAGATATTCCGGCCGGACAACTTCGTGTTCGGGCAGAGCGGCGCCGGCAACAATTGGGCGAAAGGGCACTACACTGAGGGAGCGGAATTGATCGATTCGGTGCTGGATGTTGTTCGGAAGGAAGCGGAGAATTGCGATTGCCTGCAAGGTAAGAACTAAGAAGAGAACGAATTAGCAAATTGAATCGATGAATTTATCGATGAATTAGAAATGATGAAATTGAATTGGGGAATTAGGGTTTCAAATCTGCCACTCGCTGGGGGGAGGGACGGGGTCGGGGATGGGGACGCTGCTGATATCGAAGATAAGGGAAGAGTACCCGGACAGAATGATGCTGACGTTCTCGGTGTTCCCGTCGCCGAAGGTGTCGGACACGGTGGTGGAGCCGTACAACGCGACGCTGTCGGTGCACCAGTTGGTGGAAAACGCCGATGAGTGTATGGTCCTTGATAATGAGGCTCTTTACGACATTTGCTTCCGCACCCTCAAGCTCACCAATCCTAGCTGTAAGTTTTTTTTTACATATATAATTTTTTAATAAAATATTATTATTATTTTTTTTAAAAAAAATATTATATTTAAAACACATTGTTCAATATTTCAAATTATAAATAATATAAAAGGTAAAATAGCTCTTTAACTCTCTAGGGATTTTAAAATTTGCCCTGTATTTTAAAAATTGTATGAGAAAATATTTTTTATCTGTATAATAAATTTTATGCAATATTTTTTAAAATAAAAAGTAGAATTATGCAATTTTAAAAAATATAGTAAAAATTTACATTAAATTTCGAAATTATAGAAAAATTTCATACAATATTTTTTAGAATAAAGCTGAGTTCCATAATCACAATAAAATTATGAATAATTTTTTCTAATAAAAAAAATAGGTAACAATGATAATTCATTTGTTGTATATTTCACACAAATATACAATGAACTCTAAGTCCATTTTCTTTGAGGCATTTTGTCGAACACTTTTAAGTAACGACCTGAATCCACAGAGACTCTGTATATTTAACCGCAGTTGGCGATCTGAATCACTTGATATCGACGACGATGAGCGGCGTGACGTGCTGCCTCCGATTCCCGGGGCAGCTAAATTCCGACCTCCGGAAACTAGCCGTTAACCTGATCCCTTTTCCGCGCCTCCATTTCTTCATGGTCGGTTTCGCGCCGCTGACGTCGCGTGGATCTCAGCAATACCGGGCGCTGACGATCCCGGAGCTGACTCAGCAAATGTGGGACGCCAAGAACATGATGTGCGCCGCCGACCCCCGCCACGGCCGCTACCTGACGGCGTCGGCGATGTTCCGGGGGAAGATGAGCACCAAGGAGGTCGACGAGCAGATGATCAATGTCCAGAACAAGAACTCGTCCTACTTCGTCGAGTGGATCCCGAATAATGTCAAGTCGAGCGTCTGCGACGTGCCGCCCACGGGGCTGCCGATGTCGTCGACGTTCGTCGGGAACTCGACGTCGATCCAGGAGATGTTCCGGCGGGTGTCGGAGCAGTTCACGGTGATGTTCCGGCGAAAGGCGTTCTTGCATTGGTACACGGCGGAAGGGATGGACGAGATGGAGTTTACGGAGGCCGAGAGCAATATGAACGACTTGGTTTCCGAGTACCAGCAGTACCAGGATGCCACCGCCGATGACGACGATGACGGCCGGTACGAGGACGAGGACGAGGAAGAAGAAGTGAATCCTTAAATTGGATGATTCGTCGTATTTTATCTTATCTTATTTTATTTTATTTCATCGGTTATTTATTTATATATATACTATAATTTTTATCTCAAATCATGATATCCATGAATGTGTGAAGAAGCTCTTGATTCTATTATATTATGGATTATTGTGTCCTTATTTAATTTTATTGTATATGAAATATTGTTACAACATACTACAGTATATGATTATATGATTTCTTACAAATGTTATTATGGTTTTATTTTGTTCATTCATATCTGCATATATTTAAGGCTGCACATATTTCTAAGGCTGCGTATTGTGTCAAGTTAGTATGGTACTGATATAACCGAATTTTATAGGGGTGATCTATGCTAAATTATAATATAATATACTGTATTATAAGATAGTATATGTTTGAATTATGATATAATATATGTTTGTATTATAAATTTGTTGAAATATGTATTAATATATGTTTGTCGCTTTTATAACTTATGTTGACTCGATCAAATCAACACAATACTGACTCGACTGATCAACATTCATGTACTATTTTCTAAATTGTGAGCAAGCTTGATGAAGATGAGACTACAATAGTTTCGTTGAGAAATATGATCATATTCGTACATAAGAGTGTTGAGATAAAAATAGTCTCACATCTAAAAATAAATTTTTTTTGTGTTGTATATCTTAATATACTCTCTTCGTCCCGCAAGAAGGTTGTCATTTAGTTGTATTTAACATTAAAAATATCCTTATATTTGAATTATTTACTCGACAAATATCATTGTATATGTATTATAAGAGACTAATAAACATATTTTTGTTTTCTTTTCTTGATTTGTATTACGTATTGATATCATAATTAATATTCAAATATCAATACACAAAAAAGCCAATGCACCCTTATTGCGGGACGGAGGAAGTATATTTTTGTCTTATATAACAAAAAGGAAAAGGAAAAAAATTATTTAAAAGTAATAAAAAAAAAGATTACTCTCTCTGTTCACATAATTTGTCCTTATTTTTTATTTTCGTCCGTCTCAAATAATTTGTTCATTCCTTTTTTTTAGAAATATAATTATACATTTTAAATTTCATTTTAAATTTTAAATTTTATAATTTTTTTAATTGTAATTAAACTATTTAGTTATCTTAATTTTAATTCACAATTATTTTTATTATACAATAATTATTTTTATTAATACACTTATTAATTACTTACTAATTATACTTTATCTAAATTTTTGTATCTATATTAATACGCCCAAAATACATTAGACGGAGAGAATATAAATTTTTACTTAAAAAATATGCTTATTTTCTATGATACAAATGCAAAAATGGACGTATTTTTCTTTATGACCTAAGGAGCAAGTAATTTCAACGGTTGTTGGGTCCATATGTTCCGCTGCATAACAAATCATTAATAATAATAATAATAAGGGTAAATTGTTTTTTCCCCTTATCATTTTAGTTCCGTAAATGGAACCTGTCGCAAACTAGTCTCATAAGTGAAAAATTTTCGCTGTTTTAGTCCTCCGGTGCCGGAGACGCCCGCGTGGCTCGCCGGAGGTGACGTGTCCGCCAGGTCAGCGACACTTGGCGGACACGTGGATTTTTTTTTTTATTTTTTAAAAATTAAATCAAATTAAAAAAATATAAATAAAATTAAAAATAAATTAAAAATAAGTTTTAAAAAAAAATCCACGTGTCAGCCAGGTCAGCGCCAGGTGTCGCTGACCTGGTGGACACGTCACCTCCGGCGAGCCACGCGGGCGTCTCCGGTGCCGGAGGACTAAAACAGCGAAAATTTTTCACTTATGGGACTAGTTTGCGATAGGCTTCACTTACGAGACTAAAATGATAAGGGGGTCCAATTACGGGACTAAAAAAATAGTTTACCCTAATAATAATAATAATAAAACATTTGAGTTATTTCCATTAGAGTTGGCAATGGGTCTGGTCTATTCGTGTCGGGTTGAATACTTTAAACGGGTTAAATTACTTAATTTTAACCCAATTCGTTTATTATCGTGTCGGGTTCGGGTTGACTTGTGACCCGTATACATTATTAAGTTGAATTTTTTTATTTAAATTAAATAATTTGTTGTCGTGTTATGTTAGTTTTTATTGGTTTGAGAGTAAATTAGGTTGAATTATTTAAAATTGAATTTAGTTTAAATTAATTTATGAGAAAATTAATAGATTGTCGTGTCGGGTTCGAGTTGAGAATCTCAACTCAACCTGACCCGTTTATTATCGTCTCGAATTCGTGTCAACCCGTATACATAATTGAATTGAAATATTTGACCCAAACCCAATTATTTCGTATCGGGTCAGTTTTTGTCAGCTTCAATTTCAATGATATAATAGAAAACTATTTTAATTTCTATATTGATAAATAATTATATAAAGTAAGTAACTGTGAATTAAACATGCTACTTGGGAAAATTTTTACGTCCTATGTATATTATGGTAAATAATTTAGTCATATTTTTACAATCAACGATGATCTTTTATTTTGTATGTTATTTATTTATTCTTAATTATATCTCAGGTCTTGAATTTCTACTTTCTTAGGTACCAAATTAAAACATCATAAATAACAAAGTTTATAGACATAATTATAATATTTCAATTTTCTTTGTATATACATGGCGATCGTTTATTCGTTAATATGTTGACTAAAACTAATCCAGCAAGATTAATATTACTATCTGATGATTAAGATGTTGTTTATAATAGTTCATCCAAGTTATGATTGATCTCAATACAATATATATATATATTGTATGTACATATAACACATGATAATAATTGACACAAAATATGCGGATTTAATTAAATTTTGCACGGAGAAGAATTATCCCGAGTTACAGATCATTAGTACAATTTGCATCGTCTTTATATCAATATTCTTAACAAGACACAAAGGTAATAATCATACTAGATTATATACATGATCAAACATCAGTGACCATATCAGATGAACAATGGTAACCTTCATCAGTGAGAGTCGGACCATCGAAGGATTCTTCGACCAAAATGTTGGCTATGTGTCTATTAGCCGCTTCCGTAAAATGCAAACCATCCCAACAAATGTACTTGGACGGATCCGGACATGTGTAAGATCCCGGGCTGCCGCAGTTTGTTGTTAAACTGATATTGTATGGCCCTTCACCTCCACAACATGAATAAAGGCTTCCTAATCTCGAAAATCCTACGTACAATTAAATGTCGAAAGAGATTGGATTACACATTGAATTTATTTCAAAATTGAGCTAACAAATGAAGGTTTGTAAATTTTGGAGTTTTGAAAAATTTTAAAAATAGTAAAAGTTTGGTATTTCGTGTAATTTTATGTGAGAAAAAAATGTATTTGATGAATTATTATTATTTTTTAAATTACTATTGATAAATATGAATTTTTTCTTTTTATTTTTTCAAATATAATAATGAGATAAATTTAACAGACGGATAAAAAAAAAGAATAAATTTGACGGACATAAGAAGTATCAGAAGTTTAAAAAATGTACATACATATATATATGTGTACTCATTTAAAATTATGAATGGATCGAGTGGAAAAGTGAACTTACCAAATTTTTCGGGGTTGTGATAGAGGCGCATAGAAGCACCATAATTGTCTGCATAAACGATGGCGACATTAGGGTTTTGGTTTTGGATGCAACCGAGTTGTGCGCGAAGAGCCATGTTGTGCTGTCGGGACAGCTCGTTCAACCAATTTAGACAACCTGTTTCTGGATCATAATCACTTTTGTTCGAAGACTGGTATTTTGTGAGGTATTTAGAATTACACCCGATGGGGAAGTTCCCCGGCACAATTAGGGTTTTTGCTCCAAGCTTGATCAGCTCCTACATTCATTGATTCTTAGCTTTGTTATATAAATCATATATTGCGAATTAAGTGAGATCGAATTATATTTATGCCATAAAATGGTGTTGGAGATCGAGTTTCTTACAACAACGGTTGAAGTGATTGCTTTCACGACATGAGGGATGAATTCTTGAACCACGTCGAGAGTTTTGTTGGATTTAAAGAAAGGGTCGTTGTAGTCGTTCCCTCCGATCTCTCCAACGAAGAACAATGTGTTTTCGAGATATGTTTTGCAATCTGAATTGAGTAGTCGAGAATAATTGTTTCAATCTTTTACTATTATTTCTAATTTAGAATATTTTTATTTTTTACTTCTGTCATTAAAAGATAGGCTTTTTTTTCTTTTTTCGTTTTTTTTTTTTTTTTTTTACCCTAAAAGGATTCTTATGTAAAATTTAATTACTCACGATTGCTTGTGCTTGAGCAATTAACTCTAATTAAGAAGATAATTAAAACTTATCAAAGTAAACTACAATAAAGGAAAAAAAATTAAGTAAAAACAATTAAAAATGACACAATCGAACAAACAAAAATTAATACGACTTGATCAAACAAGCAGCAAAAAATATTTTCATTAGAAAAAAAAAAATATATATATATATATATATCTCTTGATTTTCTATATCAAGATCTTTAATCATTTTTCAAATCAGCTAATTTATTAATATTTTGGTTAATAATTATAAAAAGGATTAGGTAATTAACAGATCCACATTGATTATTTATTACCCCAGATATAATTTTATATTAGGATTTACGTCATGTTTCCTGTGCACGATTATTTAATCATAATAGAAATAGTAATGCAATTATTTTTTTAAAAAAAATATAATTTTGGTCATTTAAAAGGTAAATTTTTTATAAATTATTTTGGAAATTTTAGCTAGGTTTACTATATTTAATTTGACTAGAAATAATTATATATTTGTTCCGATTATTTTAATTATGTGTATGATATATACTTATGATCTCCGTATATACATCACTTTTCGTAGATACATGTGAGTGTACATATAAATTTAGAATTATTGAAGTTACAAGAAATATATAATATTATTTTCAAGATGATCTACTTAAAAAATAAAATAAAAAATTCGATAGTAAATGTATATTATTTAAAGGGACATGCTTGCACGTTGCACCCACTCATAAGTTACCAATTTATTTATTTGGGGGTCCTATTGTGACACAATTATTAATATAAATTGAATTAATCTATAAGTTCAAAAAGTCCAAACCCCTCAAATTATAAATTTAACTAAAGACAGTTAAAAGGGGAGCTCTCAACATTTATGTTGATTATGTCCCAATTCTTAATATATATTTTTTTTTAAAAAAAAACATTCTAAAACTTCTAATATAAACGTAATTATTATTATTAATATTGACCAATTCTCTAAAAAAAAAAAAAAGATGGTTCATAAGTTGAAATATTTTGCTGCTTGTGATAGAATAAAATGTTATATCAATTGTTTTAAAATTTGCAAATAATATTTATACATATATTTTATTTATTTATTGTATGTTATTTACCTTGAGGTTCAAGGCAGACGACAGGCAAGAACTGATGTTCGAACCAACTCAACTGATTCTTAAGAGATGCAAATGGAAATGTAATTTCCACCCCATACTTATCGAAAAATTCTTTATCCAATGCCGTCGCTCCGGCCACAGCAAAATTTACGCCATGTCGGAAATCATCGATAGTGCAGCCGAAGGCATTGCCGTCGGCGCAGCTTCCCAAGAACGGCCGGATAAATGGAAGCCCAAATTTTTGAGCTGCAAACCAAGTAAAAAAAAATTAAAAAACACTAGAGGGTATATTTGATGTAATATAAATAAATATTTACTGTAATATTTGAATACAAAACTAATTTTAGTATTTAATATATATTTAATTTGATATTTCCAGAAAATTTTTTTAAAAGAATTATAGAGATTTTTCAAAATCTCCCAAACAAACATACCTGTTTTTTCTTTTTTTTTTTTGTTATACAATTTTTATAATTTTTTCTCACAAAAAAAATAGTATTATTGTTTAAACACAAAATATAAACCCAATATATATAAACTTCTTAACACCAAGACACACACATATATATATATATATATATTTACCAATGAAGTCGATAACGAGGCGGCCATTGCTCCAGCGGCCGGTGGGGCGATGAAAGAAGGTTTCGCCATAAGGGAGCTGTAGGAAGTTCCCAAGGTCGGAGGCGATATCTAATGATGGGAAGACTCGGGCGAGGTTGCCGGTGTCGGCCAAAGAATCGCCGAAACTAATTATGGATTTAAATTTTCTCAAAGATGCATGTGTATTTGATGGTAGTAATATTATTGTTGCCAAGAAAATAACAATCAAGTGTGGAGAAAGAACTGGTGTCTTTGGAGAAGAAGAAGAAGAAGAAGCCATGGAAGGTGAAAGAAGGTCGAATGTACATGTGTGTGTGCATTTGTGTCCACAAGATTGAGTTTTTAATGGTAAGAAAACTTTGATGTGCCTTCAAATTTTAAATTCAAGTCAATTCAATCCAAGATTGTATTTTGTACTATAAATTTGGGTTTTAATTAATTGGACCAGATCCCCAATAAGTGTCTAATGATATTACGGTCATCAAGATTAAAAACTCTGATACCGTATTAAATGACCATCTTATGTAAAAATGATTTAATTCGATTAAATTAATTTATATTTTAAAAATAACCGAATCAGATATATCCACCATATTTTCAATGTAAATTTGATATATATATACAATACAGCAAATGAGATTTTTTTTTTAAATACCATTTAATTAAGCACAAAAGATATTTTATTGCAAATGAACAATATATTGAGTAGTTGTCCACATAATATATATCATAATTATTGATACATATATGTCATGATTTATTATCACATACGTACATCAAATATCAGTGTACATATCAGAAGAACAACGGTGTCCTTCAGCAATGAGAGTCGGACCATCAAAGGATTCTTCGACCAAAATGTTGGCTATGTGTCTGTTAGCCGCTTCCGTAAAATGCAAACCATCCCAACAAATGTACATCGACGGATCCGGACATGTGTAAGATCCCGGGTTGCCGCAATTCGTTGTTAAACTAATGTTGTAAGGACCTTCCCCTCCACAACATGCATAAAGACTTCCTAATCTCGAAAATCCTATATAAAAATAAATAACGTCGAAAGAGAATTAGTTATTTATTGAATTTATTTTAAAATTGAGCTAACGAATAATTTATACATTCTTTTGAATTATATTAGAAGAAATATATTGAATTATATGAAGAATTGTTGAACTATGAATGAAGTTATTTTATCATAGACTAATATGTCGAATCTTTATAAAAATATATATTTTATTACAATACATATTCAAAGGTATAGGATAAGAAAACAAAACAAGAGTGATAATTAAATATATGTATAACATTAAATTTGCAATTTTCCTAAATAGAATTGCTTAACATTATTTTAAATTCGAATATTCGTTTATCACGATATTCGGATCAATATTAGAATGCATATGTATATATGTAATAGATCGAGTGGAGAAGTGAATTTACCATATTTTTTGGGGTTGCGATAGAGGCGCATCGAAGCACCATAATTGTCTGCATAAATGATGGCGACATTAGGGTTTCTCTTTTGGATGCAGCCAAGCTGTGATCGAAGAGCTCGATTATGCTGTTGTGAAAACTCGTTCAGCCAATTCAGACAACCTGTTTTTGGATCGTAATCTCTTTTGTTCGAAGATTGGTATACTGTGAGGTATTTAGAAGTACACCCGATCGGGAAGTTCCCCGGAACAATTAGGGTTTTTGCTCCAAGCTTGATTAGGTCCTATACATACATTCATGGATTCTTAGCTTTGTTACATCATATACATTGCCAAAAAAATAATAATAATAAAGTAAAAATTATATAAATTGCGAACTAAGTGAGATTGAATTTTAGTTATGCAATAAAAAAGACTATTATGGTGTTTGGGACCGAGTTCTTACAACAACGGCTGATGCGATGATTTTCACGACATAAGGGATGAATTCTTGAGCCACTTCGAGAGTTTTGTTGGCTTGAATTAAAGCGTAATTGTAGTCGTTCCCTCCGATCTCTCCAACGAAGAACAATGTGTTTTCGATATATGTTTTGCAATCTGAATAAATGAAATACTTTCAAATCTCTAATTTACGATGTTATATATATATATATAATTTATAAGATTATTTCAAGAAATAGTAAAAAAACTATCGAAATTAATTATACCACCTAAATCATAAAAATTATGTCAAGATAAATATAGCAAATTAAGATATTGGGACAGAAGAATTAATATTTATTTGAACTTTTATTTTTTCAAATCGAATTGAAGACAATTTAAACTTATCAAATGCTTTAAAAAATTAAGAAAATAAAAATGACAATTGAACAAACAAAATTTTGGTACGACTTAATTACTAAAACATGCAGCAAAATCTTTTCCTTAAAAATAAAATAAAAATTCTATTGATTTTCTGTATCAATATATTTAATCATTTTACAAGCTCATTTAGTATTATATATAATTAAATAAATGGATTAGGTAACAAGTCGACATTTCTTAATTATTATATAATTTCATTATTTAATTAGGATTTAGGTCATGTTTCCTGTACGTGCATGATTATTTAAATATTTAATCATAATAGAAACGTTAATGCATTTTTTTTTTTCAGAAATAATTTTGGTCATGAGTTAATTATAGTGAATTATAATATTATTTTATTAATTTTTTATATAAATAATATTGGTGATAATTTTAAGATAAAAATTAATATATAATTTAAAAGAATTAGAATATATATTTAAATATTTTACATTTTATATTTTAATATATACAATATAGATATTATTTTGTAAAACTAAAATTATAAATAATACAAGTAAATAAAATATATTTATTTCTTTGTTTGTAATTAATATAAACTAATTTTATTAGAAAAATAAAATTTTTAATTATAGATAAAAATATTTATTTAAAGAAAAAAAAAGAAAATTTTGAATAAATCCGATATGTAAATGTTACTCCCTCCGTCCCAGATACCATGTCTACGTTGCCGTTTATGTCCGCCCCACATACCATGTCAATTTTCTTTTTTGGAAAATAATTACACACTTTAATCTCATTTTAAATTTTTTATTCTTTTTTAATTTTAATTAAACTAATTAGTTATCTTAATCTTAATTTATAATTATTTATATTATAGGATAATCTACAGTCTAGAAGTCACGATATCTGGGACGGAGGGAGTATAAGTTTGTCCTTTCAATTTTATTTTCTTAAAATCATTTTAATATATATTTTATCATTTAAAAAAAATAGTATTCAATATAAAATATTATTTTTTTATATTACTAATACAATTTTATACATTTCACATAAAAAAAATAAAATCAAAACGTCTAAACAAACAAACCCTATAAATTTAATTTAATTAATTTTTATTTATTAAAAATATTTAAAATCAATCAATTTATTAGAAATAGAATGTGACAATTATGATTTTATTATTACTATTTTTCTTTGCCCCACACATACCTACTCTATTATAATAACGGAAGATTTACATGACTTTGGCCAATTATGACTCTATTTTTTTATTTTTTATTTATTAATTTTTAATTCATTATACATACATACGCATTAATGAGTGGGGGCTCACTCAAATAAATCAAATAAATGAGTTTTATCAAAAAAAAAAAAGAAGAAGAGTTTTATAACTAATAGTAATATATTTAATATAATATATTAGATAAAATATAATTATAGATATTACATATACCTCATCTTACTTCAAATTATTTTATATGAGTAAATAAAGTAAAATTTTATTATACAATTTATTATTTTTTAAAAAAATGATATAAGTTATTGATTATGTTTGTATTAATCTATTTACAAAATCAAATCAAATATAAGGTTCAGTAGACTTCTCGCGATGTCGCAGGCATCTGCCCGCGTCGTCGCAATCCGAACACTTCACCGGACCATTCAATCGGTAGGAGCGACGGGCGGCCGTGTACAAATTATTTTTTTATTAAATATATTAAATCAATTTGTTGTTTCTACATCATCAACACATAATTTATTTTGTAAAAATCTATGTTGAATATTTTCCACATTTAAAAAAATGCGGTAACTCTCTTAATTTACAAAAATGAAAATTTATTTACTTAATACTAATTTTTGTGAAATATATATAAAAGTAAGAATGAATAATAAAATAATAACAATTAATACTTGCACATTGCACGTTGTACCTACTCTTATAAAGGCACATGCTTGCACGTCGCACCAACTTATAAATTTAAAATTTAAATAATAATATTTTTAAAATAAAATAATTATAAATATGATATAAATATATATTAATTTAATATTTTAAATATAAAATTTATTTTTAATATAATATATATAAATTTGCTGTAATATATTTTTAAGAAAATAGTAAAAATCTTTGAAATCCTTGAAATAAAACACCCTATCAAGATTTTGTTTTCATAAATGATCTTGGAGTTAGTTTTACAAAATTTCAAATAATAATAAAAAAAAATTAATATTTAATGTGATGTAAAATATTAAAAACATATTTATATAAGCAAATTTATTTATTTATTTATTTATTTTAATGTGGCAGCAAATATTAAAAACATATTTATAAAAAATAATAATATAATTTTATCTATCGTATGTTCTTACCTTGAGGTTCGGGACAAACAACGGGCAAAAATCGATGCTCGAACCAATTCAATTGATTGTCAAGAGATGCAGATGGAAATGGAATTTCCACACCATATGTATCGAAAAAATCTTTATCCAATGCCGTAGCTCCGGCCACCGCAAAATTTACTCCGTGCCGGAAATCATCGTTAGCGCAGCCGGAGGCATTGCCGTCGGCGCAGCTTCCCACAAACGGCCTTATAAATGGAAGCCCAAATTTTTGAGCTACAATTAAAAAAAAAAAAAAATTATTAGAAAGTCAGATCAAATTATTATTTAAACATATATTATATACTCTCCTTAGTACACAAACCAATATCTTATTTTTATATTTGAAACGTAGTAATTTTTTTTAAAACTTAAATTTTATTTTTTTTACTCTTTATTTATTTACTATTTTTAATCTTTACTTTATTATAAATAGTGAATTTGTCAATTCATAAAAAAAATAATTATTTAAAAATTATACAAATATATTTTAAAATAATAGAAGTTGAACGATGAGAGGATAAACTTATTACTTATTCTGTTCATCTTAATTCAAAATACATTTTTTTTTATCATTCATCCTAATTCAAAATACATTTTTTTTTATCATTTTCGTTTGTCTCGTTTCAAAGTATTTCTTTTTAATTTTAGAAAAAGTAATTTTACACTAATACCAAAATACCTTTTAACTTTTACTTAAATTACAAAAATACCATTACACACGTAAAATTACTTTAAACAAAAAAACTAAAAACAAAAATATCAAAATATCTTACACACTTTTATTAATTAATAAAATACTATTATTCTTTAATTTACTATAAAACTTCAAATCACCATTTCAAAAGGAACGAAGAGAGTACTGTTTAACCTCAAGATACCTATGCTATATATAATGTATGTATATATATTTACCAATGAAGTCGATGGCGAGGCGGCCATTGCTCCACCGGCCGGTGGGGCGATGAAAGAAGGTTTCGCCATACGGGAGGCGTAAAAAATTCCCGAGGTCGGAGGCTGCGATCGATGGGAAGAGTCGGGCGAGGTTTCCGGTGTCGGTCAATGAATCGCCGAAACTAATTATGGATTTGAATTCTCTCAAAGATGCATGTGTATTTGATGGTAATAATATGATTGTTGCCAAGAAAATAGCAAACAAGTGTGGAGAAAGAATTGGTTTCTTTGGAGAAGAAGAAGAAGAAGCAGCCATGGAAGGTGAATGAAGGTCAAATGTATGTGTGTGTGGGGGGGGGGGGGGGGGGGGGGGGGGGGGTTTGTGTCGACAAGATATGATTTTTAATGGAAACAAAGCTTTGTTGTAGTGTTAAATTTTAAATTCAATTCAAAATCGATTGGGTATAATAAATTTGTGTTTAGACTTATTGGATCAGACTGGCCATTACGGGTGTCTTTGTTTGGGGTTTGGATTTTGAGTCGAGATTTAAATAATAAAAATTTTGAATTTGAATAGTTGTATGATGTGATATAAATAGGTGTCGATGTGATGTTTTGAATGTAAAATTGATTTTTGATATAATATAAAAAATAAAAAATAAGTATTTGATTTAATATTTTTGGGGAAAAAAATAGGATGAATATTGGATTTAAAATCCAATCTCCCAAACCACGCTTAAGTGGACCCGGTATATATATTTTTCCTTTTTTTTATGAAATGGCTAATTGTCTTGATATATGTGACATGAGATGAGATGAGATGCTTGTAGAAGTTTTCGTGACGGAAATATTTAATAAGTTTATATTTATTTTTTTTTAAATTATTTTTATAATTATATTATAAGATATTAATAAAATTATTTTTATTATTTTTTTATTTGTATTACATTTTAGTGAGTAAAAAGTACGAGTAAAAGATTTTTTTGTCATTTTGAATGTATTAGTGTAAAAAGTAGTGACAATTGTATAATAATAATAAAAAAGTAAGAGTAGTTTTATAGCGATTTATATGATTATTTATGAAAATAAAACTATTGTTTTGGGACATACAAAAATGTATAGGACTATTGTATTGGGACGATGAAAGTATTAAAAAATCAATACACAAAAAGCAAATGTTAACCTTCAAAGTGGACGATCAAATATCAACACAAAAACCAAATGTAAACTTTCAAAGTGGATGAAAGAAGTATTAAAACAGGCAAATATGTAACATAGTTGACACTTTTTTATTATAGACACACGGTATTTAAAAACTATGTTTAATTAGTTAATAATAATGAATTATAATATTATTTTATTATTATTTTTATATAATTAATAATATTGATAGTTTTAAAATAAATTTAATATATTATTAAAAATTAATTTATATATTTAAATATTTTAAAAATTATATTACAATAAAAATATATGTAATATAGACATTATTATGTAGTGAACAAATTTTATGTAATACAAATAAATAAAAAAAAAATTTATTTATTTATAATTAACATAAATTATTGTTGTTCAAATTTAATTTTTATTTTTTTAATTATCATCTAAATTTATGTTTATTTACCTTTTTAGTAAAACAATACTATTTTTATTTTTTTGTTACCATAAATTTTTTTTCTTATTTTTAGCTATTTTTTTAAAACTCATGCCCAGACGATAGGGAAGTAATCTTTTAAAAGGGGTGGAGTTTTAAATATAAAAATATTCATCTTTTTTTTACAAGATATAGAAATAAAAGATTTTAAGTGGATCTTACCTAATGTATAATGTTATATGTTATCTAATTAATTAAATTAATTTATATTTGTTAATTATATTTTTATTTATAACAAATTTTATTTAAAATAAAAATATATAAATTGTTCCGAACAGACAAATGACTGAGATAACATATTATAGTATATATATTTTTTAAAAAAATGAGAATAATAAAATATTTTTTACATAAATATTAATATGATACTAGTAATATTTTTGAATTATAAAAAATTTGAAAATTTATTTTTAAAAATAAATACAAACCATATATAAAATTTGATCACATTAGTATTATAATAATATAGATATTAGTATTTTATAATTATAAAGATTGCGAAAAAATATTTTTAAAAATAAATATAAATCATACATATGCTTAACGGACTTAATCAAAATTTAAAAGATCTAATCATTAATAATTCATTAGTATCATAATAATAAAAATATTAATATTTTTTTAATTCTAAAGATTTTGAAAAATTACCAAAAATAAATACAAACTATAACAGTCATAAAATCAAAATTTAGAAGATTTTATGATTTCATTAGTATTATAATAATATAATTATTAATATTTATTAATTATAAAGATTTTGAAAAATTACTTCTAAAAATAAATACTAACCATAAGGTCCATAACGGTCAGTTTTAAGATCTTATAAATGGTTTCGTTAGTTACTAATAACCGATTAAACTCTCCGATGAATACAGACACGAGAGGGTGGAGAGAAGAGAGAAGAGAGAGTCGACGAGAGAGAAGAGGGAAGGGCTCTGCTTCGTCTACCCTGTCGGCCGCCATAAGAATTAAGAAGTATGGTATGTTCCTAATCATCTTGAATTTTCGTTTTCATTTTCGTTTTTGTTTTCGAGTTCCATTTTCCGTTCAATTTTGTAACTTCTTTCATCCGATTGATCATTTTACCCCCTATAGGTCCAATTTTACAACTCTCTTTCTTTCAATGGCACAAGAAATGGAGAGAAAAGGGAAGAGACCTCTGTTCGGGACTCTGTTCCGCTATGCCCGCGGTCTCGCTGTGAGTGTATTCCTATTTCCTGGTGCAATTGGTTTTCTGTTCATTGTCGATTCTATTGGTCTGATTTTTAAATTTCTTTTCGGATTGAACTGATTACATTTGGGGCTCATGAAATTTATAAAGTTACTGAATAACTTTATTGTATTGTTGCAGTGTCATGTTTGGACCAGACAGACATCTGCGGTTACAGCACCAAAAAGGTCCATGCTATTCCGACCTGGCTACAATGAGACAAACCACTTGATCAAGAAGGACGTTCCATGTGAGACAGACCAACTCACTCAAGTGTACAAGTTTATCCTAAGTCGTGACGCTACCTATAGCATCCTAACCGAAAATGAGGAGAAGCAGTCTGGCATCTTGTACTCTGACTGGGATATATTGCCTCCAAAGAAGATCAAGGATGCCATGGCCAAGAAGGTATGCTTTCTGGATGCCAACTGTAGCTAGAAGGTTGGGATGATAAGGAGTACATTCCTGATCCTGTGGACAAGAAACCATAGGTAAATAAATTGTTATTGTATTTTATGGCATTCGGCCTTATTAGGAGTTGGTTGGTGTTGCATCTGTTGACATATTTATGATGGACATCCCAAGGAGATTACAGATCCTGAAGCCAAAAAGGTAACAGAACCTCATTTGCAGGTGTTGATTCTCATAATCATAGGCGTGGCTAATGAACCAATGCTCTGCATGTAACTTTTTCTTGCAGCCTGATGACTGGGATGATGAGGAAGTTGATGAATGGACTGCTCCAACCATTCCCAACCCCGAGTACAAGGGAACCATGGAGCCAAAGGTAATGGAATTTTGATTTCATTTTAATTGGCTTGATTTTATTACATGGTCTGTGCTTGACTTTTGTTTCCACTACAGAAAAATCAAGAAACCCAACTCTAAGGGCAAGTGGAAGGCACCACTGATTGATAACCCAGGTTTTTTTTCTTTGGTCTTACTCTTCTATGTTAAAGCCTTGTGAGTGCTCTAGTTTTGAAATTGCTTAATCTTGTTCTTGATGCTTGCAGACTTCAAAGATGATCCTGACCTCTATGTTTATCCACGTTTGAAGTATGTAGGCATTGAGTTGTGGCTGGTAAAGGATTTTGTTTTTCTTTATAATCTTGGGTTTATGACATTCTGTGTAGATGTCAACTTTGATCTCTGGGCAATTGAGTTTTTACTGCAGGTGAAACGAACCTTGTTCGACAATATCTAGGTTGCTGATGACCCTGATTATGCTAAGAAGCTTGCCGATTGCCGAAGAAACAAGGGGCAAGCACAAGGATGTATGTGATGTTCGTTTCAAGAACTCTTAACCACGTTATTTCCTCCCAACTTTTCTCAAAAGTGCAAAACTCCAATTCACTCAATTGCTACCTGAATTTTTTAAATTGCAGGCTAAGAAGGCAGCTTTTGAGGAGGCTGAAAAGAAAACGGAAGAAGAGGTATAACTAAAATTCATGCTTTTCTCGGTGTGATCCAATTTTGTGGTTCAATTCTAAATCCGAATTTCCCCTTCTTTAGGAATCAATGGATGAGCCAGCAGATTCTGACATAATGGTTCTTGTTTTCTTTTTTGACAGACTATCATTGTGGATACTATTACGTACCTACATTTATTTCCTCATTTCCATTATAAGCGTTCATGTAATTTGAATCTCCTAGCTGTTGTATTATCTTAGGTTGGATGTGCATCATATATGGCCTTATGCTCTGAGCAGATGTTTCACATGGTTCAATATTTTTCCAGAGGGCTGTTAACCATGAAGAGATCCCGGCATACCAACCCAAAGTTGCTTGAAGCTGCAGCTGATGGCATAGCAAAGTTTCTGAAACTCTGTAATTTGTAACTTATCTTCTCAGCATTTCTTTTTATTTATTTTAACATTAATATACTCCATTATAGAGGGCCTTATGCTCTGAGCAGATGCTTCACATGGTTCAAAGTTTTCCCCCAGGGCTGTTAACTATGATGTGAGATCCCGGCCCAACCCGAAGGTGCTTGAAGCTGCAACTGATGGCATAGCAAAATTTCTGAAAGTCTCTGTAACCTACTGTTATCTTCTCAGCATTGCTTTTTGTTTATTTATTTTAACATTAATCTACTTCATTGGTCGGAGTGACCACAACCTGAAATATCTTGGTATCGATGCACTTACTCGGCTGATAAAGATAAGCCCTGAAGTTGTTGAACAGCACCAACCAGCTGCTATTGATTGACTAGAGATGATGAATATGGTACTTTGATTTATGGTATAAAATTTGAACCGGTTATTTTATTATTTTATATTCTAGTTTCTGCCCAGGACTAGATGACACATTTTCAATTTTATGTTAAATGGTCTCACACTGTGTTTTCTTTACCTGTTTTATGCCATAGGTGATCTGCCAGGTCTTTAGGGAATATGGAACTGCAGATGGGAAATATTCTTCCTCACATATTACTGGGAAGTTGTTTGACGTGGTAGAGGCACATCCGGAGGACAACACAATGAAAGTTGGTATCTAGTTTCCTAATGCAGATGATTTTTATGGTGCAATTACATTTTGCATGAATAAATTTATGTATTTTCGTTGCAAACTTTTGTTTATTAAAATTTGGAAGTTTTTGTTCTTTGTGCGCTGAGAAGGTGTTTTAAATTTTGTTCAGCTATTTTGCAATCAATTTATTTCTTCCAATACTATTCAATGCAAATTGTCTGAATGGATTGGCAAAGTTTACAAGAATTGCTATGTACTTTTCTTTTATATTTATTTACTTTTTGTTATGATCAAATCGATGCTTCTTATTACCATAGATTTTTCATTTGATTGAGATCAAATTGATGCTCCCTCTCTCTATCTTGGTTGGATTAGAAAACATGGGGACACATCGGATTTAGAATCCAAATCCGATGAGAATTGGTACGTAATTTTCTTGCATTTTGTTGGGATTGATGCTCCATAGTAATAATTCTTTCATTTTGTTGTGATCAAATTGGTGCTCTATAGTGCCAAAACCTTTTCATTTAATTGAGATCAAATTGATGCATTATATCTTTATTTGAGGTTGAGTAAAAAACACCGGGACACAACACGTGAGGTCGGGGGAGGCAAGACAAAAGCCAAACTTGATAAGAATTGGTAAGTAATTTTCTTTTGTTTTATTGGGATTGATGCTCATATTATAATTCTTTCATTTTATTGGGATCAAATTGATGTGTTTTTTCTTTGAGGTTGAATCAAAGACCAATGCATGGGGTTAGAAAGCCAAGACTTAGAGGCCAAATCTGACATGAATTGGTACTTAAATTTTCTTTCATTTTATTGGGTTTAAATTGATGTTCCATAGTACTGCAACTCTTTCATTTTGTTGGTGATCAAGTTTATGTGTTTTATATCCATTTGAGGTTGAATCAAGAACATTTGGACAAGTACAACGCGTGGGATTAGAGCGGCAAGATTTAGAGGCACAATTTGACAACAAGTGGTATGTAATTTTATTTCAATTTGTTTGTGTACTGTAACTCTTAATGTTGTCTTTTTATACAGTACAATGCTGCAATGTTTGATTTGGACCATCTCAGCAATATTTCTAATCCTCCAATCCATGCTACTGCAGATAAGTCTATTTATGTTTTTCTCTTTGATTCATATTCTTATTTTGTGATCTTTTTTATACATGTGCTTTTCTTTTGTGTCGAGAGCAGGTGTACCTGAAAGTTTAGACAATGTCTTGGGGATAGACGACCCTGAAAGACTGTGTATCTATATGGACATTGCGCTTCTAATTTGTTGAGGTATGTGTATTTAAAGCATGCACATTTTATATAGTTGTGTGTTTATTATTGGGGTATGCTTGAACTGTGTGCTTGTTTTTTTATTGAGGGTAGGCATTCAATTCAAGGAAGTTCAAATATTTTGTTTTGATTACATTTTATTATTTGTTCGTGGGAGGCATGCCATTACCCATCCATATATATATATATATATATATATATATATATGCTTTGATTGTATGCTTATTATTTATCGGGTACAAGTATGCTTGAACATGTGTACGTTCGTTGCAAAAATTTTACTATTCATCAAAATTTTTCCCCCCAAAAAATATCAAATCAAACACCTATTTTTTATTTTTTATATTATACTAAAAATTAATTTTTCATTCAAAATATCACATTAACACCAATTTATATAACATCATACTACTATTACAATTCAAAATTTTTAATATTCAAATCTCAACTCAAAATCCAAACCTCCGAACAAACACACCCTTGCTTGTGTGCTTATTCTCTATTGGGGTTGGCTTCCTTAAAAGCATGCATATATGCTTTTATTGGAGATATGCGTGCCTAGAAACTTACATGTTAGTTTTGGCAGGATGTGTACAATTTTTCGGGAGTAGGCATCCTGTAATCCCGTAAATGTTTTGATTGTGTATTTATTATATGTTCGGACAAGTGTGCTTGAAAGCATGTTGTTTGCTTTATGTGTTGATTATCCTTTTGGGGGTGGATTCCATGTTTGAAAGTTTGTGTATTGATTATGATTGTGTGCTTATTTCTATTAGGGCAAGTGTGCTGAGATTCCATATATTTTTTTGATTGAGAGTTTATTACCTGTTGGTGGCCAGCGTGCCCCAAATGTTTATACATGTTTGAATTGCTTGCCTATATATTAGGACATGCCCAAGATTTTGGACATTTGTTTGACTATGCTATGGGCAAGTCATTTTTTCATATCCTACGTATCTTATTGAACCATTTACTTATAATCTGGTGGGGTGAGCATTCTATTTGGACTATGTTGTTATTGTTTTTTAGTGAGAGATGTGTGTTTGGAAGCTTGTATGTGTGTCTTTTGATTATGGGCTTATTTCCTGAAGTTTCAATGTATGTTTTCATTGTCTGCTTATTATATATAGATAGCATTTGTGCCCGAATCCTATATCTAATTTATTGCGTGCATTCTATTGATATCATGTGTCCTAGAAGCCTGTAAATAACTTATTGCGTGTATTCAATTGATAGAATGCATACATGTGTGTTTTCATTGCATGCTTATTATCTATTGATAGCATGTGTGCCTCAAGCCTATAAATAATTAAGGATAATTAGAGATGGACGATATATTGACAAGATTATATACTACATCGAGAATTTCGGTACTTATAAATTTATTGATATTGTGCCAAAATTTTAGTATAAAAAATGCAGTATATTGAATTTTTTTTTTATATTTTTCTTATATAAAAATATCAAAGCATACTGTATATACCATACTAAAAATTTTGGTATCTTTAGATCCATGAAAATATTATATAGAAAATTTTGATCTCTCTTAAAGCATGTCCATACCGTATAGAAAGTTTAGCAAGCATATCAAACTAAAGAATTTGATATGATGAGAATTTTGTTGAAATTTGTAGTTCTTAGTATAATTGTTTGATTGTGGGCTTATTTTTATATTGGGGGTATGCATATTTGATAACTTTCGTATTTATTTGAATTGTTTGTATTTTGTGTTTTATATATATGTTTAATTGTTGAAATTGTTTAGGGTACATACGGTAAAAGTAAAAGTTGCATAGTTTGAAGTGTTTGTGTGTTTATACATATATACATATATTTGTGACTATCTTAATTGTGTGTTTATTATTTGGAGTGTCCAAGTACATAACAAGATTGATTGTGTGCTTATTGTATGTTTTGAGGGGTACTCAAAATATCGTACAGCTTTTATAATTATATATATTTTATCTGTTGGGGTAGATTTATCCGAAGTTAGTGTTATTGTTTTAATCATGTGACATGCTAAAAGTGAAAGTTTGTATTTTTGTTCGGACTATGTGGTTTTTGTTGAGGGTATATATGCCCTAAAGGTTGCATATTTATTTAGAATGTGTGTCTTTTTATATTTGTGCGCTTGTTGCTTATTTATTTTAATTGTGTGTTTATCATTTGAAGTGATTGAAAACATGTAACAAGATTTGTTGTGTGTTTATTATATGTTTTGAGTATGTCTTACTACTCGAGGTAGAAGTACCCGAAATTTATATTTTTGTGTATGATATCGTTTGTGGTAGACACAGTAAAAATAAAAATTTGTATGTTTGTTTGGACTATGTAGTTTTTTGTTGAGGGCCTGTGTGCTTTAAAGGTTGCATATTTGTTTGGAATGTTAGGTAAATTTACTAAGTGTTAGAGTCATAGTGATTCTCCTATTCAACTATTTTGACTATCTCATCTCCGAACACCACATAATGTTTTCGGTTTATATATATATATATATATTTTGTGGTTGATGTTGTGTATTTATTATTTGGAGTGATCAAAGCTTCAAACAAGATTGGTTGTGTGTTTGTATTTTTTAAGCTCCCGTGTACTTAAAATAGTATATATCTTTTATGGTAGTACATATTTTATCTTCTTAGTGTAGAAGTACCCAAAGTTTGTATTTTTATTTTAGTTACATGTTTTGATATCATTTGGAGTAGCTACGATAAAAGTAAAAGTATGTATTATTATTTGGACTATCTAGTTACTTTTGTTGAGGGCTTAGTGTCCCAAATGGTTGCATATTTGTTTGGATTGTGTTTTTTTTTTTTTTTTTAATTATTTGTGGTGGTTGTATATTTATTTTAATCTTGTGTATTATTTTGGAGTGCCCAAAAATATGTAACAATATTCCTTTCAACATTGTATATTTTGAAGGGTATATCTTTTATGATTGTTCATATTTTCTCTATTGTGGGTAGACATAATTAAGGTTTATAGTTTTGTTTTAATTAAGTGTGTAATATTATTTGGAGTAGACACTCTAAAAGTATAAGTTTGTATATTTGTTCGGACTATATGGTTTGCTTTACGCTAGGGTTGTACGTGCCCTTAGGGTTCAATTTTTTTTTTTTTGAAATTGTGTGTGTTATTGGGTATTTATTTTAATTGTATGTTTTGAGGGCAATAATCTTTTATAATTATGCATGTCTTATTTAGTGGGGGATTGTATTTTTGTTTTAGTTTGAAATATACACAATATTAAAATTTTTATATCTATACAATACACTCGTTACAAATATATTCTGCCAAGGACAATTCCAATCAACGTTCCAAAGCCATATCCCATTAGAACTCCTTGCCAAGTTACTCCATCAAATATACTCTTATTGTCGCCTTCATCCTTCTTCGTCGACGTCGTCGTCGCCGGTCGCTCGTTTTCATCTTCGCATTTCTTCGTCAATGGAGGTCCGCATAGCAAAGGATTTCCAATGTATGAACTATTCTCGAACGTAAGAAACTGGCCTCTCTCCTGAAGTATGTGTCCCGAAAGATTATTGTACGAAACATTAAACGTCGACAAAAACATTAAGTTCACAAGCCTCCTCGGAATTCCACCATCTAAGTGGTTCGACGACAAGTCCAAAACTTCCAATCTATTCAAAGATCCCAAAACTTCGGGAATATGGCCCGTGAGATCGTTGTGCGACAAATTTAAGTGTTGAAGCGCCGTAAAATTCCCAATAACTTTTTCAATATCTCCATTGAACTTGTTGTTCGACATATCAATCATAGTAAACGTCGTCCCAATCTTCACCAATCGCCTATTCACGCCTTTCCAAACTACGTCGAGAGGAATAAGATTGTCGCCAAACGAATGAACAAAGAAATAGCCGCTTCCATTCACATTCAATCGACCATCAAAGTTCTTAACATAAGAAATCGGGAGCCTACCAATAAAATCATTGTCAGAAATATCGAATATATGCAAATTTGGAAACGGAACTTCCCTCTTCGACTCATTTATCGTGCCATTAAACTTGTTAGACCTCAAAGAAAGTATCCGAAGCTCCGAGAGATCTTCCAACCAAACGGGAAAGGGCCCGTGTATTTTGTTATTTCCAACATCGAGAAGTTGCAACTTCTTGCACAATGCCAACGATTCGGGCAATGTTCCTTCAAATCGATTTTCACTAAATTTAAGAGACGCTATCGAGGTTCCTTCGACAAATGTTGTCGGAATTGGACCATGGAAGAGATTCAAAGAGACATCCAATGCAAGAAGGGATTCACTAAAGTTGCCTAAACAACTTGGAAGTGTGCCTTCGAATGTATTATTCGATAAATCGAGAAACTCAAGAGCCTTCAAATTGCATATAGACGACGGAATCTCTCCCGTTAGAAAATTCCCGCCAACTCCCAAGAAATAGAGCTTCGACATATTCCAAATAACATTAGGTATTTTGCCTGAAATAATGACATTTTAATATAAAAATAAAATAAGTAAAAAGGAGTATGATTTAAAGAATAAGAACTTGATTGAAAGTGAATAAATTATTTTATTATGAGTAAAATATTATAATTTTTTAGCAGATAACAAAAAAAAATGACATAATTTTGGCAGGAAAACTATTTCATGTAAATAATATTTAAAAAAAAAAAAAAGAAAACGAACAATTTGTACCTGTAAAATTGTTCTTGGCTAGATGAACCAAAGTAAGGCTGGTCAAATTACCAAATTCCTCCGGTAAAACTCCGTCGAGGTTATTCCGATCTAATATCAACGTTTTAAGGGATGACATATTGAATACGCTGAGCGGTATGGTTCCCGTCAACATGTTCTCATTAAAGGCTAACAATTGAAGTTTGCGAAAACTTCCCGATGGAATTGGACCTATTATACAAAATAGTTGTGTGATGGTCTTTCTTGTAAATTCGACATTTTGAACATAATATAATTAAAATTGTACCTGTGAACATGTTGTCGCTAAGAGTAATGGTATCGAGCATATCTAAGTTACCAAGTTCTTCTGGTATGGCTCCGGTAAAATAATTACCCGACAATTCTAAGGTTTGGAGTTGAAAACACGAGGAAATGTTCGACGGAATACGCCCGTGTAGCTTATTACTATATAAAGAAAGTTGATTGAGCAGTGGAAGTCGATGACATATATTATCAGGAAGAGTACCCGATATGTTATTTTGGTAAATCGATATAATAGTTAATGTCGAGATATTGAAGATGCTCCATGGTAAAGGACCTGCAAATATGTTGGTAACAAATCAAGAAAAATATACAATGATAAATTTTTATTTTTATTTGCATAAGTAACTATTTTAATAAAAATGTACATATATATCTGTGTGGAACATAAAAAAAAAAAACTTTTACGAAGCTTAACTGATATTTGGCCTAAATTTTGAGATTTGATTGTAATGCCCATAGACTATACATATCGATTGAAATAAATTAAATATGAATGACTATATATCACCTAAAAAATTCAACTATTAGGATATACATTCTTCATTTATCTATAAAGGGAAGTTATCAAACACACTCTCTCACGTGCAAGAGAATAAACGGGAGACAATGGAACTCAAACTCGATTGTTTTATCCTCCTTCTGTCATCCAAATTTAATTTATGTCCACTTCTTCTTTTTTTTTTTTGGGTCGTAAAAAGAAATTCTTGTTTCTTTTTTAATAAAAAAATACCATTTTTTTTACTTTTATTTTTACTATAAAAAAAAATATATATATATTCTATTTTTACATTAATTTTTTGAAAAACTAGTATCAGGTCCAATGGGCATAAGTTTCGATAATGAAGAGGGTATAATTTATCTAATTACTCTTAAAATTAGGTAAGACTTCGACATACATACCTGATAATTTGTTGTCGATAAGATAAAACCATTGAAGCGACTTTATACTTCCAATTCCTTCGGGTATGTTCCCCGTAAACCGGTTACTCCATAACGACAATATTTCGAGTTCAGAACACGCCGAAATATTTGATGGTATATGCCCATGTAACTTGTTCATCGGCAGATAAAGCTTTTTGAGCCTCGGAAGTCCAAGACATATGTTGTCCGGAAGAGAACCCGATAAGCTATTATTCGACAACCTTAACCATTCCAAGCTCGAGATATTGAAGACACTCAATGGTATAGAACCCGAAAGCATATTGTCTTTTAAGTTCAAGATCTTCAAATTTTGAAGACTTCCAATACTTTCCGGGATTATCCCTTCAAGAGAATTACCTTCCAAATTTAAAACCTCCAAATTCGACATGTTCATTATCGAAGAAGGGATGGTTCCGGAAAAACCATTGTTTTGCATATCCAATACTTTGAGATTATACAAATTATCAATCGACTTTGGAATTTCACCTTGAAATGGTACAAAGGACACATTCAAGGTAGAAAGCTTCGAATTATTATTCGAAAGTGAATCAAGAAATGAATTTATATTGATGAAATTATTGTTACTTAGAGACAAGTACTCGAGCCGAGTGAATGAAGAAAACCAAGTAGGAACTTCCCCGACAAAGTTGTTGTAACCTAGCTCGACGTATTCCAATTTTCTTAACTCTGCCAAATCATTTGGCAGAGTCCCACTGAAGTTGTTGTTGTTCATGTCGATTGAAGAAAGGAACGATAGATTTCCAAACTCGGGAGGAATGCTTCCGGAAAGACTCATGTAAGAAATATTCAATCCGATCACTCGATGATTTCGCTCCCCACAAATGATTCCGATCCAATTGCACGTCGAAGCGCGAATTGTCCAATTTTTCAAGACTTTGTTAGGGTCCGAAGTGACGCGCGCTTTTAAGGCTAGAAGGGCGGATTGATCGGTAGTTATGTCGGTTTTCGGGCTAGCTAGAGTATGTAATGAATAGTGTAAAACTAAGAGTGTAGTAAAATAAATGAGGTGGGAATTCATGGGATTCTTCGAACTTGTCATTTCATGAAATTTTGATGAGTATGAGATCGATAGGGATGAGTGTTTTTTGAAGCTCAATGACTCATTATTGAAGATATTTTATAGTTCTTGAAACACACAAAAAAAAATAAAATAAAATTGTAACGACTATTTCAACTCTAGCCATAAATACAAAATAACTACAATATATTGTATATTATATATATGTATATTTTTGTTAGCTAGGAGATTAACTTCGAGTGGGGTTTTGGTGGTTGGCTTTCATTTAGGGTGTGTTTATTTGGAATATTGGATTGGATTTACACTGTTCATCCAATTTTTCTTTTTCTCCAAAAATATCAAATTAAACATTTATTTTTCATTTTTTATATTATACTAAAAATCAAATTTACATTCAAAATATCACATCAACACCTATTTATATCACATCATACAACTATTCAAATTCAAAATTTTTACTATTCAAATCTCAATTCAAAATAAAAAACCCAAGTATATGAAAAATGTGTTGTTGAAATATATGAAAAAAAAATCACTTAATTAATTATATGTGAAATGTGATAAGTGTGCTTATCTAATGTTTATACAAGTATTTTTATTCGCTTCCATAATTATAATTTTAGCGCAATATTTTAATTTTAGGATTATAGTACAATAAGCAAATTACTCCATATCATGTACCATGTCCAAATTGTTGTTTCTGTCCGTTTCACATTCCAAGTTTCTTTCATTTTTTTGAAAATGATTACGCACTTTAATTTCATTTTAAACTTTTTAATTTATTTTTTTAATTTTAATTAAGTTAATTAATTATCTTAATCTTAATTTATAATTATTTTTACTAATACATTCTTAATTATCTACTAATTACACATCGATGGATGAAATATATAATACAATATATAATTCATAGCAAATGTTAATATAATATATAATATAGTATATTATATAATTGTATGTAACATAATATATATTTATTTCAACACAAAATATAATCAAAGCAACACATATTTTTATATAATACAATATATATTTTTTTTTTTTTACAAATATCACATTAAAATTTTATTTAAACAAATATTTTATTTCAAATCATTTGAAACATCAATCAAACATGCAGTAAGATATTAAGATATGTGATTAGATTTGAATAGAAGTTTGATAATAATAAAAATTTAAATCGAATATATATATATATATATATATTTACGAGAACATATCACGATTGGTTCGTCTAGTGTGATTTTTTTTGTCGGGTCTAATTTGCAGGATATTAGATTTAATCGGAGGTTTACTCAGTGCGCACACGACTGCGAATTCCCACTACATAAATAAATATATATATATATATATATATAGAAATGTGGAAATAGTCAATAATTTATTGCTCATTTATGATTTAGGAGTCAGTTATATATCTATTTACAATAAATGATTTAGGGACAAGACAGGCCTTCTCGTATTTAATTGAGTTGTCAAGGTCATCTGTCGAGAAAGCTTTGTAATGTCATCATACTGTAGTATTTATAATTTTATATTCGAACAAAAAATTGTTAATTATATATATATATATAAGCATTAATTTGTTCGTGTGTTTTTATATAAGTGTTTTAAATTTTGTAAGTTGCAATGGCTAGTAGTCTAATTTTTATGTGGTTTGTTGAAGTTAGAGGCATAGTTTGCAGGTGTTAAGTCCGGCCGAAAATTTACTCAGTGCGTATTTTTGAATAACGGCTGCAAGTTCTTACGTCATAAATATATACTCCCTCCGTCCAGCTAGAAAGTATACACGTTTCTATTTTGGGACGTCCAATTACAAAGTAACCATTTCATTAAATAACTCATTTTTTTCACAAATACCCCTCCTTTACATCACATCATTACTTTTATACCAAAAAAATAAGGGCAAAAATGTCATTTCACTACTTTTATCTACCTATTATAATTAAAATACTATTATTCTTAATCTCCGCGCCAAAAGTAAATGTATCCGCGCCAAAAATAAATGTATACTTATTTAGTGGACGGATGGAGTATTATATATTAATATAGAAGGTAAAACACATTTTTACCTTCTTATGGTCACAAATTGTATTTTTATGTCACATATTTACCTTCTTATGGTCACACATTTACCTTATATATCAAAGTTAAAGTTGCTTGGCCCAATCAATAGACTAAACAAGTTACCTTGTTCTTTTATAATTTATAACTGAAATTAATACAATTTATTTCATATAATTTTTAATAAAAATATATTAATTTTTTTATAAAATATTATATTTCTTCCTTCCTAATTCACTATATTCCTTTTACTATTTTTGTAGGTCTTTTAAATTTAAGAAAAAAATAATCATACTCTAATATCAAAATATTCATAATTTTTACTTAAATTACAAATATATTATTACAAATACAATTACTTTAAACAAAAAATCAAATGACAAGAATGTTAAAATCTTTACACATTTCCACTGCCTAATAAAATTATTTTAAAATCTGCTACAAAATCTAAAAAAACTTATTTAAAAAAACAGAGGGAGTATAAAAATACTATTTAAACAAAATTTTAAATCAACCATCATTTCAAATTAGTTTGAAATTACAACCAAACAAATCCTCAATTGTTGAAAAAAATAATGTAAAATAAGAAATCTCAAAAAAAATAAAAATTAGGGTGTGTTTGTTTGGGGTTTGGATTTTGAGTTGGGATTTGAATAGTAAAAATTTTGAATTTGAATAGTTGTATAACGTGATATAAATAGGTGTTGATGTGATGTTTTGAATGTAAAATTGATTTTTAGTATAATATAAAAAATGAAAAATAAGTGTTTGATTTGATTTTTTTGGAGAAAAAAATGAGATGAATAGTAAAAATCTAATCCAATAACCCAAACAAACGCACCCTAAAAGAACTGATCCAAACAAGCGTCTAATCAACCTTCAATAAAAAAATAAAAAAAAAAAAGCTACAAATCAATTAATTGTTATAATTATGGGTGTTTGTTTTATGAAATAATTTGAAGGAATTGGTGTATAGAAAATTGGGGAGATAATATAAAAATAATAAAAATATATAATAATATATTATTTTTTAAAATATATATATAAAAAAAACAAAATGAACACACTACGTTATTTATATATATACTTTTCCAAGTATAACATTCTTCATCATTATTTTTTAATAAAAATATTATATCAGATAATTATGTTTTTTATAAAATATTAAATTAAATATATATATATATTTCCTGTTGTTTTTAAAAAGAATTCAGAAATTACAAAAATGGAGCCTTAAACTTTTTTTTTCTTTTTTATTTATGTAATATAACAATAATAAAGGAACGGTCAACACAATCCACCTCAGTCTCTACTGTGATATAATAGCATAGCAATTAATTTGTTGTAATAAATATTATTGGCCATGTTTCTTTCTTACCAAACAATATCAAATATTTCAACCAACTTACCAATTTTCATTGTTTTATTGTATTTCCATTTTACTTACCTAATTGTACTAAGTAGCTACTATTTTTGCAATTAAGTACTCTATCTGTCCACAAATTAATATTCTATTTTTTTTTATTTGGGACGTTGAATAATTACTATCCTATTTTTATTTTTAAATATAAAATTTATTTTTTTTTACTATTCATTCATTTATTATATTTTAATCTCTACTTTATAATAAAGAATAAATTTATCAATTCATACAAAAAAAAAAGATAAATACTTAAAAAAACGTGCAAATATACTTCAAAATAATAAAAAAATTGACGGAGAGAGTATAAAACTTTGTGTTTGTTTGGGGATTGGATTTTAGATACAATATTAATTCCATTTTTTCTTTCCAAAAATATCAAATCAAACACTTATTTTTTTATTTTTTATATTATACTCAAAATTAATTTTATATTTAAAACATCACATCAATATCTATTTATATCACATCGTACAACTATTCAAATTTAAAAATATTTATTTATTCAAATTCCAATTCAAAATCCAAACCCAAAACAAACACACATGAATTTACTGCTGGACAAAATCCATGGTCCGGTGCACTGAACCGGGTGTATCCCGGCCTTGACTTGACCGCATTTATGACATTCTTGTGTATTTCTCTTTCCTCGTTTTAATTGACAGACAAGGCGATGCTCCCCTGCTCCAACACCCCTGCACCAAACCCCGCACCAATAATTGCCTGACATTTATATGAATATAATTAATAAATAATTAAAAATGAAGTTCATTTACCTACCTTGTGCATGCTATATCGATTAATTATCATTCGATTATGTGTATTTTTAAAACAAAAAAATTAATAAAATAAAAAATTTAAACCAAAAAAAATAAAATTAAATACATAAAGCGAATGATGATTGATCGATACAAGATAGACGCAATACATTAGGGTAGCATAACTGAATCTTTAAAAATATATTAATAAAATTAATTATAATATAATAAAAATATTTATAAATTAAAACTAAAATAATTTATTAGTCTATTTAAAATTTAAAGAATTATACATTATAAAATTTAAAATATAATTAAAATATATAACTTTTTTATTTTTAAAATGACATATTAGAAAAACAAAAATAAAAAATCTCATATTATATATTGAAGGAATATAGCACATTAGTAAAAAAATTAATTTGATGTTATATTTATTTAAGAATTTTGTTTCTTTCTTAAGTTTACTTTTATTTTTATTTTTTTGTGTTCATGTGTATGTCAAATTTATCAATAGTGGCAATTGTAATAAATAAATATTAATCGAAAGATAATAATTAAATTTTAAAATTTTGATTATGTTAAAATTAATAATAAATTAAATTTAGCGAGCGAACAAAGAAAAAATAAATGAATTTGACGAAATTTGACCGATTGAACAAATACATGCATTAATCTTCTTCTTCTTCTTCTTCTTCTTCTTCTTCTTCTTCTTCTTTTTTTTTTTTTTTTTTTTTTTTTTTTTTTTTTTTAAAGATGAAACGTAGATTTTTAATTAAAAATCATGCCGGCATTGTTTACTTATAAATTTTAATTTTGATTTTAATTATTTATAAAAGAAATTTTAAAATTATTATAATTTCTCCGTCCAATATACTCTTTTTTATTATTGTACGTCACAAAATAAAGATATTATTTTTTAATTTAGAATTATAGTACCTATTAACATAATTAATACCCTTACAATTTTCAATATATTACAAAAATATAATTATTTTTATATATTACACGTATTTTTATCATTTTCATTATAAATCAATATAATACTCCTTCTGTCCCATAATAAAGTATCTATTTTTTATTTTAGTCATCCCATAACAAGATATCCATTTCTTTTTTAGTAACTGTACTGTCTACCTAATATTACAAATACCTTACAATTTACAAAATATTACACAAATGCCATTACCTTTATATCATACATACTAATAATGTTATTTTAGTTATTTCTATTTTATTTTTACTATATCTCAATATAATACTAATATTTCTAAAACTACGTGTAAAAAGCAAATGAATATTTAATTCCCGGACAGAAAGAGTATTAATATTTAAAAATCTACTTATAAAAAATAAACGTTACTTTTTTTTTTTCTAGCACATAGTTAATATTAAAAAAATTATAATTTAAATTAAAAATATTATTTTAATTCAAAATTTATTATTTGAAAAAATTAGACTCGCAAACCTACCACAACAACTAAACACACCCTCGTAATCTTGTAACTTTATTTGTTGACTTTCTTTGACTTATGTTTAATTTTTTTTATCAAAATCATCCAAACATCCCCTTACCGAAAAGGAAAAGAAGCACATTGTTACGGTGCACCGCGCCGCACTGGATCCGAGCCTTATAAATGAAACACTCCCTCAGTATATCTCATAGCACAGAGCTGTCTTTATCGTACTTCTCGCGGAAGGTTTTCTAAGGACAAATTTAATATTTATATATTTTTATAAGGGTTTTGTTTGGTTTTCCCGGCTGGCGGCGCCGGAAAACTTGCTCCGGCGGTGCAGATTGTGTAAGGTTAGATTCGCCGTCAATAATGAAGTGTATCTGCGTGTTCTCTTGATTGTCATTTCGTTATCTTAGGGTTACTTACGGCTCGAACACCATTTTCTGATTTTGATTGTCAATCTGATAGTTCGATCATTGCACATAAGCTTTTTCGATGTTCGCTTGGGAGGATGATCGCATTTTATAAGTAAATGAATATTTTGGATTGTTTACAATTTTGTTTTGCGAAAGTGAGGGTTACTGGCCGATACATTATATATGCTATGTTTGTGCATTCTCAGTGGTGCGCTGCTTTGTTTGATTGCTATATCGTTGTCCGAAATGAGCACTTTATTTTACGACGCTTTGTTTATCTTTTTGTCAGAGTTGAATTGAGGCTGCAAGGCCACGTGGAGGCGTTCATTGTTTGGTGAAAAGCTTTTGAACTGAAGCTACTGATCAAATGGTAAAAATATTTATATGATAGCTAATATTTTGATGGATTGATTTGGCTGGATGGTTTTTCCTGTGTTGCTTGTCATGTGGTATATTTCGAATGAATAATTCATAGATGTTAAATTATCCTACAGTTTCAAACATTCTAGGTGATATGGGTTGTAAAAGAGGGTAAAAAATGATATTCTGCAGCTTTTATTTGTTTTATCATTATCAGGCAAGTGTATGTGACAATATATACAAACATGATTCTGTTCTATGTTGCTGAACTTGAAATGGATTGATTATGTTCTTGGAATTGGAATTTATGATTTAAGTTTCAAGTTTTAAGTTTTAACCATTGCATTTCATAATGTTTTGAGGATGTTCTGCCTTTGTTTTCCCATGCTTTCATGTACTTCAGAAACATGCTGATATAATGCAGTCATATGTGGCCATGCACATGGAAGTTGTGCTAAATGCTGTTTTCATTTCATTACTTAAAAGCCACTTTATCTTATTTCAAGTGTTGCAAATTTATTGTCTATCTCAATTATATGAGCAACATGGGGGAAATTTCATATGTGAAGCTTCAAAGAAAGGGTTAAATAAAAGCAAAGTATGTAATCTTCTTACAAGCGACAATTGGGTTCTCTAAGCACCAGGCTTGCAATAACTACCCCTTAGCTTCAAGAATAGCTATTTATGCATGTGATAAGTGTGTGGTGTTACCATATAATGATATCCTATGTAAATGTGATTTGTTTCCATTGCTGGGGGCTGGTTTAAAGAAAAGACTTTGATAAGTACATAAGTTAAAGATTACAGTCCGATATGGATATATTTTTTTCTATAATATTATTAAATTGCCTGAGATCTTTTAGGATTTACTGATTTTAGTTCTATCCACAGTTGCATATTGATATAGGATACCGTGGTAATGACTGCGTGGCGTCAACCTGTCTCCACGTGGATTGTTAGAAATTAGCGTGTTAGAACAAGATTGACAAGGAGTCTTTATTCTAGGATATGGAGTCAGGTTGCTTACCATACAGAATTTACACTGAATAATGTTCTGTTGCATATGCTTAAGTTGCATAACTTGTAGTCAAAATAGCATACGAGCATTCAACTAGAATATATATATATATATATATATGCATACAGAAAAGTTTATGTTGATGGTGTGGTGTGCATGCTATAGATGCAATCCTCTTTGAAAGCTAGCTTACTTTCTTATTGTTCATTTATCAGTATCAGTTTGTTGTAAAATGTTACATCCCTTCTCAGTTTTGACTTGTCAAATTGTGCCAATCAACGTGGTTTCGTGTAATTTGTCTTGTCCGTGGGGTTTCTCTGGTTGGGGAATGGCTACAGTTGGAAGCTATAGGTTGTGGTAGGGCAGTCCTTTGAGTTTGGAGACTGAGTTGTGCAGTGTTACACAGCAATTTAGATTATCTGCTACATTTTTTTAATGCATGCAATAGATTAAAACCTACCCGCATCGTTTTGACACATTATGAGCTGCTCATTTGTTTTCCCATCCCCCCATATTTTTATATTATAATACTACTCTTTATGATAATTCTGTCTTCTGCAATGCTTATGACCCGTAAGCCATTCTTATCTCAAACCCCTTAAAGAGTTGATTCTTGTGACCTGAAATTCGCCTTCTATTCTTTTTTTTTTTGTTGTTAGTTTTTTCCTTGAATTAATGTCGTGGAGTTGGCAGTCTTTTCAGAACAGCAGTTTTTTGTTACGCTATGGCTCTACTTCTCTGGCTGATGGACAAATGCAATTTGAGACTTCTGTTAGAATGGATCAAAAGCGTGGCCACCGTTGGTTGATGGGTGCTTCGGAGCAAGAGCTGTTTCTCAACAAAAAGCAAGCAATAGATCCTGATCAAGGCACTTTGGAGCCAGGATTTATCAACAGTTCATTGTGGCACAATGTTTCTGGGTCTCAGACAGGCTATCCAGCAAACAACCAACTGTTCTGCCCCAAGCTTCTCCGGAGTCCATATATATCTGATAAGAGTAACCCCTCAGCCTCCCCTACTCTCGTGAACGTTGAAAAAATCAGTTTTCAAAATCAATTTGGGAGTTCTTCAAATTGCGCATCCATGCCTCAGGCAATGGATGATACTGGACGAAGGGAAGTAGAACTCAAGAAGGTCAGCGTTTCAGATGATTGCTCGCCTGAGTTTGTAGGGAATTCTTTCTACCCAAGGGAGAAGGATAAACTAATGAATGCTGCGGATCCATCAACTGCCATTTCCATGATTCCAGTATCTACCTATAATTCCGATAATGGGATTTCTCTTCCTGTGAATCCTTCCTTGTGTAAGATGGACAAAAGCTTAATTTCAGACGAATATAATGGTGGCTTGATGCTCACCCACCAACTCTACAGCAGGATTCTTAACAATGCGCAATCTGTTGGTCAGGCCTTCATAAGAGGGAGTTCCAATGTCAATTCTTTCGGGGAGCAATATGCAAAGGATGGCAGCTGTTTCATGCCAATCAGTGGTTCCGGCCATGAGAATCTGTTTTCAAAATATTCGTTTTACAATAAAATGAATGAGGAGGTATTCACTTCTGCAGGTTCTAGTTATGACGCAGGAGACAGAAGCATTGCTATTTATGGTCAGCAGGACGCTGCTGCTGTATCACTAGGCGGACTCGTAAGCAAAGAGAATTCTAACATCCCGTCGCAGGTTGAAAATTGTCGGAAGGGTAAACAAACTATTACTACCATATCTTTTGGAGCCTCTCAAGATGATCCCAGGGATAGAAATCATTTGGCAGAGCTTACAAACAGCTACCATGTGGTGCTAAATCAATCGACTGAAGATCTAAGTGCAAATGTTATCTCAGCCACTTCAAGAGCGCAGAAAGAACCGAAGAACAAAGAGAAAACAGTAAAACAATCTCCGACTAACTTCCCAACAAATGTTAAAAGCTTATTATCCACTGGCATCCTTGATGGAGTTCCGGTGAAGTATGTCTCCTGGTCAAGAGAGGTGAAGTTAAATCTTGTCTTTCGATTTCCAAGCTTTTATCGATTGTGTGATGGATATTCTTTTTTTTTTTCTTGCAGAAAAATCTTCGAGGCATGGTAAAGGGTATGGGCTACTTGTGTGGCTGCCAGGACTGCAACCTTACTAGGGTATATATCAAAAATCTATGATTTCTAATGTTGAAGAATAAGTTTCGACGCTGATATATTCCCAACTTAAAATCGCCCAGGTTGTCAATGCTTATGAATTCGAGCGCCATGCCGATTGTAAAACCAAACACCCAAACAACCACATTTACTTCGAGAATGGAAAGACGATATATGCAGTCGTACAAGAACTGAAGAGCACCCCTCAGGAAGTTCTCTTTGAAGCTATGGAAACAGTGACCGGATCGCCCATTAACCAAAAGAATTTCAGTACATGGAAAGGTGAGCAATGATGTCTCTCTACTTCCCATAAACATAAAGCTTGAATTATTTAAGGCAAAATTGCTTATAATTCACGTTCGAAAATTTATTGTTCTTTCTTACGATTTAGAAATTGTATGATTCTTACTAATGTTTTAGGATACATTGCTCAAAATCCACTTGTATATAGTCACAGTGGATTATGAAAAATTTTGACTTATTTTTGGTTTGTGTGACTTACGAAGGGATATTTCTTTCTGTGTTATTTTCGATTCCCAGCTTCATACCAAGCTGCGACTCGCGAGCTTCACCGGATTTATGGGAGGGAGGAAGTGGCCGTGCAATCTTGATGTCGACGACGACAAGGTTAGTGAGTAAATGTTGTTTGAATGGAAAAAGTTGTTTGTATGTTGGACAAATGTTTTTCGATGGGATTGGGATTTTTGTTTTGCTACAGAAATATGATTAATTTGGGATCCTTTCTACATGTACATTTAGGAGATCTAAAAATGGGATTATGGATCTTGGGACAATGATCACCAATACATGTGTTGTCCTCAAAAGATTTTCTTATACTTTGATTTCACATTTTCAAAGTGTGTTTGTTTGTTTGATTGATTGATGTGGTATAAATAGATATTGATGTGATATTTTGAATGTAGCGTTTTTTATTGTTTAGATGCATTTTGAAAGATATGTTTTCGGGTGTATTTTTATGTGTGTTATTTAATCCTATACAATTTATTGATTTTTACAATTTAAAGTGTAGTATTATATTTAATATTTATTTACATTATTAAATATTTTATTATTTATTTTTCAAGAATTCTAAAACAATTTAAAAATGTATCTGAATTCAATCTAGTTCAATGCAGACGTAGATAAAAGTAAAAATTTTAGGTCCGGACAAAATTAAAATGTCTATGGATTGGGTTATGTCAGGAGTTTAATCAGGCCCACTTTTAAATAAATGAGCCCAAACGAGGAAAGGTTTAAAAGTAAATTTAATATTTGAGGTAATATTTTTTAAAAATTAAATATCGTCAATATTATTATAATAATAAAAAAAATTAACTAATGAAAAATAATAATTAAAAAAATGTATATATAGTCTTAAAATATGAAAAGATAGATATACTTTCATTTGACGGAACAAAAGAGGCATTGCAAATTTCTTCCAAGCACATGTCCTCACGCTAGCCATAAGCGCGTGAGGTTACCTCCGAACACTGACCGTTGGATATAATATTCCAGAAACGAAATACTCAACGTGTAATACACGCGCAGCAAAAAATCTAGCTGCAAGAGCGCTCCAATCTGGTATCACGCACCATTTTCTTTATCTTGTACCTTAATGACAGGTATACCCTCACAATCGAACTTCCTTAAAATGTACAACCCCTCTAAGCGTCCGCAGCAGAAACCAGAAAAAAACAGAGAATCCCCACTCTCTACATTACCATTTTCGTAAATAACCCCAAATTCCGAGCCCATAAAACAAAGAACGGTTTTTAACCTAAACCGTAAGGCGAAGCACAAACGAGTTGAGCTCAAAGCGAATTCAATAAAAAGAAAACCGCTTTTTCTGTGCGGTGTTCTCACTTCCAACTACTCTTGAAAGTCAAGCATATAGATATATATATATATATATATGTACTATATGCACTTTTGTAGATAGATAGACCAGTGAGGCCCAGAGTTGCGAGGATTCTTCACTTGGAAGGTACACTGAACGTGCTTTTTCGCATTTCATTTTCTTGAATTTGTAGTTTTGTGTTCTATGAAGATGTACGTTATACATATGTATGTTCTGTAATTGTTTTTTTTTTGCTGGGAAATTAATTCAAGCTGTGTTTTTTAATTGCTTTTTGTAGTTGGGTTTTGGTGTAAACTTTATATGGTCTGAGATGAAATAGTTGGGGGAAGGAAAATCATGGGGAGAGGGAGGACAAGAAAAGTTGAGAAGGTGGTTTCGGGGGGAAGTGGGGGTGGGGGTGAATTGAGTGGATGTGGGTCATTGAATGTGCCGTCAGGGCCTGTGTTTTATCCGAGTGAGGAGGAGTTTAAGGATCCATTAGAGTATATATACAAGATTAGGCCAGAAGCTGAGCCCTATGGGATTTGTAAGATTGTGCCACCGAAAAGTTGGGATCCCCCTTTCGCATTGGACATGGAGAAGTTCACGTTTCCGACGAAGTCACAGGCGATTCATCAGTTGCAAGCGAGGAGTGCGCCCTGTGATTCGAAGACTTTTAGATTAGAGTACGGTAGGTTCTTGGAGGAGCACTGTGGGAAGAAGGCGAAGAAACGGATTGTGTTCGAGGGGGATGAGTTGGATTTGTGCAAGTTGTTTAATGGGGTGAAGAGATTTGGAGGGTATGATCGTGTTGCAAAAGGGAAGAAGTGGGGGGAGGTTTATAGGTTCATAAGACCTGGACAGAAGATCTCCGAGTGTTCGAAGCATGTGTTGTCGCTGTTGTATCTGGAGCATTTGCTTGACTATGAAGAGTATTATTGTCAGTTGAATAAGGAGAAAAGAAAGGGATGCAAGAGGGGTACGAGTGGTTGGAAGAGATGCGAACCTGTGGTTGAGGCTACAAGTGTTAAGAGACGCCGGAGTAACAAAGAAGGTGAGAGGGTTGATGTAATTAAAGCAGAGGAAGCTGAGCTTGATCAAATATGCGAACAGTGCAGAAGTGGGCTTCATGGGGATGTCATGTTGTTGTGTGACAGGTGTAATAAGGGTTGGCATATCTATTGTTTGTCTCCTCCATTGAAGAGGATACCTCCCGGGAACTGGTACTGTCAAGAGTGTTTGAATTCGGAGAAGGATTGCTTTGGTTTTGTGCCAGGCAAGCAGTTTTCACTTGAAGCTTTCAAGCGTGTGGCTGATCGGGTGAAGAAAAAGTGGTTTGGGTCGACAGACACTTCATGGGCGCAACTGGAGAAGAAATTCTGGGAAATTGTGGAGGGTTCAGTTGGTGAGGTGGAAGTGATGTATGGCAATGATTTGGACACTTCTATTTATGGTAGTGGTTTTCCTCGTCAAGCTGATACAAAGCCCCAATCGGTCGATGGTGATGTTTGGGATGAACACTGCACTAGCCCCTGGAATCTAAATAACTTACCAAGATTGCAAGATTCGATACTAAGAACTGTGCATCAGAACATTGCTGGCGTTATGGTACCTTGGCTTTATATTGGGATGCTATTCTCTTCATTCTGCTGGCACTTCGAGGATCATTGCTTTTATTCAATGAATTATCATCACTGGTATGTAATGTGTATAATTTAATTGTTTAGCTGATGTCGTTCTTTTGTAAGGTATAATTTATTATTATATGTAAAATGCTCTCTTTAAATAGTATTTGCTTTGGTGTAGGATTATGAAGTTATAGAGTGCATTTTATCTTCATTTCAAAAAAATAGTTCTACAAATAATTTAGATTGATTTATAAATTTAGAACCAAAGTAATATCAAACTTCTATTTGAGCCAATATTCATAGGAGGCTTGTTGTACCCTATGTAATTTTTTTACTTTCACTGAAATATGTGGAAAAAATTCACTGGTAAATCTTAAAAAATTTTTTGGCTACGACAACATTTGAATATCCAACAACTTGAGTGTGACCTTGGTTTGTATACAATGAAACTTGACCAAATGACTGTTTCATAAACCATAAAATGCAAAGAAAAACATCCCAACGAGCGGCACATGGCGATTGAAGAAACTAACTTTGAACACCAAAGGCTTAGGAATATTAGAATAGTTATATAAAGATACTTAAGCTTACCAACTAATCTTTTATGACAATCTGGTATTGCATAATATATATGTAAGTATGTTTTTACTACACCGGTAGATGCATAGTGTATACTTTTTCACATAGTTGGCCTGTTGAATCATGAATGAGTAGTTTGCTTTTAGAAAGGTAATTTATCATGATGCAGTTCTCTAATGCTGCATGATGTAATCACATATGATTTGAGATATTGCCCAGAATGTATGAAATGTCTCCTTTACTAAGTGCTTGAATGAGGCCATCTTTTGCATTTGTAAGATGAATTTTGTAGCATTCTTGATAAGTGAACTGAATCATAGCACCCCTTTATTTTTCGTCCGCACTAGGTAGTATAAATATAATACCGTAAGTGAATTCCTTTTTTTTTTTTTTTTTTCTCTTTCAGGGGAGAGCCAAAGTGTTGGTATAGTGTTCCTGGTAAAGATATTCATGCTTTTGAAAAGGTATACCTACACATTAATTTGCAGCTCTTTCTTCCTGTTATTTTATACAGCTGTGCAGGCAAGTTTGAATTAGTACTGCTTTGTTTTTTTCTGAAGTGAAACTAAACTAAGAAAGAAAAGACAGAGATTATAAAAAAATTGAAATCTCATTTTCCTTTAGATCCTAGACCTGTGGAAACCAAGACCAGATGTTTTTTATTTTTTATTTTTTTCTTGCGTGATGGGCCAAATATTTCTTTCAATTCTTTGCCTCTTTCATGTAATATAGGCTCTAATGAATGCTTGCTGTTCTCTTCTTGAAAATTTTCTTAGCCTTATTTGAGCACAATCAATGCTGTAGTGCTACAATTCATTCCTGAAATTTCTTTATGTAAAATATGTATTTTTTGTGCTCAAGTATTTAATGGTATTTTTCCAATGATTCCTGATTGGTTGCATTGTCTAAATATTAATTTTTTGCTGGAATGTCTTGACTATGGATACTGTTTCTGATAATTTATTTAAGTATGATGCTGTCAGTATTATTGATGAAGAAAATTCTAACTGACAGCATCTTACTATGATTTCTTGCCATTCTCTTTCTTGAATGATTTCCTTTTGTGAAGGTAATGCGAAGTACTCTGCCTGATTTGTTTGAAGCTCAACCCGACCTGCTGTTTCAGCTGGTCACAATGCTAAATCCCTCAGTTCTGCAAGACAAAGGAGTCCCAGTTTACAGCATTATTCAGGCATGATCGATTATTTCTTGAACTAGTAAAACATATGCCTTCTTTCATATTGAATTGAGTGCAAATTTTGTCATTGATAATTACCTTTATCTTGGCAGGAGCCTGGAAACTTTGTTATCACCTTTCCCCGATCATACCATGGAGGCTTCAACTTTGGTACACAAATGAAAACTGCTTGGTACCCTGCAGCCATGGGTTCCAACTCTAATTGCAATTAGGCCACTACTTTATTGCATATTTTTACTTGTCACATCTATAGATGTAAAATCCATTCAATTTTATGATCCAGGTTTGAATTGTGCTGAGGCTGTCAATTTTGCCCCTGCTGATTGGCTACCACATGGCGGTTTTGGAGCTGAGCTTTATCGATATTATCATAGAGTGCCTGTTTTATCTCATGAGGAGCTACTGTGTGTGGTGGCTAAGGTTTGAGGACTCACCCTTTAGCTGCTCCACTTCTACTGTTCCAAATTCACCTGCACTTCTCCCCCCATTTTAGCTTCTTAGCTATAAAACAATAATTTAAGAGATGATGTCCTTGATTTTGGTGATCTAAAATTTGGGACATAATTAAATATGAAGCATAGCTGCATGGGTTATAATTATTTACCCGGGGTTTATTTATTTCTTTCAATATCCTTTTATGTTTTGAACTCTCAACAGAATATTTTCATTATCAGCTAGCACCATTAATAATCAGTTGTATCAAAAGGAATAATACTTATGATCAAAATTCTCTGCTGGCCCTAGTTTAACTGGTACAGAAAAAAATTTTCTTTGTGGAATTTCCTTCTGTGGGATTTTTATATGCCTATTGCATGGAAAATAGGGAAGATATGTTCAAATTGCTTGGTTCTTATATGCTCAGATGCGGAGATGGAAAAGAATCTTACATGGAATCCTTGTATATCTGGAGAGTGTTCTGATTCTTGGAACTTTTATTGGATGAACAATCAATTTTACAGCTTAAATACATTCCATATGCTTTGAAGGATAGTGGCGTATTGTTAGGAGACAGAGCATGAGCTGCAGCAGCAGTGGCAATGAAGCTGTCTGTAACTAATTGCTAATCATTTAATGATCATAGCTCCATCTAGTACTAGGAAATCATTGTTGTATACTTTAGGAATAAAATAAAATGAACAATAAAATCATGGAATACACTAAATATCATGAAAATAGGACATTTCTGACTGCTATTGGGTACACAGCTAATTCTCAGAAATTTCACAGGAAGAGTACAGTTTTTATTTAATGATGCTTGTATGCATACGTGTTCATGTACAAGTATGATCTATTATGGATATGCAACCATGTACATGTCTGATATACCCAAATCCCATAAAAAACTGTATCTGTGAATTATTACCTTTCATGTTTGATTGCTCCTGTATTGCTGTCTTAAAACGTGTAATTACTTTACCTTTGTATTTATCACGATCTGCTTTTAGTTGTATTGTTAGTGACTTCTAAATGCACCTTTTGCCTTTAATATGGTGTGTGCAGAGTGATTTGGAGAGCCGGGCATCTACTTACTTAAAAAAAGAGTTGCTTAGAATGTATAGCAATGAGAAAACTTGGAGGGAGCGGCTATGGAAGAATGGCATCATTAAATCTTCACCCATGACACCTCGGGTGAAGCCGGAGTATGTTGGTACTGAAGAGGTAATCATGTTATACATTTATCAACACAGTGATAATTAACTTGGTATTTATTGGTCACTGATTTCTAATGAAGGATCCCATGTGTGTCATTTGCCAACAATTGCTATATCTCTCGGCTGTTTCTTGCAACTGCAGGCCATCGGCATATGTTTGCTTAGAGGTGGGTGGCCCTTCATCATTTGAAAATTGTTGCCAGCATTATACTCCTTTCATTGCATTTTTAGAATTTTGGATGAAGTTGTGTGACTTTAGTCTACAAAGCTTTGGTTTGTGCATAAAGAAACTCACCCTCCTTTCTTGCAGCATTGGGAACACCTTTGTGAGTGCAAACCAAACAAACGTCGCCTTCTATACCGTCATACTTTGGCAGAATTAAGTGGTTTGCTATTTAGTGTTGGCAAGTCTGATTCCATAGAAGTCGCTGGTGATTCACAGAAGGACATGTGTACAGCAAAAGTAGTAGCGTTAACGAAAAAGGTTCGAGTATAATTCTTATTCATGGTTGCTAGATTTACCATAATCTCTTCCGTGCTTTGTTTGCATAGAAGTGAGTAGATTTATGGACTTAATAATCTTTACCATAAACTCATTCGCTACATATCTATCTTAGTATTTATTTTATTATTTATTTTTACAATTTTCATGTTAACCTGTTTTTCTAGCATTAGCGTCATTTTACGACAATTTTGACACTGTTCTGATCTTCATTATATTGTATGCATTCTATATATTCATCTTTGTTTTTTTTTTTTTTTAAGACATTAGAATGCAACTGTAGACTCATAGTGAGTGTTTCTCTCTCTCTCTATGTTGTGTGTGTGTATATATTATTCTTATTTAATTTAATTCTTTTATATAGATTTATTATTTGTTAACTTTGGCAGTTTGGCTTTTTTCCAACTTCACATTTGCTTATGGTGATTAAATGTATATGCTACTGGAAAGAAGTTTGTGTGAGCTGCCATAATGTTAGGAGATATTCTTGCCTACAGGGACCATTTGAAATATTTCAACTTATATTTAAATTATGTGGTCAACAACTTTCTTCATGCTTAGGTTAAAGGTGGCCATGTTACACATGCGAAACTTGCTGAAGAGTGGGTTCTGAAGTCGTGTAAGATTCTTGAGCATCCATATTCCAAGGGTGCTTATGACAGTGCAATTAAGGAAGCTGAGCAATTTATTTGGGCTGGTTCTGAGATGGATCTTGTAAGCCTTTATTCGGGTTACACTGTGTTTGGCTTTGCCAACTCTTTTATATTGCATTCAAAGATGACTTGTTATCTACTTTTTAGGTTAGAGAAATAAATAATAACTTGATTCAAGCACATAAGTGGGCAGAAGATGTGATTGAATGCATATGTAAGGTGAAAATATGGTCCAGTCATCGAAACTGTGACAAAGTACAGATGGATCATGTTAATGAGATTCTTAGACACCCTGCTCCTTGCAATGAGCCAAGCCACCTTCAGTTAAAGGTTGTATGCAATTTCAATAGCATATGCAGTTCTCTTTTTCCTAGCATGCTTTTGGATGTTGGAACATATTGGTATTTTCTTTTAATTTATCTACAGGAATATCAAGAAGAGGCTAATACGCTGATTCAGGACATTAATTCTGTTCTGACTTCATGTTCCGAATATTCTGTAAGAAACCCACTATCTCAGTTTCCCTTCTTCATTGTATAAGTTCTCTTGGGTCATATGCATTTTTTTGATAGTCTATTTGTTGCGATCTGTATTTCTCAAATAGATACTTATAGAAAACGTATTGCCTTGATTGCTAAATTTAGTTTTTTAAAAAAAAATTTCTGTACCTCTCTTTTAATTTGCCTTCTAATCATTCAGATTTCTGATATGGAGTTCTTATATAAGAGGGCTGTTAACTCGCCAATTCATGTCAAGGAATGTGATATACTAAACCTGAAGCTTTCTGCAATGAAGGTATATCTGATTCCTTTTCTTTCTGGAATTTGTGTTAATATTGTAGAAGTTTGATCCTTTTGACATTACAGTATGTTCTGTTTTGTTTCTGTGTTCATATCTAACTATTAGGCCGAATCCTCTAGAATATGATACTTTGTGAGGTAAAAGATAGATTTCAGGGATTTGCAGCATATTTCTCAAACTGAAGTGGAAGCATGAATAGGCCCACAGGGCTTTGATATCTAGAAGGACTCCTATTTGTTCTGATGATGTATCTATATGTCTGCTGGGCATTAAGAATAATGAATGCTGAACTGTTAATTTATTTATTTTGAGATTCCATGGATTTGGATACTTTGTTTATAAGTGTGGTTCAAAGCTGATAGTCTTGACTTTTTCTGAAGGCTTGGTTGGATACTGTGACAATATGCCTCTCTCAGGAATCTACTTCTCCGGTGGGGGTAGATGTACTTTACAAGTTAGAAACAGAGGTAATATAAAATACATTAACTTTTACTTAATGTTTTGGCCGTAACCCTCCTACGGTATGTTAAGTTCACACTACTTTTTCTTCTTTGTAAATTTCAGATGTTGGAGTTAAAGCTACAGCTTCCTGAAGCTGATATGCTTTCTGGTTTGGTAGGGCAAGTCAAGCTTTGCCTATCCCAGTGCAATGAGATGTTGAAAGGAAAAATTTGCCTGAAGGTTGTTCTTGGATTTATTTTATTTCTTATTCTGCAAGGTCTAATGACAGGGAACTTTACCTGAAAGCCACTTCCCTTTTCTTTAGGATGTGAAACTGTTTCTCAGCCAATGGGAGAATTTGAATGTTAAAATTCCAGAGCTAGAACTTCTGAAGAAATTTTATAATGATGCAATATCATGGATTTCACGTGTTGATCTTGTCCTTACAAATGCTCATGAGCGAGCGGATCAGGACAATGTTGTTGCTGAGTTGACCACCCTTCAGAGGGATGGGGGGTTGCTTCAAATTCAAGGTACAGTGGGTGATTCATCTCATTCTTATTTCTTGTTAATATTATGGACATTCTTTTATTTCCTGCAAGTGATCTAACTTTCATCTATTGCATTAAAATGTTCCCTTTTGTCCTCTGATGCAGTTGATGAGCTACCTCTTGTTGAGGTGGAGCTTAAGAAGGCACAGTGCCGTGTGGAAGCACTTAAGGTAACATGATAATTCCTTTATGCCTGAATTTGATGCACTATCATTGTCTTTGTAGTAAATAACCATCGGGGTTTTCCATCTATTGCACCCTTTACCTCCTAAAATGCATCTTCTGCAGGTACTTAATTCTCTAATGTCCATGGACTTCATCAATGAGCTGATATCAGAGGCAGCCATGTATGGTTCTCTCTGTGTCTTTCATATGAAAAAAGTTAATTGTTTTTTATTTTGTAGGTTTCCTGATGAAATACTATTAATGGAGAAGTTTAAATCTATTTCAGGCTACAGATTGATAAAGAAAAACTATTTACTGATATCTCCGAAAGGCATTCTGTTGCCATGGGGTGGGAAGATAAAGCTAAACATGTTCTTGCTAGCAGGGCACCTCTATCAGACTTTGAGGACATGTTGAGGTTATTTTTGTTTTTATTTATCCCATTCTCACATATAATTTTTTTGATGTAATTGGCTTTTGAGAAAAATATAAAACTTCCAGGACTTTTGATCACATTGGCATGATTCCACCATCACTTCTTGATGTAAAAAATGCTGTGTCAACTGCAAAGGCTTGGTTGGTGAAGGCTAAACCCTTCCTATTTCAGGATACATCTGATGTACCGCCTCCTGATTTTTTTCTCCAAGTTGACACGTTGAAGGTTAAGTTTCTCTATGTTAATGCTGTGGGTTCCAGTAGTGATCGTTTCTATGTTGCTGAATTTGCAGTTCTTTTAACATACATATATTTTGTTCTTTTACAAATTTGTAGGACTTAGTTTTGGAATCAGAGAATCTGAAGGTGTATATGAAAGAATGTTCACAACTTGAAGAAGTCTTGAAGAAGGCCATTGGATGGGAGCACAATGCCAGTTCTATATTGCAGAATGCAGAGCACTTATACAACATTGATGTTGTTGAGGGCATTTCTGACTGTTTTATTTTCAAAATAGAACAGAAAGTTCTTTCAATGGATTCTGCCTTGAGAGATGGTATTTCTCTTGGTCTCAAGTTCAACTTGATTCCAAAACTCGAAGATGCTTGTTCCATAACCAGATGGTGTATTAAGGCACTTTCTTTTCCTATTAATATTCCTACTCAGAAGGTGACCTCCTTTTTCCTCATTTGCAAATTCTGATAACAGATAGTTACGTACCATACTACCATTTGTATCTTCCCTTGTTTCTTAGCACTATCTGTTACATTTACAATTATGTAATACATCATTCACTGGAATAACTCTCTGCTCAGTAGTAGGTTTCTGGATTTGAACTACTGTTTTCACACCAAAATTGCTGTACATGGTTAAAATAATTGTGCATATTTTCATTTTAGGATTAGGTGATTAACTTGTGTTGTTTGTTTATGGATAATTTAAATTAGTTCTTTAATGTACTTATGGTTTATCTCGTATGTGCCTTAGCATGATTTTCCTATGAATTCGGATATATTTTTTTTTTTTGTTTTCGTTTTTTTTTTTTTTTTTTTTTTTTTACGTGTGGGTTAATCTAATCTTCAACTTCTATCTTAGCAAATAGCAATTCGATTCGAGCATGAATCTAGATTTTAGGCATTATGTTTTAGCATGGATAACATCTTATACTCTCCTTGGAAAAGATGGAATAGAATTGTTGTTATCATTTTCTTTTCACCTTTTTATATCATTGCTATAAGAGTTAATCCTATATTATTTTCATTTGTTTTAGGAAGTTGAGATGATGTTGGAAGCTTCCGCCAATTTTCCTGTGATGTATAAGTCATGTCCTCTGGTGACTGCATTATCTGAGTGCTTAAGTTGGCTTATGAAATCCCTTGACATTCTGGATTCCGATAGTCATGAACAAGTTGAAGTCAGTTTCGTTGAGGAGCTTCTTGTTCAATCTAAGGTTTGTATGATCTTTTTTTTTTTAAAGTATCATTATTTCATTGCCTTTTATCCCAGCGTTCTGTCTTTACTACATGTATACCTAACATATTGTGAGTTGCAGAAAATATGTATCTCATTTCCATCAGTTATTTGTCGCCTTGGGGATGCAATTCAGAATCACAAGTGAGCCTCTTAGCATTCCATAAATGCTATTATCTCATGTCAATTATGCTTGTTTAGTGTAACCACAGCCCAAGTAAAATTAGTATCCTGATTTTACACAAGTATACGCTTCTTCTGAGAAGGTGATATAAAAGCTTTATGTTGTGTATGTGTGCAGATTATGGCTGGAGCAAGTGCATCATTTTTCAAGGCTCAGCCTTGAAGAGCGCTCATGGAATATGCTCACACAGCTAAAGGTCTGATTCTTGATTTGGTTTGGTTGCCGACATAGTCCTTGAGTGCTAATTTACATTTTCCAAATTGCAACTATTATGTTGATATTTGCATCCTTCATCTTGGCATCGGTTAGGCTAGGTTTTCACCTGATCTTTACAGACACTAGGATATCAGTATGAATCTTGGGTCCTAACTCCTATATATTATGAGTACTTGAGTTCATGTATTTTGGCCTGAAAAGATTCCTAATCTGCGAAAATGATGTACGGTGATGAAAGATAGTAGAAAACAATGATGTTTCAGAAACAACTAGAAAACACACCATTCAGTGCAACTATCAGAAGAATCAAAATAGCAACACTTATTCATACCAGTTTTAGTTCTCCGGACTGGGTGTTGCATTTTAAGTGAATATTAGCCCTTTGGCCTTGAGTTCATTCTAAATTATCTTTTTCATTTGGAAGTAGTTCCTCAGCACATGGTCATAAATGGTCTTTTTATACTCAGGAATGTGGGAGTTCTAAGGCATTCAGTTGTGTGGAGCTAGAGATGATTTGTTTAGAAGTGGGGAAGGTTATAAAATGGAAACAACAATGTGCAGACATTATTAAGCCCCCATCCGCTGAAGAAAATGCACTTCACAGTGCTTTAATAACGGTTTGATGCTGATTATTTACTACTTCTTATGTAAAGAATCTTGTGTGATTTTGGTAGCTTGGATTATATTCCTTGTGTAATTTCAATGATATATCTTTTCTTATATGCAGTTAAAAGATAATGTTGAGAAATCAGTTGCGATTTATGGAAATATGGAGCATGGGAAATCACGACATCTGTGCTTGTTCTGTTCAATTTCAATTGAGGGTAGAGAGACTTTGACATGTTCAATTTGCAAGGATAGGTTAGTTCTGAATCCATTATGTTAGCTTGATCTTTATTGAACATGGAAGTAAACTGACTGCATACCTTGTAGGAATTAGCCATGGCTGATTTGTTTTATTTTTTCTCAGCTTTAGCTGAGGTGTCTAGCATCTTGTAATTTGCCTAATCTATTTTCAATTGCAGTTTTCATTTGCAGTGTACTGAAATATCTTGGGAAGACTCAGTGGCCTTTGTTTGCCCACTCTGCAATTTCTTCAATAATTTTAGACTTCCTCATAAAGGATCCAATTCTCTGGTTTGTGATTAATCATTTTATATTTTTCGACTGTCTTGTACATTTCCTTCCTGACTTTGTATGTCCATATGTAGAGAGCTGGAAAGAAACATCTTGATTTGGATAAGCTTTCTGCTCGTCTCTCTGATGCCAGTGATCTGTACATACGGTAGGAAGTACTATCTTGTAGGTTTAAGGCTTGTTTAGTATACCTGATTAAATAACCTTTATGGATTTTGTATGCACTGAAATTTGCAACTCATTAAACATTTTTCAGAAAGGAATTTAACTTATATTTTAGTGGGAGGTACCTCCCAAATTTCTCTACTGTTCGATTTATGTAAATCTTTATTTTGTGTATGTATTTATATTTTGCATGAAATTGATAGTCCAAGAGAACAAAGCAAACTTACTTTATATAATTTAGTATAAAGTTGACAGTCTTGTTTTGCGCAGGACTGAGGAACAGGGTATACTACACCAAATTGTTGAGAAAGCATATGCCTGCAGTGTTTCCTTATCTGAAGTTGTGAATTTTGCTTTAGCTTATGTTGGCAAAGATCTTGATGTGGTCAATCGAAAATTGTGCCTTGCACTAAAGGTATTTCTATCATTAATATATATTGAGTGCATTCATGCTTATCTGCTGTTATGTTTCTTTGACATCTATGGTGTCCTTGAAAATTGGACTGAAACAGTTATCATGCCTTCTACGCTTGTGATGCGTTCTTGGTTTATGCTCAGTGAAAGAACTTAAAAAACTTAGTGTCGAAACTCTTTTCCTGTTGTTTGTAGGCAATCAATATATCTGGCATATGTGATGCTGAGGGGTGTCAGAAATTTGATCTTGCACTGGATAGACATTCATGGAAAGCCAGGGCTGATAAAATATTGGGAAGTCCGGGAAAGCCAACCCTTCGAAGAGTTCGACATCATTTGAAAGAAGTAAGAATGTTATTTGCTGTTTTCTCCTAAGGCGTGTTTTCTGTTCGTAAGGCCTTTCTTTGTTTAGCTTATTGATTTATTTGGTGTAAGAAACGAATGTGTTACTTAAACAAAGCTATTATACATTTAGTAGATCACAATCCATGAAATGAAAATTTCTCTACTTTATTCGCTTCAAATTCCCATTTAACTTAATCGCGTGTGTGTCTTAAGGTTCCTACATGATCTGCCATATTTTTGTGACATCATATCTTGAGAATGTCTAATTGGCTTGCTTATATATATTCACTCGTATGATTATCAAATCTTTAGGGTCTGGCATTAAACATTCCCCCGGAAGATTACTTCAGACAAAAACTGACAGCATTGAGGGACATGGGCTTGCGGTGGGCTTACACGGCCAAGAAGGTCATATTCTTAAACAAGCTTCTACGGTATCAAAGCTAGGGTCTATAACCAGAGTGAAAATTTACTTCTTTTTTTTTTTTTTAATATTACCAGGTCTCGGTGGATGGTGGAGTGCTTGGGTTGGATAGAGTTTTTGAACTTATTTCAGAGGGTGAATGTTTACCGGTTGATTGTGTAGAGGAGCTTCAGGTAACATTGTTGTTTTTGTTTATTTCATGGCTTAGTTCTGATTTCTTTTGGGCTTTTTCATATGCTTTCATCTATGCAGTTACTGAGGGATCGAAGCATGCTTTACTGCATCTGTCGAAGGCCTTATGACGAAAGAGCTATGATTGCTTGTGATAAATGTGATGAATGGTATCACTTCGACTGTGTTAAAATTACTTCAGCTCCAAAGACATACATTTGTATTGCATGTAGCCCTCATTCCACCGAAGATATGCGCGCATCTGCGCCAACGACTCAGGACAGGTTAAGCTTATTGCTTCATTTGTCATTTACTCTATTCTTGCTTTATTTTGCTAATGGAAAGAATATATTGGAAAGAGGAAATCTTAAAGCCCTAACATGGTTGTCATCTGTCAACTTTGTAATTGCACTTATTTATAAAACCCCCTTTGTAGAACACTTCTATAACCTCCTATATAGATGCAGAAAACAAATATAAGGCATGCGCTTCCCAGCCTAATTTAATCGACACACTTTCATTCTTACTGCCTCTTCGATCCCCTAGATGAATAAGAATTCACACATCAATCTGTGCATATAAAATAGTATATAGGGATATGATAGGTAGTTTTACATGTTCGATTGAATATATATAATACTGAGTATGCATTACACTTTGCTATCTGTACTTCAAATTGGGTTGCGACATTTACGCCAACAAAATCTATGCGCATAGTCGCTGGTTCTGTTTCCTAATTATTTTCTGTTTTCCAGATTTACCGGAGGAAAATTCGAAGAGCCTCAAACTCCTTCAAGACGATCAGAACTAAAGATGAGCTCGCAGAAACCCAAATGCATCTCAAAGAAGATAATTAAGCCAATGGGCATTAGCAATGATTTCCCGAAGAAATTAAGTAGCAATGACAAACTATTGTGGAGAAACAGGAAGCGATTTAGAAGGGTTGCTCGGAAACGTTCAGATCTTCAATCTCTATCCCCATTGTTATATGTACAGAACAAGGGACTAATGTAGACAGATTCTATCAATCAATTTATTCAATTGATTTTTTTGTAGCAGAACTTGGTCCCTCAAGGCGCACCGGATCTCATCACTCAACAAACATTACCTTCGCCTGGGTGCCGCTAGGCTGGATTATACATTTGGTTCTGGAACAATTGCAGGGCTTCCCAATAAATAGGTCAGTTAAGTTTTTAAGTATTCGTGGGCGACTTTGCCAACTTGACATGATTCAGTGATCGAATAATCAAGTTATGACAATCTCTTTGACTTTTAAAATTAGTATAGTTCATTTGTGGCATCCTGTAGTTTTTCTGCTTTATTTTTATCTGTTCTTACAGGAACAATTGGTTTGAAAATGCTATGAAGTTGTCATATTTCAGTATTTCGGAATTCCTAGTGTAACCGTTTATCTTTTAGTAGCTCTATGTAATTGAATTGCTGCTCTAAATTTAGAAAGCATCTGTTGGTTGCCTGTTCATCCCTAAATGATCGATTTAAAGCAGCAGATCATCGGAACTATACTAAAACTTGATTAGGGAACTAAACGCGAGGCTCCTCTTCACATCCCTACTGCTCGACACTCTTGTTTTCATCTTGTTCTTGGATAGCAACTTTTTTTTTCTTAATCTATTATATGATTAGTTTTGAACCAAGTATGAATGTATCCATTGTATTTCGCTTCTAGTGAAATGGTTGGGGAGTTTTAAGCTAATGACGTATAAGTTCATCTATCTTGTGGCCTATAGAGAATTGCTTTCAACAGCACAGTTTGTAGCTACATGTAGGAGTTCATGAGAAATGTAAGGTAAGTAGGAGCGACATTTGGTTTGTAGAATTACCCAATTAACCATCTCAAGTGAAAATTAACCAAATTTTTTTGAAAAGGCATATTGTTTAGATTTCCGTTTCACTTTAAAGAATAATTTGTGAAATCATCATTTTGCCACTATGAAAAGTCAAAATTTTAACTATGGTAGACAATAATTTTAAAGAAAAAATGGCCAAAATATTAGAGATTTAGTTCTAAATTTTTGCCTCTCCTACTTATAGGAGGGTTTGCGAAATCACCCAATTAACCTCTCATTCATTTTAGGAGTTTCAAAAATATTTTTAAAAAAGTTAACACATTTAAATAATAACACATTTTAGCTCCAAAATTTTCCCTTAAATTTATATAGTTTGTGAAATCATCCAATTATCCATCTCTTTAGTAACAAGAAAAAAGCTTTTTGTAAAAATATATGTTTAGATTTTCTATTTCACTTAAGGAATGATTCTTAACTATGATGGGCAACAGTGAAAAATGAAAAAATAACCAAAAAATTTGAAAGAAAAAAAAAAAAAAAAAAAAAAACATTTTAATTCTAAAATTTTCATTTCAGGAGTAGTATGTAAAATCAACCAACTATTCATTTCTTTACTTTTAGGGTTCCATAAAAAATTTAGGAAGAGTTAATACATTTGAATAAAATTTTAACAAATATTAGCAAAAGTTTAACACTTTAAAGAATAAATTTAAACAAAAGAGAAAAAAAAAATAACAATCTAGTAAAAGAATCGAGACACTCGGTGTAAATGCAAAAATCATAACAATTGGATAAGTTGAAAAATAACAAATATTTCCTTAGATTCTCACAACATAACTAGTGATATGTTATGAAAAAGAATAAAAAAATACAATGATCATATAGTAAAATAAATTAATGAACTTAAAAAAAAAAAAAAAAAGATAGATATCTCATATATCGCACGTAGTTTCACTATACCTACAAATTCATTTCAACAAACGTTCATTTCCTTAGCTATTCATCATATTAATCCACAAGAAAATAAACAAACATACATATGCATATATACAAGTATATATATATATACTCAACAGCTAAAGCAAGCGAAGGATTTCTTTGGGACGGCGCCTGCTGCGCGATACTTTTCAGCTGATTCCTCCGCGGCGAGGAAATTTCTGCCCCGGTCAGCTTCGACCATTGCCCTCTTCTCATCAGCCGTTTTACGAACAATAGCCATCTTGTTCTTCATCTTTTCTGCATATTCTGCCTTCTTCTTTTCAATATTTTCCTGCTTGTTAATAATAGATTTTATACTTCAACAATTAAACAGTCGAATAAATACATAAATTTGCTTAGCGACAGTGAGTTCCCACGTTATAAGAAAATATGTATATTGTAAACACTCAAAACTCCTCGAAAATTCATTCGTAATGCTTCAAGAACCTCTAGAGGGAGATGAATAGCTGAGATTCAACGTCGTAAAATTTAAATTTTGGAAATTAAACTTACCTCAATCTTCTTCAATTCGACCTCTATGCTTGCTCTTTTCGAATTCTCCCAAGCATCTACTGTTGATAATTTTTTGTAAGCCCTGAACAAATAATTGATATATTTTTCTTTCAGTTTATTCTTCGAGCTCTTAATTTGCACGAATTCTACTATAGACTTCAAAAGCTTAAGTGTTATATCTTCCTATTGGTTGTTTTTTTACTTTTACATATGCATTTCTCGATTAGCTTAAGCATCAATGCTTCAAATAATATCGACAATATGTAGACATTAGGCATGAGATGACATTATAGCTCAAATTTTTGTGTTTACTTGTATTTTCTTTAACTCATTTTTGTACTATTTAATCAATCATTTTAAAATGGAATCCCTTCTTCATTTTATTATTTTTTCTTTGGATAATATTCTATTCAATGATTTTTATTTTTTATTCATAAAACAAATTATTTTCAACTAAAATTTATCAAAATAAAAACATAAATGACCAGATTCAACTCGTTACATGTGTATTTCATATTTCTATCAAACATAACCCTTCAATTAATAAAAAGATTAGTTCAACTTCAATTTTTTATTTAAGTGCTAATGCTTTGTTCATGTTTAAGTTTTATTTCAATATTTTTATGATACAATTTTAACAATTATTTATAAAAATATATTATTATTATTATTATTATTACATTTCAAACTGATATTTAAGCAAAACTTTAAAATCAAAATTTGAAAGTAAAAATAATAATAAGTAGGGTAATTAATTAAAGTGAAATAAGGGTACTAACTTATTATCAGCTTTTGATTTTTCATTGTCTTCCCAGGCTTTGATGAGTGCTAATCTCTTCTCCCTCTCAACTTGTGCCAGAACATCATCTAATGAAAATTAATTAATAACAATAATAATAAAAGAAAAAACCAACCCAATATATATATATATAGATTATGTATGTATTTGTGTACCTCGATCGTTGGATTTAGCTGCAGGCTGAGGACGATGATCAGTTCCTGCAGGTTTTGCAAGCTGTTCTTCATCACTGCAGTATATCTTTGCTGTTCCCTCCTCACCCATAAATCTATAATATATATATATATATATTTGTATGTATGTGTGTATGTATATTCTGCTCTTGCTTTGAATAACATGTATATCTTGTTTCTTGTATAAATATACCCTCTTTAAGAAATGAGGTTGTGATCTTCCAATATTGTATCAAGAATTCACCAGAAAACTCAGTCACATCATAGGGTGGGGGGGATAGGGTTGGGGAGGGTAGGTGGATACAGTTTGGATAAAAATGGTAAGAAAAAGTAACACACAGTTAAGGGATTTTTTTGGTTTGGATTTGTAGGTATAACAGTGGTTTGAGTGGTCTGAATTTGTATTATAATAATAATCATAATAAAATTTATATTTGAAATTAATTTTTTTCTTTTAAATATTATGTTCTAGCATATTTTCCATCTAAAATTACGTTTAAGATTATTCTCATTAGAAAAAATAAATTCATAACACTTGGAATAATGACCAGCCTACCTAACAGACTCTATCACGAATTAGCATCTTACAACTTGTTTGATTTTCTGTATTAATTAATTTTTAATAATTATATATAACTATTAATTTCAATATATATATATATTCATTGAAATTGAAATAAATAGATCTTTGCAAAATTTTTAGTCTAATTATATTTTAAAATTAAATATGTTTCTTTTGTTTAGTTATACAATGTGGGATATGTGCATATGATCTACAATTTTTTAGTAAATTGTGGATAATGTTCATGTGATCTAAAAATTTGTTTAGTGTTTTAATTTGAATTATTTTTTATGTGATGTATGAAAAATTATATTAATAATATAAAAATAATACTAATATTTTAGGTTGAATATTGATTTTTTATTAAAAAAAAAATTAGAACATATATTATAAATTATGAATAGTGGCCTACCATATTTTGTTGGACAAACAATATTGCAAGTCCCATAAGGGATGATATGGTAGTGTAGGGGTTGGACTTGTGACCGTAAGGTCATGGATTCAAACCCCCGACACCTCACGTCACCTAGCGGCTGCGAGTACCCACGTCATTAAAAAATAATAATAATATTCAAAATTATATTAAGTTATTTTGTTAAAAAAAAATAATGTTTCAAGGAGAAATTCAACTGCGTTTTCATTTGGCAAAGGAAAAGTCCGAAGTATTTATATCCAACATTATTCTTTCAAACAAATTTAATGCAAAAGTAATAACAACTAGAAAATAAGGTTATGTTTACGTGGGCAAGTTTAAAAGAGTTGATACTATTCATTAATAATTATTTTATTTTATTTTTTAAAAAAATTATATTAAATATTTATTTTGAAAAGAAATTCAAAAGTGTCCTTTTATAGAATTTTTTTTCACCAGATTTATAGTATTCAATTTTTTTCTTTTAAAAATATTGAATAAATAATTCATTTTATTTTTATATTATAAAAAAAATAACATTTAAAATACCTTAGTTTATATTATACAAATAAATACGCTATTGTCAAAATAGAGTCTTGTTTTACTCTATTTTATATATTTGATTAAGAAAAGTGTAGCAATTGAAATATTGTTATGCAATACTCATAATTTTAATCTTATTTTATAAAATATTATATTTAAAATTATTATTCAAATAAAAACTCAAATAAATAAATTAGAAAAATCAAAAGATGTGTTTGGTTATAATTTTCAACTAATTTTAACACTATATTATTTTCAATAAAAATATATTATTATTTATTATTATAAAATATCATATCAAATTATTTTTACAATTAAAATTAAAATCAAACCCTCCAAAAAAAAAAGAAAAAAAGTGCCGAAATGAATTACTTTATAAGGGCTGGGCTGGCCAACTTTATTGGGCCATAGGATATGGGCCAGCCCGGCCCTCTTATCCCTACTTGATCTCAGCATAAATAATTTGATGTATATATATTTTTTTTAAAAAAAAATAATTAATTTTAGTGAATTTAATTTAATTTGATTTTTATTTTAATTTTTTAATGGTTATAGTCTAGAGTCTAGATATGGCTTTGAATTGGACTTTTAGCTTCGGTGGCCCAATCAAAATAGAGCTTATTTTAAGCATTTTGGAAAGCAATTTTGATCCGATGAGATGTGAGGCTAATAATGTAATTTTAAATCATAGGTTGCTTTACAATACAATCGAGAGAAAATTTAGAATTACTCCATCGTAAATTAAATAAATAAATGCAAATGATTAGAGTACACGTTAGGCTAAAATTACCATAATTTGAAATGAAAATTGTATATATATATAAATATATATTAAAGAAAACAAAAATACAGCAAATATATTATAAAAATACACAGACTCACAATTAACATGCACCCATTACATTATATTATCATTATTATGAAGAAAATATAATTCTAGCTTAAGTAGATTATAATTCATTTTAAGTTAGAGTATGAAACCTTTTCTATTTGTTCCCTGTAATTTGAATTTTGAAAATTTTAAATTAAAAATAAATATTATACAATATTTGGACAGTAAATTTCATGTTCATCAAGATTATACATACATTCATAATACAAAGATAAATAAAAGAAAATAAGAACAAATACTATGCATATCTTTATGTAAAGAACAAAAATTTTACAAAATATTAAAATAAATAGTATAAGTTTTATAAAATATACAAAAATAAAAAAAAAAAAAGAGTTTTATTTTATATAATATTTTATAAAAATATATTATTCATACATTTAAATTAAAATTCAAAATCACAATACAAAATTGTATACACCCAATGACAAAACAGCGGAAATTCATTGGGTATTCACAATTTTGTACAATGTACATAAAAAAAAAAAAATAAATAAATAAAATATATATATATATATGAGTAGTCGGTAAAAAGTAAGGATAAATCACTTTTTTGTCATTATGAATATATTAGTGTAAAAATAGTGGCAAGTGTGTAATAATAATAAAAAAGTAGGGATAGTTTTATGGTGATATGATTATTTATAAAAATGAGATTATTGTTTTGGGACAGACAAAGATGGTAAACAAGAATCAATACAATGGGATGGGAGTATTAAATATCTAAAAACATGTTTTATATTCCAAATAAATAAATGGAAAACAATCCAAAATACAATGCACCTTCATTTATTTATTTATTTTATGACGTGGAAATCTGCGGCCGCTATTGAAAGTGCACACTGGGTAAATCTGGTAAGTCATTGACCTTACGGTCACACGTCCAATCCCTACACCACCGAGTCATTCTTTACGGGACCAGCACAGTTTTATACATACTTGAGAATTGCCTAAGTGCATCTCCAATGCAACGTCAATTTTGACGTTGCAACCCATTTATGCCGCTGACGGTCTCCAAACGGGCGTTAATTGCAACACCATTTTTTGTGTTGCATTATAGCAAACGTCATTTATGGTGTGTTTGTTTTGTTTGTTTTTTTTTTTTTTTAAATTATAAATTTTACTTTTAAATTTAATTTTTATTTTAAAAATTTTTAAAAATTTTATTTAAAATTATAAAAATAAAAAATTGTTTAAAATAATATGAAAAATTGAATATTTGAAGAATAATAGTGAAAAATGAAATTATGATTAGAATAAAATTACTGTTGTTACGTACGAAATTTAGAATTAGGTTAAAAGCCCAAGGTAAAACGAGGAATGGGCCTGGCAATAGGGTTGATTGAACTGGCTGAAGGACACCGTGAGGAAATCAAGGAAAATAAATTTATTTATTTATTTCTAAGAAAAATTCAGGACGGAAGGTCTTCAGGTCGAGAGGTCCGCAAGACGGAAAGACCTCAAGTCGGAAGGTCTTCAGGTCGGGAGGCCCTCAAGATGAAAGACCTCAAGTCGGACGGTCTTCAGGTCGGGAGATCCGCAAGACTGAAAGACCTCAAGTCGGACGGTCTTCAGGTCGGGAGGTCCGCAAGACGGAAAGACCTCAAGTCGGAAGGTCTTCAGGTCGAGAGGTCCGCAAGACGGAAAGACCTCAAGTCGGAAGGTCTTCAGGTCGGGAGGCCCTCAAGATGAAAGACCTCAAGTCGGACGGTCTTCAGGTCGGGAGATCCGCAAGACGGAAAGACCTCAAGTCGGAAGGTCTTCCGGTCGGGAGGTCCGCAAGACGGAAAGACCTCAAGTCGGACGGTCTTCAGGTCGGGAGATCCGCAAGACGGAAAGACCTCAAGTCGGAAGGTCTTCCGGTCGGGAGGTCCGCAAGACGGAAAGACCTCAAGTCGGAAGGTTTTCAGGTCGGGAGGTCCGCAAGACGGAAAGACGATGAGTCGGAAGGTTTTCAAGTCGGGAGGTCCTCGAGACGGAAAGTCGTTGAGATGGGATATCCGCAGGTCGGGTAAACTGTAGGTCGGATAGAAGGAGGAGTCGGACAAACACGGAGGCCTTTGATCAAAGACAGGGGGCGGTTGATATGGAGGTCGGCCCAAGTGGGGTCGGGCGAAGAAGTAGGTCGGACGAAGGACGAAGTCGGGCCAAAAGAGCGGAAGGTCTGTGGTCGGCTCAAGGAGTGAAATATAGGGAATTTTGGTCTGCTGGGGACACGTGTCAGCATAAGAAAGGTTGGAAGACGGTTGAGAAGGAGACGTTGTAACCGGTCGGGTGACGGTTTTCAGTACGGTTTCCCAGGGAATATTTAAGGATTTGGATCATCATTTGGCAAGGCATCTTCAATCAACTTCAACAAAGCAAAGTCAGATTTGGGGATCACCACTTTAAATTTCAGTCTTTTATTTTCCAGTTTATTTTCTGTACCATACAGTGTTTAGAGATTCCTAATCTCAGGCACTAATTAATCAAGTTTAAGGATATTTTCTATATCTTTGAATTTTACTTTATTTTTGTTGAAAAATTACATCAACAAATTGGCGACCACAGTGGGAGAAAATTGCTGATCCATATGGCAAATTTTCAATTCCACAGTACAGCCGTTGGCTTTATCACGGCAGAAGAAGCTTCCCAACTACGGGCCGAATTGACAGCAGGTTTTACAGCATGTTTTCGGCAAATGTACGACCAGCAGATAGCAAATCTGCAGGCAATACATGACGCAATGCAAAACTTGATGGAGCAATCAAAATTCATGTTGAATTCGGTTCCTGCACCGCCAGAAATGTCATGCCCC